GGACGTTCTCCCTAGTTTAGGCTCTGCGCCCGGGTGGAGTGTATGGGGGTCGTGGAATGAATTTTTGTGAGAATGTGATTTTGCCTTTTTTAAATATAGCGTTAGGTAGGTAGGTAGTATACCTTCTGGTGTGTGTGATTGATTGTAAGTAGGTAGGGCCGGGACAGGTTGTCACAGTTTCTTGGTCGGGTAGGCGCGATTTCGCGTGATCAACCTGTACCTGGAATATATTTGAAGAATTGACGATACCATCGATACGAACGGAGTATGCTGTTCATCTTCGATTCTATCTGCACAATTTTTCAAATTTTTGGCGACTTCATAAGTCGTCATACGCGATCGCGACTGTACGAAACGCACAAGTTCTGCTCGAGCACGGCACGTGTGCACGAACAACGATTTATATAAAATCCTTTTTCGTCCACGTGTCAATTAGAGTTTCGCGATTTTTCTATTTTGTTGATTGTTTTTTTTTTGTTTTGCGAATTTGCAAGTCTCGAGCTTTAGATATAAGTTTCAGGTGGGTGGACCGCCCGAAGAAAGAAAAGGCTATATGCCGAAGCGCCCCGACAAACTGTCTTTCAAGAGGGGAACTAATAATGATTTTGCATGCTTTTGCAAAAAAGGATGGGAAATCATTATCGTTACTACTTTGTCACTGTGCTTGCCTGTAGTTGTAGTTTTGTAATTTCAGGACAAGAGGGGGCCCGTGACCCCCATGATTTTGGGCAAATCGCGTTTTCAATTTAGTGTTGCGAATATTGACCACGGTTCAATTTAGTGTTGCGAATGAATATTGATCACGGTTCAATTTAATGTTGCGTATGCATGCTTATCGCGATTTTCATTTAGTGTTGCGAACTTTAAATATCGCGTTTCTTTCTTGCATTGCTTTAAAATGGAATTTAACTTTTCAATGTTGATTGTTTTAAGATTTTTGAGAGTTTTGCTTTTTAATGTTGATTGCTTTAGTGTTGCGAGTAAAAAATTCACGGTTTGAGAATCCCCCTTTTTTGCATTTTAATTGCATGTCTGTTAAAGATAGCGTTGCGAATGATATTAGCGCGATTGTTTTCCAGTGTTGCGACTTATAAATACGCGATTGCTTTGCATTAGTTTATAGAGTTCCCTGCTAATTAGTGTTGCGGTAATGAATATTCGCGTTTTGCATTAGAGTTGCGATATATGATGAAATGCCCAAAAACGATCCAGTGGAGTTGCCATGGTCCATAAGGCAGCTATGGACCAGCTGCCGTGATACAGCCTTGGATTGGCTGTACCCCTTTTTTAGATTAGTGTTGCGTCTTATAAAATTCGGTAGATTTGAGTAGTGTTGCGTTACAGTTCGCGTTTTCTCTTTTTTTCTTTTTTTCAGCTTAGTGTTGCGTATAATGGAGCAGCCTTCACGCGTACGCTTTTGTACATATTATATAATTAATGAAATTAGTGTTGCGAGTAAAAAATTCACGGTTTGAGAATCCCCCTTTTCTGCATTTTAATTGCATGTCTGTTAAAGATAGTGTTGCGAATGACATTAGCGCGATTGTTTCCCAGTGTTGCGACTTATAAATACGCGATTGCTTTGCATTAGTTTATAGAGTTCCCTGCTAATTAGTGTTGCGGTAATGAATATTCGCGTTTTGCATTAGAAATACCCAAAAACGATCCAGTGGAGTTGCCATAGTCCATAAGGCAGCTATGGACCAGCTGCCGTGGTACAGCCTTGGATTGGCTGTACCCCTTTTTTAGATTAGTGTTGCGTCTTACAAAATTCGGTAGATTTGGGTAGTGTTGCGTTACAGTTCGCGTTTTTTCTTTTTTTCTTTTTTTCAGCTTAGCGTTGCGCATAATGGAGCAGCCTTCACGCGTACACTTTTGTACATATTATATAATTAATGAAATTAGTGTTGCGAGTAAAAAATTCACGGTTTGAGAATCCCCCTTTTCTGCATTTTAATTGCATGTCTGTTAAAGATAGTGTTGCGAATGACATTAGCGCGATTGTTTCCCAGTGTTGCGACTTATAAATACGCGATTGCTTTGCATTAGTTTATAGAGTTCCCTGCTAATTAGTGTTGCGGTAATGAATATTCGCGTTTTGCATTAGAAATACCCAAAAACGATCCAGTGGAGTTGCCATAGTCCATAAGGCAGCTATGGACCAGCTGCCGTGGTACAGCCTTGGATTGGCTGTACCCCTTTTTTAGATTAGTGTTGCGTCTTACAAAATTCGGTAGATTTGGGTAGTGTTGCGTTACAGTTCGCGTTTTTTCTTTTTTTCTTTTTTTCAGCTTAGCGTTGCGCATAATGGAGCAGCCTTCACGCGTACACTTTTGTACATATTATACAATTAATGAAATTAGTGTTGCGAATGAATTCGCGATTGTTATTAAATTTTTTACTTTTTTGCATTTATTAAATTAATGGAAGTAACTATGACTCACATTCGGTGGGGATCCATTGCTAGTCAAGGATTCCGCGGCCTAAGACCGTGAACACCATCTCTGGGAGATATACCCATGCATTACTAGGCCTTTGCAGGCGCAGTTTTAGAATACGGAACATATGAAAATATGTTACCATATTCTAAACTGCAGTCCTTTTGTCTATACTATGGGCGTCCGTCAATCTGACACCGTTGGATGCAACGTGTTGGACGGGCGGGTAGCGCTCTTAGCGAAGGGGTGCACTCTGTCCTGGCGTTACGACGTCCAGGCGGGGTGGGTGGTATGTAGCGTCTGGCGTAAGTCTAGGGGGCGTGAGACCCTTCGTTGCCAGCCGATGTTTTGTCATAGTTCAGAATGTTTGCAATTTTACAATTAGTGTTGCGTGTGATTTCGGTTTGTTTTATAGGGTTTGCTTAGGGATTGCTCTTATGGGCAGTCAAACTTTTCTTTTCAGGTTCCCCTGTACCCTCCCTCCCACTGTTATGCCCCCATTCTTTTTTCTTCCCATTTTTTAATTTTGAAAATTTTGAGCATTCGGTTATTGGAAATACTGTTAAATAATATATGAATTTAATGTTTTCAGGATATTATTAGGTACGATAAAGTTTCAAAGAGAACTTTATTCAAAGTTTTATTTAAAATGGAAATTCATTTTATTTTTTGACGATTGGTGATAATTTGTTTCAAGGAATATTTGTTCATTCGAGATAGCTTATTAAATTTTTATTTTACTTTGGTTAAACAAAAGTAGTGGATAATTGTTGTTCGAGTTGTTCAGTTTTAATTTTTGATCGCGATGTTTCGTTTCAAGTTTACGGAGAAGCTAATTAAATTACTTTTATAAATTTTCATATTCTTTTCCTGAAAAGCAAAGTCCTCTCGTGATTTTTTTTTCAGTTTTTTCATTTACAATAAATTTGCATTGAAAGGTGTATTGAATAATATAATGCAATAAAGTCGAGTAGAGTCGTGGTTGTACGTACTATATGTATATTGCAGTAAAAGGCAGTTGTTTTAATTAAAATATTGTGTGCTATTTGTCGCAAAATGAACGAATATTAAGTACAATAAAATGAAATAATTAATGTTCTTAACTCAAATTACTTAACTCAAATATATATTTTTCTGAATTTCTTTCTCTTTATTTTGGTACTGAAGATTGCTTTAAATTCATATTTCGTATCAAATTGATTTTGTGTTATTAACAACCACTCTGACTTTTATAAAATTTTATTGTTACTAATGTATCTTCTTTCCAGTTATTAATTTTTCTTTGTCTTTATCTGGATTCAATTAATCAGTTTCTGTTACAGAGAAATATCTTTATAGGAAGTATGAAATAATAATATCGTATAATCGACTGGAAGAAATGTAATATAAAATCTAGCGTCCATAAATGGAATTCAATGTATCCAATTAAGTGAAACAAGGTGAAAATGATTGAAAAGGAAAAATGATTCTTATAAGTGGTAATATTTGAATCTTACTATTTTCGAAAATTGTATTTAATCCTTTTCTGTTTCTTTCAGGCAGCTTGTTTTATGATTAATGCTACATGAGCCTTATTATTTTCTTAAATTATGTTTAATCCTTTTCAGTTTTATTTTAGGAAGTATTCTGGTGAGGACAACAAAATCAACAAATTCATTGGACTTATTTATGTACATAGTCATTAAGATATAATCGTCAAACACTGCAGTGTTTAATTAGGAAGCGTTAGATTTAAGCGAATTTTTAATATAATTACGAGCGCTCGAATAGGTAGATATTCTTAGTAGTATAAGTATGTAGGACAAATATGCAATTGCATATTTATTGATTACAGATTTGTAATCAAAATCAAAATTAAAAATTGTTGCGATAGGAATAAAAAGCAAAAATCTACGTAAATATATGTATAGATAAGTAGATAGGTAGGTAGTGAATAAAAATAATGCTCCTTTTGTTGGTCGTTTGCACAACAGTCGAAACGTTTTGCAAATGTACATCAAGAGGATGATGTTTTTGAATAAAATTAAAAATTTGCATAAATGGAGGGTGGATGGGATGAGGTAGGGCGGGTCTCCACCCGCAGCAACCTCCCCGTGGTGAGACCTGGGCAATCGTTATTATTTGATGACTAATTAATAACTGTATTATTATTTCTATGGTATATTTATTAATTATGCAGCAAATAATACGAGCGAATTGGCTGCGAAAATGCTCTTTTTCTATTCAATCGCTGTTATATTTTTTTCAGGAACTATGTCTTTAAGATTCTGAAGTGTACCACATTGCAAATACAATTTTACGGAGAGAAAATTAATAATAATGAATGCATGGTCAGTATTGTTTAATTTATACATATAGCATACATGGGTCATTTAGGTATTTGCGAAAGGTAACGTAGTATAGCATGCCGTTAGTTGGATGCAATAATTCAGGTGGCGCTTAAATCAGTTTCTAACATGGCCTGTTTTACCGATGCGGAATTTGGATTTCAGCCTCGACGCTTGCATCACCTTAAAGATGGCCACAACTGGTAAACAGGTTAGGTTGGGTTCGTGGGTACGTTTACAGCCAATTTCAGTATGAGTTTGCATATATAGATAGTGATATGTAGTTTGCAATATGATTTTTGTAACCGTTGCCTTCAAAAAAATTGTCTTTTGCAAGAACAAACTTATTGGTTGTGATACGTATTATACAAGTCTGTATTTTCCTTATTTTAATATAAAGCAATTTTAAGTGATAGTCGATTATAAAACAATCTTTCTGAAGGTCTAGTGTGCATGCGCTAGGTGTACTCGATCGAGAAAGTGGTGTTATTTTACCTGAGGCATATGACGGACGTTAACAATTTCTTTTTTAATTTAACTACTAATTCGCAACAAGAATTAGCCAGATGAAGGTAATTTGTGTAGTAGGGTGTTAAATATTTTCTCTTTTAATGATTTAAAATCCAAAATGATTCGCGGAGATTAATGTTCGTGTGTTTCAGGGTGAACCTAATTGCTTTCATGGTGCTTTGTTTATTATTATCATAGACAGTACTTTAATTTCCATTGTTTTACATTCTGTATAATCCATTATCAATTTTATTGTCACTCTTTATTAAGACACATTTTTTACATATATTTTCGTATATTTTTATGCTCCAAGAATGTATTTAAATGGCTAGTGTTTCATTCTACAGACAAAGCAAAATTTAAAAAAAAAGCGCGTATTAACTATCAAAATTTCAAATCCTTTTTTCTCTTAATAAAAACAGGACTTGTAATAAAATCAAAAAATCATGGAAAAAAATTAATAATTTTCCTTTGTATATTTTGCATTCTTAAGAACATTTAGTAAATTTAAACATTAAGATTTAATGTTTAAAATAAAATATTGGTGGATACGTTATAGATAATGTCAGATGATGATGCTGCATTGGACTCAATGGATACAGAAGAAGATATTTTTTCTCCAAGGGTCCGCAGTCTTGGCTCTAATGTTAGAAGGGTTAAAAATTTGCGTACTCTACGATCAAATTCTACTTCTCATATATCTGTGAACAATTTAAGCGTACGCCGTAGTACCCGTAATAGAATGCAAACATATGATAATCTTAACACTAGCTGGATTTTAGGTACTGGTACTATTACATTATAATCTGAATAATACTTGATATATTTAATATACTATTTTAATGTTATTTTATTATTAATACAGTAATGATGTCAGTTCAGTGTTACATAACTCCTTTAATCATTACCTTTTTATTGTTAAATAGTGATTGCTTTTAAACTTTTATGAAATGTTTGTTTTTAGGAACTCAAACATTGAAAGGTTATCCTATGTTTCAACAACATGGTTCTTCATCTGATAAAGAAATGGTGGATGAAGTACCTGAAAGGAAGCGTGATGTTAGGGACCGTATGCCTCTTAGATCACGTGAAAATCACCCTCCTAATAAAAATCCAACAAGACATATTAGGGAAAGGGCTGAACATGATAGGCAAAATAATAGAGAACTTAGAGGCAGAGGTGATCGTGATCTTAGAGAAAAAACAGAACAAGAGAAAGATATTAGAGATCTTAAGGAAAGACAAGAAAGAGAGAGGACAGAGAGAGAACATAAAGATAAAATAGAAACCAGAAGTAAATCGAATGAAGAGAAAGATATAAGGTAAATATATATTTGTATAATTTATAGATTTAAGAAAGTATTAATCATTGATAAATTTATTTATAGAACAAGAAAATCTGATAGCCCAAGTAGACTTAAAGAAGGACCTGTTACAAGACTTGGTGGTAGCTTAGGTGAAAAAGATGTAAAGCCTAAAGTAGATCAAGATGAAGCTGATGAAGATAGCTTGCAAGAAAGTGAAAAGGCTGAAAATAATGATAATTATGAAAATGAAGATGTAAATGATTTTCTACAATTTTTTTTTAACATAAATTAATTTTTTGTTTTCAATAGTAATGTTGGCCTTTGTTTATAAATTATGAATAAAATAACAATATTACAAATATATTGTTTGTAGGGTTACGAAGACATGTATACACGTATTAAACGAACTAGAAGAAAAGCACAGCGGCAATTACCGAGAGGTGAAAAACTTACAGGTTTGATGTTTAATATATACTATACATGTTACTTTAGTTGTCTAAAAATATTATACCATACTATTTCTTACTTATTATTTCTTACAGTGGTAGATAGTGATTTAAGTGAATCGTCTGATTCTCCTGGTCCTAGAAAATACAGTTTACGTCAAAAAAAGCCTACTGTAGATAGATTTCAAGCTAACGTAGAACCAGTTCGACGGTCTATAAAAGCACTTAGAAGTGTTCTCAGTAATTCGATGAGAAGGCGTAAACATAGAAGCAAAAGTACAAGCTCTAGTGATTCCAGCGATTCGGAACCTCAACGTTATGATAAAAAGAAAAGCAAAAAAGCAAGGTAAAATTTTGGAAAAAATTTCATTGAATATATATAATTATCGTATCAGTTGTTCACACTATTCACCTCGTAACAGGCAATCAGCAATACCTCAGGGTGGACCACCTCATCGTAAAGCGGATATAAATCCAATTACTTTAGATACTAATATTAGGTTCAGTGATGTCGGAGGCTTAGAATCACATATTCACTGCCTTAAAGAAATGGTGGTTTTTCCTATGATGTACTCAGATGTGTTTGAACGCTTTCACATTACACCACCGAAAGGAGTACTTTTTCATGGTCCACCAGGTATTATTCTGTTTGTTGTTATTAATATAAATGCGAAGATGTGTATTTTTACGGTTTTTATTAATATCAAATATTTATTTAGGAACTGGTAAAACGTTAATAGCTAGAGCATTGGCAAATGAGTGTAGTCAGGGGAGTAGGAAAATGGCATTCTTTATGAGAAAAGGCGCGGATTGTTTATCTAAATGGGTCGGAGAATCGGAGCGGCAATTGCGACTATTGTTTGAGCAGGCTCAACTAATGAAACCGTCCATAATATTTTTTGATGAAATTGATGGCCTTGTACCTGTTCGTAGTACGAAACAGGATCAAATTCATGCTAGTATTGTGTCTACACTTTTAGCGCTTATGGATGGCCTCAGTGATAGAGGAGAGGTAAAGTATCTTAAAAATATTTCTTTCACTTCATATACATGAATTTATTATAATTTTTTTATTGACAGGTTATAGTTATCGGAGCAACAAATAGAATAGATGCTATTGATCCAGCACTACGGAGACCCGGTCGTTTCGACCGAGAATTATTTTTTCCCTTACCTTCTATGAAAGAAAGATTAGAAATATTAAAAATTCACGTTAGTAAATGGAAAAATCCTCCACCAGATCAATTGTTAGAAACATTAGCTGAAAAAGCAACGGGTTATTGTGGTTCAGACCTCAGAGCTTTATGTACCGAAGCAGTTTTGCAAGGGTTGAGAAGAACGTATCCCCAAATATACATGACTAGCAATAGATTACTTTTAGATCCTGAACGAGTTGAAGTATGTGCTTATTAATACAGAGTATAAGAATTAAAAATTAATATGATGGTAAGATTATATGAATTTTTACAGGTAAAGAAACGAGATTTTTTACAAGCAAGTTCTATTCTTGTACCTTCATCACAAAGAGTCTCGCCGTGTGCCCGAAGAAAATTGGAACCCTTTATGGAACCGTTATTAGGGCCTTTAATAGAAGAGTTACTTTCTTCGATAAAAGGAATATTTCCTCATGGGGTTAATCTTGCTATGGCAAAGTAATAAAACTTTACACTCACGTATGATATTCTGCATGTAATAGCCATTTGTTATTTAATATTGTTGTACAAAACATTTTAGGGTGAAAATTACTAAAGGAATTCATCGACCGAGGCTATTAATTTCTGGCGGAAATTTGTCGGAAGGTCAAGGGCCACCCTTAGCACAGGCACTATTGTATCACATGGAACATCTACCAGTTCAAACGTTAGATGTTAGCACTCTTTTTGCAGAAAGTGGACGATCTCCAGAAGAAACCTGCGTGCAGGTTCGTTAATTGTAAATACTATAAGAAAAAGATCAAGTGTTAATTAAATACGTTATAATTTGTAGTATGTTTTTTTATTGTTCATAATGTAGGTATTTAATGAAGCTGCCAGAAATGTACCGTCCATAATTTATATTCGATCGATTGATCAGTGGTGGCCACTCGTACCTGAAACTGTCAAAGCAGTTTTTTTGTGTCGTATCGCAGCCCTCGATCCTTCATTACCCATCTTAATTTTAGCCACAAGCGATAGAACATATCAAGATCTTCCGATTCAATTACGAAGCCTTTTTAGCGAGCTTCGCGGAGAAGTTTATTCTATGAAAACACCAACAGCGGAACAAAGATCGAAATTCTTCCGACCTATTTTTATGATTCAAAGTCTAAAACCACCGAAAGTAAAGGATGATAAAGTAGAAGTTTTAGAGGAACTTCCCTTAGCACCAGATCCTTTGCCAAAGAAGTTAACGGAAGAGGAAAGGAAATTGATATACGAGAAAGAAGAAGTGTCGCTAAGGGAATTAAGAATTTTCTTAAGGGAAATTTGTGCTAAGCTCGCAAGGAATAGACAGTAAATATAATGTTATTCATTTTTATTTAACTTATTACTTTACGAACTGAACTTAGCAGTTAATTTTTGCATTACAGATTTTTTATGTTTACAAAACCAGTAGACACGGAAGAAGTGCCGGACTATAATATGATAATACAGCAGCCAATGGATTTAGAAACAATGATGACAAAGATTGATATGCATTGTTATCTCTGTGCACGAGATTTTCTTGATGATATTGATCTAATATGCAAAAATGCTTTGGAATATAATCCAGATAGGTTAGTACGTTCAACATTTATTTTTATTATATTCATTAATTGTCAATTTGATTTTATAAAATCATATATATATATAAATTTAAATAGAAAAGCATTTAGGGAATTTATAATACTCCGTTTCCTTTTAAATTTTCTTGAAAAGCAAACAAATGTATATTATGTTATTATGTTATATTTATTAATATTGATATCACACATATAACATATATGTAAATATAAGTAATGGAGCTAAAGTTTATACTGACATTCATATTGTGTGTTTTCATGTCAGCTTACGTGATAGGCCCTCCCTTGGAATATTAAAGAGGTAGTTCAGACATTCCTGCTTATCCTGTTGCTGTTGTTGCTCCGTAGTGAAAGTGGCCTTCAATTCATTACTCATACTTAAATAATACATACGTCATAAATATTACATATTATTGAAGGCTACTCATATTAGTTCATGTTGCTTCTCATTAGTGATGTATTTATGCATAATCTTCATATACATTGTACTGTATTCTTTCACAGAGATCCGGCGGACAAATTAATAAGGCATCGTGCATGCTCTCTACGCGATAATGCATACGCGTTGATAAAAGCAGAATTAGATTCCGATTTCGAGGATAAATGTCGTGAAATTTCGAAGAACCGAAGAGTTACTGAAAGTTCAGTTAGCAATGAGGCCGATAATAAGAATAATCGGCCAAAAGCGGAGCAACCTGTAACCATATCCGAACGAATAGATAAAAAAGATTCTACGAATTCTAGTCATTCTCTTGTTGTAAATGGAAAGAGATATAGTAATTCTAGGAAGCGTAGGATACCAGCTTGGGCAAGGGGTTATGTTAAAAAAGTTCATAAAAAGAAAAAGATTGCATTCGATGATAGTTCAACTACACTCGATACCAAGGTCTGCTTAACTAATGAATCTACTACTAGCATCGATTTAGAAAAGTTCCAAGAATTCGAAACCGAAGCAAATAGTGTTCTAAATGGTCATATACGTTTGTTTGATAATACCGATTCCGAGAATGATTCGCAAAATGAAAGTTCAAAGTATGCGCAAGCAACTCAAAGCAATAACGTTCCTGATCAACGCATCGATGAAATTGAAAATGTGGAGATATGTTTTACAGAGGAAGAGAAACAAGTAGAAAATAGTGGATCTAATTCTTCGTCTAGACGAGAAAGTATGGATGAATTATCATTCGCCATCGAAAGTGATTCTTGTCTTGCTAGATTCGAAGGTGATGAGAAGCTTCTGGTAGACAAAAATGAAATGGAAAATGCATGGCAATATACCGTTAATAGTACTAATGATTTTCCTGTTGAAGTATTATGTGACATTTATGTACAATTGAGTCGATGCGTAGGGAAATATGCTCAGAGTTATGATAGAAAATCACTGCCAAAGGTAAATTATTCCAAATTCTTAAACTGAAGTATAGAAAAATATAAACTATAATTTTGTGAAACCTTACAACGTACTACATAATTTATAATGTGTATAGGATTTGCTCAAGGAAGTGAGAAAGTTTGAAGAATTCAAGACAACGTATCAGGAAGCTCACGATATCGCAAATCAAATGGACATAGTATAAATCATCTGCGAGGTTTAGAACATAACAAAAATTTTTTTGTACACAAGCACTGAACGAAGGTGATCAGTAAATGTGAAATCACATGATAATTTAAATGATTCTTTTTTTTTTTTTTCAACTCTTGCAGCTGCTGATGATTAGAAAAAAAGGTGAATTTTATTATCTTGCACATATTTATGATATAATCGAAATAATAATATATTAAAATTTCGGTTCTCAAAAACATGGTGAAGTATAACTGTGTTTTTTTTTTTTTTTTTTTTTTTTTTTTTTTTTTTTTTTAGAAAGAAACAAAAGTATTATACATGAAACTAAAAAAAGTATGGAAAAAACAAAAAAACAATTTCAACTATTTATCTTAGTATGCAATCATAAATTATTATAACCATATTGGCTTTCATTATCTAAAATGATTAGTGGCTGATATTATATCTCTCTTACTAAAAGGTTGGATATCGAATTTAAATATTTAATTCAATAACTATATATTCTATATTCAATAATTGCCTATTTTCAATTGTAACTTTTTACCTAAAAGAATTTGTCATTGGTATAAAAAAATGCAATGAATTAGTTATTATAAAATGTCAAACCACCTGCTTTTTTATACAAATCGCTTAATGAAATATTTGTGGAAACAGATTTTTAAGTTAATGTATAATACTTTACATCTTAAAAAAGATGATATACTATTTCATCGTAATACAATTTTGCAAACACTGGTCATACAAAGATGATGGTAATTTAATATAATATGTACTTAACTATAGTTTTTTACATGTATAATATTTGACACTGTTATGACATACATTCGTACAGTAGTACCATGGTAAATTATTATAAGGTAAAATGCATTATAAATTCTTAATATGCGCCAGTTATTACTTTGGATTTTTACAGTTGTGTAGGTAATTTTTATACAAGATACTTTGAATGTAGACATATCTTCATGTATAAGTTTTCAACATGAATATAGAAAATCACATATGTCTTATTTTAACAAAAAATCGGCCAAATAATACTCATAACAAAAGTTTAATTCTAAATTGTGCTTATTTGAACGGTAGTTTGTATTAATTATTTCAGCTATGAAAACTTATAAATAGATTTCATAAAGAAGTTAATATGTATATACATTCCAAATCTTGTAAGCAGTGTTATATGTTGTATATTAAACATTTCTGGATTTGTACATAATTTATTCTTAGTCAATTTTACTAAATTTCGATACTAAACATTATTTGTTATGTTAATTTTTCAATTCACATCTTTACTTAATGTAGTGTTAGGTTCTAAAGATGTACCTAATCAAAAATCATGAATAATTTAATACATTGAATGTGTATTATATGTCTGTTGTATAGAATAACATTTAGTGCAATGACTTTTTTATGAATGTATATAAAGATTATTCGGAAATAGTACAAATATGTCATTTTTATATACATTAATAAAAACTAGGAGTCATTGAAACTGTTGCAATGTTATTCAAAATTAGTTTGCAATTGCAAGTAGTTAAATAATATTCGGGTGATTAAATTAATTTTACTTGGGGTAGTTAATACATTACTGAAATATAGCATATGCTTTTCAGTTTATTTTTACCAAAGTTATAAGCCATAAGCAAAGTAATTATGAATAGGGTTTTGCGTTATTGTCAATGTAAAAGTGGATATAATTAGAAATATGAAATACCTCGGTAAGATCTTAAACATTTATAAACAAAACTATGTCTGTATAAATACTAGTGAATATTTAGCATAAATTTAGATTTGTATACTGGTTGTGATCCATACTATAACTGTGAAAAGGTAGTTACCAAATTCTGATGTACTAGAAAAAAGGCAAATAAGGTTCTTCCTGTTATTATCAATCATATAAATAGTATTCATGTATACAATAGCTGTGTCTGTTAATGGATTTCTTTATACAGTTTCAATGGTCTAGGTCGGTACATAAATGGGAAATATACATTGGAGTGCGTTTAATTGGGGGGATAGTAAGGATTAAATAATTTTTACAATCGAGCATATAGGAACTGATAATTAGTACCTTTTTTAAAACACATGGTATGCCATTGTCTGACTTAGCAAATTGTTATTATTCGTAATAGTAAAAATTTCGAAATCCAAAAATTAGGTTTGATATTGTAATAAATTCATTTTTTGTCTATAAGTTTATAGTTAAAATTATGGCCGAATCTTTTTCTATAATTATTTAAAATTTGTTAGAATATAGGAGTGAAAAGACTGAATTTTAGAAATGCTCACTACATAATATTTATTTTTTTGTACAGTTTGTGTTTAGATTGAATTAGCAAAGCAATTTCTGATGTCCTATTACATGATCTTCAATAATGTAAATACTAAATTTCAAGATAAAATAATTTTCTATATAACTTTACAAATATACTATATAACAGTCTATATGTTTAAAGTTTTGATATATGTTTGATGTCATTGAGTGATATACTAGAATTATAATAATTGATTTGCAGTAAAGCTAATTTGTAATGATAACACAATCAGACAGAAAGAACTTATTTTGTTCTTTATTGTTGATTAATTGTACCATTGAAAAATTCAAGTGGTATTATCAAATAAGTGATTTAGTATTATATGTGAAATTGCTTCCATATTTAATTGTAAGTTGTTCAAGAATTCTGAATATTACACATGTATGTATAGTATAAAATTGATTCTTGAAAAATCATTGTTTTAGTGAAAACATGTTGTTTTATGAAACTCAAAATGCAAATTAGTATATATTAGGTGAATTTTAGTTTCTTGTATCAAATTTAATGAAATTGGTCGATGGTTTCTTTTACTCAGGTATCTGTTTCTGTACAATAAGAACAGTCAACACTGTGCAAATTAGTGCCACATTATAAAAAGTAAATAAGTATTGATATGCATGGTAGATAAAAAAATGATTAGAAATATTGTTACCACTACTCAATATGATTTACGATATGTCGTATAAGGAATTTAAGTAATGATGCTTTTACTTTTGAAAGTGTTTATACAAATTTCGTTTAACATTCATGTATCAATGTTACAATCGTTCTTTTCTGTTAATTAATATTTCTCAATCCAGCAATATAACATTATTTAATCGAATTACATAGATATTGCTTATATTTGCCAAAGAATTTATGTAAACACATATAAAAATTAAAAAGATTCGAAACATAAAGCCTCAATAAATGATACAGAAAAATCACAGGTATACAATTAAAGCAAGCAAATGATTAATTGAATCATTGTGATCTTTCTGTTTCAATTAATAGATATTACATTCCACATTATAGTGAAGATCCGAAACATGTATGTAATTACTCAAAGAATAATTTCTGGTGCTATTTTTCTGATGTACTATCATCTCTGTATTACCAAACGAAAACGAAGAAAAGAAAAACAAAAGAAAAATACTATGTAATTATATGATAAATATGTAAATTGTACTAATCGAGAGGTTCTCGTAACCACTGCCGTTCGAACTAGTTATTACAATTACTTTGCTGAAGTATTCAGATAATAAAACATTGTAATACTGTTGTTTGCAAAGACCGTGTTGTATTATAATTCAATAGAATGAAGTCGAATTTGGTAAATTAACGTGATCTTTCGCAGACGACAGTTTTAAGCATACGAAGCAGATGTGTAGAAGATACAAAGAACAAAACAAAGGAGCATACACTGCCTTATTTATTTTACCATACAATTAATACGTTTTATTGTCATTCATTGTAGCATAATAAATTGAAGTTTCATAACGTAACGATATGTGTTGCGTTTTACTGTCGAGAGGGTAGATGTCCGTCCTCCTCCTCCACGAAGATCTCCTCGAAGATATCCTCCACGAAGATTTTTATACGAATTTTAAAGGGGTAGATCTCCCAAAATGGGCTCGAACGTGTTACCAATATAGAATCAAAAATCTCAAAATAAAATTCATCAGAGTGGAAAAAAAAGAAGAGTCAAAGTTACTATTTAAAAATTTATACTATTTCTCAATTCAGAAGCACGCGAATGTTGCTTCAAAGCGAACGAGAACGATTCGTATGTTTCGTTGTGAAATCGTATCGACGACTAGGAATAATGAAATTACATCGTGAATCGACTTGAATCAATCAATTTTATCACCGTTGAAAAATTCCAGTAAAATTCACTGGGAAAATTATGAATGATGCACGTGTAGAGCGAAGATAACATTTTTGAGAGTGTATGGAAAATTCGTCGGGCAAGTGTGAAATCCCGTAACATAAATGAGAATACGGTGGACGGGCATGCAAGATAAAAGCTCAGAGGGAAGCATCACGAAAGATGTCCAGCGCGAAGGATTTCTCTTGCATCGGAGGATTGGAGAAGCACATCAGGGTGGTGAAGGAAACGGTCCTCTTTCCGCTGATGTACGGTGACGTTTACGCAAGGTTCAACCTGAAACCTCCTAGGGGCTTGCTGTTTTACGGGCCTCCTGGTAAAATAAAGCGTTCTACGGTTCGTAATGAAGTATGATATTTTGGTAGGCGATCCTTCTTCATTGAAAAAAATTGCTGTTTCACAGGAACGGGGAAGACATTGGTAGCCAGTGCTTTGGCTTCTGAGTGCAGCAACTCCGAACGTAAAGTTTCTTTTATATCGAGAAAAGGTTCTGATTGCCTTAGCAAATGGGTCGGAGAGAGCGAGAAGAAACTTCAGAAAATCTTCACCCTGGTTATTATCATTATTATACTCATTAAAATTTATGTTTCTAATAGTTTTCTCCATTTTCCAGGCCCAACAATCGAAGCCTTGCATAATATTTTTCGACGAAGTCGATGGATTAGCACCGGTTCGATCGAGCCGACAAGACTTTGTCCACGCTAGCATTGTCTCCACTCTGTTGGCCTTGATGGACGGCTTGGATAACAATTCCGAGATCATAGTAATAGGAGCAACGAACAGAATCGATGCTATAGATCCAGCTCTGAGAAGACCTGGCCGATTCGACAGAGAGTTGTATTTTCCGTTGCCCTGTTACAACGCGAGAAAGGAGATACTCTCGGTATCATTGTTCGTGGAAAAATTCAATTTCTAACATCGATACGCGTTAAACAACGAGATTTATGGCAGGTACACATCAAGAGTTGGAAGCAAAAGCCACCGCAAAAATTTTTCTCTTATCTGGCGTCGAAAACGGTCGGATTTTGCGGCAGCGATTTGCAAGCACTTTGCGCCGAGGCAGTTATGTGTTGCGTACGAAGGAATTATCCAGAAATATATACCTCCAAGTCGAGATATCAGATCAACGATCGACATCTTAAAGTAAGTTAAATAAAATAATACAAGTAAAAAGAGGAGGTTTTGTCGTAAAACGTTTATTGTATTCGATCGACTTTCGAACGTCTCCTCGAGCAGGAAAACAGGAAACAAAGGAGTGATGGTTGCTGGGGAGTGGCAATTTTGTGCCCTAACACCGCCGGTATAAGCAAAAAACTTGGAAACGGCCAAGGCTCATTTGGGCCCATTCCTAAGTACCCAGATATCCTTTGGACCTATACGTCCTGGGGTGCTCCATTCAACACCACTTCATTTTTTTCTATCCTTTACCATTTTAAAGCAATAACTTAGCTTAATTGCACGAGTCATCCTTTATGGCGAAGGACAACGACCACATGTTTCTTCGACGGTAATAAAGTCATAAAATCAAAATTCTTCGAGTTCTGGAAATTCTCTTATGATTCACAATTGTAAAAGGCAGTAAAAATGTAAATCGTATCAAACGACTTTATGAATCTATTATTGCACCCTGACGTCACGATTTTTATAGAGGTACGAAGAAGGTAGGAAACGTTAAATTAATCTATCAGGAACGTAAATCGAGATATTCGTATTAGCATACGTTTACTTCGTCACACGTGTATCAGCTGGGTCATTTGCCCGAGGCGACGTATTTAATCTGTCTGTCGAACCTCTACTTAGAGTCTGTAACATTTAATCAAGCAATAAAACGGAAAATAGTTTGTTGCAAAATACACTTTCTAACTAATCATACAGTCTCAGTTGCGTATAAAGAGTTTTTCTTTGGTGTTTTATTAATAACTGCTAGACTGTATTCGAATTTAAACATTGCCTTGATAGGTTGAGAAACAAGATTTCCTGAAGGCTCGACAGAACATAGTTCCAGCTTCCCATCGCGTTTCAATTGCCCCAATCAAATCTTTGTCCTCCAAGATGCAGCCTTTACTTCAAGACAATCTATCACGCATCCTGTCCCAACTTGATATCCTTTGTCCAGTAGGAATGCTGATTTGCGACGTCGTGTAAGCATTAAATTACTATTCACCTAACTGTTAAGTTTCATGTTGTCCCGAACCTGTTAATTAGAGGGGTAATAAAAGAAAATGTCTGACTCATCGTTGACCTGTACAGTGTGAAATGATCGAAGGAAATTCTTTTACAGCACCGGCAAAGCTGTATCCAGGTCAACCAGTTGTCCTAGGATGTTATTGTGCGGCGATGATTGCCATACTCGTCATCTGGGACCGGCGCTGCTTCATACCTTGGAACATTTACCATGCCACGTGTTAGACGTGACCACTTTGTTCGAGGAAACAGGAAGGGCTGCGGAGGAAGTGATTATTCAGGTAAATAGCGACCGATGATTCCTAAAAGGACACCTATTAGTCTTTTCTCATTCCGGTGTGAAAAATCAATAATTATTTGAAAAAGGATTTTATAGTTATACGATTGTATTTTAATGAATGTATCGATAGAAGATGAAGATGGCTCGACGAAGTTTACCATCGATGCTTTACGTTCCTGATGTCTTAGCTTGGTGGGACTTGGTGGACGAGCCAGCACGTGTTGTTTTTACGTCACTGATGCAAGGGTTAGATCGATCGGTACATATGTTAGTTCTGACTACGGCAAACTGTTCTCGAGAAGATCTACCAGCAGATGTAAGATAGATTACAATTATACCTCTTCCGTTATGTTAATATTATATAATAACGATTATAAGCATGATTTTTAAATTTATTGAAATATTAGGTCGCAAGCTTATTCAATGAATATCAAGGCGAAGTATTAGAAATATTACCTCCCGCAGAACAGCAGCGTGAACTATTCTTTAAACAATTATTTGTTCATTCGTCTGATATAGAATCAAATCGATCCTCCCAAGGTATAACTTGTAATAATTTTCTATCGCCATATTAGTTACGAGTCAAGAAAAATGTTAAATTATATTTGTTATTAAAATAGCGGATTTAGAACAATTTACGAATATAAAGAAGGCCAAAGAGGTAGGGAGGAGAAGGAGATTAACGAATCGAACCGACCCGAACGAAAATTCTTTATCGCGTAAGTATTTAATCCGTTATTTATTAACGAATCAATTATCTGGCATACCATAGGACTTACTTATTTGTTCAGTAATCGATTACATCATAACTGTTTCTCGAATTAATCGTAAAAATATTTATCTTATCTCCTAAATATCGATAGCCTCTATCAAGGAGTCTGATATTATTTTTAGTCGAATTCGTAAATGCAATTTACGATACGATACGTTTCCTCGAATTATGATTAATCAACAATATTCTACGAATCGAAATCAAATTAAGAATGAATTAATATCACCATTGTAAAGAATTGTTTATGACATTCAATAGTAGCGTTAATTTGGTTTAGCTATATCCTTCGAAGTAATTATAGAATATTCATAAAGTTATTATGGTAGAAGAGGTATCATCGTCGAGGAGAAACAAAATGGAGTCGAAAACTCGCAGCAAGCTTTACACCGTCCGATCGGCTCAATTGATGGCAACATCAAAATCAAGTAATATCATCAAATACAAACCACCTTTACTCCATAAACAACGAGCATTATATTTTGTCTAGAAATTAACGTTAAAAGGAAAATCAGTGCGTCAGGTGAAGGTCCGCCGTCCAAACGTTTGAAGAACACATCCCCGACGAATTTGTCCGCATCGAGTAGCGAAAAGCTAACAGATTCTCAAACGGAAGAATTGCTTCAGAAAATGACTATGATAACAGAATCGTGGCCTTGTCACGATCTGGAAAGTCTCTTTGCGTCTCTCGAAGCAACTTTGGAAAGAAACGAGGAAGATTTGTGTACAGCAATGGAGAAATGTTTGGAGCAATTCACAGAACTGAGAAGGATAAAAGTACACGTGAAGAAAGAACAAGACGATGATGACGATGATTGAATTTCGGTTAGAGAGAAAAGGAATTTCTCAAACAACGTAAACTCTCATTCAGTAATCTGCAATTCCGTGTAAATCGTGCCACTAAAGACCTGTGTATTTTAATTTGATTGATCATTTTTTATATTGATAAGATTTATCGAAGGTACACATACATATACATCAAGATATAATCTGATATCAAAACTTCCTGTTCACAATGGTTGCACAACAAAGAAAGTGTTCACCTTTGTGTGGTTTTAGCGTCGAATTACTTTCTCTGATGCGAAAGTGTCCCTTAACAAAATAAAATATACTACTATACAAGGTGTTTCAAAACTCTGATAACGATCAAATGTCTCGTAAGGAAGAAATTTTAATAGATTGTAGGTCATTGGATGAACTCTGCAAAAGAGTCAGTGATATCTACGACGATCAACATGAATAGCTGTATAGCAACGAAATAGCCTCCCTCTTTCTCTGTATGCTAATTCATGATCAACCGTAATTGTCGCGTCTCTCCGATGAGGGAAGACGGAAAGCAAGATCGAATCTCCTTGAAGAGAGGTGGAGAGAGTGAAGTAATTCTCTAGGCTTATCAGTTTGTGCTGGGCAGCCGAGCAATGCGTTGCCTCGTCTTGCAGTTTAATTGTGCCTTCGGTATTACGCGCGACATACATCCAACCCTTTACGGAATATATGTGACAGTCTATTAACTTCCGCTGATCGAGCACCAACTGTCGGAAGTGGTTCCACTCTTCCGTCACCTCGAAGCCGTTAGGTACGTCGCGCTTCACGCGACCAGAAGGAGGCTCTTCACAAGAAGCCGGTAAACCCGTGCATCTCTTGCACATGCCAAAATTTTAATAAAATATACAGAAGATCTTGAACGATAGTTTATCTCTCGGTTTACGATATTATATTTTTCTTTTTTTTTATATTTGGTATCTTAATTTGCAGTTGACGTTGTACTAAACATTTCTTTATAACATAGTGGCAGAAGTTTCTGATCCTGATTTTAGTTGCATACACTTTTGGGGGGGGGGCTCTTAAAAATATCAGGTTGGTAGCATTGTCCAGCGCCATTTTATAAATCAAAGCCTCCATTTTGTTGACTTCTATGATCTCTTATTCATACATAGAATAACTTGAACCTTAAATTTTCTTATTCTTGTATCAAAAGGGACATTTATTATACAAAAATACAAAATATAAACAGCTTTAAGTTAAATACACAGCAGTAGTATGAACTTAACAATGGTTACTTATTTACTATAAGTAATGATAGACTTATGAATCGCGTAACATGTATTTCGTGTAAGTAGACCTCGTACAAACAAAAAACAAATAATATTACATTTAAAACTCGTCGAAATATGTATATTATATAAATAAAATTTATATAATATGCTTGAGTATAAAATATTTCTTTCGATGTTACACGAACAGTACACTTATTTAAAAAAATTTTAAGAAATATAACTATAGCGATTTGGCAACAGTAATACTATATAATATTTATGTGCTCTTTACGATATATAACAACAACGTATATCATCAGCATAATACAAAACACTAGAACACTATTCACTGTCCAGACTATTTTTAAACATATCACAATATTTACTTATAAGAAAATACTACATATATATGTTCATTTACCGATTTGGATAAAACTTTTTGGTAAAAACTAACATGCCAATGGAGATTTAGTTTTCACTTGAATGTCAGTTTATCACTTTAAAAACTCACATAATTTTTATTCAAACCGGTGAGTTGGGAATATTCTGTGTTCCTTTGTTAGAGTACAATGATATAAATAACAATAGTATAACACCCTTTGGACAAAAACATGTCCACCTTGAAACGACGCTTTCTATCGTATTATTCTGGAGACATATCCACCATTCATACGATTCCTTACAATCCGACAATGTTCATACAGAACTGTATTCACTATTCAGTAGAATGTATTGTTTCTGTCATCAATCATTCATCATTAACTAGATCTATAACGATTGGTTTATTGCCCCTGTTCTCCATTCCAGCGGAACATGGGGCAACGAAATGGCGATCGAGTTCCTGAATGTTCTCCGTATTATTATTTATCTCGATCTCGTCGTTGTGCATGTAAATCCCGTATTTACGTAACATTTCGTTTGTGCCGTTAATGTTACCGTTACAGTTTATTAAATTTTCTTTCAAGATGTCGCCAACAGAGGCGCCATTTTGATTTTGTGTTTTCGCGACACGGTCTGTTGTATTCGAAATACATTTCTTCTTTTCTGACGGTTTTGTACTTTTCTCACTTGATTGTACCGATGTTTTCTTCTTTTTTGAAGACTCGTTGTTGAGACCGTTGGTTTTAGCAGGCTGTTTCCGTTTCCTCGCGTTCTTCTCTTCTAATAGGCGCAACTCTTGCTTTTTCATCTCTTCGATAACGTCCCGGAGCAATAACTCTTGCTCGAAGCGATTCGGTGATTCATGGTTGATATCTTCACTGCTACCATATCCTCTGACGATCCGTAATACTTCTTGTATTTCATTACCGGGTGTTTGGTCAAACGGGGTAGTAGTTCGTTGCGAAGGTGTTGATGATTGTTGAAGATGTGCCGATTGTGGACTAAGTGTTGATGAAGGCGACAGAGACTGCTGAGTAGGTTCTGATCGTCTAAGATCCCTCGAAGACTCCTTGGATACTATTTGCTGAGGTATCGATGATTGTTGAAGAGGTGTTGATTGTTGTAGATGTGTTAATAGCTGCTGAGGTAATACTGGTGGTTGGCTAAGGGGCGCTAATTGTTGTCGAGACGTTGGTTGTTGAAGAGGTGTAGACTGGTGTTGCGGAGATCCTAAATGTAGTTCCGGAACTACTGCATCTTCGTGTATCGAATTAATTATTTTCTGTGACTGTTTTTCAGAGGAAATGTCTATCATCAGTACCTCGACTGCATTGATATCTGTTTGTTCCTTATTTTTATTAATATTTCCTGATAGACTATTTATATCGTTTGTTAAGAGTATAACATCATCGTCCTTCTCTTTAGAGTTCGAACTCGACGTTAAATAAGGTTCTACTGTTAAATCGTTTAAAATAGCGCTTCTGTTTAACGCTATATTTTCCCTGTCTACTGAATCCTTGCACGTTACATTGTTGCTAACCGGATATTGATTGGTACTGTTTGCTACGCGTAGCGTTGGGTCACAACACTGATAAGGACTATTACAGAACAACAGAGGATCGATATGAGAAACGCTATTTTCATAGCCATCTTTGTTCGCCTTTAATTCGGCAATATTGCATGATTCAGTTTGAGTAGTAGCATCGATTGCTTTCATTCTCAGATGTTTGCGTTTTAAAGGAATTTTAACAACAACTTCCTCTCCTATCCTGATGGTTAACTGTAACTTTTTCCGTATCTTCAGTTCAACATTTTCCTTAACCGTAATAGTCGAGGGTTTGAAAGAGTCAGGAAATATTTTAATTATTTCATTATATTCTGTACACTGAGTTGATGTGGTAGTGATATTTTTCACTGTAGAAATCGTATGCCTGAACTTGATATGCACATCTAAGTCCGTTTTACACTTGAAATACCTCCCGCATATGTTACAACTCGCCCCCAGGATAACTACACGACAGTCACGCAACATTACACCGGCAGGGATATTAACAGTTTTCGAGCTGCAGTTACCATTAAACGCGGTGTATTGATGTTTAGACCTTCTCTTCTGAAGACCCATGCAGAAAAGGAAATCTTCTTTTCCCCTTATTTCTGAAGTGTTTAAGTGCAATCTTGAAACAGCTGGTAAACAGTTTTCACTGGTCTTGATTGTCCTCAACGAGTATTTCCCAGGATCACCAATGGAGTGGTAGTCCCTCGGTATATGTGGCGCCATCTTCTAAAGATTATTAACTTCTGTAAAAAAAAAAGCATTCAGGAACTATTATAGTAATTACTGTTGTTTTGAAATTAATATTGAGCATTTCAAATTTAATAAAATTATATGAATATTTATGTTACAAAAAAATACTGATTTGATATGTTTTTAATAGAGAAAGAAATTCAATTTCATAAAATTACGAAACTTTACGTTAATAACTTAAATTGTTCAGATACTTACATTGCAGCAAACTGATCAGGACGAATAAGCATCCTTAAATTGATTTATCTTGTTTATCATGGAATTACGCCCAATTTTTAAGCGAAAGAAATCATTACTCAACACTGTGGAATGCGGCAGAATGTATGGCACATCCTACATCCAACGGAAGTTGCTTGAGATGATGCAATTGCAGTGTTGTCGGGTATTAATCCTACCCCCACTTTTACCACTACGACGTTAATTTTCGGGGCAAAGTTAAAGGAAAAATCGCGTCCAGATGATTACTTAAAATATAAAAATATGTATGATAATCTTTAATAGTAAATCCAATTCAACGTTTCTCCGAAAACTAATACTTTTGCTGATGCATCGACATTGTAGTCCGGCAACGCAGCACTGTCGCAATCGGAGATTCCGATAAGACCCAAGGATGTCAGCCAATAGCAAACAGCGTTTCACAACCACAACCAATGTGCGTCGTCTCACTCTCCTACCCGTCGCCCGTAATAAAACTGCTGCGCAGTTACCCACAGCGCACACTACTCACTTCCAATGTAGAATTTGTTATTCAAGATTATTTTGTCAAGATGTGGCCTTAATTTATATTCTATATATTTTACTAATACATTCTATAGAGGCTGGTATAAAAAATTTTAATAAATAGGCTGCAAAATTCGTTATTTTTCTAACCTAACCAAAATTCTACATCTTGGATTGGGAAACTTAATTATAATTACTAATTACTAATTACTATTATATTAGGTATCACTGTTATAGTGTAATCTATAGGTATAAGTTATTTATCACTTTCTTGGGTATTTAGCTTACTGTAAACTGAAATTATTTGCAGTTATATAGCATTAATTGGGTGATTAATTTATGATATTCTTAAAAATATATTAACTTTAATTAGAATGTTATAGATTGAATAATGATAATGTAGAAGGCGTATCAAATAGCACTGGTCACATATTTGGATTGGCAGTCACTGGGCACATGCTGTGCTAGACTAAACACGCTCAACCGTAAACACGTCGAGATAATACATAGAATACTCTCGACAATCATGCATATGTATGTACATATGTAAAAATATAGCCCAATTTTTTACAAAGAAATATACATAAATTTAAAGTATCCCGATACGATATGAACATAAAGAATATTACTCAATCAAACATTAAAATATTCTTCTATACATATATGTAATTAATTATTAATTACAAATATATTTTGTTACACTAATGTTTCAAATTATTGCAGAAAATTTAACTATACAAATAATAACACGTTATAAAGATATACATTTATTTTTCGCTGAATACCATCAATTTTTTAATTTGTATTTGAAATGTAATATTAATAATGATTTATTATATTAAATAAAAAATTATATTGTTTAGTTTCGGGGTTGTTAGATCGAAAAGAAAGATTCCTGTCAACACGGTCCTGTGGCGCAACGGATAACGCGTCTGACTACGGATCAGAAGATTCCAGGTTCGAATCCTGGCAGGATCGACGAATTTTTTTTTTTGTAATTTAAACATACATTCCAATATTTTAATTAATACGTTTTTATTTTGTACAGGACCGACTAATATCTGCGAATGTATTTCTCAGTATGGATACTCGTGCTTGTACAGTTCACACGTACACGTAAGTTTTACTTACTTTCCTGTATTGTAGCTAGAAGATCCCACTACAATTATTATTCTTCATTATTCACATTTTACTCTGATAGCTTTAATTTCGAGTAACTCATTTTATGATGCTTATAAAGTTAGTGGAACAACTTTTATAGAACACATTTTCACCGAGGAACCGCTTCTGGATTCGCCCCGAGGGCCATGCGAGGGCTACGAACGTGGCGAGGACGATCTTCAAACGTTCGATTTTATAAGCAAATTGAAACTAGACCTTCTGGAGACGCATTACTCTGGCGTGACCCGCGTTAGAGGTAGCAATCGCATGCAAACAGCCTACAGATTGGAGAAAGACACCGACGTCACTTTGCCAACAAAGTACGAGCACGTGTTCCATTTTTGAAACGATGCCGAAAATCTCCTTTTCAATTTATTCGAAACCTCCTTTTTCGCATTCCCCTTCAGAAATATACTTCCCAATGGATTGCCAGAGGAATTCAGTGCAGTCTGCACGTTCAGAGCCAGGAAACTGCCTAAATATACTTGGCACGTTATCCGGATCGTCGACATGAGAAACGAGCCCCAGTTTTTAATCGCTGCGAATCCAAAAAATCTGACTCTCGATCTTTCTGTGAAGGTCCTTACAGGAGAACTCCAGATGGTATCGTTCCCAGCTGATCGCGTGAGTAGAATTCTAAAATCATAAGGACGCAAACAATGACAAAAGTGTTTCTATTGTTCAGTCGACATTGACCTTAGCATATTCATGTACCAATTTCGCAACCGACCACAACAAAGAAAACCGTTGTCATTTCTCTTCTTTTCTGAATTTTCAAAGCATTATTTTCAAACGCGATCGAACTCCACTAACTTCGAGCACCGTCGGCTCAGAAGCTCGTCGACAACGAAGCAGCTCTTGAAATTGTCATCGTCGATCGCTGCCTGCGAGCACAATTCACGATATTTCGAAACGAAACCCTGTTGTTGTCGTGTCAAAAGCTCGGCTCTCTGTCAAATACCAATCGCTATGTGGGCGTGTAAATTACGCCCTGCTGTCACAGGGCACGTGGAAATCGTGTCACGGGCTGTTGCGTAAGCGTCGTGTGAAATAGTTTAACAGTTTTTACAGGGCGTTTACCATTGCCTGCACGCGTGCAAGATCGGAAATACCAATAAGAATACCATTATTTCCGACATTTTTTTAACCCTTTGGAGTCTTCAGACGTTGTTCATTATTTTCATTAGTAGGCCATCAGCTTTTTTCGGATGTTTATATAATTCAACAATTTCTCTTTTGATTGTTGATAGATGTTCGATAAAAATTGGCATAAAATTAACATTGGTGCCTTTAAGGATAAATTAGTGGTCTATATAGATTGCGAGTATGCTGGTACGCAGGAAACGGAAGCACGGGGACCGATTAAAGTCGATGGTGAAATCTCGGTATCGAAGATGTCCCATAGCGAACTCACAGTACCGGTAAGTTCGATCATTCGTCCTTGTAATTGAACACACTAAATACATCTTGAAACACATATGGCATTCTTATGTAACCACATGACCGTATTTCGCGTAAGGTCTTAATAAGCGTTCTTAGAATATAGGAACTCTTTAATTCTGATAAGCTCGACGATGATCGGAGGGCGTGCGATCTCGATTGAAACGCGGACCAAGTTCGTTCGTGAGAATTTCCCAGGAATTCACGGTGGATAAGCGCGGTTCTTCTCGCGACAAACGTATCTGTCGCGCGCGGCAATTAAGAAACACTTACTTAATAAACACTTTATAATGAACGAGGCTGGAACGTAAGTGGAACGAGCTAGATTTAGCGTCCCGCTCGAAGTGTAAAAGCGTAGCAGACATACAAAAACGCGGTGACGGATTCATTAGCCCAGTTTCACGAATAAACGACAGAAACATCCTAATGAGATGGTTGTTTCCTTTAAAATACTCCAACAGTACGCTAAGCTTAAAGAATTGATACTATCACCTTGAAATATTATCGATACTAGCTATTATTCATGTTTCCAAATGGGAATATTCTTTCAAAGGTTATTGTAATTTCTCTTCAACCCTTTGAACGTGTGTTCAGATCGATATACAGTGGATGGTCTTAAATTGCGATCCTACGAGACCGGAGAGGGAGAGCTGCGAGGAACTACCGGTAAGCGTATATATTTTACACAACTTCACAATCCATTAAGATCCCGCGGTTGTAATTAACGTAATTGCAGAAGAGCCTTAGCAGCCCTTTATTACCTCAGAGGAGACCCAGCTGCGAAATTATCTGTCCACAGGGACCTCCTGGAATTAATGGTACAAATGTATGTCAGAACTTCTATCTATTAATGAAATGTAGATTTAATCTTGATCAATTTTAAAATTATATGATACTGATTTTTCACCCCCTCAAGGGAGGGGGTGGGTGCCATAGGTTGAAGTGCCTATGTAATTAGCCACTAATACAATTGACGATACAAAGGAAATTATTTTTAAAATAATTCTTGCTCTGAAGAGCAATAAAATTTTCTTTGTTAAGGGCTTGCCTGGTCTAACAGGATTACCTGGACCACCCGGACCAGTGGGAGAACCCGGTTTACCTGGACGCTCTGGTTTACCTGGCCCCATTGGGGCAGAAGGCAAAATAGTACGTCTTCAAAAACACATAATTACAAGCATTTCATTTCGTTTATTATACATTGTCACTATTATTTTGTAGGGTCCGCAAGGTATTACTGGTGCTCGGGGATTCCCTGGCAGTCCAGGCCCAAAAGGATCGATCGGTCCAATTGGACCACCTGGAGCTAAAGGGGAAATCGGAGAAAGAGTGAGTTTATTATTTAATTGCTTTATTGCGTGCTGATTTGATGTTTTATTTTCGATGTTTATATTCTTTCCGATTTCCGTCAGGGAGATATGGGCTTTGCAGGACTGAAAGGAGACCAAGGATTACCAGGACCACGAGGGTATCCAGGTTCACCAGGTCCACCTGGCCCACCTGGAAACATCAGCGACTATCGTGATACTTTATCACCAGGTCCTCCAGGGAATCCGGAACAGATCGGTTCGAAGGGCGAAAAAGGTGATCGAGGTCAAAAAGGTATTTCTTCGACTTCTATTTTTAAAGCTCTGCCTTGCACGGTTGAATGCGGTCGTGTCAAACGTTAAACGTTAGCGTTAAATGCGATTACGTTGATTTATCCGATAAGTAATCCCTGAAGTGCTGGGTAAACTGATTCAATCTTGTTAGAAATCGTGTGGAGTTGTGGGTGTGCTGTGATTCCTCGTTAAGCACATTATTCCTTTGCCAGTTGATGGAAGATACCGAACCCTTTCATTCATTTCAATTGCATACAAATTATTTTCCTTATAACAAATAATTGCACGTTGCTTCACGATACTCCAAACAAATCTTGACTCTGTTAATGAGTTAATTGCACTCTTGCAAAAGGTCATTGACACTTCTGAAGAAATAATTCCATCCAATGAAGTGTGTCAACAGCCACATTTAAAGATCGTGCACAATCGTTTTAATGGCTCCAACTGTCTAACCAAAACGTTTTCACTTATTCTGTCTTCCTTATATATGTAGATAAAGAATTAGACTAAAAATCTTTATTCTTGTATTTCTGATTAATTTATGACTTTTCGTTGGTATTCTAAGCATGAGAGATATGATTTCAATCTTCTCTGATGGATGACACGAAAACGATGCGTTGTTGAAACGGTATTCGACCTAGATACAGCCATTCAAAGTGATTGTAAATCAATTTGTTGCAATCTGCTGCAATACTCGCAAACCCATTTCTTTTATTAATCATTAAATGGGTGCCATTCTCATGACAGAAGCTACTAGTTGTTCTTAACTTATCTAATTGCAGCCATTCAAGTACTTTCCCAGAAAATAATTAACGTATAGTTTAATCCTTTCGCTTCGAAGATAATAAATTTAATTTAAGGTGAAGTAGGAGACAGAGGTTATCCTGGACAAGACGGTTTTCCTGGCCCAGAAGGTAAATCAGGTCTTCCTGGACTTCCTGGTTCTATGGGAGTTTCTGGTTTACCTGGAACTCCAGGTTCTCAGGGGTTACCAGGTCCTCCTGGTGAAATCGGTGCACCTGGACCGCCTGGAATTCAAGGATTAAAAGGAGAACCCTGTCAAGATGGTAAATCAAATGTAACATCAATCAAATGGTTATTAGAATTTTTGTTTATTCCCATAGATAATTCCTTTATTTAGGTTTACCTGGATCAGTTGACGGTTCCGCAATACCAGGACCACCTGGTATACCTGGGCAAAACGGTCCTCCAGGACTGCCTGGTATACCTGGGGAAAACGGTCCTCCAGGATCACCAGGAGTACCTGGACCTATCGGACCCCCGGGTTTACCAGGATTAGAGGGAATAAGTGGTCCTCCAGGTTTGCCAGGAGTTCCGGTAAATATATATGTTTGATTTAAATATTACATGATCTATTTTAATTATTTCTGTATTTGTAGGGTTCAGTTGGTTTACCAGGAAAACCAGGACCTCCTGGGCTCAGTGATATTCTAGGACCGCCAGGACCACCAGGACCACCAGGACCACCAGGAGTTGATGGGAAACCTGGAGAAGAAGGTCCTATTGGACCATCTGGTTTCCCTGGAATCACTGTAAGACTGATTTTCATTTACTATAAAATGGAATAATTAAGTCTAACTAGGATCTTTCCAGGGTATGCCAGGTTTACCGGGCGTTGCTGGTATGCCAGGATTAGATGGACGACCTGGGCCTCCAGGTGTTCCGGGTCCCCCTGGACCCCCAGGACTAGCAGGGTTAGATGGGGATATGTTGAACACAAATAATGTCTTGGAAACCATTGGTAGTCCAGGAGTTAGTGGGCCAAGAGGTTTACCAGGTTTTCCTGGATTGGTATGTACATATTTCAGAAAGGGAAAATGATTTTAATAAAATTCTTATTTATGGCTATTTGTAATCAGCCGGGTGAAAGAGGTCCTGCTGGAGAACGAGGACCAGAAGGTAAAATCGGACCGCCAGGAATACCGGGGAAGGATGGAGCTTCAGGTTTGCAAGGACCACCTGGAATTAGGGGACAAACGGGAATGCCAGGTTTTCAGGGACCACCAGGAAGAAGCATCACCGATTCAGAAATTCGAGATATATGTGCCAGTGTGTTAAGAGGTAAACATCTACTTTTTTTTTAAATTTTAAAAATTAAGAAACTAATAGTCCAGTTAGAAATATTTGAAAGAAACGTGTGCACCGCACAACATACAACGCCGTTGTGTAATGTGACCCATTCTTGGCACAATCTTTGCTTTAAAAAGATACAAAGATAATTATACATTTTATTGCCACATACATATACAGAGCAGATGACTGAGATGGCAACACTGATGCAAGGTCCACCTGGTCCTCCTGGCCGAGGCCGTCCAGGTCGTCCTGGATCACCTGGTCCTCAAGGTCGCCCAGGTATACCCCAAGAAAAGGGTTACCAACTGCATTTGCCTGCATTTAGATCTATAACTGTAGAACACGATAAGGTTACGGGTTTTTGGTATCTGTTCACGAAAAGTCGCCACATAAGAATATCCTTAATGTTCCTGATAGACATAGCGAATATCATAATGGTCATCATTGTCATTGTTCTGCCACGAGTCACTTTAAATTACACCAATAAAGACGATGGAATCCTGCATGTGTCACAGAGCAGCTGAAAGAACTAACAGAGGGTCTACGAGGGCTTCCCGGGTTGCCAGGGCTGGCCCGTCAGGGCCATTCTGGTCGAACCGGAACCCAAGGCATCCCAGGTACCTACTAGACAAAAGATCCTTAGTAAACTCCTTATTAACTCCTTAATAAAACTAAAATATTATAATTGATTTGATATTGAAACAAGTAGTTAACATTGCATGCTTTTAATATTAGGCGCACATTCTGGTAATAGTGGACCTTTTAGATGAAAATTAAATTGATTAATTATTACTTAGGAGATCCAGGACCTCCGGGTCTACCCGGCGAGCGTGGTTTTGTAGGATTACCTGGACCGCAAGGTTCTATGGGTTCCCAAGGTCCACCCGGCGAACAGGGAGAGAAAGGTGATAGAGGAGCGGAAGGCGTTGGCGTGGAAGGTCCAATGGGACCAAGAGGATTACCAGGTACCACATATACTTGTTCTTATTCATTATCACTTACTAATTTTAATATTTTTTCTCACTAACGTATGTAAATAGGGCCACCTGGTAATGATGGTGTGGGTCTATCTGGCCGGCAAGGAGAGCGGGGAGAACCGGGCAGACCAGGTAACGAGAAGAAAAAATTACAAACACGTTTTTAAGATGTGGTTTTGATACTTTTAGTTTCATTTATCCATAGGCATTCCTGGGATAAGAGGGCCAGTTGGACCGCAAGGATTACCAGGATTTTGTGAATTATGTAATTATCCAAATGCCAATTATTTACAACATACTCGTGGTAACGAGAAAGGGCCTTAAATTAAAATTCAATATACTTTCGCGGGAGTAAAATGCGAAATTTTTAAATATCAAGGGAGAAGGTATGATTTTACAAATGATGCATTTTATGGTCATAATCAGGAGAGTAAACCTACCATTTATGGTTACCTTAAGGATTTTTATGACACTCGACCTTTGATTTCAAAATCCAGCTTGGTATTGAGCAAAAGTCAATGGCCATAATTAATACATCTACCTTAATAGTTTTAAAAATTTTTTGAATCACTGCTATGTTACGATAATATTTCTTATGAATGATTTAGATATTTAACTATAATATTTAATAAGTAGATCAATACAATTTGATTGAAACACTTATTACAAGGAAGTATTTTCTAAGAAATAAAAAACTGATCGTGAATATGAAATCAAAAGAATCTTACAATACGATTTTTAAATATGTTTACTGCTCTCCCGCGCTTAGTGGTTCTATTCCTCGTTCCCTCGTTCCAAGAAACGATGGCGCCACCAATCGTTTGTGCCCGTCGAAATCAGTGATGGCCGCGAGGCTCGCGAAGCACAATACATCGTGATTCCGTTGAGTTTGTTTATCGCAATATTCTTGTGCTAAGAATATTTCCACGGCTTTAGTTCGAAGCAGACTGAATTTCTTCGCGGTTTTATGTAACAAGTTCGTTCGAATGAATCGTATTTGTCATAACGATCTATAAAGACGCGGTTGATCTTCTTGACAGTTCGGTCCTGTGTTCAGAGTAGCAGTAGCCACTCGAGTGCCACGAGAAGTGTTGCATCGCCACTTGGCTGACTTTTTCAGAACGGTAGCCGTACTAATGACGTCGTGTACGTGATCGAACGATACGAAAAAAGTTTCTGTCGACACGGTGACGGTCACCCCCACACCCGTCGGCACTTTTTTTTTCCTCTCACCCTTGCTGAAGACACGCGCATCAAAGGTGTTCAAGGTATGTATACCGGCAGAGCAGGTTAGGTGCATCGCCGTGTCTCGTGACGGCGATATGGACGAATTCGATGAACATACATACTTGCATGTTTTTGTATATTTTAAACAGTATGTAAGGATAGTTTTTATTTTTATAACGATAAAGGGATTTTTAATTCTTTGCTTTGTGGTACCTAGATAGTAAAACCTGTCTACTATTATTGGCGATAGAAACTAATCCATAATTTGAATGAATAATAAAGTTATCTAAATGTCATATGATATTATATTGGAAAGAGCACAAAAATAATACAGAACGGTATATTGATTATACTGATATGGCTTAATAGGCTTGGGACTTAAATTTTGCTTTGCTTGCAAGAAAATCGTCCCCTTATTTATTTACCGTTATGATATATTATAACGGTAATGATAAGCTTCGACAAATAAGATTAACTTCATATGCGTCTAATGTAATATAACGGACACTGTCCCGGCGAGTGTACTATCTGGCAAAGGAAGTGTTAAACAGTGTCCCACTGACACACGTTACTTCCTCTACTCGGCACTGGTCCAAAACATTATTCTCAATTGATTCATGGTGGTCGTGTACCAATTGTGAAAGTTATTCGAGTTCTGCTACGTAGATAAACATATGAATAGTTAATAGATTTATAATCTGATCATGTAACTTTCAAGTTCGTATATCTTCAGCGATTTACATTTATCCCTGACGTTGATGTACGGTTAAAAATTTGATGGGTTAGAAAGTGTAATAATCCTTTGATCCGACGAATAATCCAGTGGATTATAATATTGTAAGTACTAATCCGTGTGACGGTATAAATGATTATTCTTCGAAGCTATTGATCTTTATATTGATATTCAAATTGAGTAGATAGATTTCAATTATAAAGTATCCAAAATTGACCGCGCCTTTTGGTCGTTCCATTTCGCGCGTTCCCCTGTACCGAAACTGTCCCACATTCCTGGCCGTTCCTCTGTCTCCTCGGGCGATCTTATACATCCCCACCTGGCCCACTTATTGTATTGATTCAAACTTAGGCATCTACACACATTCCTCATTCTTTTGCAACTTTCTGCTCGACGAGCTTCTTCTGACGCTTACTGTATGATCCTTCCGGCAATTTATGCGTCACAAAGACGGTAATTCCAACAGGGAACGTGTATGCGAAAATGGCAGACCGAAATACGTCAGAGACTTTCAAGTTACCTGGACAATTCTTTCGGCCATACAGTAGGCCAAGAAATTTGATTCAATGGATAAATGTTAATTTATAAATTCGACTGTTTTTATTTATATTCCAAGCAATCAATAAACAATTTACATTGAAAAAAAAGGAACCTAACTTCCTGATTATGGTGCAGGTTGGTTCGTTGATTGCTTCGGGGAAAGATCAGGATAAGATCTAACGCTAAATAAAATTCCGCCAATGGCACACGCGAATACGTACTTACGTTCCAGCGAGAGTATCGTAAAATATCGATTAGCCAGTACAGAAACGTACATATTTTTTATTTCATTTATCATGACTCCTGATGTACAGGGTGTCCCATACAATTGGGCCAAGCTATAATTCTACATTTTAAAGTTATAGCTTCACCCTGTATATTTGCCAAGCATTCCGCGTGCTCTCGGTAGCACTGATATTAACCAGATCAGCGAAAAAGCTTTGTTCACTGTTAAAAAGTAACTTCCGCTCAGAGCTGTACAAAACGGGCCTCCACAGGATTACATAAGTTGTTCCGTAGGGATTTGCTTTGCCGGTTTCTATCCGATTTACCGTTGCACTTTATTCTGCTTTCCGAACTATATCTTTTTAAATAACGACGATCGCTAATGAAATACGAGCAGGTGCAATTGAAATTTCAAAGCCAGCACATTTTTTCTCCGAATATCCATCGGTAACCTCAGACCGGAAAGCATTTACAAAGTTCATTACACCGCGTAATTAAAGAGCGAAGTGGCGAACAATACGAGAACCATCGATGCTGGTTCGCCCTTCAAATCGAGTTTGCATAACGAGTTTTAATGACTGCGAACGAAGATCAGTTGAAGAGTCGATGGAATCGAAACCGTCCTTGTATATTTCCAATAATCAGAATCAAAGAGCGAATGGAGATCAAGTGTTGGTACTCGAAACTGATATCTGTCATTTCGAATTATCATCGAAGAATTATTTTTATTTGTTTTTTTTTATTATTGTGTATAAAGAATATCGATTTCCCGCCCTTCCCTCTAGGCAACCCCGCAGGCATCCCCGGGGAAAATGACGATATAGCGAAAGGGGTCTGGATGTCCTAAAATGAATGTCTAAGAATGCAAGAAGAGTAATGTTTACTTGAATATTAATCGATTTAAATGGAAATCTAAATTAGTTATACAAGCTTTAATGTTAATTTTATAAATTTTATTTGAGCTACTTTTTTTTATGTTATGTATATGAAGGGGTCCTTTTTCGGAGCTCGCCTCGGGTTCCCCTAAAGTCTCAGGTCCGGCTCTGAAATGAATGGTCGTAAATAAATAGCAGTACTCTACGCCTATTCACGACTGCAATAATTCTATGTAAAATAATCAATAATATCAAGTGGGTATTTGAAATATCCAGCCTATTCAAGAATTGTCAAAGAGCTATTTTCGTTGCTTACCGTGAAACGTCGACGGTTCTCCGTTGCTCTTGAAAGTACATTCCATCGAGTGTAGTACTCGAGTATTCGCGGCGAATCATTTGAGAAAACATTGAGAATTCATCTTGTTCGATATACGCTCTAGTTGAAACAGTTGGGTAAATTTACTTAGTTTTTTGTGATTTTCCGACGAGATATACGGTGAACGACACCCTTTGAATCAGAGGAGGCTAGTTTTGTAACAACATATTACTTGCAATAAATGATTCTGCGATATCTCATGTATTTTTAGCTTTGCTGAGGCAATTATATGCGTAAACACATTCCATACCGAAGAATTTCAACGAATGAAGATAAGAAGTTGAATTCAAAAGCGCTGCATAGATAAATAAAAAATGTTTCACTTGATAATTAAATGAAGTGTAGTGTCGTATTTTAATTACGTTACGCAATTCGTTTTACTTCTTATTATTAACTCGTTGTTAAATACTTTTAATTTTCGCATCAATAGTTTCAACGCGTTTAATACCACTTAGGTCACCAGTGACCCACATGAATGATAGTTTCACATTATCTATATAAAACATTTTTCTTTCGAACGATTGCAGAATATTTTGATGAATACCGTTTTTCACTCGCTGTATTTCGCTATATTCGCGAATCCTATGGGAGGGAGAGAGTATGTAATCTGTGAAAACAGGTGAGCAGATGCATTAGTCTTCATGCACAGCAACACGCATAAAGCCTCTTCTTTTGCCCGATTTCCCTTTCTCCCAACTCTTTTCATCCTAAATGCACCTGACTCGGTGCCGTTTTGTCGAAATACAGCCGACGAGGCATTCCTCTTATCGATTTCTCGTTTCATGCAACGGCAAATCGATTCCCTGAATAATACGAGGGAAATGCTAAAAAACGAACATTTTCAGTAAAGGTACAGAAATTATAGACGTACTTAACGCTGTAATTTAAAAAAAGTTAAAAACTTTCTCCGGAGCATTTTTAAACGAAAAAAAGTAGAAGGGCTGAAACTTTTAACGAACCGATTTAATACCACGATACTTTTTCTTTTTTATTTCGATCACTTCGTTACCTTCGTTTCAGCTCTAATTTATCCGTAAACTATTAATTGCTTCGATTCGACGACCACTTCCGGCTACTTCTGCAGCTCGATTTTCCCTCGAACGATCCATGAATTATGAAACAGTTGCATCTACCGCGTCGAGTGGTTTCCACGTTCCATTAAGTTAACGATTGAACTCGGTTTCATCGATGAACCTCGATGAAAGTAATCGTCGGAGCTCTTCTGTGATTCCTTTGTTACCCGGACGAAAGTTGATGGGATACTGTCCGTTCCCATTGGAGAAAAAAGAAAGAAAAAAAAAATTATTCGATTGGTAGAAATGAAATTAAACCAGCCAGTTGTAGGGAACATCCTGTGCACCACCAACCCCGTCGCGTCCGTTTAAACGCGGAAGTTATCGTCCAGGGGTCAAAGGTGCGCATCCTCTCTCCAGTTATAATGAACGCGTTTCTTGATCTTAATAGCATCGAATTAATGACGCGATCCTAGCTTGGTCACAATAGACTGGAACTAATCAAGGAACCGCGTGATGAGAATAATGCGAGGTGCATTCTGCGGATGCCTCGAATAGTTCTGCAATTCACGAAGCTTAGCTCCACGCTAATAACAATTTATTGCGTTCATCACACATTTATATTGTATCTGGTTTAGCAATCCAGGGGTTAAAAAGGGGTGATTAATAAAAATAATAAATCAACGGTGGCAGGATACATTTCAAGCTTCAAATTAATATAGCATAAATACTATTAAATCGCCTCGAACTTTCCAGTGTTTCGAAATTAACCGTTTATCATGCCAGAAGCTAATATAATTGCTAGTCGAGTTAACGAGCTTCGATGACTAATCGACGAACGCGGCCTTCATTTTACGTGCGCCTCGTTTCTTTGCATACGTGCTACGCTTACGTGCTACTCTCGTAGTGATCTAGAAGAAGTTATGAAACAAAATATTAACATTCGCTAGGTGAAAATTGCTGAAACATAATTCTTCTTTTAGGTAAAATGGCGGAGGATGGCGCAGGAGGATCAGGAAACGGTAGCTCGGGAGAGGCGAGCCGGTTGCAGCTCCTGCAAGAGATGCGGCAACAAAATTTCGACAGCATCCGGTTCGCATCCTATCGCACAGCTTGTAAGCTGAGATTCATTCAAAAGAAAGTTCATCGTAAGTATAGAATCAGTTAAAATGTTACTAATCATCCGATATAGCCGGCTGTGTATCATTAACTTTTAAGCATTCTGGTACAACCGTGACTGACCCAACAAGGACCCAACATATGAAATCCCATAAGTACATTTACAACTTATGATTTATTGTGTGCAGTACACAACGTCGACATATGGAATGTAATCGAGGCGTTTCGAGAAAACGGTTTGAACACACTGGAACCATCGAGCACGTTGGGAGTGTCGAGGCTCGAAACTTTATTGTCTTCCTTATTTCACGCTCTTAATAAACGAGTGCCTGTTTCTCAACAAGCCAAAGTCGATGCTACGACTGCCCTGTTGATGAACTGGCTACTTGCCGCCTACACTACAGGGTACGTAAAAATATTGAATATCTAAGAAACTAGTATTCCATTGATCATGAGACGGTAATAATAAATTTTTCTACAGGGAAAACAATAAAATATCTGTGTTCTCGGTGAAAGTAGCATTGGCTACGTTGTGCGCAGGAAAGCTGATGGATAAGTTTCGATGTAAGTTTTCGATTCGTTATTTCCCACTGGGGGGTACTTATAATTATTCATTGATATCATTTATCGAACAGATATATATTCGCAAATATCCGATAGCAACGGTCACATGATACACTGGAGATTCGCCGAGTATTTGAAAGAAGTTCTAGCGTTAACAGCTGCTGTTTACGAGTCACCGTCCTTTGGGTACTCCGAGGGTCTCGCCAATTCAATATTTCCTCAAGTAAGTTCGTTCAGATGAACTGATCACTGAATATGCGATTGATAAATAGCAAACTTCGTCGGACGCAGTGTGACTCGTGAATGAGTATCGTTGGTGTCACGCCGTGTTTCAGAACTCGAAAGTCACGGTTAACGATTTTTTGGATACGCTTATGTCTGATCCAGGACCGCACTGTTTAATATGGCTTCCACTGTACCATAGGATGGCTGCTGTTGAAACAGGTGATTTTTCATCTTCCGCTATGGCCCTCGGATGTTCGGAAATTTTACCGATAACCGGGTATCTCACCTTATTAAAAATATCATGGATAATTGGTTTCTTCATCCACGTGTGATTTTTCAGTGGCCCATCCTGTTATGTGTGACGCGTGTCACAAAGAGAACTTTACTGGCTTCCGATATAGATGTCAGAAATGTCACTCGTATCAGCTTTGCCAGGACTGCTTTTGGCGTGGTAAAGTTTCTGGAACACACAATAACGACCACGAGACGAGGGAGTACAGTAGTTTCGTACGTATTCTGGAGACGAAGTTTCATAATTGTCCTCATAGTGATATTATTAATTCGTTAAGAACCAAGCAGTGAAATAATGCAATTTTTACAAGAAAGAACAACAAGGTTTTAGAAAATTGTAGGACGTAAGAGTGGAAGGACTTAATTGGAACGTGGCATTGGCTCTTAATGAATTAATGCATTTTATTTTTCACACGACACTCGTTTCTATTTCTTGTATAGAAATCACCTAGCAAACAAATTGGGCATTCCCTGAGGAAGAGTTTCAGATGTGTACCTGAAAAAGGAAAGAACAGCTTACCGCGATTTCCGGAGCAACCAGAGAAGACATTAGATTTATCACACATAGTGTGAGTGCCATGATCATGATATTCCATGCTCCAATGGCAATGTACTTCTTAGATCTAAATAAATTCCCTACATTGCAGCCCACCATCACCTTTACCGTCTCACAACGGTTTTCCAGATCCAGGTTTTATGGCTCCTTTCGATTCTGGATCGATGGATAGCCGTTCTACCTTAAGGAGGTGAGCGCGAAATAGTCAAATGATGCACACTTATTTTTTGTTAAATAAAAAGTCACACTTTATTTATTATTTTTTTTTTTTTTTTTTTACATTTATCATTTGCACGTTATACAGTATGGATAGTTCAAGACTGGATGATGAACATAAATTAATAGCACGATACGCACAAAGGTTGGCTCAGGAAGCTAGGACTATGGTAAGATATTGATTTTTATATATAAATTAGTTTAATATTCCTTATAACAATATATTGAATATTATAAATACAGTTTTTTTTAAATCGTTCGAATATTATAAACATTTGATATTAGATATATCTGACATAATAGTTCGGTAACAAACGTATGAAACTTTAAGCGAAATGCCTCGGTGTGTGTAAATTAGAGCAACTAACTCAATTAAGCGTAGTACTGAATCATGGTTTTATGGTACTAATAATTTCATAACCACACAGCCCCGTGCCGCATCCAGAATGTCGCAAGCTGATCAAGCAGTAAGTTTTAAGTACATCAAATTATTCGTTTTTTTTTTTTTCCGTCTACAATATGTGTTTTATGTTACAGGGTAGGGCTCCGTCTGATGCAAATTTGGCATCGCTAGATGCCTCGAGAGCACAACGAGAACTTATATCGCAGTTAGAAGCAAAGAACAAGGAAATAATGCGCGAGATTGCAAGGTTAAGGTATACCTGTGTCGTTTATTTCCTTTATATCAAGCCTAAACCTCGAATTCATCCTGTCGAACCATCCTAGGATCATGCATGTTAAGAGAACATTCTGTTTTGCTTTGTCACCTTGGTTGCGTATAGTGCATATGTTACAGTAAAAGTGTAAATGACTAGTAAATGTACCTATTACTTTAATTGATGCTTTTACTGTGACACGTATATGTATATATTAGAGCTGAAGACATCACAACAATACTAACATTAATACAAATCTCGTCCCTTTCATGTAATGATATTCATACTTTATATATTTATTTTTATACTTAGAATTTAGGAAAATTAAATCTAAAATTATTACTAATATTAATAGTTTCCCACCTGTAACCAATATTCGTTCTTTTTCACCCTTATCATAATACATGAACTCATAAAGTTTAATTACTTATTGCAGTTACACTTTAAATAATTAAGTTTGTGATGTTCTGTAACAACGAAATTATTACTTAATTATATTAGAAGTTCAATTTAATTTGTACAACTAATAGACCCACTAGATTCACATACAGACACTACATTAATAATAATTCTCGCTTCAGCTTGTAGTCAGTCAAATGGAATACCTAGTTCAAAAGGTATTCCACAGCTCTTGCTTTCTAAGTAGCTGACAGTTTATTATATTGACATTAAATTCAACTGTAGGAGACAGCAAGAGATAGAAGCAGCTGGTTTAGAAAATCCTGCATTAATGTCTGAGCTGAGAGCCTTAAGACAGAGAAAAGACGAATTAGAAACTCACTTGGCAACGTTACAAGACTCCAGAAGACAATTAATGGTGCAGTTAGAAGGTTTAATGAAAATGTTAAAGGTATCATTCTCAGTACAGTATATACGTTTTTTTTTTTAGCAATTATTTAATTTTTTTCATTGTAGTACATCGTGTAAAACTTTAAAATTATATAGAACCATCAAGCATCGCCAAGATCAACACCAAATAGTTCACCGCGAAGTACAAAGTCCCCACCTTTACCACCTGGTGCTGTTCCAAGCAGTAGATCAGCACCTCCAACTCCAGGAGGTCCGCTTTCTACGACACCTCAACAGCAACAACAACAATCGCAAAGCCAACAACAAATGTCTCAAAGCTATCAGAGTTCTGTTCCGACGACTTCAGTGGCGAGTGTAACCAATAATACCATGCTGGGAACAATACAAAATCCTATTCCAGATAACTTGTCGTGTGTTGGAGGTGATGTAAGGTAGGCAAGCATATGAACAATCTATGTTGAAAATGTATAAAAAAAAATTAGTGAAAGAGAAATGCTATAAAACAGAGCAAAAGCATTTACTACAATCTTTGTATAAAATATTATTTTCTGAATACTTTTACATTAATTTCTCGATTTAGTGGAAAGTTATATTTAGAAACATATTCAGAAATGTATTGACAGATTTTGAAGACATAATATTTGTGAAGATAAGGAATTATTTTTTCCTTGTTTTTATCAATATTTTTTTATTTTCAATTTCCGTCGATATATTTGTGGATGTTTTATGTAAGAACGATTTGTACAAAGATTTTTAATATGTTTAACGAAGTGAACGATAATCTCATAATTAACATTATTGATTTTTATATAACTTAAAATACTTAACATGGTATATACATCTAGTGTGCACTGTGCGCCATATTTGAAATAGTCATTAATACATAAATTTAATATAATTATCAAAATTTTTAAGTTATTAGTACACATTTAAGTTGTAAGAAGAAATCAAATACAGTCTTATTTTAGTCATATTTATAAATTAAGAAAATTTGCTGCTGATTACATTTATTTGTATTTTATATACTTATGGGTTTAATAGTTGATTTCTTCTACATGTATAGTGCAAGATATAATAGTTTTCGTAGTCTCGCACCATAAACAAATCAGCACAGTAATTATATTTTGGATCGTTGCATGTGAATGTTAACGAAAATATATTTTTATTCAACTAGTAACAACAATACATTTCGTACTAGTTGAGTAATAAAAAGAATTGCATATTTGGAACATTCCTATATTCAGTGTTATAAGTTTTGTTTTGTATTTTCATTAAACAAAACATCAATATATTTAAACCCATGTTGCTTTTGCTATCTTATGACGCTTTTAGGCTGTATTGAACTTTTATACTTTTATGTTATTGATTATACAGAGTGTTCGGCTACCGAAGGATGTCCACCCGTAGCCGAATACCCTGTATATTAATTTTCCACGGTTTGCATTTAATTAGTCTTATGAACCATTAAGATATAGACAATTAAGATCACTGCACTTAAGACAGCATGTCAATATATTTTATTGTATAATAAACAAAATAGTGCTATACTTTCTTTATACAGAATTGTACAATGACCGCGTATATTGTTTTCTTTTTTAAAATAAATTATAGTAGTATAACTTATCTTTTATTTTTAATCTTCCAGTTTCGGTTACTAATACGTTTAGAATATTTATAATATTTCATGAAATTAAAGCTATGCGTTTTAGTAATATAAATAACTTATACTATTTGGTTTAAAAAATGACAAGTATGACATGTATAATGTTGCATGTTTGCAGTAGTGTATTATTATACCAATTTACTAATGTTTGAACATTTTATGAAGTAGTTACTAAGTAATTGCACAATAAATTTTTAAACATTAGATGCTTGCACAATAACGTCAACCACTGTGCGTGGCATGTTACAATTTTAATTTAGTATTTATGTATTTGGATATCGCTTTATGCAAAGAAAATAGAGATTTTCGATATCAGGTCTGCGTTCAGGACAAACAGCTTGCCAGGAAGTGGTTCCAGCAGTGCGAATAATAGCTTGGGTCGATCCTTAAGAAATGACTTATTGGTAGCTGCTGACAGTGTTACTAATGCCATGTCAACACTCGTGAGGGAATTAAATTCGGGTATGTTAAATTACAACATTTTAATATAATTTGCATCAGAAATGAATGCAAAATATTTTTGTAGTTTAAAATGGCACAAGAATTTGTACTTAGCTATTTTCTTTAATACAGGCCTTCAATATAATCGTATATTTGGATTAGGAACAAAACATAGAAATGTTTATTTTAACTCTAAGAAATTAACATTTCATAAATGCGTTAATGACAAGATATTTACTAACTAAAATCAGAAGATCATTATTAATGTGTATAAGCCTACTTTCATTTTGTTTCTAACACTTTGAGTAATGATCAATTTATTAAAGAAAAAAGTAAAGGATATAATGTATATAAAAATATGTTTCAAACAAATGGTTTTTATATTTACTTTTTTTATAACATCGTTCATATTAGTGTAAGCAGGCATGTTTTGCAGTATTTTTATTCTATCACATCATTAGATTTTTATAGCATGTAACAATGCATTCCCTCCTTTATATTTAGTAAACGAAATTTTACAAATTTATTCTGAAATTAAAACGGGTACAAGATGAATTTTGATGTGCATACATAATTCTATAAAAAGAAAGATAGTGTATATTCGAAGAATGATTTATGAAGATGTATGTAATTATCAAAATAGTTTTATATCCTATGCAAATTTTGTCAACATATCTACATATCTGCATTCTTGGTAAACTTTTACAGATGTAAATACATAATTTTTTTCTCCTATCATACAGTTTGCTTGTGTAATTTCTATATTTTCTTTTTTTTTTTTTTTTTTTTTTCCATTTAGTATAGATTTAGCAAGATTTAGTCTAGTAATAGCACAGACTACACTACACGTGAAACAGCAAGTGCTTCATTTAAAAAAATTTAAAATTCGTTTGACAATCATAAATGCCATTAAGCTAATTTCCATCAAAATTTAATTTCTCAATTCTTTTATAAAATCAACACAATTTTCCATGCTATATTTATGATGTATGAATTATAAAATTTCTCCTCAAGCAACAAAATTAAGAGATAGAAAAACATTAATTGAAGTTACAGAACTACCATTTATTATTTTGTCTGAGATAAGTGGTATCTGAGTAATAAGGGTATTATACAAAACTGTGATGTATTGAGGAACATTTAATTAAAATTTTTAAATGTAAATTTATGTAAAATACTTTGTTCATATTGAAATTCCAAAGAACAAATGGATATTCCTATATACAAATGACACTTTAGACGTGTTGTGGAATGTGTGTGATGCACCCCTTGTGAATGTTTCCTGGTGCCTTGCAGACTCAGACCAGGAGGATCATTCTCACAACTCTGGCCGAATTAACATCAGAAAACCGTTAGGTAAGAGTTTGTTACAATTTTAACGCGTTATTACAACTCTTTCGTACCTTCACAAGCATTTGCGAGATATTACATCACTTGCTTCTTTTACATACATAAATATAATCACTACAATAGATAGTTGTTACAACAAATATTTTGTTATTTCAGAAAGCAAAATAACAAACACTAAATTCTCAGGTATCATTTTTTAGTAATTAAAATTATACTCTCTAGTTTTCTTTAGCAGTAGTTAATGAACCACACAACTTCTATTCAAATGTATTTGTAATGTATGTTTGCATTTACAAATCTGTAAGCATATTTATGTTAGTTTAACACATTGTAAATAACAGATGTAGATAACTTATTTAAATAGATATACATATATATATGAAACAGATTTTGTAAAAAAACTGGCATACTTTTTTTTTTTTTGCAAAATAGTAAGAGAGCAATTATTAAAATGTATTAAGTTTATCTGTAATAAACCAAAATGCTATTTTCTAAATATATTACTGTATATCTAATAGATTTCATTATTTTTAGATTTCGAGGCTGGTGAGGATGGAGATGATAGTAGCGGCGGTGGAAATTCTTGGCGAGAAGAACTTCAGCGTCGCTATCAGCAAGAAAATGATTTTCTGGCTGAATTGCGTGCACGCAATGTTAACATGTCGCAAACACCATCCGCTACCCCATCCAGTGAACAAGAACAAGAAAGAGGAGAAAGGGAAGAAGCGGATGGAGAAAAGGAAGATGAAAATGAATCTAACTGGACAGAACCAGTGAAAAGATGGGTCAATCGATAAGTTTGTTAGATGACATCTATACATATTTATTCTAATGGCTTAGGAACTGCTGCTAAATGAAATGCAAATAAGTTATTATAGCTCCACTGGTTATTTATGATGGGAATATATCTGGGTGTTAGTGTGAAATATAATCAGTACGATATTAGAGTTTGGAGAGTATTTAAAAGTCTTAAATTTTTAAAACAGTACTTTTAATTTCAAAAAACTGTTTGTCATAAGATACCATGCTATAAATTTCAATGATAATATTAAATTAATATTACTATCTTTAGAAAGAATGGCGTATTGCTTACTTTGATATTTAGTAACTATTTTTTAATATTATTTACAAACTTTTATCGTTTATCTTCTTCAGTTCAATATAGTATTTAATATATTTATACTTTTTGAAGAACATTATGTGATTTCTTTTTTTTAAAACAAATATCGTTTAGTTTCTTTTTGTGCTTGTAATTAAATAAATTAAATATAATGGTATAAGTAATTAAAATCAAGAATGTAACTTATAGTGTTTATAGGCCTAAAAATACAAGAGTTGATCTTTAAATTAGGCTAAATATGAAAAATGAACATTCTTTGTTTAGATACTTATTAATTTAGCAAACAGAATATCATGCATATACAATTTTAACATAAAAGTTTAAAAACGATATTAGACCAAATGCTCAATAGTAAATAACATGTAGTCTACATTATGTAGATGAGAATATGGAGTAAACTTTTGCACAAGTCTCTTTGACCAACTTTATACAAGAAGGTAAGTAAATATAATTAAAAAAACTTTTTTAAATTCATAATAAAAAAAAAATTGTCAATGGATGTTTAGTTACAGAAAATTGAATTTTTTTGTACATTCATACAAATTATATACGATATTCAATATAAATTACGAAAATATTAGAAACTTAAACGAATACAGTATTTTAAATATATCTCATTGCATTAGATGCTTGACTGTAGTAACATGAAACATATTAAAACATAGGAATTTCTGTAATGTATCATCCTCTTTATTAATAATATACACCTCGGAGCTAATGATTCATAAATAAAATTCTGTTATATATATTTTTGTTCATGTTTATTAACAATTTTATTAGCATAGTCAGTGTTATATCTGTAATGATTATGAATTCAATGAAATTTATAATATCCTAAAAGCTTATTGCAATCGAATAACAAGTTCCTATTATTAACATATTTTAAGTAGTTTACAACACAATCATATTATTTATAAACCTTAGAAAAAATTACGTATTTATGAGCCAATGGCTTTGAGGTATTATATTAAATTATTACAATGATAATGTATATAAATCTCATTGTTGATAATCTATCAAACATAAATTACTGGCGTTTTTAGGTGATGCTTAAAAAATATATTGCTTAAGCATTTTAAACGGGTATATATATTTTCTTTTTGTAAATTTCAATAGTGTTAAAATATATCACATTTAAATGCCTAAGTTTTACACAACAATTATAATAATCACATCACATTTATAAATGTATCATTTATAATGTAAGCATTAGGACTGACTTTGTTTAATGTAATATAAGTATTTAAATTTTAGCACTTAGATTAAATGCTGTTCCAATAAATGGTTTAATTGTTATTAATATAAAACGATACATTTTGTAATATTTACATGTGGTATGATATTTAAAACGTTATGTGTATATATTTATATATTTTTTTTTGTCTATACCGACACGAGAATTTTGTAGCAATTACATAATACCGAGTATTGAATAAAAAAATGAACGTGTAACGTAAAATAATAAAATTTTCCATTTTCTTTTTTGATATACATATCTATGTATATATGAGAATTGTTATTTAACGTTTACACAACTTAAAAAGTTCAGTAATAATAAGTTTTAGTTTTAATTAAAATCCAGTTATACTTCTTTTTGTTTAAAATTTAAAGGAAAGCAACATGTGCTGGAAGGCAAAAAAGGTGAAGCTCAAAACAGTTGCAATTAAAAGTAAGAATTTTTAATGGCGAATTAATAATGGATAATCTTATAAATACCAAAGGTATTAAACCAAATAAATTAGTTCTAATTATTTTTAATAAATCAATTTCTTTGCAGGAAAGAAAATCAATAATAAGCGTGAATTGCATTTATTTTATTCTACAATTACATCCTTTGAAAAGTTGTTATTCACAAAGCAAAATATTCAAACATTAGTAATAATTGGTCAAAGGAATATTACCTTTCTGAATGCAATTTCGGAATTAATTCAGTTACAAGAATTATGGATTGTTGAATGTGGAATTAAGGTAACAATATAATTTGGATTTAATGAATGAATTATTGTAATGTTATATTCGTTTAGGATATACCAGCTTTTAAAGAGAATTGTTTACTGAGAAAACTTTATTTATATTCCAATGAACTACCTTCTATACCAAATCTAGAAGCTTGTACAAATTTAACTACTTTATTCTTGTCAGGAAATGATATATACGAACTGAAGGTACTCTTAGTTTGTTTCTAATTTTTTGATGCATATATTAATTAAAATTTATTTTATCATATTAATTTGAACAGAATATTGATAAATTAATTTTATTGCAAGAGCTTAATTTGGCCAATAACAAATTAGAAAGAATAAATAAAATTTCTTGGAAGAAGTCTGAATTACATTATTTGAACTTGGCAGGAAATTATTTGTGTACTATGAAGGTATGTCATAGCTGAGTAAATATTTACAATATTACGAAAAATAATATCGATTTTTTAACTGCAAGGATGTACAGAATCTATCACGACTTCAAAAACTAAATTCATTAGTATTTGGGGATCCATTATATGGAGATTGTCCTTTGGTAACACTTTGCAATTATCGTATATATGTTATCCATTATGTTCCACGTATTAAAAAGCTAGATCATTACAATATATGTGAGAAAGAAAGATATTGTATCAATCATTTTTTCAAGTATTTATAACATTTCCTATCAACATATAATATAATTTTATGAAAATTAATGATTAAATTTTTATTTTTAGGAGGCAATTAGCTTATCATAATGTATTATTTTATAAGCAATTAAATGCACACTTAAGTTTATTAAAACAGAAATATAAAGAACATGAGAAAGAAATGCTTCATTTCAAAAATCAACTTTATACAAATAAAATAAATAAAGTATATAATACTTCAATTTAATGAATTTTTGTTTAACATAACTCGTGTTAATCACTTTCTATTTATTGCATAGAAGATTCAAAATTATTCTAAAAATGAAACATACGAAGAATTGCAACATATAATGCTAAAAATGGAGTCAAATAAAAAGCAACTTGTACAAATGAAAGAAATGGCAAACATGCAACTTAGAGTATATTTTCCAGCATTTTTTAGAAATAATTATGTACTATAATATAATCTTGTTTATTTATTTATTAGATTTTGCAGCAGCAGTTACTTACTAATATGAAGTACTGTGGAAATTTAAGTTTTATTGAATACAATGCATTTCCTGAAAACACAATTACTCAATTATGCAAACGGTTTTTAGAAGAATCACTGTGTTCAGTTATAAAAGGGTATGCAACACATATTTCTTATATTAATAACATATTATTTAAATAACAAAATTTTAATAACTTTCGTCATTTATAGTGGCATAGGCATAACAGGTTTAAAATTACATAAAGTAGTAAAAGTGTGTAATAAAGAAATTGATCAGTTTAGTAATTGGAAAAATGAAGATTTACAGTCAGATGAATGCAGTACTATTTTAAAAATTTTAATATCACCTGGGGTAACAAATATCCAAAAATGGCCTTTTAATTTCTTTAAGACTGATTTACTTATTAAAGTATTCACATAATAGTATTTATTAAGTTATATAATTTTACAACACAGAGAAAGATGTTACAAATATCTTTTACTTGACAGAAAGAATTAATGGTAACTAATTGTTTGGCAGTGGCAGATTGTGATTGGTTGAATAAAATATTTTCAACTAACGAAGATAAAAATATATTAAATTTATATAATGTCTGTGAAAAACGACGCGTTTGTATACTTATACAGACACCAATTTTCAGTTCTTCTATAAAGTAATAACGATGTCAATTTTAATAATTTTCAAATATAAAATGTAATGTCTTTATACAGAACAGATAGTGCTAATAACTATTTGCATATGAAGTATGCAAATTATTGGAATGATTCAAGTGAAATTTGCCAGGTGTTTAAATTAACAAATGCAGATATCAGAAATCCCATGTTTGTTATAGAATATGAATACATATTGAATGAATCAACAAATGTAATTATTTTTTTATTATCGCAATTTAACTATTAGTAGATAAGCTTCATGTGTAATAAAAACTGTATAACTTGATTTATAGGAAGACAAATATGAAAGTTCTGTTATACCACCTACAGTAAATGAATTTCTGCATGTATGCTTATCTAATTTTAATATTGCACAATATATTAATATTAATGAAAGAGTGCAGTTACATAATCTCAGAAAAATATGTATTTGTGGACAGAAGATAAATTCAATTGATATGGATTTGGATTTACCTAACTTAAGAGAACTTGATATTTCATTTAATCAATTAATTGAATTCCCAAATTCAAGCTTTATGAAGAACGTGATAACATTAAATATTAGTTTCAATAACATACAAATCATACATGTTAAAGAAATTTTACCCACATTGCAGGAATTGGATATATCATGGAATTGTTTAATACATTGCTTTCAAAGCATTCAAGTTTTTACAGCTCTTATACCCAACATATCTAAATTGAATATATTTAACAATCCTTTTAAAGACATTATTGACCCAGAAGTAGCTGAATATTTAATACACATATATTTGCCAAAGTTACAGTTTATTAATGAAATTAAATGTGAAGATCTTGATTTATCCACATATTATTTCCCATGTGCATTTAATATGTGTAAGCTGAGCAACAAACGACGTAATAAAGTAATGTTTTTAAAACAAGGTATAAGAGGACAAGTGAAACTAAAAGAAAAGAAAGCTTTTAATCGAGCCAAATATATTCACATATCAAAAGATTGCTTTACAGTATACAATATTTTACAAAATGGAGTGAATATTCAAGAGTTTTGTGCTACATGTTGTTTATTAATAACATTTCCTGTAGTAAAGCCTTTGAAAAATTTAATTAAACTTAATCTTGGGAGTAATTTTATTTCTGTATTGGATGTCTTCACTCAACAAAATTTTCCAACATTAAAATACCTGGATTTAACTAATAATTTAATCACAAGCCTAGAAGCAATGGGATCATTTCACACATTACAAGAGTTTTATTGTGGGAATAATGAAATAGAAAGCCTCGTGCAAATAGATAATGTTAAATCATGGAAAATGTTATATATTATAGATCTTTGCAACAATCCAATAAATGCAGATACATTATATAAAAAGTTTATTATATTTCACTTGAGCAATGTTGAAGTAAGTAAAATATTTCAAGTATTATTTTATTTTATATAATTACTATCAATGATATAATTTTTTAGTAGTATATTTCTGGAGAATCTGTACAAAATATAGATATCTCTGAAGCAAGATACATATTTGGCAACAAATTAGATAAATATGTGCTAAATGGAATATATAAACCTGATCGGCTAATTAATATTACACAATTGAGTCTGGTTGGTTGTTCTTTATCAAAGGTATGCTGCTCATTATAAAATTTTATAAATTACATATAATATTTATTTTATGATATTTTAATAGGTGGATCTTTCTTCTGAATGTTTACCATATTTAGAGAGCTTAGATCTCAGTAAAAATCAAATAACTTATTTATGGGGTCTTCATTCTTTTCAATATTTACACACATTATGTTTAAGCTACAATTGTCTTGAATCATTTAATGGAAATAATTGTGAGAAAACTAACTGTACATTTCCAAAATTATATACTTTATTATTAGATCATAATTACATTAAATCAGTGATGAATATTACAAAGCAAATATTACCAGTAATTAAACATTTATTTTTAAACAATAATTATCTTCAAAATATTAATGGTAATGTCTCAAATATTAGATTATATTTTATTATTTAGCTTTCAACCATAATGTACTTATCTAAAATATTTAGAAGTAACTCAGTGTTCTACTTTGGAATCTTTAATTTTGGATCATAATGAAATTGAAATGCTAAACATTGATCATTTTATTGAGAATGACAATTTAAAGCTTTTGTCCCTTGAGAATAACAAGATAAAATCCTTAGAATTTGCAAAACCATTAACAAAATTAGAGAAACTTTATGTTGCTCATAATTGTTTAACAGTAAGTAAAGAAGAATACATATCACATAATAAGATCATTAATATACGATGTTATTCTTCAGAATGAAGTTGAAATACGGTATTTATTATTATTGAAAAATTTAGAAGAAATAACAATTGAAGGAAATCCTTTATACATAGAGATAAATAAAGATAAAATAATTATTCCAAATTTTGAGATAAAAGAAATTGAAGAAATTTGAATAAATATGAAGAAGATTATGTATTATTTGTATTTTTCATACTAATATTCAATAAATGGTGATTGAAGAGTTTCATAAACTATCGTTTATGTACATAAGTACATAAGTAAGCTGCGTAGAAACTCGACTCTAGAAAAATGGCTCAAACCACCGAGAAAATTATTGAAACAGTTCTTTGACAAACTTGTATTTTAAATGGACCGCCATAAATTGGCACTAGCGCCATCTATCCAGAAACCGTGGAAACTACTCGACAAATAGTTTTCTCGATACCCCGATAGGTGGCGCTAGTTGACTAAACGACTACTATACTGTGGTAATAGTCCATAACATGACTGCATGACGTGCAATCGCACGCGCAGTTCCACTCAGGTGGCGAAGGAAAAGAGTTAATTATTCATAAATTTTCTCAATCGCTCTATTGTAACATATAAATAACAAAAATAATAGTAATATGAAATCGTAATAATGTCTTTCTAACACGGTTAATTTTGATTTTCGTATAAGTCTATTTAAAAAAGGTTCAACGAATAAAACGCACATTTGACATTTATCTACTATGACTTGAAACAAGTAGGACTTACATGATTTTAATAAAAAGTATGTGAAGATACATGTGTCATTAACAGGTAACTGTAATAGTAGATATATTAAACTGTTCAGTGCAAGTACGTACAAACAACGCTAATTGACAACTAATCAGTTGCAATATACATGCCTCGTAAACGGAGAAAAAAGTTAGATATATAAAACTACGATGACAAAAACACGCAAATTAAAACGATAAAGTAATAAATTTATCGAGCTTCTGCTTTTATAGTCGAAAACGGTAGATAAACGATGGCACCCACGAAAGATAAATGGGTGAGGCGTTTTATTATTCCGGAAACAACACGGCACAAGAAAGGGTTTACTATTTACAAAGTTACATCTGTGGTATGATACAGTAAATTATATTTTTTATTATACGTATATTACAAATAGTTACAATTAATATTTTCAATTATTTTTCAGGTATTTTTAAAAAGTTCTCACGAAGAAATTTCTAAAGTATCTGTATGGAAACGTTATAATGATTTCAAGAAACTTCATTCAGAATTACATGTTCTGTGCTCAAGATTTCAAATTAAGGAACCTTTCCCATCATTTCCAAAGCCAAAATTTTTTGGCAGATTTGAAACAGAAGTTATCGAAGAAAGAAGGGAATGTGCATTAAAGTTTTTAGAATTTATAGGAAGACATTCGTACTTATATTCTAGTGATATTTTCATAAAATTCTTTGAAACTAGTCATGCGGATTATTATTTAAATGATTGTTCACAATCTCTTAGCTCTGATACATCAGCAGAGGATGATCATAATACTTATATAAATTCTGTGCCTCCTAATGATATTGTTTCTCAAAATATTCTTCAACCTAAAAGTATTCAAGCTTCATTAATTAATCCATCTATCCCTAAGGATGAAATGAATCAATCTCAAGAAATATATAAATCTAAAGAACAATTTCCAGAATTGAATGATTTAACATATAAAACTGAGAATGAAAAATCTATAAAAGAAAATACATGTAATAATTTTCATGTTAAAGATGATAGTTTAAATAAAATGACATCTAAATTAGAGGATAATCAATTAGTTTTTAATAAAAATAACAATTTGTACAAAGATAAAAATCATAATATTAAGAATGAAAAGGATTCTATAATTGTTCAAACATCAAGTAGTAACATTACAGTTGATAATGCTGTTGAAGAATTAAATTTTTCGATAATAGCACACGATGGTACTGATCTACCACAGACATGGCCAGAATCTTCACAATATATTTTAGTTGCAGCTGCACATATGAGTGCAGCTTTTAGACACGAAGATCTTACCGAATATGAAGAAGCATTTACTCAGTACAAAATGGGAATTTCTAGTCTGCAATCGGGCGTTGAGTCTGATTCAAATAAAGTAAGGGCGGAAGTAATAAAAGAAAAAATATCAAAATATCTAGAACGTGCAGAAAAGCTTTATAACAGATATTTAAATTGTAATGTTTCATTACTGAATAAACCTGTGTCAGAGCTTCAATATTATAAAGTTCTAAAAATTATGAAATCAGTGATGCTTGTAAAAGATGTTCGCCTAAACTGCCTCAACATTGTAAAAGTTCGTACAGAATATTGATTATAGTTTTTGTGATATTACGATGTCCTTGAATTAAAATTAAAATTTAAATAAATATACTTTAATGATTTCAGACTATAGAAAAATTATCTACAAATAAAGGAAGTATAAGTGACTACATATTACGTGGTCAAATACCATACATGGTACGTTTACACGCCTGTGTTGAGACAGAAACTACGATATTTCTGATTTTACAGCATCTGAGGTAATTATTAGAAATAATTATGTAATTATTTAGTAAGATTATTTAAAATATAATCATTTAATTCTGTTATAGTCGCGGAAAATTATGGGACTTTATAACATCACATTACAATACTAATAATAATAATAAAAATTGTAATAAAATAATTATGGAAAATACTGTTGAAGAAGCTATTGATGATAACATTATTTTAAGAAAAAGTGGCATACAAAATGAAGTTAAAGACAGTAATGTAAAGAAGAGTTCGAACTTTATAAGTACAAATCCACAAGTACAAATGGAAGTACACTCGGTAACGATAGATGAAAAATATGAAGAATATAGTGATGTATCTACTACCCGATTATTAGAAAAAGCACAAATATTATTGCAGTCGGTCAATGCAACTTTACAAGAAAGTAATTCCGTCGTAAATCGAATACGCGAATCAGATGGTTTGATTAACCATCAAGGTAATACCTCATTATTAAATCTAAAAAACAATGTACATCGATCTAAAAACTGTAACGAAGTACTAGATGTTAATGATGTCTCATTAAAAATTGACGATATAAATGATGAAAAGTTCACGAAGGAAGAAATACCTGAAAAAAGTGTGATAACTTCGAATTATTCAACACTATATAATATTAAAAATACCAAAAGTCAATGTAATACCAATAAATCATCTTTAAGCAACAGTTTTGATAGAAGGCCAAATGATTCTTCGACAGATAATTCAAAACCGGTCGATACACAGTTTGCAGTAGACTATAATTGCACTGATATTGTTACAAAACAATGTGAATTAAACAAATCAATGGAGATCTGTAACAAAACTGAAATAGATAATTATTTCATACCAGATGATCAACAAATGCAATATAACGACATGACGTTATTGATGGACTCAACAAAAAACAACATTGAGGATAATGAACAAGAGCTTTGGGCAATACCAGAAAATGTAATCCGTCTTTGGGCTGCTGAAATACTTCTAGCACTGGAAGCATTGCATCAACAAAAAGTTATAATTTTCGATTTAAAACCCGATAACATATTACTCGATGATAATGGGCACGTGCAATTAACGTACTTTATACCTCGTCACGACGTAGATCTGTTGAAATACAAATATCCGTACTCGGCTCCTGAATTATATACATTTTCACCTATAACTCCTCTTACTCCAGCTACAGACATTTGGAGCTTTGGGGTTATTTTATATGAATTAATAGTTGGCAATGTATGTAGAAATAAAGATAAAATTTTATTAATAGTTGTAAAAATATTATACATCTATGATTTTTTTATTGCAGAAATTTCAAGAGAAACACCCAGGTATATTTCAACCACATTCCGTACTTAACATTCCTGGAAAGCTTACAGAAAATGCAAAATCTTTGCTACATAATGTAAGTTTCTAAGTCATATTAATTAAAAAAACAATCTATGTTAAACCATACAAATTTTCAGATACTAAAGTATGAATCAAATGATAGAATGACAATACCCGAAATAAAACAACATCCATTCTTTAAAGATTTTAACTGGTCAAGTTTGGTAAATACTCTTTAAGGGTATAAAAGTTTTATGTGTATTCCATTTTAATGGAATATATTAGTGTTCCAAAGATTCTGAAGCGAAGTCATAAATAAACTTATGTAGGTTACAATTGAGTGAGATTGGTTTCTACTGTTTTAATTTTATATTTATTTTCTTCCTGTTCTTTCACTTCTAGATACTGTCGACATTCCATCAACAAATCTAGTTGTAAATATTACGTTAGCGTTGTTAAACATTCCATCCTTTAACGATACAACAATAAACTGTGAACGTTTAAAATGTCTTTTCAACATTAATCCAATGTTCTCTGTATGAGAAAGATCCAAGGCGGCGTCAACTTCATCCAAAATGTAAAGAGGCGCAGGATTAAATAAGAGCATAGCCAAAATCAAGGATAAAGCTACCAAAGACCTTTGTCCTCCTGATAATTCTCCTAATGATTCTTTCCAGACACCAGAAAATGCAATTTTTATTTCTAAACCATCGATAACTGATTGATTTTCGGGAGGCTGTAATTTTGCATCAGCTCCAGGTAACAAACTACTAAATATCGATCCAAAATCTTTGTTTACTTGTTTCCAAGCTTTAAGTAATGTCTCTTTTTTCTTTTCATCTAGATGTTTAATTGTTTCTAATATTTTTCTTTTATCGTTTTCAACTATTTTTTTCCTTTTTATCATTTGATTATATTGCTCTTCCTCTTTATCTAAAAGACTAATAGCCCGAGTATTAATATTTCGACTTAATTTGTCGTGCGTAGTCTGTAAACGATGTACCATCTGTTCCATTTCATTAGGTTTATTAACTTCAAAATCGTAAATACCGCCTGCTTTTCCAAAATAAATCTTATCCTGTTCAATCCACTCGTATTTTCGTTCAAGTTCTACTACTTTTTGTTTACAATCTGTAGCAGTCTTTTGAATTGAATTAATTTCATGATTTAACGTTTTAATATCTAATTCTGCTTCTTTACTTTCTTTTAATATTTCTTCCTTCCTATCGATAAGCTTTTGCATATAAGCGTTTTGCTTGTTGATAATATTTTTCTTTTCTTTTATTTCAGATTGTATACGTTTTATATTATTATCCGCTTCATCTAACTGTTGATTTAACGCAGTTGCTTTTTCTCGTAGTACATTCAATTTTTCTTCCGATATCACTAACTGTTCCTTTCCAGTTTCAATACCTTTTTGTAATTCTGTGATTTCTAGTTTAAGTGTTTCTGCCTCTTGTTCCCGCTTTTGCCACTCTTTACGACTATTTTCAGCTTTTTTCTTTAATTTTTCTAGTTCATTTTTGGCTTGATTTAATTGTTTCTCAAGAATACTCGATGCATCTTTCAACTGGTGCTCTAATTCTTTAGCGCGTTTACTATTTTCTTTTTCAACTTGTTTTGCTACTTCCATCTTTTGTAACAGATCCTCAATATCCTTTTCCAAAGAATCAATTTCATGTTTTATAGTATAATATTCTGTCTGTTCTAATTTTTGCTTTATCGTACTGATTTCACAATTTCGAAGATCGTATAATTGTTTTAATGACATGTATTTTTCTGCGATACTATTTATGTTTGCCAGAGTGTTCTCAATATTTTGAAGAGTCTGTCGTTTATCATTTAATTCGTTTTGAATAGTTTTCAGCTCTTCTAATTTTAAAAGAACCGATCCTGTCTTTAGTTGTGCACCACCTGATAAAGTACCAGCAGGATCCACAACATCTCCTTCTAAAGTGATACACTTCTTTTTTATATTCTCATGAAATGCAATTTTTCTAGCAATGTCAATGTCTTTGCAAATAAATATCTGCCCAAATATCCAATTCATAGCTGATTTAATTTCTTGGGGAGAATCTATAAGAGATAGCGCTGGCTGAACATTTTCTACACCACCTATCTTCTGTGCCAGATGAATTATCTGATTATCCATTGGTCTTCCATTTACTTTATTCAATGGAATAATAGTAACACGTTGTTCCAGTTGACCATGTTGAAGTAGTTTCTTGCCATTAATTTCTGTGTCTACTATTATATTATATAGCCTTGCTCCTGCAGCAATATCTAAAGCATATGCTGCTCTTCTATCTTTAATGGTAATTAATTTACATACAACTCCTTTCACAGATCTGTTATCAAAATTAGGTTCAGGCTTTTTATATTCAAATCTGATTCTAGGATACTGTGATTCAAAATGATCTACTTTTTCTTGCAATACTCTTATTTCATTTCTCAATACATTTCTTTGTTCTTTTAGTTGTTCTACATATCCGTTTTCGTAATTTAATTTTTTTAATTCATTTTCCAAATTTTTCACTTCTTTCTCTTTATTCTCAAGATCTTTACTATATTTTTTATGTTGATCTCCAGTGTTTTTCATATCTGTTTTCTTCTTTTCTAGTCGCTCTTTACAAAGATGTAACGTCATTTCACATTGTTTATGCTGTGTCTGTGCTTTTGTCATATTTTGTTTAGCAGTTATTAATTGCTGTTCTAAGGTTGCATTTTCACCATCTTCACTTTGTAGTAAACCAGAACTGACTTTTTGGAATTTTTCTTGTGCAATCAGTACTGCATTACAATCCTGTTCATCCATTTCTTTTAAGTTTTTGAATAATCCTTCAACTTTAGCATATTCTGTCTGTTTCAATGTAAGAGCATTTTCATCCTCGATTATATTAGCCTTTAGTTGCTCTACTGCCTTTTCTGCAGCCTTAATACTTTCTTTATTACTATTATTTTCAGCTGTTAATTTACAGTGAATTTTTTCTGCATCTTTTAACTCTTTCTCTAAAACTTCTAATTGACCTCCTGCTTCCTAAAAGAAACAAAATAGTTTTTAAAAAATATACGGAATATTTATGTTTCCAATTAATATACATACTACATCCTTCTTTTTTGCTGCTTCATCAAATTCTTTCTCAATATTTTTAAGTTCTTTTTCACCAGTCATGATACTTTTCTTTTTTTGTTCTATTTGATCTATAACAATTTGTACACTTTTTTCTGCTTTTTCACTTTCATTTAAGGCTGTAACATAGCGCCAAGCAAGACAAATTCTTTTACAGTGTTCTAATTCTCTTTCTACACGTTGATATTCTACATATTGTGTTTTTTCCTCTTTCAACTTTGCTAACTTTGGACCTATTTCTTCGTTCAAAATCTAAAATAAAAGTCATCGATTAATTTACACACCATAAAGTTAAATGAGTAAATTCAAAAAATAGAACATACATCATTTATTTCCCTCAATTTACTGTCCTTCTTTTCAATAGTTTTCAAAGCAGCTTCTTTCTTGTTTTCATACATTCGTGTACCTGCAGCCTCTTCTATCATAGACAAAATTTCAACAGGTTTCATATTCAAAACTTTTGTAATTCTTCCTTGCATTATTAAAAAATGAGGATTGTTTACATTTAATTGAACAGAACAAAACATGTCGTGTACACGCTTATTTGGTACATTAGATCCATTGATTAAAAATTTATTTTTGCCACCAATTATAACCTGCCTTGTGACAGTAATTTCTTCATGATGTTCATATCCCATAGGAGATGAATTTCTATCTCTATTGTCAAACGTTATAGTAACACTGGCTTTCTTAATACCTGCTTGGCCAGATTTGTAAACTAAATCTTGTAATGATGCTGCACGTACCTGTAATAAATAAAGGTAACAGATTTTTTGTAGAACACGTGATATATTAATGAAAAATAATAATTACAGCAAGCAAATCTATACCTGGCCAAGATTTGTAATACCCAAAACAAAGCATATTCCATCCAGGATATTTGATTTCCCGCTACCATTAAATCCTGTGATTGCATTAAATTCTTTATCGAAACCATTTATTTCTATTCTTTGTCCATATGACTTAAATCCCTCTAATACCATAGACTTAATGTACATCTTAAACTTGAATTAATTACAGACTTAATTATAATTATACATCTAAAACACGCGAATGCACCCAAGCCACCTAAAACAAATTCAAATTCTTGGCATTGACCAGTATAATCCAGTATAATCCATTATTCTAGAAAATATAGAGTGGAGGCGAGTATTAAAGGGTGGAAACTTCTTTTTTATTTAAGTTCTTGTGTTTATTTCTAAATATTCATTTTTACTCTTTCAGCTTCGTTGAAAGTGAGTAATTTTGAACGAAATCAATCATAATTTTTTAACACAAAAATATATTTTAATAAAATATAATAACTAGATCTTTACTAAAATTCCTAGTAGAAATACCATTTGATTTAGGTTGGGTTGGGTTAGATTAGGTTAGGTTGTTGCGCATACCATTTGAATTCCAGTCAACATCAAAAAACGTATTTAAATTTTCGAAGTGTTACCCATTTTTTTAAATACGTTGCAAGGGTATAGGTAAGATTTTATTTCAACAACTTTTTGTATTAGGGTAACAAATATTTTAAAACCTATGAAAAATTAATGTTAATTGCAATGGTAATAACGTTGAGATAATTATAAGGTTATAGCGAAATGTCATAACGTAATTATTATGTTATTAGAATCAGTATGAACATCCCTCCTATTCAACAACCAGGAACAATGGGAGTAGGACAAATGACTCAACCTGTAAATCCTCAAAATCCACAGCAGACGCAACAACAGCAGGTTCAGCAGCAACAACAACAGCAACAGCAACAACAAACACAAGAAAAACTTGACAATATTTCTAAAGTTAAATCATTAATTGGTCCATTAAGAGAATCATTAGCTATAGCCCTTAAAACTGCAGCACATACACTGCACCAAAATAGTTTAGTAGATGTTGGATCACTAAAGGGCATTGACCAACCTGATCACCGTTTCAATAAAAATATGGAAGAATTTTATTCTATTTGTGATCAAATAGAATTACATTTAAAGACCTCTATAGAATGTTTATCACAGAATTCCAGTTCTTTAAGATACCTACCAGTGGCTGTCATACCAACCCGTACTGATACTGTTAGTGCTCAAGAAGGACCTGCTTTAACTTATCCTCAATTCTTGATGACTGTAAGAGCACAAGTTGCATATGTTCGTGAAATTCATGATACCTTAGTTTCTGCAGCTCATTCAATAGCATCTGGTGAATAATTTATTTTTCTTGTATAGTACATTACTTTTATTACATTATTAAATGAGACTGTAAGCAATAAGACTAAAGGTAAGAATATTTCACCTTTATTTATGTAATTAAGTATTTAATATACACATTTGATTTTGTATATACTACAAAAAATTCTAATAATATTATTACATTATGAATAAATTTATATTTTTTTATATTTTGAGTGATTATAAGAATATATAAATATGTTCATGTCTGAAGTATTGTTTTTATTTTTCAGTTTGTTAAAGCAAGTACTAAGTGTGTGTAATCTGTATACTTTATTGTTTAGAGCATAAAGTCTTGACAGAAATGCAAGGAAATGTTAATGAGCCAATTTATTACTTACAAAGTTCATAAATTTATTCCATACAATTTTTATTATATTCTACATTACTATTTCGTTACAAATATTAAAACGTGGTTTCTAACATAGAAACTGTAATCGATGCACCGATATAATTATGAACACCTAATTAGTGAAATATTTCACTCATTATTTGTACAAATTGAAACATATTTTTCTTTTAGCTATCTCTCAATCAATTCGTACTCTGTTAAAACGAGATATACCAATATAAATGTAAACAAATGTTCATAAAACGAGGAAAATTTAAATACAGTAAGAAAAAAAGCGGCCTAACACAGAGAGCCGCTTATCAGCCGTATGTTTTAGCAAGCACGTAGAAATAGGAAGGATATACCGGTAAAAGAGGGAGGGAGGAGAGGCGTGCAGGAAGCGCTACTGTCAGTTGGATTGGTGTTTTGTCGCGGCGCGCCGAGTGATCATTTGAAAAGGAAGGACCACCTCTGTTCACCATATTTGGCAAACTTTCCCTAATATGGTAACGTCTACTTCTAAATATGGCAGCCGGGGACGCCCTCTCGTTGATTCTGGTGTTACTCCGCGTCGTGTTTCCACAACGAATTTTGGAATATCGAAGCTGCGTAAAAGTTATTTGCCGCCGAATCGATGACCACAAGGGCCTCCTTGATTTTTTTACACAGGTATTTTCAATGATCTTTTAACTGAAAGTTCTATCACGATTGGGTGGACTAATTTCTTACAGCGTAGTCAATGGGTAGTGGGGGAAGCAGCTGCGCAGGAACGTACAGAGACACCGCGTTAGCACGTAGGTCAAGTTACGATACTCAGCGCGCATTCAGTTCGCGGGGAGCGCTCGTGCAGTGCGCGTTGTTGTCCCGTGTTCCTCTAGATGATTGATCACGTGGGAAGCATTGCGCCGAGTTTTCGCGATTCCGTGGTGGAGAAGGGCCGAGGGAAAGGGAATAAATGTGTGCGAGTCCGTAATGGACAACCCTAGCGGCGGAAGAGATAGTCGGTACGCAAGTCTTGGGTACAGCATGGGGATGATAGGCAGCGACGCTGGCTCGGAAATGTACGGCCGACCGTCCACCTCCCAGCTTACAACTTCTCAAATAAGCCGCAGTGGCGCCACTATGATGGCCGCGGCAGCTGCTGCAGGCGCACCAAACGCCGGCGTTGGATCCGTACAGAGGGGTATCAAGAGGACCACATCGGACGTTTGTTACGATGACAATAATGCAAGGCAAGCACTTTCGCAACAGCAAGGCATGTCGATGTCCGGTGATTGTGTCCCTGACAATCTCGAGGAATCGTTTACCAGTTTGGGTCAACCGAAAAAGTCACCCCCCTCGAACGGCAAGAAGACCAAAGGACGGGTTAAAATTAAAATGGAGTACATCGACAATAAGCTACGCCGGTATACAACCTTCTCGAAAAGGAAAACTGGAATCATGAAGAAGGTTTGTATCTGACAAACCCGTCGACCTATTTTCGCTAACGTAAAAAAGTGTGTTTGAACGTCACCTGTCGGCTATCGATCCTCGCGATCGATTCGCTGTGCGATCGTAGTGTCTCTGCGCAGCAAGCTGTTTTTCAAGTGTATTCAAATTTACGATCAAGGAAAAAAAAAACGAGATAAATCGATAAATATGAGATTAAATGAAAAGTCAGTTTCCTACAGTGACACGTAGAACGAAAAGAAACGTGCATTATCGTCGTGTGGATATGCGGACTGCCGTGCGCTAAACTAAACGTACGGTGATGACTTTAGGGAGCGCGCGATTTATGAGTGACAACTGTGCCTTCGCTGACGTGTATTTGTACGCCAGTAACGTATCCCCGTATTTTGGATTAAAATATACCGAGCAAAATCGCTACTTGTACGCAACGCGCGTCTTTTCTTATCGGGGAAACGCTTACGAACGCGTGGTAAATTTTGACAATTCGAACCGGATGATCCATTTCTAGGGTCGACCGCGTACGCACTTCCGCCTTAATTCCAATTCCAATCCCAATTCCATTTGTTTTGCTTCGTTTGACAACATAAGTTCAGTGAATGCACGTCTAAAATATGCACGATCGAATTTCACGTCCTAATACAGAATCAACATTATTTTTTTTGCTTCACCTTGCTAAAAACTTTATTCGCAGGATTTATTTTCTGAACGGTAACGTACCCGGATGAATGTTAACATTGTATTTTGTATTTCAGGTAATGGACGCGTTGTAACCGCTATGGTAGAATAATGTAAAATTTGTTTTTAAATTAAATCGGGTTTTCTTATATTTAACTCAGGTAATATTTTATATATGTTTATTATTTGACAATTGTTGCAAATTATTCACGATATTGTGTTCTAACGAGAAAAGTACTGCTTCATCTTCAGACGTTCTATTTTTCTTTTCCTCTTAATGCGATAATAAGGCTAACAAAAATAGTCTATGATTCATTTTAATTTAAATTTATCGTTTTTTACTTACAGATGTTTATTTGATCCAAGCTTCGTGGTATCTGACTCCGTAGAAGAACCTAAAGCAAATTGCATCTTTCATACGAATATAGAAAACCAAAGATAGATTGTTCCCCTTTTCTAAAGACGGACCTCTATAATTAGCCATGTTTTGACACGAAACTGACATAATTGCTTTACACCGTTATTTAGATAAACGAAAATGTAAATTGAAAAATTTGTAAAAAGCAATTGTTTCTTCAATTTCAAACATTAGAAATTATTATTTATAATAGCAGTAATAAGGAAATTTTGCAAAAGGATATCAAATTATATGAAACAGTTGAGTGAGTAGAGAAATCACACTGTTAAAAATATTATCTATAAACAATTTTACACGTGGTTCCGATTTGCATACTCTTTAGTAGAATACTTTCTTGAACTTCAACAAAAGACCACGATTTTGTAATGTGTTCCATTATGTTTATTCGTTTTTATAAGGTGGTTACGTTGTTCCTTCAAGCAGTACGTTTCTTGGTAGCAACTGGAATTTTACAATTTAAATTTGAATTATATATGTATACAACTCGTTCTCCAATGAGCGTTGGTTTTCACTGATAAAAGAAAGAATTCCGTATGAGATGTACCGCGCGAACGCTCCAGAAAACCTTGATAATTATAATGTCGTTAAAGGTATGATCTCTAGACGAACAAGAGTGTAAACGTAGTTTTTTCCTCCGCGTGCGTTTCGAATTAATTATTTAAAAAAATAGTACGCTAATGATTGCGCAGGCGGCAGAAATCTGCATAAGTGCGCTCTATAAAGATCTGAATACATCAGGTGCACGTGATACCCGTTAAGCGTTCAAACGTCCAACAGTAAAATATTACTTTCGTTCTTCAAGGATCTGATTAAGAATTTATGACCCATAATATCTGCGATTCGCGCTTTTCTTTCTTCAAGGACCACTGTAAAAATTGTAGAGTACACAAAACTGCTTTGTATTCCAAGTATTTGGAATTCTTTAAAAACACAAGTGCTTAATCAGTCAGGTCCTCGAAAGTTTCGAAATGGAAGAAAAAGGAACGTTAATGGAGATCGAACGAAAGCAAAGCCACCCTTCTCGAGGATATCCCTAATTAATCGTTGTTTCTGCTTGCAGGCGTACGAGCTGTCGACGCTGACGGGTACCCAAGTGATGCTGCTTGTGGCCAGCGAAACCGGCCACGTGTACACATTCGCGACACGGAAGTTGCAGCCGATGATAACCAGCGAGGCCGGTAAGGCATTAATCCAGACCTGCCTGAACAGCCCGGACCCACCGGCTTCCGGTTCGTCCGGCGACCAGAGGATGTCCGCGACCGGCTTCGAGGAGACCGAACTGACCTACAACATAGCCGACGACGAGCAGAAAGTAAGGCAACTGGTGTATGGCTCGCCGCACGGTGGCTCGTTGCACGGTGGATATCCGGGCGGTGGTCCAACCGGAGGGCCCCCGGGCCATCCGCAACCCCCGCCGCCACCGCCGCCGGGCTCGCAGCACGGGCCACCCTCGCATGCGCAGCACGCGCACCTGATTGCGCATGCACACGCGGGTTCGCCGAGCTCGCACCTGGTACCCTGTTCCAGTCCTGGTCCCATGCTCGCCGGTGGTCCCTATCAGCAATCCTGTCCCTCGCCTCTGCCGCCCCATCATACTTATCATCCTCACATGTCGCACTCGCATCCCCAACGGTAGTACTACCAAACTCGAACGGGCACTCAATTGTCCTCCGGCTCTTTTCGCGCGCCCGACGCGTCCGCGCCTCCTACCGCTTGTTGGCTACCGTGTTGCTTCCCATGATTGATCAGTAACACGGACCGACGTGTAGGTATACCCGGTAGAAGTTATAGAGTCGAGTCTCCCATTAAACGTACCTACCTTTAGTCTTGGGAGAATCTTGAAAGGATCATTACCTGCTATTTAATGAAATATTGATATACAAGGCATCATGTAATGGGACGCTTCTTCTTTTGCACTTACTCTTAACTAAGAAAAGTCTAAATTACACGCGACGTGGATATCCGTGGAGTATAGTGATAACCGATAATCCGCGTTACAGGTATCGCCGACGCGACGGTCTGCCAGCGTAACAGCAATTATTCGTGCACTATCGCGCTCGCGTCGACTATGCTCGATCGGCTGTGACAATTCTTGGCTTCTTGAAGTAATATGTCGTATTTAAGAACGTTTGCGCAGCTTGGTATCGTTCGCGGTACCTGCGAGAAGGGTCAGGTTTTTAGAGGGTAGTTTCGGACGTAAGATAGATGAGTGAAACGAGGTGTTTCGAAGCTTAGCTTCTGTTTTCTGACTCAACAGACGCTTCAGCGTTGGCGCGATTCCGTCCAAGACGTGAAACCGTCGCCTCGAATTAGAAGTTAACGCGTTGAAGTTCGTCTTTTCGCGGCGTTCAGTTTAAATGTCGTGACATTTCGAAGAATGGACACACGCTCGGTGTCGTTACAAGGATTTATAACATACTAATGGTTCATTATCAGGAGCGTGTCGCGTCGATTGACGTAAAATCGTCGTGCAAACTGAATAACGAATCAACTGGACGGAGGAAGTTCCCGTACGACTTCCGACTTTCTTTTCCGGACTATGAATATCGAAATTCTCGATCAGGCGCATCGCATCCGGTATCAATGAAAGTACGGTTATTTTCTTTTCGTGTGCGTAGGGATAGTGATATCCCGTACGAAGCGTGAATAACGTTATCAACTAGGGACTCGAAATTATTATGCCGAACGTTCACCGCGTTGACGATTAATTTGACGTAAATTCAAGTGTTAATATTTTTATTATTTTCTCCGCTCCTGCTACAATAGCTTGATTAATCGACGCAAAGACGTATTATAGTAAACTTACGGGGACTAGTTCGCATAATTACGTGGCAGGTGCGGTAAAAAAGATTCAACCAAATCAGTCGACGAGGTAAAATCACGACCTCTTATGGTATCGAGACGCGCGGAGATCCTAGTACAGTTGTAACGACAATCAGAACGATGTTTTGCCACGGTTGCCTCGTTCCGAACAGTTTCGAGCAATTAACTCTTCTCTCGACTCGGTATCGCGAGCGATAGCTCTACTCTACGGACACCTGTCATCCTTTAAGACGGGGTCGACCACGCTACTTAACGCAGCAGGTTTTCCACTGTACTTAATATACGAGCAAAGTTATTTCGCGTCCCACCGTGTCCCTTACGGTAGGCTCAGGGAGAGTCTTTCGACGATACGACGCCGATTTTCAATAACCGGGCGTGCGACGATGATGTTTTCAATGAAAAACTGACCGAAAATTGCTCCGTTAACAAACGTATAAATCTAGTCCAATCGTACGAGACTTATCCGCGGGAAACGAGGATAATCGGTCGATTTTTCCAAGTAATGGATCGTTCGTTAACGATCCAGCTTTTAACAAGTCGTTTGTGGAAATAGTTGGAATTATGGAGTTTACGATCTTTCTACGTGTTTCAGGCACTGCGATTTCTGGTAATAGTTAACCCTTTTCGATAGGAAGCTACACACGCCAAAGGATTTTTATATCTTTGATAAATTGAAACGAGTTTTCTTGAGTGATTAAAGCGAATTTCGATCGAGAAGGATTAACGATCATAGAAAATGTCATTGGTAAATTTCATAATATTTTAATTATTTTAATGATCGTAAGCTCGAGCGAAAAAAATATTAATAATGAAAATACGAATCAGTGGCTAGATCTATACGTTAATCAAAGTCCAAAGACTTTTTCTACGATACTGTGGGTATCATGGGCGACAATTGTGCCCGTTCGAGTCGTACTTCTTTACGGGATGAAAACGTATCGCAGGACACGTATCGACGAGATTTTATTTCGTTTAACAAACGAGGAATTAAGTAGGGACAATTCTTAATCGTACAGTTAGGGTATTAATTCGTGTGACGTAAATACTCGATGAACCGCGTACTTTTTTTTTTATATTACCTACGCGTCCCGTTTTCTCGTGAACTCGAATCGTATTTATAATATCTTACCACCACGGAATCATTTTTATTTATTTAAAGAACTGTAAATACGTTGTAAATTGATCGATCGTCGCCGAGCAACGAGATATACATATATTAAGGGAACTGAAGCAAATCAATTCCAGTTCTATTCGAAACAATCTAACATCACTGTTCCATAAAATACTCAACGATTTAATAAAAATTATATTGTTTCATTTAAAATAATTTCCAAACGATTAAGGAACTTTTAACCCTTAGCAGTCAGAAGGTGGGAATATTCATCCTCGGACGGCGGACCATGGAGAGATCCCCAATTTCAATTTAATTTTGTATATCATATAAAAGGAAGAAAATGATGAAATTTATTGCGATATAAATTTAATATCGAACGGCTTCCAACTGTAAAGGGTTGAAACAGTCCGCGACAACTACCGAATTGGTTCGCCTCGGTTCCCCTCGATTCTATTTAATACGTACCTAACGATATCGTACCTAAGTTCGTGGGATTCGCGAGACCGGGAATCCGCGGAAAATCGAACGATCCGAGCATTTCACCCTTTTTCCCTCCATCAAAGATCCTTATCGAGGCATCCTTGTTTTTTTTAAATACTCATGTAGTTCAGGTCGAGGTGTTCCGCCTTTCCCTGTGGTAAAAGAAAAAAAGCCACCGAAGAAACGAGAAATCGTAGTACGTGGGTGCGAGTCCGAGCCAGTAGAGACCCGGCGGTGCACGCTTGGCATTGTTGTGCATTGAATATATATATATATATATATATATATATACATATACATCTATACATTGTTGTGTGCATCGTACATTGTTCCGTAATGTGTTGTATTGAAAGTGGCATGTGTAGTATTTGTTTGTTTGTTTTTTTTTTTCTCTATCGTAGATTAAGTAGCTAGTATTTAAAATACCTTTTTAATTTAATTCACAGTATCCCTCCTCCTGTGTGTTTCCTCTCCATTTTTATACTTTACGAAGTAGAGAGAACAGAAAAGAAAAAGAAGAAAAAGAACCTCTGCTCGTCCCTTTATACATTTGTGCATGCTTACGTTTTGTACGTGTGTGTGCGTGTATGTTGTTTTCTTTTTTTTTTATACCGCTTAATATTGGACAACATTAAAAGAAAAAAAAAAAAAAACAGAACATAGAGGATAGATAGATAGATAAATAGAAGATAAACGTAACACGTGGAAAAGCACAGGAAGGGAATAAAAAAAAATTAATAGAAAAGTGGAGAAGAACGATTAATTACGTGCAGGCGTGACAAGCAAGGGAGATTGAAAATTGGAAATACATAATGGTAATATGTAATCCGTGCATCTTCTCCCATCGACGCACAAAGTACAAATAATATATTAATATTACGTTTACGATAATCCTAAACGGTTAATCACGAAATGTACGGCTGGCGTGCCTATTTAGCTTATGTATCACATGTGTAAATAGTGTACTTGTAAAATACTGTGATAATATTTATATTACACGCACGTGTATTATTATTATTATTATTATTATTATTATTTTGTTTAATAATTACGATTCCACGATTGTGCGTTTTGTCATCGTACGAATATTATCATAAAATAGCAACGATTGTTGGTAACTTTAAGGTGCCTAGTTTGTTTGTTCCAACAGGTAGGTATAAAAAAAACCCGCCTGTTTTTAGCGAACATACCGTATTCGAATTCTCCTCACCTTTTTTTTTTTTAAAAAAATCTTTCGCGTCGTTCACTTTTCGCGAATTCCCGACCGACGATGATGGAAATGGAAGGAATTCGTTGCGATTAGGTAATAGTTTCGCGTGAAACGCTGAACTAGTTGTTGCGTCGAGAAGATTAAAGAAAACGAGCTGGTTCCAGTTAGGTATTAACAGTCCAGCTGAACGAACCACTTGCTCGTACTCAGCATGTACTTCATAACATTGTTGACGAAAGAAAGTTATAAAGAATGCTCTGTTTTTTTTCTCTCTCTCTCTTATTTCTCGCTAATGATGTTGGATTTCGTTTTTTGTCGCTGTCGCTTTAATGGCGCGAATCGCTTTTACTTTTCGTCTGTGCGTCCCTGCTAAATTAGAACTAATTTAAAAGCGTTTTTTTTTTTTCTGTAAATAATATAGGCGCTACTGTTTCAGACAGTAAAAAATTACTAACATTTTCTTTTATACAAAACAACGAAAAGAGGCTTAAATCATTCAACTTTTGCGATCACTTTTGTAAAAGAAAAAAGTTCTCTTAAAAATAAGACACCGGATAAACATTCCATTTTGCTATTCAGGCTATCCATCTTTTCAGGGTGAGTCGGGCAAGGTAGGTTTGCGCTTCGAAATCACGATGTTTCGAAGGACAGTCCTTTTCCTCGCCCTTTTCCGAATGCGTTTTATGTAAAATTTCAAAAGGAATCGTTGCGTTAAGTTTCGAGAAGTTTAACCAAACGAATAAACATAATTTCGAACGCACGCGCGAGATAAGGGTGGCGATGCGCCCTCGAACGCGTAAGTTCCTAAGGGGAGGCGGCTACCGTTTCCGAGGGTTCTTAGCCCCACGATTTACGATCTAACGACTTAACGATTATTATGATGTATTTGACCAAGGAGGCACCCTGAGGTGAATCGCGGTGTTGGTAAGCGACGAAGACAGCAGCTGTCGGTTACTTGGCAGGGCGAAAGAGAGAAGGGCAGAAAACAGGTGGGGAGGAATCAGGGAGAAGGGAAAGAGAAAGATGGCGGAGAGAGAGAAGGTATGGAAGGTGGAAGCAGAATACCATATACGGTCACCTTTGTCAAAGGCTGCTTGTCGCCATATACAGGCAATGTTTGCGATGGCAGATACTTATATAGAGACCAACTTAAGAATCAGGAATGTCGGTTTTTGTCGCGCCTTCTATACACACCCGTGGTAACGGAGGGGTACAAATGCGACTCGGAAGTGATCGCCGACAACGGGCAAGGGTCGCTTTCGCAACCCTTAGTCCCCTAAATCCTAACCGGTAGCCATCTCCCATTCGAGCTTGCGGAAATTGTTTTTCCCCGGTGTTATGACGTGCATCACGGATCCGCCGGTGGGGAAGATATTAGTTTTGAAGCGAAATGGAAGGATACCGAAGTAGCATAATTGTTCGGAAGTAGGGTAGACTGATTAATGCTTCGCGCTGCTTTTGGAATTCAGAACCTTTGGAACGCGTTTAGAGATCTCCTTAACGGTCTCGCTCTCTCGAGGATAAAGGACGTTTATGTTTCTTCGACTCCGTCGTATCAAAGTTAACGAATAAAAAAAAAAAAAGAAAAGAAACAAATACACCGATGCGTTTCCATCCACTTTCCAAAGGAACGTTTCTCGCACTTCCACTTCATTGTACTTCGATAACCAGTTCGAAAGTGGAGTAGTTTGATCAGTCGACCGGACTGGAGCCACGATGAAATCATTTTTCAAACGTTTACTCCTCTCCCCATCGCGGCCATTCGTCTTCTTCTTGTCTTATTATGCTAAACACACCGTGGGTTGTATTACTTCTGAAGTCACAGCTAAGAAACTTACAGAAGGATGCTCTTCGGATTTAAGCCAGACTTTTTCGAAAATTCATCTTCGATTTTGATAATTGTATCGCGGAAGGATTAGGTTCGCCGATTCGCTTTCTCCCGAGGTGGTAGCGGAGGACACGTGTACGCGTGCTAACGAAGGAGTCGAAATGTATGTATAACGGATAGGTTTGCCCGTTCACGGTTTCGCCGTGGAAAAAAGGTATTCAGTGGTAGAGCGAGGGAGAGAAAGTCACCCGGGGAAACGTAGTCCTGCGTAAATTTGTGAGAATCTGCCGTGGAAGCGCGGTGTACGAGTTGAGGCCGCGCGGATGGCCATATAAGGTGCGCGAACAAGCTGGCGCATCTCTGGCTGCTAGGTAGGTAGGTAGGTAGGTAGGTAAGTTGGATTCGTTGCTCGTTGTTTCGTTGCTTAGTTGGTTGGTAGGGCTAGTTGATTGATCGGTTAGTTGACCGTTTGATTGGCTCGCCGATATTATTGCCGCGGCGTTATCTAAAGATTTACAGGTTCGATCTGGAATTTGCGCCTCGCAAGCAATTCTGTATCACTTAACGTCTCTCCCGCTTTTCCTACCGGTTAATCGTTTTTTCATTGGGTCAGTTTATCGCGCGACTCCTCTACGCGTTACTTTGTTGGCTAATTAATTCGCCTGCTTTACGGAAGCGTCAGAGAATTTCTAGGAAGTGTCGTTCGTAGAGGTAGGCAGAAACCTTGTGACGATGATTCATAAGTTTTGTACCAGTAGATCTTATACTTTACGAATGCAATCTTTTCAAATTATTATTTCTCCTGGTAACCAATTATGCCTTTCTGTTTCAGGAGGATGGCACTTCGCCTAGGTCGGACGTTTGCCCGAACGAAAGCGACGGAGACACCAGCGACGGTGATTCCCCAGTGTCGAAGGATCTTTCGAAAAATCACTCCGGTAAGTTTTGCTTCCCTTTAAGATGTAAGTAAAATCGGTCCGAGGGGTAAACCCCCCGTCGTCAGTGTTTGCGTAATCCGGCGAGGAAACAATGGTTACCAAAAGTCGTTTTCTCCCAACTTAGAGCCTGAGGGGTATCGTAACTATTTCACCTCGGGATTCCTCTCCAAAAGCTCGGAACAATCGCTGGGCGGTGCGTACGTGGATAGGAACGAATTTCCTCGTGGGCGTATCGGCAGGTCGCGCGGGCTATATCGAAGTGGCGTGGAAAATCGTTAGAGCGGTAGGTACCGTCGTGCAATCGAATCGGTCAGGTAGGCTGGTAGACGGAGAGGCGAGTAGAAAACGAGAGAATGGTATCAGAGAGGTAAACGTATGATGCGTATAAGAGAGGGAGAGAGGAAAAGAGAGGGAGAAGATAAAGGAAAGAGGACACTTAAAATGCGAAAAGTGTGCGAGCGATGACGAGGTTATCCGTGTAGGGGAGTACATAAGGAGTTGTACGGGCCGCGATGACCAAACTAAGACAACGACGCGCTGCCTAACTGGGAAGTAAGATCCGGTCGAAAGCCGCGCTCCGATGCAGGTGTACACATAAATATCGATGCTAATATATGGAGTGGATGCCATCCGACTTACCGATCGCCAGCATGACGTACGAGTTTTTTTTATTTTTTTTATTCTTTCTTTTCGCCTTTCCATTGTTCCCAATGGCACAAACTGTCCCGGCAGGAATTTTGATAACTCCGCCGCGTTGATATCCGATCCGTTCGATCTTACCCCCTTCGTTCGCCATCCGATTGCTCCTTTGTCGTTCAACCTTGTTTCTGGGTTTCTTCCTTCTTCTTTTCCCCCCTTCGCCTCTTTGGTTGGTCGAAGAGGTGTCTCCTCGAGTTCTTCTTCTTTGACATTGAACGTTGTCGATTAGTTGATTGGTCGGTTCGAGTAATTAATTCTTCTCCGAGACGCTTAACTGTAAGACCGGTGCGCGTGTGTGTCGTTTCCCATTGGAATTCTATTTTCAATTGGAAATTTTATTTATTTATTTCTTCGATTTGCGATTTAGAAGTAGTTTTAACCCTTTGGTACCCATGGTTCAAATGGACCTTGCGTCGAACATATTCTATAAATATAATTAATAGAAATAATTAACATATGTTTAGTCTCGTATCGTGGTCTGCACTGTTTTGTCTATCTGTACCACTTAAGTCTAATCTGATTTCATATTATGTTCACCACGTAAACGTATATTTTTAGCGATGCTTCCGGAATTAATTTAAGTAGTGAAAGAAACCCAAACAGCAGTGGGTCATCGGTAAATTCGTTCTATCTCTATTCGAGATTTAAAAACTTTAGAAAGGATGTAGGTAAAACATATAGCGTAGAGATTTTCAAATAATGAAAAATAATATTTGAAGGAAGAGCGGAAAATTTAGAGAATGAAAATAAAATGAAAGATTATGAATTGAATAAAATCGAAACGGAAAAGGGTTAAATTGCTATTATCTCAGCAATTCGTCTTCCTTAAAGTTATAATAATTGTTCGCAGGTATAATGTACCAGATGCCACAGACAGTGATTTACTCGCCGAGTCCAGGGGTTCTGCTCGGTATCGGTCAAAACGGTCAGCCAGTGCAAATCTCTCAAGAAGGAGGTGAGAAACCATGATGAACCCTGGACCAAACACCCCTACACGCATCCACCATCCTTTCGTAACCAAGAACGAGAGAGACGAGGGGTTGAAGGGTTGATCTTTCCTCCTCCTTCCTGTTTCCCAAGTAGAGGTTTTCGCATTGTTTCGCAGGCACGATAAACCAGTCGAATTCGTCCCAGAGTAATCAACCGTTCATCACGATACCATTGAACGTAGCGATGAGCGCAGCGGGTTTGTCGCTTCCTGTTACATCCAGGATGAATATGTCGCCGACCACCACGTCCTCCTGTGATCAGCCATCGGACTTGACCAAAGATCGCGACTGATAAGATCGATCGTCGAAATCATTCTGGAACTGTAACGAATAACGACCCGATGGATCGTTAAAAGGGACGTCCTTTTCAGTTTGACACTGGCTACCGTGACGACGCGACGCGCAAATGTTAAGTCTGTAACGTGGAACTTTTTCTAGAGCGACGCAACAGATTCTTCTTTTTTTTTTTAATCACTCGTGGATGCGTGTAGATACGATACCCGCTATGTTTGAATTTATCGATTAACGAAAAATACTTTGATTCTAGCAGTAGTCGGTGACCGACGGTAAGACGCGTCCAGAGGGTGACGTTCCTCGCCATCTGTATTTCTCGCGAATGTATTTAATGTCTTCCCTTTTCGAAATTTTTTTCTTTTTACCATGGATCCATCGAATGCAGAGGTGCAACTTTTGATGCAACGTCGATTCAACGAATTTTTTAACACGTTGAATGCTACAGGTGGGTTACGAGATTTAAATTTAATATGAATGATATATCGGTCAACGTGTTTAACTCTTTCCAGGAAAAATTCTTACGTTTTCTGAGCTAAATAAATGGTACCCTGACGTATATTTCTTTGCAGCATTCAACGCGTTAATTGTACTAAAATATTGAATTTAAAGAATATTTTCGTTACCAACGTTCGACCGATTCTCGTGCAATACTAGTCAAACTTTTAGCCCAACGAACGTTCCACGAAGCAACATTTCACAATTTTTTCCTCGACAATCGAGGCGTTTTAGCGTTCGTAAATTGTTATTAGAATCGTTTAGAGACACGTTTTTATCGGTGGAATTTATCGAGGAAATTTTGTACAATCATTTTGCAAAATAAACTCAGACCGGTGTTATTCGATCGTTAAATCGTTTCGTAGATCCTCGACATTCTAGTTGTTGAGAGATTTTTTTAGGAGATTCGAAGGGCGATGATTACTTCTTAATATTACAGGGTGCTTTTAAAACGAATAATGCAAGTTGTCACTGGAGTAACTAGGGTGAGGCCAGGGTGAAAATATGTAGACTGGTTCGTTCACCATTCTACAGTTTTAAGATTCTAAAATTCCAGAATCTCAGATTTCTAAAATTTCAGAATTCCAAATTTCTATAAAATCCTAGTTACGCCAATGCAGGTTCTTCTTCCTTTCAATCGTAGAGATGATAGCCGATATATTTTTTAATACTGCGATCAACCAATGACATTTGGTTCGCCTTTCTAATTGTACACCGAATTCCTATTCATTAGCTCATCGGTGAAATAATTCATCTCGAAACAACGATCGATGAATTATTAGAATTTTTCTTAATTAAACAATCGTTCGGCTTGCGTGATGGAAACACGTTTCGAGATCAACTGATCAATCGAACAGAAGAAAGTGATGATAGTGACAATTTTAATTGGTCGTTTAAGTGATAAACACGCATTATTATCGACTATATACTAATATAACAGTATTTTTAATCCTACAATCTCTATTTTACACGATATGGAAATAAATTATCAGCTTCTGATAAATAACACGCGAAGAATTTGTACCTTCTTTTTTTTTGTAATAAATATTACCTATGATTTTATAATACATGGATGGTACTATCGATCGAATTCGGCAAAGATATACTTTTAATAATAAATTAATTTACATTTAAAAGTTTGTAGAAGCTGAAGAGTTTATACAAAATTTTGTATAGGCTGTTAGAAGAGAATAAGATTTGTAATACGAATGATAGTTCGATCCGTGTAAAAAAAAAAGCTAAAATTGATACAAAAAATCAGTAACTATATTACCTATATTATGCATTTATCATGGGTGTTAGAAATTTCAGATTTTATTCCATATCTTTTTGAAAGCATAAACAATGACCTAGTCATACGAATTTCTTTTTCTACTTTATTTTATCATTGTCTAAAAAGAGTTTTATTTGAAATGATTTAAAATACACAGTTTTTAGTTCTGTTGGCTTGAAATAAATGATTCTCAAGCAATGTTGCAAAGTAATTATCATTTGAAGAATATATATGTTATTACAGAATAATTTTCAACGCAAGGATCGTTTATAGAATCTCTGTGAATATGGAAAAATAATTTTCGTAGTATGATTAACGTTGTTAAAGAATGTGCATTATGTGATTAAAGTGGAATTTTATTGGTATACCAAAGAAAGCCAAATGGAAACAGGTGCGAGGAAAAATGGGAAAGAAGCGAATTTGAAAAACGTCTATCATACTTTTTAAATTACATATCTCGTTTTCTGCGTTACGTGTGTCTAACGAGTTTTTGAGAAACAATCAACCTTACGTAAAAAGTAACACGAGAAGCTCGAGCTTAATGTTTGTACAGTAATGGACAGATTCGAAAGTTTCATGTGTCTGTAAAGAATCGAAATTGGCAGGGTTGAAGGCGTTCTATTTTATATACAATGTGTATGCATATATATATATATATATATATATATAATTGCATAATAAGTGCTGCGAGGATCATTTAAATTTTCTATAAAGTTCATCATTTTCATATACATGGAGGAAATGTTATAAAAATTTGCTAATATCAAAGCGCTTCTTAAATCTCTGATTAAAAATTTAAAAAATGTTAATAGCTTCTATGCATAATTTCATTAATTCTTCTTATTAAACAATATAGCATTATTAGAATCATTTATTAATGAAATTTAAATGATCCTCGAACAATTCGTAATTTACGAAGTTTTTTTTATTACTCGTTTACTGTAATATTGCAACGCGAAGAATGTTTGTAACCGAATGTTGTAACGAATGAACATATGTAAACATATCGCTGTTTTCTACACTAACTTTGCATAATATACTGGTCGTGTGCCATTGTTAAAATTGTTATGGAGTATGCGTTGGATACGAAGAAATGAAATACAGTTATTCGAATTACAATTTTGTGTACACAGTGGGTTTCGAGTGAGTTTTAATATGCTTTTTCTGTCAAATCACCGCAGGTCAATATTTCATATTAACAAATTATTATTTTCCCAATCCAATAATATAATCTTTATTTATTTATATTTTTATATATTTTGAATTACACTCACTGTGCGCATATAGTGACAAATGAACAAGACTTGCGATGATAAGAAAGTTATAATTTCAAAAATTTGAATTTTCTAATTCCAAATCGAATCGAAGATTCGACTCGATTTAATCGATACATGTTACAAAGGCTAAAGGCATTCCTTTCAACAATGTTGGCAGCAGCTACCGAAATGTAATGTACCGTCATGGCGACGTTACCACCGCGGAAAAATCCAACTCCAACGAAAATTTTAAAACAGCATTTAACCCCGTTGCAAACACTTTTACAGTTGGGTTTTCCGAAACATCGAGCGTGAGTATTATGATATAATAAAATCATAAGAATGTCGTTCTTCCACTTTAACTTTACGAGCAATTAGGAATGATTGCAAGGTAGCACTGTAAACAAACAGCTGTCAAACTTAGAGTACTACTATTGTTTACATTCTTTTTTCATTAAATTATACTTATTTTGACTATATTATTTAAATTTTTATTATTTACTGTTTCTTTGGTGTTGCTTTAAAATAATATGCAATGTACATTATGTCATAAATGTATTGTATTTTATTATGTAAGAGAGGTAATAGGATTAATTGTATGACTTGCAGTAATTAAAGTTGACATTGTATTATTTTTCTAGAGAAAAAGCACTAGCTGCTACAGGACATCGAGGTATTCAACTTGCATCCGATTGGCTAGTAGCTCATGTTAGAGATCCAACTTTGGATTCTGATACCCATAGACAATATGTTTTATATGCTTGTCCCACTGGTGAATTAGCTGAGGAGCTTATGAAATTTTGGTCAGAGAGTAAAGAACTCATATGGAATGGAGCACATAATTATATGCCACATATTACACTTGTCTCGTTCTTTAATGTATGATGTTATAATAATATTAATATATAAAATAATATAAAATAACACGAATGTTGTGCTTGCAGGCACCAGATGAATCTACAGAAGAATTAGTAAATGCCCTTGAAAATATAGTTAACCAAGATGAACTATCAGACAATATTGAGCTAGAAACTTACATTTCTCCCAATTTTATGGGTCTTTTTGTTAAAGAAGTAAATGCTGAATGGCTGAAAAACATTTCTGTTCGTTATGTAAATAAACTAACTAGTTTGGGTATTTCTGCAGAACCTCAAATAAAATCATTGCATTTAACATTAGCATATCAATTTCCCAGCAATTTATACCAACAGCTTCGTTTAATGGTAGAAAAATTGAAGCTTACTTCTTCAGCTAATTGGGAACTTAGATTATATTCCAGAGATTCTAGACTCCAAAATGCACATGTACATAAAGTTACACATGCTCACATGCCTAGAGAGCATGACGAATTGGAATTAAGGGTGGGAGATTACATTTATATTCCAGAAGGAGCATGTAGTGTATCCACAGATGGTTGGGTCGAAGGTATCTCTTGGTTAACTGGTATTTCAGGCCATCTACCTTTAAATCACACAAAACGTACAGCTGAATCAGATTCGTGGACTTTACATACTACTATACAAATTACTGATAATAGAAATGACATTTCGGAAAAGGAAGAAATACCTGTTACTCGAAAACCACCAGTATTATCATCAGGTGATTCTGTAGATAGTCCTGATGGAATTGCAACAACCAATGAACCGGTAATCATATTATTTCTAATTATCCTTTTGATCATTTAATTTTATTTTTATATATTGTTTTCTGTATAGATTGAGGCTTCTGAGGCACCTTCAAGTTCCTCAAGACAAATTTTTATATGTCGCCATGGAGAAAGAGTAGATTTTACATTTGGGGCATGGATTCGTTATTGCTTCGAATCAAACGGCTCATATGTTCGCAGAGATTTGAACATGCCAAAGGAAATACCGTCAAGAAATATACAAGACTTTCGAAATGATAGTCCCTTAACTACTGTAGGTGAAGTACAAGCAAGCTTGGTAGGAGAAGCTATGAAATCATCCAGTATTAAAATAGATGTGGCTTTTACATCGCCCTCATTAAGATGTATACAAACGTTAGCTCACATTTTAAAAGGATTAGACTCAAACATTCCAATGAAAATAGAGCCCGGTCTTATTGAGTGGTTAGCATGGTATCCAAATGGTGTTCCAGTTTGGATGACATCCGAAGAATTAATAAAAGCAGGCTTTAATATAGACAAAAGCTATGATCCAGTGATTAAAACAAAAGAGCTTCCATTAAAAGAAAACGCAGCCCAGTATTATGAGAGAAGTTACGAATTAATCAAACGAATTATTGAAAGTACTGTAGGAAATATTTTAATTGTAGCTCATGCTGCTTCTTTAGCAGCTTGTACAAGGCAATTAACAGGTGGTAGAATACCACCAGCTTCGGAAGTTACTAAATTAGCTCAAAGAGTACCATATTTAGCATGTCTAACGGCACGTGAAGGGCTGGATGGTTGGCAACTTTATCCACCACCATTCCCCCCTATAACACATACAAGTAATACTAGATTCGATTGGAAAGTATTATTGTAAGGAATGAATGAGGTTTTCAGTAACGTTTTCCTCTTTTTGTCTTTTGACATATATAAATAGCTTAATTATAAAAGACTGTTCAGTAAACTTTCTGCAACGTTTTAGTTTATACGAGGTATATTAAAAAGAGAAAATAAGTATTAAGAAAATTATTTTCTTACTTGGATTACTTATGAAGTAGTTATGCCAGATTATTACTCAATTTTTTTAAAGGATTAACTTTTGTAGGGTAATAAATACGGGTATTGGCATTTAGTTTTATCTACTCTACGAAGAATTTACAGTGTGTAATCTTTAAAAAAGATTAACGAATGTACGAATTACATATTTTAATATGATTTTTAAAGAGATATATTCTTATATAATTTTCGTATTTAAGTCTAGAAAGATTTTTGGTAAGTTACATAGTATTCTCGATGAAGAAAATGCAAAGAAAAAAAGAGAAATACAATAAATATTGAAAATTGCAATTCATAATCAAAATGAATGTATGTAAATGGAAATTTACAGAAACCAGTAAATGATAAAAAACAAACCTCTACACATGTACAAGTACGCGACACAATAGCTAATGTCAATAATGTGTGAAAACGTAGAAGTACAAATTTGATGTAGAAAAATAATGTTGTTATTTACCAAAGAGATATATAAATATATAAGATGTTATTTTATTATGACTATCAGTTATATGATAAAGGGACCTATTGCTTTATTTTCTGCAGAAAAAAGTTTATTGAAGTATAACATACAATATCTCATAGTGTATAAAAAGTTGTTCTATATACAGCCAAATTTAATAAAAAGTGTAATGAATATAAAGCACTGCAAAATATTTTTAACATTACTTTTCAGTAATAACATCATAATAACAACTAAACATGTCCAGCTTCTTTTAATTTTCCAATTAAAGTATCAATATCTGGTAGAATAACACCACCCTTTCTAGCTGGTGGTTCTTCAACTGACAACATTTCAATTCTTGCAGCAAAATCTACACCTAGATCTTTTGGTGTAATTTTTTTAATTGGCTTCTTTTTAGCCTTCATAATATTTGGTAATGTAGCATATCTTGGTTCATTAAGACGTAAATCAGTACTTAAAACTGCTGGCATTTTCATTTTAATAACTTCCAATCCTCCATCAATTTCACGTGTGACAGTTAATTCACCATTATTATTTTCAACCTATTGCACAAACACATAAATCAGATAACAGAAACTAGATTCACATAATATTACTTCAAATTACTATTCATTAACATACTTTACTACAAAATGTTCCAGTTGGCCAATCCAAGTAACCCCCAATCATTTGTGCAGTTTGATTGCAATCATCATCTATAGCTTGCTTACCAATAATTACTAAATCTGCTTTTTCTTCTTGAGCCAATTTGGCTAAAATTTTAGAAACATGAATAGGTTGTAAAGTCTCATATTCAGCTCCAGATATCTCAACATGAATTCCTTTATCAGCACCCATTGCAAGTGCGGTTCTTATAGTATCTTGAGCTTGTGTTGGTCCACATGACACTGCAATTATTTCTTGTACAAGTTTCTTTTCCTTCATTCGTACAGCTTCCTCAATTGCAATTTCATCAAATGGGTTCATTGAATGTTTTACTCCATCCGTTATAACACCTGTTTTGTCTGGTTTAACACGAATCTGAAAGTAAAGAAAAATAAAATATATGTTACATAAACTATACGGATGCTGAGAACATATTATTTTAATAAAAATTTATATTATAATTCCATGTAATAAAATGTTTTTGTGCAACTTACAAATTATGTAACATTTAAATGTTAGTATGCTCACTATTTTAATATCATTATTGTATTAATATTTCTTGCTTTTAAATATTTTAATGTATCGTTCAAATATACCTTAACTGCATAATCGATAACTCTCTTTACACCTACGAGTACACGCGCCATTGTTAACTAAATAATCAACAAATCGATAAATAATACAACTGTAAATTATAAATTCTTTTTCATAATATATATCACGAATTGTTCGTAAAATTGTTCAGTTTCTCTTATACGTGGTGGGACCACTTTGTTGACAATGGTCTAAAGTTCATTTCTTTCTTGATATCAAATAAATTGGTATGTTCATTTCATGAAGCTTGCGCTGATGTAAGCGAGCGTCATAACATGGCCGTTTCAGATTTGTTAATTAGATTACAAAATTACATACATGCCCAGTTAAATAATTATTAAGAACCTTAAAAACAAAATAATAAGAATTAAAGTTCAAACTTTTCATGACGTCAGTTATAGATTTTTTCTCATTGGCTAATTTATATAAACATACGTATAAGATTACGATTGTGATACTCCACCTTTGTGCGATAACTTCTTTCATGGATCTCGATCTATCTGTGATAGATAAAAGCTCAAGATCTATGATTTCATTTATATTTAGGTAAATAAAGCTATTTTCATTTGAATTATATTTTAATAGTAAGTAATAATACAATTAAATAGTATTTTATATTCCAATAAATTGCAAGTTAAGACCATTCTAATCTTACAGTATTATAAATGGCGCGAATGTAAAGTGTTTTTATCAAATGAAAAAATCAGGAAATAATTCATATATTACATTGCTCGTTATTGTATTATAAAGATAATGCATTATATCAATGAAAGTATTAGACAAATATTTTTCAAAGCATAGTATTTTAAGGAAAAGGGACAAATTTTCGTATATTTTGCATATGTTTATACAGCAGTATAAAACAAATTTCTCATTTTCCAATTGACAAAACTTTAATTAGAAGTCAATTAGAAGAAGTAAAATATCACGGATGTATAATAATTTTTATATTGTAATGAATTAATACAAAAGAAATTAAACTATCGTTGTAGAACCAATCAGAATGAATATGAAATCAAGTTTGCGCCACACATGGCGTCCAAGAACCGACGCCATCTAACGTCTGGCATTCCTGTTTTTTTTCGTGCGGGTAAAATCACGGCTTTCTATAGCGCGCAAGCCTTTATCGTTTTGTTTTGTAGAATTCGGTAAGTTAAGTGAATATCTTCGATAAATGGACTATGCTACACGTATACCGTATGAAATGTTAACTGAGAAGAAACGTTCACGCGTTAAGGAAGTGTGTGGGAAAATGAGTTAACCGTGTGTTAACGCGCAGTGATCAACTATTCGTGGAAGTTTAGTAAGAGAATATATACCCATATTCAAGAGTTGATAACGTCGAGGTAATTTTACGTTCATCTTTAAGATCGAAAATATTACGTGGGCTTTTCAAATATTCCAAAATTTAAAACTACCAAAAGTTTCCTTCGTGTTTATGTTTACTCCTCTAATTACCCCCTCCCTCTTCGACCACCCTCTGTACCTGAGTTTTTCCACAATTCTCCCTCGTTTTTTTCATACTTCATTATTATCTTACTACTACGTTTTAGTTCTCCCTGTTTTGTACTTACTATTACATAAATTGATTTTACTTTATCTGTTCATTGTGTTGTTGATCTCAGTAACCAAACCATAAGAAACAAAATGCTATAACTGCTGTTAAAATGTTTGCATGCGATAGATTGTTAACCTTTTTGGAACCTTTAAATATTGCTAATAAATTATTAAATAGAAACCTAAAGTTAAATTGATTTTTATATGAAAAATATTGTACTTGTGTCTTTAAATGTATCGTAATTATATGTAAGGTCACTTAATTGATACCAATTTTTTGTAAGTATTTAGAGACGTATTTAATGAAAAATGAGTGCATCGGCCTTAAAATCAACGATACCTGGAGTAGGTACTTCTCCAACATCTACCAGCCATTCAATTCTACCTATGAATGCGATGGCACAAAAGGTTGTATCGGGATCAGAACCAGGGTCTATGAAGCCTTTATCAGGAACTGGATTAAGCTATGTTACATTGCAACCACCCAGTCAGCCTTTAAGCTTAGTGCAAGATCATAGACCTTCCGTGTATCAAACACCCCCGTACATAAGCAGTAATTCTGAAAAGGATTCTGAAATGGAGAAATTAATTCCAAATGGGGTTGAGATTATAAAAACAGAAACAGAGCAAAATATATCTGCTACTATAAAACAAAGCGAAGCCAACAGAAACAATAATTTAAGTCCAGATAATCCTACGCAAGAGCCACAAAAAGAAGTTCAATCAGAGCAAGAGACAACACCTGCTAACTTAGATTTCCCTGGTTAGTAAAAGTATAATAAGTTTTCAATTAATCTTATATATTAATTAATTTTATATATTAATATTACTTATATTCTTTCAGCATTATGTCCACAAGTGCAAAATAAAGTTGAAGAAAAGAAGACCCCTGTAAATAATGGTTCAAAAGAATCTGAGGCAGTTCCAAACAATACAACTTTGCAAACAAAATCATCTACACATAAACCAGAAGACACACCAGTAAAAACTGATAGTCAAAAGCCAAAAGCCACATCTCAAAGCATAAAACATGTACCAGATAGTTCTGTGACACCGCAATCAAACAATCCACCAAAGGTTGAAACAAAAAGCACTGGTTCACCAAAAGCAAATAAAAGAAAATCTAGAGAATTAAAGGATTTAAAAGGAACACCAACAGTTTCGGATGGAGCAAGTAAACCAAAAAGAAATCGAATTCAAACGCAACCTTATCAAAGTCCATTGCCAGAAATTGCATTGCTTGTCAAAAATTTAAACAAACCTCCACCGTCGAAAGCTTCCGACGACAAACTTATAGTGTTCTATAAGTAAGTATGCAAATCGTTCATTATCTAAAAATATGAAATACATGATATAATAGTGAATAACAATAAAATTTGTTAACTTTTTATATTAATTTTTATTTATAAATTAAATTGATAATGTTGGCTTACTATCATGCATACATTAACTTTTGTTGATGTTTATTATTAGAAATGAATTTTTGGCTGTGAGAAATGCAGAAGGAAGCTTCTATGTATGTCAAGCAATGCAAAATATATACAAATCGAGCAGACGAATTCGTATACGTTGGCTTTCTCAAGACAAAAACAATGGAGAAATATATTCACCAGATTTTTATGATTTCATAGGTAATTTTATGTAAAATTGCAATTATAACTACTAGATTTATATTTTTTTAAAACTTTGAATTAGTTTTATTGTTATATTGCTGTATAAATCTTGTTACTGTATGTAATATAAATAGTGCATTTGTATACTTCTATCTTCTTTAACATTTCAGATTTCGATTGTATATTAACAAATCTAAATTTGAACAAAATTGATAAAAACAAATTCCAGTTAACCAAAATAGAGCTTTTACGCACTGAGAATATTTTAAAGAGAGCGATTGATGTTGAAGCTGGCGTGTCTGAAAAACCTCGAGTGACAGAGGAACATCCCGATGGCCGTTAGTATTATTTTATTTTAAACTTAGTAATTTTTATAAATAGTGCTAAAGTTTATTATTGCTAAAATATTAATGTTCTATCCACAGTTGACCTTTCACTTTACAAGGATGAATCACAGTTAAAAAAGAGAAAAAATTATAATTTGCACAAACAAAAGCAAAGTTTACGTAAGAAGTCGAAACAAATTGAAAGTTCTTCCGAAGATGATACCCTTGACGAAGAATCAGGGAAAAAATCACCCAAGTCGAGTCGTTCAAAGAAACGAACGGTTAATAAAGCATTAGCAATAGCTAAATCCGTAGCAAAGGGATCTAGTAGAGCGGAAAGAGCATTAAACAGAAACACAAAGTCTGAAAGTGAAGGTGCTACTACTGATGCTACTAATACCACTACAACTACTGTTACTACTGTTGCTAATACCGTTGCATCGGTAGATTCAAATGCAACTAAAAATAATACCGATGTTAAAAAAAGTGAAAATAAAAAGAGCACGAAGCAGCAAAGTAACAACACCACGAGTGGAGTTTCAAGGACAAAGTTACGGGGTGAGAATTTTTAGCGTTATGATTCCGATGTATCATGTTTAATAAATATGATAACAAAGAAACAATGTAATTTTTAGCACCTGCGCAGAACACATCACAGAGTAATAAAGCAGCAGGACGTCCAAAACGTACGCCAGCAGCTTCCGGAGTTCAAGCGACCGAGGAAACAACTCCCCGAAAAAAGCCACGTGGACGAGCATAAGATTAACGTAATTTGAGTATATTTCCTGTACTATGTTTAGGACAGAATCTGCATCGTAGGCAATATGTACACGTAGAACACTCTTTAAAAATCGCGATCAATTTTTAATGTAATATATATGATCTCAAGATTATTATATCTATCAGATGCTGCATTATATTATAGTCCAACAATGTGGGATCAACAATTTATATAACTGTGCGGTAAATCGCATTTAAAAAAGATAAAAAGACTCAGAGACTTATAAGAGTGATATTGTGATATCATTAAAAATTTGTACATATCGTCTACGTTTCAGATTCCAACAGGAGAAGAAAGTCACGGAATGTATGGAGAACGGTACCTTGGTTGAGTAATATCTACAGGGTGTCACACGCTAATGCACTCTTGCAATAGTCTATTTTTGATGTTGTGAGTGAACTGTACGTGATTCAGTTGCGTTTAATTGTACACTTTCCATTGGATATGATAGCTATGTACAAATATATATGTCTGGGGCTTATGTGTACTCTATGAAAAAAAAAAAAAAGAAAATGGAAAACAGAGAGAGAGAGAGAGAGAGAGAAAAAATAGAGTACGAAAGGGTGAGAACAATCCGTGAATTATCGATCTCCGAGTTATGGATCGGTAGATTTAGAAGTACAATATCTGTACATTACGCTGAATCCTTGCTGTTTATAAAATAGCATACAAATGGTCCAGCGGCTATATTAATAACAGGCGGAGAAAAAAAGTGCCCTCAACTGTAAATCCTTGTCCTGTTATCGAATCTATGGATTCATAAAAAAAAAAATAAGAAACCCTATGGCTGGAGATATAACATTTTTTCAATGTAGTTTATTTTCGAATCATGTCGATGAATTACTAATATAATTCATTGTTATAAAATTGATCATATTAATTATGGTGATGTTAAACTATAATTTAGCCACTCAAAACATATTATATTCCTCTTTCTTTTGAGAAGCAAAAAAAAAAATTAGCACTTATTTACTCTGATAAGTCTGGATTAATATGTATAAACTTGCTTTATCTATGTATTATTTTATTTTTTCAAAGATTATGGACAAAGTGTATATTTACTAAGAGATAGATGATTATTGATTTACACTTCACCAAATCTGAATTCGTATATTTTAATATAGTTTATAGTTTATATTTTATGTCGAATTGTATTATTGGGAATATAAATTTGTGTCTATGTTAAAAAAGGGAATTTATAAGAATCATGTTAATAAGATGTATATTGAATGATGAAGGTATCGAGACATGAAGTTGATTTTGCTACATTAACGATGATACACTGATATACCTTACAAATTTTATTTTACGTAAAGGGACCCTTATGTTTTTTAGGAAAACCAAGGATAAATTGTTTTTAAAAGGATTGCACGATCTTTTTTCCGTTTCCTTTAAAGAGAAATTCGGTCTTCAGAAATGTGTGCATTTAGTTTAAGCATCGGCCGTTGAATATTGCACAAAATGCGAAATGAGAAAGTTGTTTTCTCACTTACATGATTTTATCCATGTATGTACATATAAAGATTATTAGGTAATCAAAATTGTGAAAATGAATACAAAACTATATGAGCGTTTGGAATTTGAGGGCTAATGTATCTTATTCATTTGTGAGTGTGTGTCTTTTACATTAATTCTGTTGCAATATAATCAATTGCAAAACTTGTTTCCGCGGTCACTGAACACATGTGTACGTTGTACATATATTTCATAAGCTTACAAACGTAAAGTGAAAACAATTCAGCAATGCCATTTAAATGATTAGACACGTTGTCTTCTAAATAGGATACAAGGATCATTATAAATAACTGGTTAAGGTGAATGTAATTCTCGAGATGGGAAATGAATAAGATACCAATCCTGTCATTGGTCCATTGCATATTGTATTTAAAATATACACATACATAATGTATAAATTTAAAATATACGCAAACATAATGTATAAATTTAGTGAAGGATGAAAGAATGAAAAAAAAAAAGAAGTTATAACGATAAAGACCGAGAAATTCGCTTATATTGTTATTCGATTTTGCTTTTGAAGCAATGTCACGTTTTTTTGGAAATTAGTTGTATAATAAACAAAATAATTCAGAGGACGGTGCAAATAACGTAATAATAAATATCATTAATTAGCGTTGATGGAAGGTATGTAATATATAATAAATTTTCAAGTCAAACTGCACTTTATTATTTCGAGATATGAGATAGATTACACGACACTAATAAAGGGCAGCTCTTGATATTCTTCTGAGCTGTTTACAAATGTTATAAAGTATAATTGAAAGGAAATTGAATCGAGGAAAAAAAAACAGCAATGCATTTGCGTGCGGGCTGGTATATTTGATGAGATTAATTATTATTAAAACGTGTATTAAATCTCTATGATCGAAATTGAAATGTAGACAGTTAGATAATTGACCACAACAATCATGTTTCGCTTTATACACGATAAAATTTTTTAAATCATACTTGTCGGTTTGTTACATGTAACAAACTTTAATTTTTAAGCCAATCAATCCAAAATTCTGTATCGTTATTATCGTGTGATATATCCGTATTTTTATATTTCTTTTTTCATGATTGCATTCTGTCAGAAAAAATGAATGAAAAATCATTGTTCAAAATTAAAAAATGAAGAGTTAAAAGATATATACGTTTGCTGTATACAAACGTATATAAAATTCAAAGTACAAATAGTTTGTCATGAAAGTATCAGAATTTTAGTCCCAAATTTCGGGAACACTGGTTTAAAGTGTTACGTTAAATAAGATCTCAACTACCTCGTGATACGACTTATTTCCGCATTAAATGTGAAAATTTTTATCTCTGATTTCCGGTACACATGATTATAGAGGGACGTTTCGTTTTATTTGGATTATAAATTATTTTTATATATTTATACATATTTGAAGATACTTAATTGTTGACGCGTGAAACATCTTTCTCTAAATTAAATAGTTTTATAATTCTAATAATACTATATGTTAAGAACCAAGTTAAATTTATTAAATTTCATTTAATAGATTAATATCGATTATTTTAAAGTTTTAAATTTTCTATTGTTTTTGCATCGAGTAAGATGTTTTACCCGGGAATGTTAAGTATTTTTCTTTTTATTTTCTTTATAATGTAAAAAGAGAAAATTTTGGTCAGTTTTTGCGGTGCCAATTATTTTAAACTTCTCAAGCAATATTCCTCCGACATCTGTCTTCAGACATTGTAAAATCTATTATTGGCTATCACTTGACTTCTAAGCACTGCTTCAATGAATTTACAGCGTATGTCCCTAATTATTCTGAATGTCACCATTGCATTCTAATTATGTAAGAAGCACACAAACCATATTACGCGTGTCGCATCCGAATAGACATTTAAAATGAAGCGTTCGCGCGATTATCTCTAAGTATGATTCTTGTAAAGATGAATATTTACATAGACAAAAGAAACGATAAGGTACAGCCCACATGCGAAAATATCGGACCGTACTTGAAACATGTCAAAGACTGTCTTTTCGCTTCGAGGTCGTATGAATTAGCACGCACATTAGGAAGTACCTGCAAGTAGTCTACACCTGAATTCCTCGTGACTTTACTACGCTTTTGAAAATTATTTATTACTTCCAAAAATGACTTAGTAATTTTAATCTATTTTAAATTTTTTATAAAATGTTTCGATCTAAGTTTCATATTGAAACAACCGTAGAAAAAAGATTCGAAATGGCCTACTTTCTACCTACAAGAGGCGAAAGGACAGTAAATATGATTATGTGTATAGAAACGTGTTTCAAGTGGAACGGCCTGATTCCTTTTGAGATTCATTTTTCTAGAATTTATTCTGTACAATTTACACGCAGTTCTATCGTTTAGAAATATTTGCAAGGAATTTCAAATGTCTAATTGTACAACTACTGTGAACATACGAGAAACATCTACCTGTCTTTACTGTATACCGTTTTCCTTTCTGTACGTTATTACCGTACTTTTTATTGGACTAACGAATTACAAACTGATGATAGTTGGTGCAATCTATATGTCCTGTGATTTAAGTTCACGATGAATTTGAGAAATCAGCGTTTTTCAAACAATAAAAAATATTGTGAATTTGGTGATCACAGTGATTTTTTATTCACGTATCGCCTGTTTGATTTATCTTTTTAATTATTATTATTTACACAGACATTGTCTCTATACATTTTACATTTATCAAATTTAAATTTTAAGTTTTCTGAAACCCTAATATTCAAAATCGAAATTTTGTATCAGGAGAACATGACAGCAAAGAAGGTAGCATAAAGTTTCGCGCTTATCGCAGTCGGTAACTTCGGCAATGTCACCACAAATATTTACCATTTCAAACGTTCTGTAATACCATTATTGATTTTGCGCAAAAAATAATAGATAATTATTTTACACCACACTCCGCAATACAGTATCACGTGTATCATTTTTGTTTTGTAATTCTAATTTGTTTTTTTATTTACTACCAGATCAATACAAAAGTTGAATCAAAGGAGGGTAAAAGGTAACAATATAACTGAAGTTGATTTTTTTTATTAAGGTAAATTCATCACTACAGTCAATTTACTTTTGTGTTGTAGGTGCTGACTGATTGGATGATTTTGAATCTCGCATAGAAGCACTGCGCCTTCGTTTCAATTCTTCCTGGCGCCTGTTCTTTGCCTCCTTTTGCCTTTGTGCTAATAATTTTGCATAATCTGCTGCCTGTTGTTTACGGGCTAGACTGCGCCTTCTCTTCAAAGCCACCCTATGTCGTTTCCTCTGTAAGAACGATACATTTTTATTTATTTTGTTACGTATTCAACATTTCTGGTAAAGGCAGAGTATATACACAAACCTGCAGAGTACGCGGCGTAATAAGACGCTGAATTTTCGGGGCCTTAAAACGTTCTTTCTTGCCCTCCTTTTGAACTGGTCGTTTTATAATGAACTGACGCTCATCATCTTTTTTAGATAAATTGAAGAGCTTACGAATTCTGCTTGCTCTTTTAGGTCCCAAACGTCGTGGTACGCTTGTGTCGGTTAATCCCGGAATTTCCTAGAAGTTTACTTGAACTTAGTAAAACGTGTTTATGAATGTACATATTAATGAATGTATCGTTCGTACACTGAGAAGAAGTATATGTTACAGAATACAATTTCCCAAATCAAAAAACGAAATTTAATCTCCCATGCTTACGATGGTAATATAAGACACGATGTTAGTTCTTACACACCCTGAAAACATGGTGAATGAATCGATAATAACATAATAAATTAATACCTTCTCTCCTTTCTTAACAATAACAAGGGCAAGTACAGAGAGATTGGAGTCGACGATACATCCGCGAACGGATTTACGTTTACGTTCACCATCACGTCTAGGTCTGTAGCAGGAGTGTCCCTTTGAGAGTAGTAAGCGTACACGTCCTATTTACAATAATATATTTAAATTAATATTGTAAAAATTAAGAATTAATAGAACATATTTTACTGTTATTACAGGAGGACCAAAAATCTATTGCTTTACCATTTGTCAGGACACCCTGTTTCATTGGAAACCCTTGTTTGTCATTCCCACCAGAGACCCGGACAACATATCCCTTCCATTCATCACCCAGTGCATCAGCTTCCACTTCGGCACCCATACGCTTTTCATAAAAAATTCTTAGCTTATGTTCATCTGAAATCTCAAAGAGTTTCTGACATCCCGTAGCGGGATATGATACGTTCAGCTGAAAGAAAAAAACGCACATTACATTCTGGCCAATCTTTGAAGGTTAGTTTTAATATTGTTTATGGTTTTGTAATATTGTAAAATCATCATATTTTATGTTTTATCATTTTAACACATATTATTCAAGTCAATTTCAGTTATAATTAAATGAACTAATGTTTATGTTCAATATATAACAATGCAGTACTTATAACCAAAGCGGTATTGAAGAAAGGAATATATGACAAATAATGTACATGTAAAACTGTTTACTGTGCATCATTATACAAGCTTAATTATTAATAACTTGTAATTTTTGTAAGATTCTTGAATTATTTTTGGATACAAACCTTCATCGTGACAAGTACTATGCACTGCCACGAGCCAAGAACGAAAAGAACGTCTACCGCTGGAATTGACGGTAGAGTGCGCACATCGGATATCCGTTTTACGTGTAATGAATTTTTAAACTACAAATAATACTAAATAAAATTTATAAATACTATATATAAACGTCTACATACACGTTAAATAGTTAATGTAATTTGACATAAGCATAATGTGTCGGTAAACTGCATTTATTTGATATGGGAAAACTATTAGGGTCTATATTGATTTAATTAAAATTTTGAAATATATCCTATTATACGGAAAATAAATAGATATATAGTGTTTATTTAAATAGAAAACAGAATAAATAACAACGCATGTTATATTAAAAATATTGTTTTCATTAATATACATTATTTGATTTCCTTGAAAGTTTGAAACAGGAGTGAGAATTTTTGTTTAAGTAGAAAGGTAAATTATATTGTTGATTAATGTAATAATGTCCAGCAGAAAACAATATTTGTATAAAATAAAATAAAAATATGGAAAGAATTGCAATCCACGTAATAAGGTGGTTTATGTTATGACAATAACTGTCACCGTCATATTTTGTAGAAAAAGGCAAGAGTAGGGGGCAGCGTTCTGAAATTCCTACTTGCGGGCGTGTGTGACATTTTGATGTAAAGTGTCTTTGATGATTTTCGTTATGTATCGATTCAATACGTAGATATTTCTAATAAATGGAGTTTACCAAAAATAGTTCTACAAACTCTGTATAAGATAGGTAATATTTGAATATATGCGATTGATATTTTCTTATAGGTTAGGAATTGTTCAACCGGAATCTGAAAAAATGATAATTTATTTAACGTAAATACTATAATGACAGAAGATATTTAATTTGTTGTAATGGTATTTTTGTAGCGTAACGATAACTGATACATCTTTTTCTTTATTTTTGCGTACAAACTGAACGTTGAAGGGATAAAATATCATTAGCACATGTTCAATGTTAACTCTTCTGATCGTGTTTCGGAAGGAAACAAACAATAACAGATTGTTTAGATTTAATGTAGGAATAAAATTTAGTCATATTTTGCAGGAAGATATGGATGTGGCAGTGATAGAAGTCCTTCAACAAGCGGGTAGTCAAGATCCTAATGTTTTAAAACCAGCTGAACAAACATTAAAACAATGGGAAACTGAAAGAGGATTCTATACTGCATTATATGTAAGTTGTAATAAGTTTATTATACTATGTTTATAATAAAGTTTTAATGAAATGTCTTATAATAAATCTTGTTTCAGAATGTATTTTCTAACCATTCCTTGACTATCAATATCAGATGGATGGCAATTTTATGTTTTAAAAATGGAGTTGACAGGTATTGGAGAAAGAATGCACCAAAGTAAGTACTTTTAGTAGTTGTAATTTGGGAGCATTCAAATTTTAAGGACTATGTCGCATAATATATATATGATTATTACAGTGCAATTGCAGAAGATGAGAAAGAATTCCTTAGACAACGTTTAATAGAAAATTTTGAAGAACCTGTAAATCAGTTAGCTGTACAATTGGCAGCTCTTATTGCCAAAATTGCAAGGTAATCAACATATATGAAATGATTTGTATTTATTTTTCTATCAATGCATACACAGTAATTAAATGAAGTAACATTGTACAGATTTGATTGCCCTAGAGAATGGGGTACATTAATTCCAAGATTATTGGATGTCATAAGAGGACAAAATCCTTTAGCACAACATCGAGCACTGTTAACATTACATCATGTTGTTAAAGCCTTAGCTTCTAAGTGTTTACTTGGAGATCGACGGCTCTTCCAAGAATTAACCGTTAATGTGTTCAATTTTATTTTGAATTTATGGAACACATACACTGAATCCTTTCTTATAATGGCATCAAATGGAGCAGATACAAGTCAGATACAAGAAGCTTTAGAAAAAGCGTTACTTTTATTAAGAATACTTAGAAAACTTGTTGTAAATGGTTTCAATAAACCTTCAGAATCTCAAGATGCTATGTTGTTCTTAGAAATCGTTTTCGAACGCGCAAGAACGTGTCTTGAGTGTCGTTAGTATTTTTTAATTTTCAACTAAAATTATAGAAATAATCGTGTAAATATATTTTTTAAATAATTTATGTACTTTCAGGGAAAACATTAATTTCTAGGGGTATACAGATGGAGGTATGCGATAAATTTATCATTCATTTAACCAAAGTATTGTTAGGAGTATTAGAGATACATCCATTTTGCTATGTTGAGTTGATACCAACATCCTTAGAATTTTCGGTTTTTTATTGTTTTACTGAAGCTGGTCAAGCTTTAACATTTGAGAGATTCATTATACAATGTTTGAACTTAATGAAGGGCGTTTTATTGTCGACGTACTACAGACCTGCTAAAGATATCGAAGGTACGGATAATTATACATTTATTGTACGATCTTAAGTGGATATAGTTTCTTAATTTTGAAAATTTATTAATCCAGACACAAAAAATCCGTTAACATTAAGAGCAAATCAGTTGAGGCAAGATTTTTTCACACCTGAAACATTAACTGAAATTTGTTCAAGACTCGTGACACATTACTTTCTTTTAACTCCTGCTGATTTGGAGTTATGGGATACAGATCCAGAGAATTTCGGTAAGCGTTAACTCGTGTACGTGCAAATGTATACACATTATGTGTTTTAATTATTAACTGTGCGATGATTAATTTTAGTTGTTGACGATTGCGGTGAATCATGGAAGTACAGTTTAAGGGTAAGTATTTTAAGTACCATTTGTTATGACAATGTATATCAGATATTTACGTGTTTTATAATTAAAATTTTGTTTTTAGCCTTGCACGGAGTCTTTATTTTTAGCGATTTTCCATCGCTTTAGAGAAGTTCTTGCAACAGTGTTAGTCGGGTTGATGCAAAGTCATCATCAACCTGTAGATCCAAATAATTTGCATGCTATTCTATTAAAAGATGCAGTATATAATGCAGTTGGTTTGGCTGCTTTTGATTTATATGATGAGGTAGGGACAAAGTATTTCAAAGAAATCACTGTAAGCAGTCAATCAACCAGTTATCATACTTGTATGTATTAGGTAAATTTTGATCAGTGGTTTTCAACAACTTTAAAAGAAGAATTGAAAATTCAAAGTAATAATTATAGAATTATTAGAAGACGTGTATGTTGGCTTATTGGCCGATGGACAAGTAAGTGTATTTAAAAATTTTTGTTTTATCAAAGTGAACGACGAAATTCACTACAAATAATACTTATTTTGATTATAGTTAGCTTAAATGTTGCATTACAATTACAGGTGTAAAATTAAGTGCAGAACTTAGACCAGAGTTGTACGAGCTTATGGTTGAAGTTCTAAGTCCTGAAGAAGATTTAGGTGTCCGTTTGGCAGCAAGCGATGCATTGAAACTTGCAATAGACGATTTCCAATTTAATCCGGAAGAATTCTCTCCTTATTTAGAGCCAGCGTTTTCTTTATTATTTTCTCTTTTGAAAGAAGTAAAAGAATGTGATACGAAAGTATGTGGTTATATGTCATTTTTTAAATTATATTTTACTTCGAGGTAATATTATTATAATTATTTTTAGATGCATATTTTATACGTGTTATCGTTTATGATCGAACGTGTTGGTAATGAAATCAATCCACATGTTGGAGCGCTTAGTTCATATCTGCCGGCTCTTTGGCAACAATCCGAAGAACATAATATGTTAAGATGCGCTATTATTTCAACACTTATACATCTAGAAAAGGTAAGTAAAGTTAGTCTATTAAATTTTATATTTTCTCTAATGTGTTATATTTTTATTATATACAGGCATTAGGCCCTGACAGCGTTGTTCTGGAACCACTGGTAGTAGGTGTCATTGCATTAAGTTGCGATGTTAACCATGAAAGCCATGTTTATTTGTTAGAAGACGGGTTACGGTTGTGGTTAACTTTATTGGAAAACGCACCTGCACCAACACCAGCCGTAATGGATTTGGCTAAAAATTTGCCCGCTTTATTAGGTCAGTAAATGATTTCATATATTTTTATTAATGAACGTCGTCGTAAATGTTCCGAAGATTAAAAGTACTTTGATATGTTTCAGAACAATCCTACGAAAACTTAAAATTATGTCTGTACATAGTTCAAGCATATGTAGTATTAAATCCTCAAGAATTTTTAAGTCAAAGGGGAGCACTCATAATCGAAACGCTTAGGTCACTTCTAGGAGATCTACGAGCAGAGGGAATATTAATGATTATGATTGTACTTGAAATCTGCTTATGTGCTTCACCCCGACAAAGTGCAGAACTGATTAAACCTGTTTTAATATATATATTTGAGTAGGTATAAACGTTCAAAATTATCACATTAAATTTACGTATACGTAATAAACTTCAATTTAATTTTATAGGAACGCATATAAAGGCGAGGACTCTATAAAGTTGATGACTATGTATTTATCTATTATAGCAAGAGTTTTATGGTTTTATAAAGATATTTTTATACAGGTATTCGGTTTTATACATAATATTCATTCAATTACTAACTTTGCCTATGTTTCCAATATTGAAATTTAATTTTACTTATAAATTATTATGCAGATAATAAGTGAATTGACGAGAAAAGTGGCCGGAAATGAAGGAAGGGAGGAAGCTGTACTTGGACAAATAATACGTGTATGGGTTAACCGAATGCCATTTACTTTTCAGCCAGAAAGACGTAAATTATTAGCTCTTGCACTCTGTTCACTCCTTGGAGCGAACAGTCCTCCTAGCGTTCTTCAACACTTCCCACTAATAATATCTAATATCGTCGAAACTCTTAATGATATGACTAAGTATGATAATATAGGATACGATATCGAACATGCTATTGAGTACGTAAGAATTTCATATAAATTATGTGTAATCATAAAGAATAATACAGTAATATGTATTATCTTTCTTATCCCAGTTCTTTATCGCTTAGTGGACAACCAAGTCCATCGCAATACGAGGACGAAGATTATGGAAATAAACACGAACAGCGGAAAAAAAGGCTTGCTTTCAGTGATCCTTTATCTCGTGTATCTTTAAAAGATACGTTACAAAATCAGGTACAGTAGCAGCACAGTTCATATGTATAATAAATCATAATGTTATTCATGATTTGTTTTTCATGTTTCCAGTTAATTGCACTGCGCAGGTTAGTTGGAGATAATCAGTACAGCCGATTAATGTTAACTATTAGTCCTGAAATTGAGGAACAACTTAAACACTACGTATCTATATGAAAAAAAGAGTAAGTCAAGTTAAAAAACAAAAAAAAAAAAATATTAAATTAAGCGCGATATTACATGTAAAAAAAAGCTTTACGACGCTCTATTGTAAAACGGCACTATTTTATTGTATAATACTAGCTGTTTCACTGTACTAATAATGTTGATAATAAAAAATCTCATGTCATTTCAAATTTATTCCTTTCTAATCGCTGTTAAATGACTATACATTTTTGTAGTAAACAGTTATGTTTATTAGAAAGATGTATTATCTAAAGTAGGCGTTGGATGGTAAACAAGTAGTATCTATCGGTGAAAACGTATTTGTAATTTATAATTTCTCCCGCTTATTTTTTTTTTTTACACTTATGATTCATCTTTGTTAGCAGAGCAATCTCTCGTCGCAACTGGTAACTACAAACAGCTGTCGTCTGTGTCAAACAGTAGTAAAGGGTTAGCTCGATCCCAGTTTTAAATAGTGTACTGTTCTTACTAAATCTTGGTACGGTGAGTGTATTAAAACATCATATCTATTATTTTATATAGAATTTCCATATTTCATTATGTATACAAAGGAAATCTTCAAATTAATGAACTTATTCGGTACATTGGTAAAATATAAATTTATTTGTTTAGTTGAACTTTTTAGTCAACATATTTGATTTTTTCGTTTTTGTATACAAAAAATAAATTAGATATATATTTTAGCATTAGATACTTATGAATTATAAAAAGAATTTAAGAGTAATAATAAACATCGAGAAGACGCCATATTCACTATTAATTGCTTACAACAGCATCTATGATTGGTTGTATAGTATCATTATTATTATTGCAATTTTAAATTTTTATATAACGTGTATACCGGTTGGTCACACTAAAAGTGTATGAAATTATTGTTTCACATACAATTTTTAAGGTATTACTTGTTTCATTGTTAGTTTCAAGTATAACCTACTTTTTTGATCTTTTGAAAGATTCAATTCATAAACGTACGCCTATGTACAATTTTTTTTACTAAAATTGTTGTAAAGCAAACACGACAATCATTAGCTTGTACCATTTATTTAATTGTTTAATGATTTTCATATTTATGTAGAGTTACCATATTTGGAATTTACCTGTAACTGTAACAGGTGTAGTTGTTTACTTTACGATTTTTCCACTAATTGAGCACGTTAAAATTAGTACTTATCAATTGAATCTGCAACAGATAAGGAAATCCAGAATATTCTATATCGTGTTTTAAACAATTTTTAATTCTGAAAATTCTATTTAATTTTTCCATTGAAATTATTCGCTATTTTTATACAGGATGTCCCATACAACTGAGTCAGGATATAAATATCAAATGGTAAAAGATAACAAAATACAGTCCCGTTGAAAAAAAATAAAATTGATCCTGAAATCTTTAAAACACTTCTTTTTTATCTTCTACTATTTTAGAGATATAACTTGGCCCAGTTGCATGGAACACCCTGTATGATAGTTTCGAAATTTATTTATTACCGTGCACATATTTTGTTCCTTTTCACTTAAAAAGACTGCTCGAATAAAGCTAGCATTCTTGAAACTTATATTTCCATATAAAACGAAGTACGTAATGAAAGTGAAAGTTGTTTCGTTACTCGAGATACAAATCAAAATCGCATTTTCAAAAATTGCAAATCATTCTTCCTTCAAATTAATTAACGAAAAAAAAAAGAAAAAATAAGATATCCTATAAATGTCATACGGTCGAAATAATTTATCTTACAAAATTTCTTTCTCAACTCAATTCAAACATCTCACGTTTCATTTAAGTTTTTCCATTTTTTTTTTATTTATTTTTTTTCTTTTTATTCGAACCAGAACGGGCTTAATGTAAAGCTGTTAGAAATTGAAAGTAAAAGTTAGGGGTTTGCCTTCGGCAGATTAATGCCGTCTCCTGCCGGACTGTCGCGTATTTTTAGAAGTATTTTTCACGAAACGTGTGGGGGTGGTTTGTACAAAGAGGATGTACACTGAAACACACGGGGGGCGTGCAAAGCGACAAAACGTTATCGAATGATAGCAGCACCATGACCCAGTCGTGTGATTCCTCCTATGACTAATCATTTAAGGTTCACGGATTTAAGAATTAAACATTATTTTTTAGATTAAAATTTACATTGAAAATGAAAGATATTTCACTTTATTTTCCTGCTATTTTAATTCGAATAAAAGGAAAAGTGGAATTTTTAAATTACGTCAGAGAGACGGAAGCTGGCAAAGATATATCATTATTATAGAGATAAAATCTGAATAATTCATATACATATGCCTGTGACGACGATAAAAATATTTTCATCATATTATCCCCTTTCCTTACTTTCTACGCTTTGCCGTGTTCCCTTTGTTACATTTCATACTATGACCTTTAATGTAGAATCCCTAGAGTGCTGATTTTATGACCGGACAACAATACACCACGTTGCGTTCCGCGTTTAATTAGAGCTTTGTCAAACCCACCAGTGTACAGAACTTGCAACACTTAGTTAAAACATCATTTCAATTGAATATCCAACGAGAAGCGTAATGTGCTTTTAATTAAGAAACGTTTGACGACTCGCGAACTTGAAGCATTTATAAAGTGTCCGTTTGAAAATTAATCTTAACTAATCTTGAAATCATAATTAACGTAGAACTTCCAAGATATTAACTGTCTTTCCAGATTTGATCACCAGATTAATGTTCTGATATTGTCTGCTTCTTTTCCACGCTCGAAGCAAAAATACTTCTTTGACCTTTTTCATCCAAGTATTTATCTTTCGTATTATAAAGAGAAAATTCTTGTCAACGCATCGCGTACAATGGCTTCGGTTTCATACTTTATACGTTCGAAGTCATTATAAAGTTAATAGAAAGTGACAGCTATAATGTTAGCTTAGCATTAGTACTAATTAATTTTCAAATCGAAGCTTTCGTAATATTCAAAATAACATTGTGCCGGTTTACCGGTGAACCGAATACCTAAAAGGGTAGTATAATTTGAAAGTTAAATATCCAATTTTTAAACGAAAGGGAATAGTGTAAAATTTAGAAAAGGAGAATAATATTAAAATTCGGCCTCTCTCCATGGTCCGCCGTCCAAGGATTGAACTAACGTGTATCTTAATTTCGAGTTAATCGCCAAATAGTTTGAGACTATATCGAATGAAATCACGTTATCGATGTGTCATTGCCTTTCATTGAGAGAACGTCAGTCTTGAATGGGAGCAGGTTAATTCAACGCTGGTATCGCCCTTTAGCACCGAGATGATTGTCGAGCAGGGCAAGGCATTCGGCTTCCCTGTACACGGGGTAGAAAAAACGCGCGAGTAAGTTCGCGAGGGTTGCTGTTTGTAACGAAGAATGCCAGGCAATTAACTGAGCGAACATAAGGCTAAATAAAATCGGACTAAAAAGTAAGATGAAAAGAGGGGAAAAAAAAATGGGGGAGCGAAGGAGAGGGAAAGTGGAGTGGATGGTAGAATCGTGAGAAAGAAGAGGTTAGCAGGCAAGGCAAGGCAAGGCAAGGCAAGGAAAGGAAAGGGTTTAGAAAGGAGAAAGAGCCTGCCACGCGAGAGATGAAAGTGTAAGAAAGAGAGGCGATGATAGGAGAGTGATGAAAGGAGGGTGGGAGTAAGGGAGCAAGAAGGGAGAGACGAGGAGAGACTCGTGGCCGGGTATCGATCGGCAGCTAGAAAACTACCCCTCGAGGAAGAGGCGCAGTGTGCAAAACCGACTACGTGCGGGTCGGTGGTGCCTGCGGTGTTGATAGCCCACGCGGATCTCTGGACTTTTTAATCGAGTGTCTTTCACGGCCGTGATCGTTTGTATTTTACTCTTGGTGCACTAGCCGCGACGATTATACGTTTACGACGTTGTCGGACTTACTAGGGACTAACTAGGTGAGGAGATCCATCTGCTCTGTCACCCATTCATTTATTCATCTACCTCCACGAAAATAGAATTCATTTTCCCGATATTTCCCTGTTTTTTTGCTACATTCTCTCCCTCCCTCTCAACATCAACCCTTATCGCATTCCGATCGCTGCCACGTACAATTTCGTCCCGACAGCGTGTTTTAGACGTTTTAACGACATTGCGAACGAAGTGTTGCGATAATCGTAAAGAATTTATTTCTTTAAAATCCATTATAAGAATCTCCGCGTCGCGGCTTCTTAAGGGAGACACGGTCTCTTGTTAATTCCTCTTCACCAGAAGCGACACGGTCTATTTTTGGAATCGTCGCCTTTATCCTCTGACAGAAAGGAGCCACGGCTCGTTGCAAGTACCGAGAAGGAACGTGCGTGATGTAATTTTTCGAAGTAAAACGGGATGCAGCCGTTTTGATTAGAAAGTTTGCCGCCTGTCGGTACAGGGTGTACATGCACATGTGTGTGGGAGGAGATTGGAAAGAATCGGTTTGTCGTACAACGTGTCGGGAATGATTACATCAGAAGTAAGGGATGATGCTGGGAAAACGTGGTCGATCGATAACATTGAAAATCATCCGTCCGCGGAACGGCTGGATCTGGCGTAAAGCCAGGCTTTTTTTCTTCTTTTTATATTTTTTTAATTAACAGTTTCGAAATTTCTGTTGCAGGTCTTTTGTTTTCCTTCTATCCGGTCAGTGAGCAGCTGAGCATCTTCCACCATGGCGTTCGCGGGGTTAAAGAAACAGATTAACAAAGCCAATCAGGTGAGTGAGTAATCATCTTTCTATGGGATTTGCCGCTTGGTTTCGCAAAGGTTCGAGATTGAGATACCTTTGTAGTTACCATTTAATTGGAACGGTCGAACGAAGGGACGTTCGAATAAACAGAAGTTGATTGTGACAAAGGTCGTAGGTTTCTCTTATCAAAGATATCCTTCCATTCGTTATTGAGCTGGAATCGGGGGAATAAGGTAAATGTGGCACAATCGTTGCCTTCATATACGATTCAACGTGGCTCGATGCAACTTTTTGACCCGGTTTTAAAGTTCCACGGTTGAAATCTGGTACTTTGGCACCGGTGCTGAACGTGTTAATTCGGTTTGGTTAATTACAATTGAGATTTCTGTTACATCTTTCGTAATACGATTATGCGTAATTAAGGAATAACCACGTTATTCTCTATGCACGAATAACTTACCAACAATGAGATTCGTCAATTTTCGAGGACAGATTCATAAGTTTATTTAATTACCGTCAAATTAATTTTTCTGGGAAAATTCATTAAACAAATTCGTCAAAATTTATTTTAAATTTAATGAAATTTTTCTATTGTACATATTTGCTGAGTAATTTAACAAAGTTGTATCTTATGTAATTATTGAACGTGGTATAAATTGATCTTAATGCGGTAACGAGTGACACAAGTAGATTTTAAAATGCACTATTGAGGTTTCGAAGACAGTTTCGAATGTTACTTTCTTTTTGGAATTCTCGTGGTCGTTTAAAAATTTATCGAACCTCCGTGAGCTCAATTCCATTTTTTAATAATTTCATAATCATTTTAGAGCTTTAATAAAATCTACATTTATAACCGTATGTTAATTTAACATTCGTTAGAAATCAAAATGAATAAATGCTTAACCTAATTTACCTCGCAATATTGATTCCTATATTTGAATACCCTCCCTTGATAAAGATTGTTGCTCCATTACCTTCCACTTGAATACTCTTCCAGTTTCATTCTACTTCAACAAAATTGATTATTATCATTTCCGGTTTTTTTTTTAACAGCATCATTATCTCAACCTAAGCCGTTCATTATTAAGTTAAATTAAAAACTGTTATCCTTGGATTACATTTCACTTTTCATAATTAAAACTTTAAAAAAGCTCTAAAATATTTAAAAAAAGGAAAAATGAAATATAATCTAGGGGGATAATTAAATTGCTTTAGTAGAATAATGATAAATAGTTTTACTGTTTTTAATTATTATTAATTTTATATCGATCGATGTACCATCCATTTGTATAGCGTTCTGACCCGAAGACAAAGGTCTTATTCCCCTTAATGCATCTTGAGTGGAACAATTAATTCTTGTTTAGGCCGACACTTATTAAATTCGAGATGGAAAACGTGCATTGTCGCTGGTAAAAGGTCTCTTTAAAATAGGAAAATTTATACAAAACGACTATCAATAAATACACCGTGGATAGAAATATCAGTTCAATGGATTTCACGTAACGATGTAAATATTCTGGGAACGTCTCGATCAATTTTTAAAGACGATTTTATACGATGGAGTTATTAATTCCGGATTTGTTGGCTCTTTTAAACGAATCTAAGAAACGATACTCGAGTGGCATAAATTTCAATCATAGAAGAATAATATTGGGTTCATGAAAATTCATCGCTGAAATGAATGGAAATATTGTAAGAAAGCGGCCGTGTATTAATACATACAGACCGATAGTTTTAGCGATATCCGAGGAATATAAATAATAAACCTGATTTGATCGCGTTACATTGTCCATTCGGCACTTTTTTTTTCTTTTTCACATAATCATCGCATAAATTCAAATGAAATAGTAGGCGATATTGCAAGTGCCGGATGTGGGTTAGATTTACTCTAGGACGACGTTTAATCGGCATTGCTAAGCTACCTATATACGTTCCTGCGTGCGGTACCGTGTAACTAGGTCACTGTTAAAATAGGTCAGGGTCATATCAGACCACTGTCAAATAATCGTGTTGCTTGGCTTTAAACTTTCCAAGGATTATCTCATATTGTTGCATCGAGCCCGAATCATACGAGGTGAACGAATTTCCTTGGTCCCTCTTTTTGAAGATAAAAATTCAAATGAAAGCTGTAAAAATCCTTCTGAAGAATTTTCATTATTTCAATATCTTTGTTTTTCCGGGGTAAGTCAAGTCCCATAGAAATTCTGAAATTTAATTTTGTAATTTTGCAATTGTGAAATTTTAGGATCTTAAAGTTTTAAAATGATATTAAAAAAAAAATTGCGTCTAGTTTTTTTAATAGTCGATCGAAACCGCCAACAAAAGTAGTCGAAGAATAGCCTTAGGTGTTTTTCATCCAGGCTGGCAAAATTTCAAAGGCACGTCACTTTGGATCAATTGACTGCGGATGTTATTGATCCGTAGGGCTATCCTTTCTGCCACTGGCATTTTTTCCCTTTTCAAAACTTCCTATGATTATATCATTTGCCATCGTTCTGCCTACCCTCCGCTATATCTCATCTCACCGAAATCTCGCTTCGTTCCTTTTTCAAAATGATTTTCGTTTACGAGCGAACCCAACTATCCGCTCGTTTCACAAGTCCTCGAGTAATTCGGTGAATCACTTCGTGATTTAATCAACACGTGTTTCCTGTTTGCGTTCAGTCATTGAACTATATCCAGACCGAGTGGGCGATAGTTTTAGTTTCAAATGACCATTGTCGAAGTTTAAATCAGGTATTCTGTGCTTCACTTAACGGAGGTCCCACCTTGCAAGCCTTTCATTTATCAAATCGTATTATATTTTTAACAATCATTCTTCTTCAACGAGAGGCAAGATTATTTTTGGAAGGATCCCAGAGGGGTGAACTTAAATTAATAAATTTCACATAGTTATTGACACACTGTTTAATAAGATGAATTTTTATTTTACAGTATATGACGGAAAAGATGGGTGGTGCGGAAGGAACCAAACTCGACGTCGACTTTATGGACATGGAGAGGGTGAGAACGCTTTTCTACATTTTTAAGGCTTCCGCGACATGTTTCTGTTGCGTAGCGTTTAACCTTGAGTCAATTCCTATTACATTGATGATGATCAACTTTTTGAAATTCTCATTTAACCCTTTTGGCGCCTATAGACGCTCGAGATGTTCCCTTGCCCTGTGTTATAGGCGCCCATAGGGGTCCAACAGCACCGGGGGGTCAAGGGGAGATCTAAATCGTTAGAACCGAAGGATGCGAATAACATTTTGATTTATTTTTGTTTTTTATCTACAATATCGTATTGACGGTATATTGTTTTGCAGAAAACGGACGTCACGTACGAGTTGGTGGAAGAGTTACAAATGAAAACGAAAGAGTTCCTTCAGCCGAATCCAACGGCGAGGGCGAAGATGGCCGCGGTGAAGGGCATCAGCAAACTCAGCGGTCAAGCGAAAGCCTCTACTTACCCTCAACCGGAAGGTGTTCTCGGTGATTGCATGCTTCTTTATGGGAAGAAGCTAGGGGAGGACAGCATTTTCGGTACGTTCGTTTGGTCCACCTGTTGGAAATATCTTCTGAAACATTCTGGTCGTTATTGGGTCTGTCCAATCAGGAGAAAATGGGATTTTTGCTAATCACGTACATATGTACTTTATTCTTAGTCAGGGATAAAAATTGTATCTTTATTTCTTCATTAAAATCAATGTATTTAACTATTAATAATTATTATGTATTATCTTTTATTAACTATATTAGGTCATTCAAAAAGTTCATGCCGCCTTGTGTTCCTCTCGCTACGATACTTTTTAAATGGCTAAAAGACGACTTATGAACCTGCATCAAAGAATATTTTAATGAAACAGTTTTGCACCAATGTCATTGTGTCTTTGAGAAAGAAATGAGAAGAAGCTGTAGAAAGATTATGCTTTCTTCATGATATTTAAAGGTACGTTCATTATTTTGATCTAACCATTGGTTTAAAATATGGCACGAACTTTTGGGATCGCCTAATGCATAGAAATGAAATTTTTAATCGGTACCATATTTAATGCACACTGATTCAATTATTTTTCTAATCATGTTCCAACTTTTGGTATATTAGATAATGCAATGTCAGTATAGTTTACATGGAATGTTTCAAAAAATTAAAACAGTAGTAATCTCAATGAATATTTAACTCTTTGGGTTATAATATCAATGGCAGAGGCAACTTTCTTTAAGCATCTTACACTAAGAATAAGTAGACGCATAAATATGGATCCAAGTAAGCGGTAATTTCTGTCATTTATCTTTTCTAATTTCTGTTCATAGCTCAGGCTCTTATTGAAATGGGCGAAGCGATGAAGCAGATGGCGGACGTGAAATATTCGTTGGACGACAACATTAAGCAAAACTTCCTTGAGCCTCTGCACCATTTGCAGACCAAAGACCTAAAGGAAGTAATGGTATGTGGCGGTAGTTATTAAAAAAAAAAAACTTCTTTTCCTTCATTTCCAACACTGTTGTTCCATTTGTAACACACGGTGAATATACCTGATAATCCCTTTTGTTTCAGCATCATCGGAAAAAACTTCAGGGACGAAGGCTGGACTTTGATTGCAAACGAAGACGTCAAGCGAAAGGTATACTTTGTCGCACGTTGACTTTATCTCTCTTTCTCCGCGTCGTTATTGATTTATTTAAGTACAACTTCGAAGGTATACGCGCGTCCTTGCAACACGAAAACTCCATACGTTCCATTTGCAATTATAATTCTGGGAAAGAAAAATGTAAAAATGACACTGTTGCACGATTTAGACGTGCCTTCCCCTCGTTTTCACCGTTCAACATTACAGTCATTCCATTCGCACGTTTTGCTGCATGTACGCATTTGTTATTTTCATCTATGAATTAGTTGTTCAATGCCACGATTAACAAAATAATTTTAGATTGTATATATGAAATATTCTTGTTTCATATCAGATTCATTTTAATTACAGAAACATGTTAAACATGCAGATTAATAATTTCAACAAGAATTATGTTACAGTTTTCACATCTCATCTACTTTGTTTGATCATAGTTGAATATTTATTTGCAAACGACGATTTTCTTAATTTTTTCACAAAGAAAGATTGGTTTTGTTTTTGGTTTGTGTGTTTGCCTTAAACGTTAGCTGCTGGAAAAAGATCAACCAGCCCACATTTTGGAAGTCCAGCAAAGTCCTCGTCACCGTATACCGGTACGTGACTTGTACACTAGACGTGCAACAGTAATACAGTTACATCACTGTATTCATCATTTTCTTGGTCTCTTTTAACCCTTGTATATTGGAAACTTGTAAAAATTATCTTAAAATCACCCGATCCCCTTCTACTTATGTTTTTGCATAGTTTTTGAAAAGTGTACATAGATTCACAGCACAGTAAATGATGAACGTTATGGATAGTTGTATAAAATACACAAAATACACCAGATGTAAATATACATGTGCACCAAAGATATTGCGAATGTTAAATGTATTGTATCTTGTATATTACTGTGTTAGAAGAGAAAGAACGTCGTTTGGTTCAAACATTTAGTCGTTATACTCGGCTTAATTTTGTCAGCTTTTCCCTCCCCCTTTTTCATTGTATCTATAACATACCGAATTTAGGCATTGGAGCAACCCATGTAGTGCAATTTTTAATATTCTCGCTGGTGCGAATTTTGCGAGCAGGTTCTCACGTTTCAGACGACGAGATTCGTCAGGCGGAGGAAAAGTTTGCAGAAAGCCTCCATTTGGCCCAATTGGGCATGTTTAATCTGTTAGAGAATGATGTAAGTGTTGTAATAAATAATACTTTAATCCTTTTCATGTATCACATATTCTTACATGCGTTTAATATTATTTCTTTCTTGTTCCATTCAGGTAGAGCAAGTAGCACAATTGGCAACATTCAGTGAAGCTCTTTTGGAATACCATCAACAGTGTACTGAAGTTTTAAGAACATTAACAGAGACACTTTTAGAGAAGTATGTATTTCAAGTTTGCATTTAAGTATTCATTCTTGTTTAAATATTAAGAGATTATTTATTTACTTTCATAAATAGTAATATATTTCGTATAATATTTAAATAGATAAGAAGATTCTTCAGGTTTCTTTATACAATAAAACTTTGAGAAGTTCTTTCCTTTATTGTGAAGACATACTGTATCGTTATCGTTCATTGTAATCATTCCAAGTTCTAATAATGTCCTCATTCTTGATTCCAGGAAAGATGAGGCAGCAAATAAGCCAAAACTGGAATTCGTGCCGAAGACGTTGGCCGACTTGCAAGTTGATTTGCCTACATCGGATGCTATGAACGGTGGGAACTTCACCTTTCACGGTAAAACACATTTTACACATACACGTACAAGGTGATGGTACTTGGGGGTGGATTGGCTGTCTGTTTCTTGTTTCCTCTGTTATGTTTCTCTGCATACCCTGCAATTATTCACTCTGGTCGTATACGTATCACGTATCTCTTTCTAACTAAATTTCCTTTTTCATTTCTCTGACTTTTTCCACTTTCTTGCATTCAAAGGAAGTCGTTGCATTCACATGGGTAAAAAGTAACACGATACTGTTAATTTGTAAGAAGTTTGTTTAATTTTAAAGGGAGTAAGCTGATGGTAGATTTAAATTATGGTGTGATTGTTACTAATAGAAATTGCAAGTCAATTGTTACATCTCCATGCATAGTATACATTAACTTCAGGATACTCTGTACAATCCTTAATACATTTTCACTACACGTTTGACCGTTTTGTGTGTATACTCTCGCATACTTGAATCTCTGTCCTTCTGACACGATGCAGGGGCAAGTCGAGCTGGGTCTCCGATTCAGGGGGATGTGAAGCGCTCGCAGCTCGAGCTATTTCCAGCCGGAAACCCGCCACAATCTGCCAATGGTAAATTTTGCATGGGGTTGGTTTTCCCTACCGTAGGGTTCGATCAATCTATTAATTATTCAATTTCAATTCTCTTGCTTTTCGTGCACTTCAAGCCGGCCAAGAAAGTAATTAATGTTTTGCCATTTTTATGTATCTCTATTGATGTATCTTTTACTTAGCCTAACAGTCTTTAATCAACATGCATGTTACCAATTATTCTATCTCCTATTATTGTGCTATGTTATGTATCTTTTTTTAAAGAACCTTGTGTTTTCTAATTTGACAGATATGCAGCTTGCATTAATGTTCCAATGCTTATTTAATCTATTTATTTTAAATGTTTCTATTATTTCTATAATCTGTTTGGCTGTACAAACAATAAGTGCTTATAATTTTTTAAATCAAGTATGTGTTATTTAACTTTGATTTATAGTTACATGTAGCAGAATAATTACTTTAGCCTGAGAGAAAGAATTACAGTTATAGTTTAAGAGTATTTTATTATAGTATAATCCAAATATTAATGTGAGTCCATTTTATGAATTGGTCTAGTTTTTAGCATAAATGAATATTTTTACCAGTCATTACCCCTTACATTTAATTTTTCTCTGTATATTTCAACTTATGAAACAAGTGTTTAGATACCATAGTATTCTGATTATGTGTTTAGGACTTTTAGGCCATTAAGTATGATGTTTTAAATTAATAGAAAAATTTCAATGCTTTCCAGCTTCTCCCTTGCCATCTCCAAGTAAATCTCCTGCAAGAACTCCAATGACAAGACAACCTTGCTGCACAGCCCTTTATGATTTTGAGCCAGAGAACCCTGGAGAACTTGGATTCAAAGTAAGTACAACAGAATTATTGCTTTGTTCTGTCTTTGCGATATTTTCTCTTAATTAACTTTTCTCACCGTCTATTCCAGGAGAACGATACGATCACTTTGATCCAAAAGATAGACGAGAATTGGTACGAGGGTAGCCTGAACGGTCGCACGGGTTATTTTCCAGTAACTTACGTGCAAGTCGTAGTGCCATTACCTTAAGAGGACGCGGTGCGTCTCGAAACCAAAGACCCTGCATTCGTTCACCAGCGTTTATCATGAAAATTATCTTACACTCCGATTAGTCTAAATCTTTCCCTCGACACTTCTCTACTTCAATCATTTACGTTATAATCCTCAAGCTTATTCGAACGATGGATCCCTGAATTTACTCTATTCTGTTCCCTCTTGTTTCTTATTATCCCCAAGATAGGCTCAATACGCATGTTAATGTACATATATAATGTTATAGTGTCTTTTATTGACGTAAGGACCTTCGCGAGCGCTGATACATATTATACAGGGTGTTTTCAATCTGGTGGGACAACCCGAAAGGGAGTGAATCTACGTTAAAAAGTAAGTCGATAATGTAGAGTGAGATTTTTATTCATTCTTCATAGCTTTGTCATCGGATTGACAACAGCCTGTATTTATATACATATGTACATGCAACTATAAAGAACATGTTATCAGTACACAAAATGTATACACACATACACACACGCCTATACACGTCACATACGACAAAGTACCTACGATGACAGTACACTGTCAAGGGCGGCTCTTTTCTCATTTCCTACATCGCCTCATCTGTCGTCTGCGTAACATCGTTCGTTAGTTTCTCACCAAAGTTTAATTGCACAAAGATATCAGAGTGGCAAGACTGCATTGAAATTTGTATTAGCGAAGTACATTAGAAAGGCCATCGTCTGGCAAATGGTAAAAAATTGGTCGTACTTTTAGACACCAGTCGCAATCGAATTTCAGTTTTAGAACTTCGTGTGGTCGATATTCGTTGTTTGGCGTTCATATCATTGTTTTTATACAGTATTAGGATACTTACTAAATTTCACATAATCTAAAGTAGTAAAAAATGTTTTTAAAGAAAATGGCATATTCTTGTTTAGGCAGTCAATCCTTCGGGACATTATAATAGTTAATTTATTTTATTATATCGAAATTTAAGTTGAAATTTATCAAGTGTCCTAATATATTTGAGGGGTAGTTTATTATTCTGTCACATATTTAAAGCGCACGGTTCCTGATACGAAGAAGTAACGTTCATTGATTCATGGCATACATATATTTTTGCGTTGGTCCGTACGGCACAGTGAAAACCGTATAACTCGTATTATTAATATAAAATATTCGTACGTTGTATAGCGATTCGTTTCCATTCCTCTGTCGTATAACTCGGCCGTTTACTCCCCCCGTTACTTTTTCTTATTTTCCTTTATAATTATTTAGATGATACCAAATAGGAATTAGGCGATTTAATTTAGGCGATTTTTCAAAATGGCGGCGAACCTCTTCCACGAAGTCGTCGATTTAAAAAAGCGAACCATTAGAAATATTATACGAATTCTATTTTAATCGTGATTGCGTTTATTGTAAAATGAAATTCTTCGTTTAGAAATGTAGAATTTGTTGAAATTATTGATACAATAAGTAGATATGTTATTTAGAAATGAAATTCGGATTGTTTTCCTTGACTTTGTACAAGAGTTCAACCGCCAGAACAATGAAAGTAATTAAAGAAACTTGGTTATTTGTTGCCACGTGGATTTTAGGTAATCTTCAACAAATACTTGCTAAGCATAATATATATATATATATATATATATATAACGTTAGAGTATATTAACTTTACTTAATTATACGTATGTTGTCGATGACGCCGACAACGGTGATGACTATGACGATGGCATTATTATTATCGTTGATACTGGCATATTTTTCCATTACTGTTACGGTGAAATGTTTATATCGTGAAATATTCTTGGCCTTACCTTACATTTTGAACCGTTCCAAAGGCAGTTTCATACGAATGTATGTATGTAGTTGGTATCTGTAAATTATTGTGGCACTCTTAGAACAACGTTGCAGTACAAGGGTTGAGTTCTATGATGAATTTGTATCAATTAAAGTAGATCTACTAATTAAGGATAATGGTATACCATGAGATTAATTGACATTATTAAACTAGTTTTTATTCGTACCTCTTAATTAGTTGTATCTTGTAACGCGAACTGATTATATTATTTGAACTGTACAAAAAGATCTGTTGTATTGGAACGTTGTTTTAGTGTCGATACAAATTGTCAAGAATGGAACAAACGGATTGATTTACCGCGAAAAATTCTTATGAATTATTGGCTAATGTATTCGAACACCACAACTGCTGCTATCGTCATCAGCGTTCAGTTAATTGCGAATATGAAAAAAAAAGAGAGAGAGAGTTACAAGAAGAAACAGACGTTGACATATAATTTTGTCTATTGTAATTATCGTGAAGCATGAAAACTTCTTTCGAAAAAGAAAAAAAAAACTCGAAGTGTTATCGATGTTGTGCAATATTAAAAGTTTAACATCACGGTGTCTGATCGGTTATCGCGATCGCTGGATCAGTGTTTCTCAAAAATCGCGTGGAAAGAGCATTATTTCTCTTCGATTTTTATCTGGCCCGGTGAAAGGTGAGAAAGAAAACTCTCGTTCTTGTGATTTTGTCTTTGGCAGAGCGATGCGTTACTGGAAGAACGTAATTTTAGCGACTAGGTGCCATAAAAGACAGAAGGTTTTTATAGTTTCCGATTAATATAGAGGAGGATGTAATATACATATAACAACCGATCCAATGTACAGTTACGTGCAACTAAGGCTTTTTTAAGTTCCCTAATTTTAAGTTGAGTTCTCTCTGACTTTCCGTCATTCCCTTAGCTCTCCCTGGGATCTCCTTAGGTTCTCCCACGACTGAAGGCAACCGATTAGAGGATCCTTTCCATACATTTACCCTTTACCAATGGAAGTTTACGTTGCACCCAACTGTACATTACAGCTCAAAAGTATTAAAATACTTACCATGTTCCATGTAAGCTTTAACGAAAAATTTGGAACACTTATTCCTTCAGATGGTTTCTTAGACCAGAGTCCTATTTTTTTTTTTAAATTGATGTTAAATTAATATCAGAAGAGGTGTAGATTTGTATGCAAAGGCGTTCTATAAGTATGAAGGAATAGAGTAGTTATTGCATAAACTTTTGATCAATTAAGCCTGGGCTAGATTAATAAAATAAGTGGTAGATTATATTAACCCTTTGAGATCGTAAGTCGGGCTATGCCAAATGAGTAAGTGTTGTAATACTTTTGAGTGGTAATGTAGCTGTTTGTCACAAATTGTGATAATTAAATGTTCTTTCAAGCGCGAGCAACTGCCAGGAATTTTGTCAATTAATAAAAGTATGAAAATCAGCGAGATACGGGTTGCAAGCGTTTCCAAATAAAGAAGTAATTGCTGGTTATAATTTGAAAGTCTTGTAACTCGTGTTCACGCGTAAACGATAGCAATATAAGTAATATATTCTTGGAACGAGAGATATATCACGCAAAGTGATGGGGTACCGTTTGAGAAACACTGTACTGGTACTTACAAGAACCACTGTAATTAAAAAAAAAAAAAGAAAAAAGAGAAAAACAAAAAAAAATCATATTAATGGGAGATTAATCGATTGGTCGCGCGATATTTATTTTCGCAAGTTCGCAGCCTGGTTAGCTGCTCAGGGACCTGCGGCTAATTTCATTATTTTCTCGTCGTGAACAGAACAGAGGCGATCGAGGATCGTGAAGGGGAGAAAAGGAAGAACGAAACGAAACGATCTTATAAAATTACTAAATCGGTATCTTACTCTATAAATGTTGGCTATTGTTAAATGTTGAATATTGTTCTGCGGAGGGCTTGCCTCCTTTCGAACGATCGAGCACGGACCGTTTCGAATCGACGATCGTCCTTTTTATTTTTATTACGTCCTTCTTTTATTAATACTAACGATAAGTTAGAGATGAATAAACTTTTTTATATCGTAATAACTATGCTAGAGACTGTTTTCGTAGGTAGATTTCATGTTTAGACGATATATTTTGCGAGGTGGAAGAGGTTGGGTGAGTCGGTACCTCGGGAGATCCATTCGAAGCGACAAGCTCTCCGCATTTTAATTGTAATCTAACTATTTGGGGCTCGAATAGAATCCCCGTAAAGTCACTGGAACATCCTTGGTCTCAAAGAAATTGAATCGTTATGGGCGCTTCCCTTTCTTTGTTTTTTCTTTCTTTTAGAAAACTCCTTCCTGTTTCTCGTGATCCTGGTCTACTTATATTTTGTAAGCATCAGAATGGCTGGAGTTCACGAGTAACACGAAAGAAAATAAGAATACTTTTTTATAACACGAGTATGTAGAATTTTCTTTGGTTGTTCTTCTCGTTGTCTCTGATCTCTCATTTCGTTGCTTTATTTTCACTCTCGACGAAGTGCAAAAGAGACGACCAGCGGATGCAATGCAGTGATACTTTCAGACAATACATTACAATTAATTACACTTATATTAAATAAATTAATCTATTATGATTATTGAACTCCGATCGAAGAACAATATACGAACATGTACTCGATTTCGGTCAATGCTAAATAATTATTATCACTAATTAAGAAATAAAGTGTGCTCTATGTCATGCTATTATAAGCCTATGCTTCTTATTTATTACATCCCTTTTTATTTATTGCATCCATTACATCCTTTTTTCTTTTAAGTGGTGGAAATCTTAAGAAAAACAACTTCAGTCCCTCTGGGGAGGGCCCGCAGGTAGCGTGGGGTGTCAGAGACCCCGGCGCATCCGTGGCGTTCTCTACCTATCGACCTGATATCTTCGGGGTGCCAAGGATCCCAATGAGCGAGTGGCGTTCTCTACTTATCGAGCTGCTATCTTTGGGGTGTCAGGGACCCCGATGCACCGGAGATGCTCTCTACTTATGCACTTGCTATCTTTGGGGTGTCAAGGACCCCGATGCACCGTTGGCGCTCTCTACTTATCGACCTGCTATCTTTGGGGTGTCAAGGACCCCGACGCACCGCTGGCACTCTCTACTTGTCGACTTGCTATCTTTGGGGTGTTAAGGACCCCGTCGCACCGCTGGCACTCTCTATTTATGCACTTGCTATTTTTGAGGTATCAAGGACCCCGACGCACCGCTGACACTCTCTACTTGTCGACCCGCTATCTTTGGGGTGTCAAGGACCCCGACGCACCGCTGGCACTCTCTACTTATCGACTTGCTATCTTTGGGGTGTCGGGGACCCCGACGCACCGCTGGCACTCTCTACTTGTCGGGTCTCTATCTTTGGGGTGTTAAGGACCCCGACGCACCGCTGGCACTGTACTTATCGACATGCTATCTTTGGGGTGTCAGGGACCCCGAAACGAAGTTGTAGTAAATACATTGAATAACTAACATGATAAAAGAATTTAAATCATTTAAATAAATAGCTATGAAAATAAATTACGAGTATTAAATGACTCAGAAATGAAATAGGGTAAATTAATTAATTACTCAGTTGCATTTTTCAAATGATTTATTTATTAAAGTGCATGAAGTGAATACAAGTTTGTTGTCAAACAATTACAACAATTTACCTGACATGAACTAATTATAATAGATCATTAAATTTCTATTTATTTTGTATACTTCAAATGTAGGTTTAAGATAATTTAAGGACTGACATGGTTGTATAAAAGCAAACTAATAAAGGTTACTTAAATGTATATAAATTGTATGTATTTTTTATACACTTTGAATTGAGCCGAAATCCAGGAGGAACACGATTTTTGGGCATTCTTAAAAGTGCTCCAATTTAAAAATTAATTAGATATTCATTAAGAGGGGTCAATTCTGGCCTTTCTGGGTAAAGCCTCTTTGTAAAAAATCTACTGCGCAGCGCTAACTCTCTCCGTTAACTACTGCGCAGCCGGTCAAGGTTCCCGCGGGAGAGCCGAAATCCAGGAGGAACACGATTTTTCGGCATTCTTAAAAGTGCTCCAATTTAAAAATTAATTAGATATTCATTAAGAGGGGTCAATTCTGGCCTTTCTGGGTAAAGCCTCTTTGTAAAAAATCTACTGCGCAGCGCTAACTCTCTCCGTTAACTACTGCGCAGCCGGTCAAGGTTCCCGCGGGAGAGCCGAAATCCAGGAGGAACACGATTTTTCGGCATTCTTAAAAGTGCTCCAATTTGAAAATTAATTAGATATTCATTAAGAGGGGTCAATTCTGGCCTTTCTCGGTAAAGCCTCTTTGTAAAAAATCTACTGCGCAGCGCTAACTCTCTCCGTTAACTACTGCGCAGCCGGTCAAGGTTTTCGTGGGATAAAAGCGGATCCTGCGCAACAAATTTTCTTTTTTTACCGCCAGATGGCGCTGATTCGAGGTCGAAATTTTAGTTCACATTTTTGCCGCTAGAGGGCCAAAATCTTGACTTGATTTAGTTCCTTTTTCGAAAACCAGATGGCGCTGATTCGAGGTCGAGATTTTAGTTCACTTTTTTGCCGCTAGAGGGCCAAAATCTTGACTTGATTTAGTTCCTTTTTCGAAAACCAGATGGCGCTGATTCGAGGTCGAGATTTTAGTTCACTTTTTTGCCGCTAGAGAGCCAAAATCTTGACTTGATTTAGTTCCTTTTTCAAAAACCAGATGGCGCTGGTTCGAGGTCGAGATTTTAGTTCACATTTTTGCCGCTAGAGGGCCAAAATCTTGACTTGATTTAGTTCCTTTTTCGAAAACCAGATGGCGCTGATTCGAGGTCGAGATTTTAGTTCACATTTTTGCCGCTAGATGGCCAAAATCTCTGCCTGATATAATTCCTTTTTCAAAGACCAGATGGCGCTAAATCGAGATCTGAAATAATTTTTTTTTTTTTTTTATTTTTACGTGGAGGAAATCTTCAAAAGACACCCCCCGCCCCCCTGGGGAGGGGCCGGGGGTAGTGTGGGATTTATACCCACTAAAACCTCCACGGTGGCCTGCACTAGGACTTAAGGGAGGGCCCCGGGACCTTTGAAGAAGACACCGGGACCCCCCAGCCCTGGGATACATGTCGCGGGAGAGGGTCAAAGGCGCGACCCTCCCCCGTGTGCCAATCTCCGCCGACAACGGGGGCCACACCCGATGTCGGCACTCATCGGGCCGCGTGCAATGAGGACCAGGGCCCCAGCCCCGGCCCACTGCGGCCCTACGGCCCCGTTGCAGACTTGAGGGGAAAGGGCGGGTGCCCCTCTAATCACTTATAGTGTTGCCGTTTCAAAATTACACACGTTGGTTAACGAGACCAACTGAAGATCGTTTCAAGTCGTTCCATCTTTTGTTCGGTGTTCTTTAAACAACATCCAACAACTTCAAAATACTGAAACGGGCTAAAATAAAACTTACACTGTTTAAATGTCGAAACATCGAGATTCTACGTGCCAGAAAAATGATCTGCCCAAGTCGTTGCAAGGGACAGAGGATGCCGAATTTGTGTGGGGTATGATAATTGACAGATTTCCAAACGCGGCACCGCTCCTCTGCGAGATGGAAGCGGTAATAGATCGTACAGAGGATCTACTTCAACAACTACGTACGCCCTGTCGTGAAATTGGTAAGCTTTTTCAGGATAATTAATCGATTGATTATTTAAACGAAACAACATATTCTTTCTAAGAAACGTCAACCTCCTTCTGCACACCAGACTCGGAGGATTCGACCCTGATGATTTCTGCCGAGGATTCGATGTTAACTGTCAATGATGTAAATATTATTTCAACCGTTGCTCGGTTCTCGAAACTATTTCTATATCTATTGTAGAACACGGAAGAGAATAGTACTGAAAAAATCGTGGCAGAAACGCAGGTTTCTCAGAGCACTATGTGCGAAGAGGATGCCGACATGAATGGTCAACGCTCTGTACAAGACACTACAAGTCAGTCGAGTGATTTGTTAATGATATACCATCCTGAAGTTAAGAACTCTATCGTAGAAGAATTCAGTCGTTCAAAAGTTGAAACGGGTTTGTGAAATTTTTACGAAACTAACACTCTTTCTAGGACACCCTGTATACAGAAAATTAAATGTACATTTCACGGTAATTGGCGGGAAAATATTATGTAATAATTATTATTTGTTTAGATACAGAACAGGTGACAAAACATGCGCGCAGTTTGGAGGAATGGGGTAAAGCAGTGGACAGTGTTTCACGATGCTCGAACATAGGTAATAAAAATAATTAATAAAATCAATGTTTTCACTCTACTGAATTAATCGTTACTGTAGGTAAAGATCAATTGCGTAAGAGGACAACCGACAACGAAATTAACTGCGTTGATCGCAATGAAAGTAAAACGAGAGATGACAATTCGAACGGTACTTATATACATATTTCTTTTAAACTTTATCATACGAACCATGTCTAACTGCATCAGTACAATTTCTAATATTTTTCAGATCACCAAACGTCTTGCATTATTCTCCACAGTCAAAATAGGTGTCCAGACATCGGTGATTCTGAGATGACTGTGAACAGTCAAGTACCAATTGAAATTACGGACGATTCTGCAAGCGGTTCAATGAAAATAAATACAGCAGTGAAGTTACCTATTGTTCACGAGATACTAGTTAATATATAAGTACACATAGATTCGATAAATTACATTAATTAAAGGGTAGCGGTGACGAGAGTACTTCGGAACGGCGAACGCCGTTAAGCATTCTGGAAGGATACTCGAAACGATGCAAAGTTCCGATCATATACGAGTACGAGAACGAGGGTCCACATCGGTACAAGAACGTCTGCGTGATACGCGGCTCTCTAGGTGGATTTAGCGGTAAATAACATCGATCGATACTTCAGTCGATTAACTGTGTTATTTATGAAACATAAATTTTGATAGCAACGTGTAGAAAGCAAACAGAGGAATCAACGAAAAATGCTCTAGCCACGGAAATTCTACAACTGATAGCTAGTCGTCAGATAGCGGATATGAAACTTACTCCTCTTGCAAAACTTTTAAAAGAAGAGTAAATAATATATTACCTTAGCTGTATAATATTTATCAAATTATAATATCAAGGAACTTGGCTCTGCAGAATGATGGAGGTAATCAATTTAGGCATAGACAGTCCAAGAGAGACAGCACAGAAGAAGCTGTACCAATTATGTCTTGAAAAAGGAGAACAACTTCCCAAGTATTCTGTGAATAAAATGGAAACTGCTCAAGGGGTGAAGTATGTAGCTGTATGCAATGCATTAGGCTATAAGGGAGAAGGTATATGGAACAAATCTTACCACTAGAATATAAAACGTATTTTATATTATTTCTCTTATTTTTAATAATCGTAGGTCGAGGTGTCAGGGAATGCGTTGCCAAGAGAGCAGCTGCTGACGAATTATACCGTCAGTATTGTCAGGACACGAAGACGATATTGAAGGTAGACATTCCTAACGCTTTATTTCATAGGAATTCTGCCTAACTATAGAATTACAAAAAATATTTTCACTCAGATCTTCAGAAATATCATTTAAAATGAGCAAACAAATAGATTTTCAGTTCAATCACTGTTTAAACTCCGTTTCAATAGTCACGGATTACCTTCCAGCAGGTATAGAAGTTCGTCTAGGGTATTTTGGCGACGATCCAGGGCAGTTTGCCAGTTTTCCTGAAGGACCAGTAGTCGTAGAGCACTTTGACAATGATCAAGAATATCAGCAACGCTAGTATAATGTTTAGAACGTCCAGAGGATGCAGTAAATATTCTTCGTCCGGTGATACACAAATCTCCGTGCGCTTTAGGTCCCGTATCTTTAAAGAAGATATACTGTTAAACCATGGGATATTGCTTTAAAAATGGGTGCAGCTGTGTTGCTTACAATTTTCCCGGAATTGTCCTCCCCGTTAATACGGGCACATTTGACATCGTTGATGTCTTTCACCAGGGTCGTGTATTTGATCAACAGATCCTGAAAAGCACGTGGATCGAAGAATATTCTCGCTATATATTTAACAAGTTAAAACGCTCTAGATTTAGATTAAAATTATTCTACCTGGAAACCAGGTGTGAAAAGACAGTCACACCTCCACGGATTATTCCCCAGGTACAGGCTGACCGCGTTTCCATTATGTTGCAACACGTTTTGCAAAGCGTACGTAGGCAACTGAAACAGCAAGCACCTGAAACTCGTCGTCTCTTAATCCCTTAAACTATAATTAACGCGCTAAATCCGACAAGTGTAATCGAATGCAAATCCCCTCGAAACGACATTCATTGTCTGATGATTATTACATTTCTGTTTCAGTAAGACATTTTAAGTTACGAAAAACATGCTACGAACATCGGTCAGCTTGTTCCCACGAAGACTGAGCAATCTGAAACGATCCACCCAACTAGATCCTTCCAACTGGACGATGGATTCGATCAGATTGTCGTCTATATACAGATCTATTACTCCTCTATACGCAGGATTCGTCGTAAGTGGTCTCAGATCTTTTATCTGCAATACAAACCAATTAAATTTAATTAAAAAATTTCAGATCTTCCGGTTTTATAAAAGTATTCGAGAGCAGGGTATATCCTATGATCAAAGATATCATTATAGTCTGAATTAATTAATTAATTAAAATTAATTAAAATTCGCTAAAATGTTGTAACCTTGTTTCCAGATAAACGAAGAGTGGTCGTGTTCGCCGGCAGGAAGCTAGGCATCTCCGTCAGTTCGCGATGACTGCAATTTACAGAAGCAAAGGCCATCAGCTGTCTCTGAATATGCTTTCCTCCGTGACCAACCACGTATACTAGTTCACACTCGCACACCGTCTTTCTGCACTCCTCCTTCAGCGTCTGAAATATTAAATTTATGTGGTTAGAAATGCGTGAACCAGCAGCTCTTCGTGAATAAAACTGCTTAAATTGATTTTACTTTAATTATTTCTATGACCGGAACGAACGGTCTGCCCTCGTACGGCGTGGTGCATCGAAGACTGCTTTTGTCCGAGATTTTGCGACCTAAGGAGTCTTTCTCTTGGTCTAATATCCATCTCGTGTCCTCGGTACATTTCAATGGATTACCTGTTTAAATTAGCATCACCTTGAACCTTTCACGGTGATATTAAAGAGAGCATAAATACCTCGTATCTCACCTGAAAGATGAATATGGTGCAACGAAGGAATATTGAAAGTTGTAACGTTGATCTCCGCGATACTGTTGTTTCGAAAATCAAGGGTCTTCAAGTGTGAGAGATCGTTGAATGCGTTATCCGGAAGTTGCTGCAGCTTGGTCCCGGTTATATTCAGTTTCTAAAAATTGCCTTACTCTTAATTCTCGCGAGAAGAAAAAAACTTCCTCGAGCCACCGTTTCTTTATTTCTACCAAGAAAACTATAATCACTTTAATTAACACGGTAGTAGCAGGTGTTTGCTGTACAAAATATTGATCATCGGTGGCCGTGAGAATTGAAGCTTTCCGTGTTTCAGAAGGGAAGTTACTTTTCTTACTTCTAACAGTCCAATCTCTCGGGGAAAAGCAGACGTCAGCTTAGTCAGGTTGCTTCTAGCAATCACGAGTTTCTTCAATGAAGAAAATCCACGAAGAGCGTCCTGAGGATCGAACGTTTGTTCGGGCCAATCGCAAAGCAACAGCGTGCGCACGTTCTCGCCTCTGAAACGATCACGTATACAAATGTTTGTTTCTTCGGCGCTAATTTAACTATTTAAACTTCTATTAGTAAGTAATGAAACGTTGCTGATAATTACCTGAACTTCCATTTATCCTCAAGACCGTGAAAACAAACGAGACGGTGATCGTGTTCTTTGAAATCGCACACGGCGGTCTTGTTTGAGCTCACCTGACGCGAGTCACAGTTTTCTTCGCTCTTCGACGAGCATCGCACGTTAGCGAACGAAATTGTTAGCCTGTTCGATAATTATCATCTTTGTATTCATTTTTAACTAACAATCATCGAAAATATCACTGTCGTGTTTGCATGGTGAAAAGAAATGTTTAAACGTTTGTTATCTTTTGGCCACGCGAATACAGATTTAAAATCTTCGCTATCTAATCATTCCGTGAACACGGAAGCATGTAGTTTTATGCGCCATAATTTTACAGCCTAGGTAAATATTAGCGATCTTATGATACTTATCTAATCATCTTAACACATTTCTAAATACATTTGTTACTTAAACTTTTCTCTGATCATCATTTTCCAATTAGCGTTTTTCTTGTTTGCAATTGTAATTCTCCACCGTTTATGATTGTAATTTTTCTAATACTGATAATTTGAAATTTTTGCACAATGTATTGGTACTAACGATTCAATAGCGATTTGTATACTGCATTATTCAGATAATTATTTTAATAACATTATGAAGAAATTAAAAAGATATACTTACAAAAGAAAGTAGCTAATCATTGTCCGCATTTTAACTATTTTATTTATTAGAAAATAATGTCAAAGTTTATAACGAGAAAAAGATGGTCTTTTATTGTGTGTCTTCCATCGATCCATCAGGTTGAAACACAGACGGCGACTGAAAGCTGGCGATGCTAATAAGAAAATCGAAGATGATCCTCTCCTTTCGTCGGATGAACGACTAAGACGATGGCAGGGTTTAACTGAAAGAGAACATATCATAAGATGCGAGCGCAGACGCAGATACAGAATTTACATAGTACGTTAATGCATATTGCGATAATTAGATGTTTTCAGATGGGGAAAACAATGATTCGAAATCGTATGTGAGAATCCTGTACATTAAAAATGCATCTTGTAACCTTTTTACTTCATATTTGTAGTATATTGAATGTATTTATAACTATACTCTCTTATTCGTATTTATTTTTCGGTACAAATAAATAATACATTATAAATTTATATTTACCTTTAAATTTCGAGCGCGAGTTAGCGATACCTCTGCGGCCATTTTGTTATCCTGATACTAGGGGCAGAATTTGGCGCGGTTTTCAAGATAGTGATATAGTGCCACTTGTTGAAGCGACACCTCCTCGCCTCTCATGTTATTCCACTAGCCGGAGCAGAATTTGGCGCGGTTTTCAAAACCATACTAGCGTTGCATACTAACCTCTTTCAATATCATGCTACCATAATACTCACGATGAATTTTGACAGCCAATTCATCATTACTACGGAAGCGCCATCTATTAGGACTTGGAACCTTCTTTACTCGCGTGTTATCCTGATAGAAGAAGTAACTTTGGAGGGAAAATTCAGCCTTCCTATAGAAGCATACGATCGTTTACGATACTTTCTTATCATACATGTTATTTTAGTAATACAAGTAGATTTTGAGTCGAGTTTCGCGATTATCTTATTTTGAATGATGAATAATACGAAAGTACAAGTGTATGAGCGATGTAAATTAAATTAGTAGGATTTGATAATTTTTTTTTCGCGAAGGAGATAAGATAATGAATGGAATATGTTTCATTCGTGTTACCGCTTTGTTAAAATTAATACTTATTGATTAATTACTTCACTGAAACAGATTGTTAATAATACTCACCATTAAAGTGTCACCTATAAAAATGTATATGGAAGTTAGAGATTGTAACATTTAATACATATGTATCCTAATAAATCTTATATCTTGATAAATATCCTACCATTATAGAAATTATCATCATTGTTCTTAAAATAATTTAAATAAATGAAAAATATTTTTTATATGTTCTAATTTAACATGATTCTTAGTAAAAGAATATCAACGTGTCTTTAATAATCATAAATCACTTTTAAAAATTGTATAAGAAAATGAAGAAAGTTCAGCAACAATGAGTTAATAAAAAGAAGGTTAATTAAAAATAAAAATAGTTATAATTAATAAGCAATTGGGCGGCCATTTTACTGGACAAGTAACGACGCGTATTTTGATTGGCGCAATCCTTCAGGATTTGTCCAAAACTCGCATTCCCATTTACCAGCAGAGGTCCCGGTGTAACGAATGTTACCTTTCCGTGAAAGAATTTACGCTGATATTCGTACAGCACCAAAGACGGTTACAAATCCATAGGTTTTCTGAACACTCACCCTATACAATCGCTTTCACCCTTGTGCCGCTAAGTATATTTGATGTAATATCGGCGCAGAAGGTGTTTGGAATTCAAACTTGTGGAGCAGTATCGATAAATATCGTGGTAACGTCATAATTCATGTTTGCACGCTGTCTCGATTATATTTCGCGCCTAAATACGATACCTTAATACAACGTAAACTTGTTGCAGATTAATGTCAGGGATTGCAATAGCCAGGCTCGCCGAAGAGCGAAAAGCATGGAGGAAGGATCATCCGTTTGTAAGATTTCATTTTTAACAATTAATTTTCATGCTTTCCACTGACACACGCATTGGTACTTTACAATAGGTTGAATGACGTTTCTAGTTTATTCTACCATACAAAGTCATATTGTAAATAAGTATTTCTGTCTATAGTATATTTTGAATACAAACAGTACTTTTAAAGAACGCTTTTGACTGAGCAGTTGTATAGTCAGAATCCTAACCCTTCTTATTGACACTCATGTTTAGCTTCTTGACATAATACACAGTATCCGTTGAATAAATAGTCTATTGGTGTGATGTAGGTTAAAGATGGATTGAATTTTTCTTATAGGGGTTTGTAGCACGACCAATCAAGAACCAAGATGGCTCTCTTAACTTAATGAGTTGGGAATGTGCAATACCTGGCAAGAAATCTGTAAGTTACATTGGTGACAGTGAAGTTATCGTAAAGATTTATGGTGTTATATTACTTATAGATTCAATTTTACAGACACCATGGGAGGGTGGATTATACAAGTTGCGTATGATCTTCAAGGATGATTATCCTTCCAGCCCACCAAAATGTAAATTTGAACCTCCTCTCTTTCATCCAAACGTTTATCCGTCAGGAACTGTGTGTTTGTCGCTGTTAGACGAGGAAAAAGATTGGAGGCCTGCTATTACAATTAAACAAATCTTACTTGGTATACAAGATTTGTTAAATGAACCTAATGTTAAAGATCCAGCTCAAGCAGAAGCTTACACAATATACTGGTACTGCTTTTATTTTACATAGTTACAAATCAAAGTTAAAGTAGAAATAGAAATAATATTTTATTTTTCTTCCAGTCAAAATCGCTTGGAATACGAAAAACGTGTAAGAGCTCAAGCTAGAGCGATGGCTCCACAGGAGTAAGAGTATGTTAAGCCCCCTTATTCAGATATTCCAACTACATACAGAGGTTATTGTATACCCATAGTATATTCTAATATCAATCTATATTTCTTATCTTTTTTATAAGTAACATTAATATATAATATATCTAATTTACTGCTGTCTGCATTTTTGGTTCATCTGGCAAAATTTTTAGGTTTAATCTATATAGATAAAAAGCTAACTATGTTACACTTGAAAAATAAGATGTTACGTTTCTCTTAACGATATTATCATATTAAAATACAACCAAAATTTTCATTAGTGACATTTCATTGTTTTACTTGTATTTGTATGATGTGAGTTCAAGGATTTCTTTGTAAGCTACAATTTAATTCGTAAGTATTAGTAGCTATTACTAGTAAGACTCTAAAATAATGTTCGAAGTAAATTATGTAAAGGAAAAACGACGCGATATTGTTCTGAAACATCACGTGATTCTGCAAGTTTCAAATCATTATTCAAGTCATCCCTTAACAAAAATGTATTTGAAAATCTTGTAAGCATTGTACAAATCTTAAGGAATAAAGTATTCTAGTTCACCTTAATTTTCTTATTTTTAATTAAAAATAATGTAACTGATTAAAAGTAAAGAACTGAAGATAAATAATCTTTGACTTTTAATTTCATCATAAATGCTATACTTTTAATACTTGCCGTTAAAAAGCATCGATAACGGCTACGTGAATCTGGCACCCGACTTTGAAAAAATTAATTTTTCTTTACGGAAAATGACACGGAATATTTTCTTTGTAGTTGATTGTAGTAACAATAGTTTTCTTTGTAGTTTGATCAATTAATAAATAAAAAAAAATTGAAAAAATGACTCGCACCCGACATTGAGATATTTCAAATCCGTTTCTTCTATGTGATTCAGAATCGTTTGTAGTTGAATAGTTTAAAAGTTACAAGCGATTGTTTATACGCCTAAGCCAACTTCGTCGATTTTTAAGATTTTTAAAATTGACGAAGTTGGCTTAGGCGTATAAACAATCGCTTGTAACTTTTAAACTATTCAACTACAAACAAAATACTATCATTTTCCGTAAAAAAAAATGGATTTTTTCAAAATCGGATGCTAGGTTCACATAGCTATCAAAAACTATTTTGACATGGCACAGCTAAGAAAAAATCGAAGTGGATGTTGAAGAGAATTTCGATTAGATTATAACGATCGTTATAAAACTCTCTAAAAATATGTATATGTGTACTTAGAACCTATATACATATATAATTTCATTGATTACAATTTTACACATTGTACTAAGATATATTTATATATGTACTATATTTTAATAAATTCTCCGGTTGAAAAATATAAATGCAAATGATCTGATATTATTTATGGTACAACGATAACAATGATCTAAGAATGAATCCCTATTGTTCATTCCTCTCTATTAAACTGATATGTAATCTTGGATTTGTTAAAAAAGAAAAGCAAAGATAGATAAAAACCCGGCTAGAGGTGTTAAAAGTAAACTATTCACTGGATAAGTCCTCTGATAATCAACATTACCGAATTTCACTTCAACTATGTTACACTAAAAAGAAAAAAAGATAAGAAAAACAATTGGTTACAAAAGAATTAGAAACTTTGCGGTGAAATGAGTCACGACAATTGCTTAATACTCGCGTCTGGTGTCCTTCGGTAAATCTTTGTTACTACGACTTATACTGGCCAAGATACCTGGACTCTTAAGAGGCGGCGTTTCGTCTAACCGATTCAATTGTAACGTAGAGGTATATGGTATTCGTGGCGGTGGAGTATCAGCGCCATTTCTACCAGCTTCAACGTTGAAGCTTTTGCTACGGGACAAGGATGACTTGTACGTCCTTTCCGGCTTGGCCGGAGGTTGGACGTTGTTCTGCACGGCGAACTTCGGGGGTGTGATCGTGTTCCTTATAGAAATATTGATCATGCTCCCGTATCGACGAGTCTGGTTCGACGGTGGAACGTTGGGGTGCACGACGGTGGCTGGTTTAACTCCGCTGGGTACAGCTGGTTGGCGTCGCGACACCTGCGATCGACCGTACTGTCCACCGGAGTGCAAGTTCCTCGGTAAGGTTTGCGTGGTCCTCGTGTGGTCCTCCCTCTCGTGATCGTTCGCCAGACGGCCGGTGGACTTGCTAAACCTGCCGAGGGAACTGGAGACGACGCTGAAACGCGCCGATTCCGAACATTGTCTGAGAAAATATAGTCGTTGGCTCCAGCAGGTATAGCAACGACGAATTCGAAACTACATAGCGGCAACAGTCATGCTCCCCTTCATGCAGCCTTCACCCAGCAGTCGAACGTACGATTTAGACAAGCGAAGCACACCGTCTCCGGGCGCAATTATGTAAACGTGTATCAGCTTACTGGAATGGTCTTTCGACGACGCTCGTTGCAGTGGGGCAACATGATACCGCGTCTGCTATTTTTTACAATTAACTTGCACAACGACAGAGGGGGACTAACCCAAAGCCGTTTAACAGATTTTCTTTTTTTTTTTTTGCTTTTGTTCTTAGATTAGCTTGATTACCTGTACTCGGTCTCGCCGCTAGTCCTACAGCCGCGTGTCTGACCCGACCTCCTCGCGTCGCGGTATCCTTTCTCGCGTCCATAGATACTTCCACCGAAGGGATCTTCGCCTAGATAATACCTATGCAACGGTGGCGTCGATTCGCTGCGTTGCCATTGCTCTTGACTACCATGATCGCTCGTTCTCACGGTTTTCGTGATTTTCCCGCTGCTGTTATTAACATTCGCGTTCTTGGGAGACCTGGACGGCCTCTCCGGAGGCTTCTCCTCCACCCCCCTTTCGTTCACAAACGGAATGTTCTTGTCGATCACGTTGTACTGCATGTAGGTCGGTCCGTTGTCGTCCGTTTGAGTCAGCTGAGAGGTAGAGCTACTACTGGCGCGTTTATTCTTCCTTTCGCTACTGGCTGAACGCAGTTTCCCCACTAGTTTCCTGAACGACTCGCCGATTTTGTATTTGGAATGCCCTGAACCTGGACATTTGATTGAAACATGAATCTTACCGTTCAAACAATTAGCAGCGCTAAGTGCCTTTTGATATTTACTCTTTGCTGGACGAGCAGGTGTCGAATTCTCGTTTGATTTCTCAGTTGACTTTTTACCATTTACTGGAATCGACTCTGGTATCGGTGAAGCTGATCTTGATCTAGATACCGACTTCTTACGGTCCTCTCGTTCGACCGATGGTACATGGACATCCCGGTTTCGACTCTCCCAGGTTCTCTGTACAACGTGAACGGGACTCGAGGTCCTTGCCGGCGTTGAATCGTTTAGACTGATCCTCTCTTCGGATTTGGTTGCCCACTGAAATCAACGATACTTTTATTTACACGCTGCAAGAGAACGTTTGCTTCCTAATCTCTGTTTCCGCTTACCTGTTCCTTCGATTTCCGTCGAACAGGCGGAGACGGTACACGTTGTCGTTCGTGAAAGGATTCTTGATGTTCGCGACGAAGAACAGACTCGTACGTCTTCGAGTACGTTGATTCCGTTTGTTTCCTTGGATGCTCGTGAGCGTGGCCGTTTGTATGAACCGTCTCCACGTACTGCGACGGTGAACTGTTTCTCACCTGATTCTGTCTCTCTAAATAACAGGCATTAAACGATTACACGTAAAGTCAGTAAAGTATCATCTGTAAGAGGAAATTTTTAACCACCTCTTCCTTGATATCTCTCGGACCAGTCGCTTATTCCATGGAAGAATCCAGAAGGAGAGGTCGAATCTCTTCCGGTACTCCGTCGTTGATGCCGATTAGCATTAACATTCTGATAATCACGTTCCTTGGGCGCACAAGATTTCATGGTAACGTTGATGTAGCTCTTGTTGGTGCTGGTTGGGACAGGAGAGTCATCAGCGTCGATGGAACCGTGAGAGGAACGCGATTCGCTACCGAAATGGCTCTCCAACCACTTTGAGGTCTCAAACTTTCTAGCCTCGTCTTCCTCCTCGAAGTCCAATGGCTTTTTCGTTAGCACGTCCTTGCGGGCTGGAAAGTTTTCTCCTGGAAAACCTGAAATATTTCGTATGTTACAAGAGACGAATAAAGGAGAAGGTATAGCGATAATTGTCGAATTATTTTTCAGATCAAAGCCAGGTATACCAGAGTGTTTATGGAAACGAGTGGTTCTCATGGCAGTCGGTGATGGTGTCCAATCGCCGATTCGTTCTCCCTCGGTCGTCTCCGCGACGTAGCGCATCTCTCGACCAACCCTCTCGCCGCCAGAGATATAATCCACTATGTCCTCGTCCCTTTTCTTGATAAACCTATGAGAACTCTCCTTTCTCTTCTCACCGTCCTCGTCCTCTACATCCTTCCCATCGTCAGGAACCTCGTCGTCCTTTATCTACAGCCCGTCAGCGTTACACCGACGAATACTTTTCGAAAGATCTAAAGTGTACAAACCTCCTCGTGCTCGACCGTTCGTTTCCTCTCCGTTACGATCAGTCCGTCAGGTTTAAGTTCCTTCCTCTCGAGGGTCTTCTCGGTGTCGATAACCTTGTTCGACTTGGTCGTGTGCTGAACCACCCTGGGACCAGTTTGCGACGCCAACTGCTTGGACGATTCGGCGAGGGCCAATCTAAGATCACCCCGGTTGTTTCGCACCGCCTGATGGTACGCCTGTAACCAAGAACCACTCGTTATTAGGACGTCTGGACCAGTTATTATCCCCGTGGAAATCCGCACGCGTTCCGAAATCCTCGTCGCGATAAACCGGATCGTCCAGATCTCGCCACCGTTCCCCTCGCGGACAAGTGGAAAGAAAGGTGTATTCTAGCAGCGAAGGTCACGGTGCGACAATAAATACAAAGAGAGCCCGCGACGTGACCAGACGGGACATTATCGAGCAATTACCTGTAATACCCTTGAGATTAGCGATTACGTAAAACGACGATAGCTATTGAACTGAATCGTTTCGAGCTTATCAAATAAATTGCCTCGTAGTCAAATTGATTCGAATCACCGTAGCACCAGCGACCTCCGCTAATTTTAAGGAGCGACGACGAGGAGATACGATACCGGGAGACAGCTACCTCGCACGACTGCCCTCCTATCGACGGAGGAGGAACCAGGTGTTATCACTCCTGACGGTCACATAATGGTCCGTTGAAAACGAGAAAACGGTGAATCGTCAACGGCGAACGGAAGGACAGAAACGTCGGGGATAGTTAGTCCAGCTCGAAACAGCTGCTATGACTGGGATCTCAGGTGAAGGGAGAACGAAGCCGAAAGATCATCGACTTCCACTTCTCGACGAGCCTCTCCTCGTCTCTCCCCGGTTCTCCTCGTTTCTTTCTCTCTTCTGTTCGCGGTATTATCCCTACTTCGAATCGTTCGCTTGTACGCGTCTCATTTCTTCTTGGTCCGCGTCTCGATCGTACCTCTTCGTCTCTGAATCGCTCGTGCGCGAACCTGAGTACCTGTTGCTAGCGATGGACTGACTCGGTAATCGTTTCGATTCGCTTCGAATATCCTTCGAAATTCGACATCTTTTTTTTGTTTTCAATTTACACTGGACACGATTCGATGTCCCGAAGATCTGAATCTTTAATCGTATCAATGTCTGGAGAAGATACGAGTATGTTTTTTTTTTCAAACGGTCATCGATGATCTCAGCTATCGTTACTTTCTTAACACCCTGTACCCTAACACTTTCGTCCCGACCGAATTCCAGCTTAGCCGAGATCCAACAATGATCGCTTGAAATGTTATCGTGCCACACAGTCCTTCTCGCGTGCTCAACCTTTACCGATTTTATCCATTTTATACCAGTCTACCGTTACCATTATTTATCTTTCATCTTTTCTGTAATTATGTTGACAATAAGCTCAATGGACCGATACAGGTAGATAAGTAGCGTACGATACACCTGTTGCGTGGCTTCTAGGCGCAACGCAACCTTCCTTCCGCGTTCGTCTCTCGCCGAGTGGTTCATTAATCATCCCTCGATGACGGATCGCGATGCGTTTGACCCGAGAGACGAACGAGCAGCTTTTTTTTCACGATCGAACGGGGAATTCGCTTTCTCGTCAACCTCGACAATGGCGTGAAATACAAACTACACAGGAATTGAGTAACCAATGGCTGGAAAGCTTTCTCGCGTTGTAACATTCGGCCAGAACTAAATATAGTACCGGTAACATGGTATTCGAGTACAACGTGTCCGGTTTAAGCGTGTACGCTTATTTTCTCAAACTGACTCGATGGAACAATTACCACGGTACGTGCCACCTGTGAGACCCACCGTTTTAACGCTATTTTAGTATAATTAAACGTTACAATATCGTGGTTGGACCTGGTTCTCAGCAGAGCTGAAATTTCACCCGGCTACGTGTTAACAACTCGTTGCGTTTTCTAAAGATTTAGCTGAGAAGCTGTTTGCACGTTTCGATCGAACATCCTGTTTGTGAGTCATTGCTCAAACGCAGGTTCATCGATTATTTTCGGCAACGTTGAAAACACATATCTCTCGACGACAAGAGAAAGTTACCCACGACACACTTAACATCTTATCGACGGATGACATTATTTGTCTTTCAACTGAAATACTCGTTATCACTTACAGATGACACAGAAACGTTGAATTAACGCTATGACTAATATAATAGAAACAAGAGACGATAGCGTGGACTATCGAGAACTTTCTTAAAGTTGCTACCGATGAGAAAATGATTCGGTAACGTCGATAAGGCGTTAAGAAGGGAAACTTTGACTAGGCCAGAGGAACACAGGCACGTAACGTCCTTCGAGGATCGTGCCGGTACCCCGCCCAAGTTGGCCTTGACCAAATCAGAAACCGGCGTGTGTATTTGGAACGGGGGTCGGTCGCCGCAGAATCCGAAATTTCTACTCGCCATGAAAGGAAGCTGGCCAAATGGTAGCTCCGTATTTGTTCCTCGGCAATATACACGTGGGATGAGCGTTCGACGGAGAGGCGAACTGACCTTTTCGTGGCGCTTAAAGGCTCGCCAACAAAGAGATTGAACGTGAGCCCGTATACATAGAGAGAATAACATAGATAGACACGGAGCGTTGTTGTATCGTGGCACGCGCAGGTGGAATTTAGGTGTGGGTGTGTCGCGTGGATTGTACCTCGTCCGAGATATCTCCCAGCTGTTGACGATCCTCCGTTTCCAGCCTCTCCTCGATCTCCTCGCGACTCCTCACCACCGTCTCGTTTAACTCCTTCTGAACAATGCTACCACCGTCCGCGGAACTCCTTCCACCTGTTGGCCATTCAACCTCCTGCGGCTGATCGCCGGTTGTTCGTCTCTGAAATAAAAAGGTAAAAACGATGAAACGATATCGTAAGAGATTCCTTTGAAAACTACTAGGTCATTCCGTAATTAATACTTTTTCCTGTTCATGAATTATTTAATATACCGTGTAATCAATGTACGCTGGAATCGCTTCGATATAAATTTATAAATTTCTTAGTATTATTTTAATGCCACGGATTTCTAACCGGCTAAGTAACGAGAACGAGATTACTTGTTTCGCGTTACAGCTACGTCACGTAGCACCGATTTCAATTTAACAGTAGAGAATAACGAGAATGATTTCCGAGAACGAGATTAAACGGTATGTAATTTTCTGTTCTGTAGTAAACCGAAGAAATCGTACTTCTTGAGTGGTGTGTTCTTGTTGTTCGACATCCTCGGTGGTATTGGTGGTGACCAAAGGACCCGAGTCCACCACAACCTCGCCGTCCTCCAGTACAACCTGCCGCTTCACTCTGGTCTCTATTTGCCGGGTGGTTGTTATTTCCTTCTTCTTGCGGGTCTCCCATTCCTCTGGAAACCGGAAGCGAGTACTATTTCCACTTAGGCTACACAATGGCTCTGTTATTGCGCAAAAACAATCTTTCCCCCAGTCTCTCTCTGACCGAACAAACGCGAAAGGGAGAAGATAGTTAAAAATGAAGAAACAAAAAAATAGATACGAAAGAAGGATCGGCCACGTACAAGTGGACGTACTTGCAACGATTCGTTTCGCGACGTCGAACAAGAATAAAAGAAGCTACGTTCGCGCTAATATACAGTCGCTTAGCCCGCGACACGCCTTTCATTCTTATCTTCTATCCGCTTTATTTTCAATCACGACTCGATATGCTCGCATCGCGAACGAACAATGCATAACGATCATGTTAGTCGAGATTTACCTTCTTTCACCAAAGCCACGGAATTCTCAGGGTCGATCTGCAATGCGAAAAAAATGATACGGTTAGATGTACTGCTTCGATGCTATCGGAATGCAGTTTATAGACTAATTAGAGGTCCAATTAACACCTTACCTAGACGAAATGTACGAGCACTTGATAATACATTGCATTATAAAACCTTGTTAATCGTTCAGGTGTGTTAAGTTGTTCTCTCATAATCCATTTACATCGGAATAAATAAACGAAGAGATTCGTGTCAACGACGTATATATATATATATACATCATTTAAAAGTATACAATCATTTACAATAGGTGTACATGTACGTCCTTGAATGGAATCAAGTTTCAATCATGCGGTGATTACTATCTCGTACAGTTTTCCATTGAAGCGTTAAAGGATTAAGATTCTCTTTCAACTCGTTATTTCTTACTTCACCGGCAATCGCTTCATCTATCTATAAAGAAAAGGAACAGTGTATATCGTTCGATTGTCCCGATGCAAATGGATCAAATAGAAAGAACACAGCGATTCAAGGGAGATGGAACGAGGCTTACGTTTACAGGGCGTAGAATCTACTCACGAGAATCGGTGGACGAGCCTCGTATCGGCGTGTCGAAATCACCTCCATCATTTGATCATGCCTGCCGGTGGAATCCTGATGATCTCGGAGCTTCTCGTGACGGGAAGTGCACGGTTTCTTCCAATAAAAACCTGCAAGAACGATTTCGTTTATACTTCAGAATTTTCTTCGAGTTCGATAACGCTCGTTCCCGGGGGACGAGAGGGATAACAGTGACGCAAGAAACGAGAACGATCGTCGCGAAGAAGACGCAACCTATTTAACGATTGTAACGTAATCACGGTCACATCTTTAAGTCCGTGTATACGCGTACAGGCGGGGCATAATAATTCATCAGGACGCTCTTTTCTGCATGGAAGTCGAAGGCCGGAGTGGCACGCGGGCCTGTGGTCGCGACCACCTCGATATGGGCTGCGATACGATATCGAGATGGTTAAAGACACGCGTGCGCCACGTACGACCAGTTGCCGATCACAGTGGCGTATTTGTTCGATCGTTTAACCCTTTGGTACCGGCAAACGGCTACCCGCCTATCCGTTTCTAGATTTCTATTAACTGCTGTTTCATCGAGTACTCGGATACTCCAATGAGACATCGACGCGTGCGACTTGGGCTTCTTTTGGGAAAGAACAAGCGTAGGAGAAGGAGAGTTCCATCACCTGAGTTATTTATAATAGAAGCTTTTATCCTGGTCTCTCCTCCTCCTATACTGACACTTGACCAAAAGAAGCCTACGTTTTAATTTCATTTAGGAAATTGCAGGAATCAGTGGACAGAGAAGATGGAAGGAAAAGTGTCAGCCTACGCCATTGAGCACTCGCGTCCTTGCGGTTGGAATTACGCACGGGCTCTCCCTGTCCTGGCTGGAACAGGTACGTATGTATCTCGATTTTTCCTCCCCTAGAATCTACGCTTTATAATGCAACCGTCTCGCAACAAATGACGGCTGCTACAGAGAAATATCCTGGTACAGTTTTAAGCCTTTCGTTAATAAACCCGAATGTTTCGTGGTCCAAGGTAGCCGGTTATTAACAGAAGGGTTAAGCAGCGTGTATCTGAATTGATAAATGATCCCCCGACAGGGGATACCACAAGGTCTCGGATGCGCCAAAGGAGAGAACGAGAGCTGAACCAGAGACGCGAACCTGAAAAACAGGTGCGATTCGTATTGACATCACGCTGGCTTCGCGACGATTCTATATACGACCGTGTCGACTTTTATCTCATTGGATATGCGTGTGACGTCAGGGATGCGTCATGCCGGTACCACGGCTAAAACAAGTAAAAACTGTCCATCGCGGAGGACGTTTTTCTGCTCTATTGTCGCGAGACGAAACTTCTCGATTAGCTGCTGAACGTGGACACCCGCTGAACGGTGCTGTTTTTACGCTCTTAAACTTAAACGAACGAAGAGGGTAGAGCCTGATTTTTCTACCTAGTTACACCAACGATCCTCTTGAATATTTAAAGAATTTCTTTGACTTAAATCAAGGAAATGGTATCGCTGATTCTTATGCGTGGGTATTTTTCAAAATCCTCGGGTCTGGTGAACTTCATGTTTAAAAACATCTAAAAAGAAGAATTTTTAGTGGTTTAAAGACACATTAAGAAATCTAAGTTTAATACTTTTTGAATCTTCTTTACCTTTCTGATTATATTCCTAATTAAAAGATTACTTCCGTGTAGCGCAGAAAATTAAAAGTGCGACCTGTAAATACTGTTCAGAGAACGCAGTTGTTCAGATGCGGCGTTTAAATCACCGAATCAGCGATTTAAATGCATGGCTGAGAAACGAAAAGCGACAGATAAGTAGAACAATCGGAGAACAGGTGGACACTCGTGGGCGGTATGCGTGCAACGCGATGAACACGTGACCTCGACAAGGACGTCGCCATTTTGAGAGAAAATAATAAGCGCGGCAAATTTACAAACTTCACCATTTCCATATCTGTCGTCAGTTTCAAAAAAGAAACGATGACTCTTTCAACCTTCCTTTTCTTAAAACTGCGCTTGATTAAATTAAAACAAAAAATCTTTGAAATTTAACGTAACAGAATGTAAGAGCGTTGTTTTGCAAGTTGTTTCTAACGTTTGCCTTCTGAATCAGGTATCTCATCAATTTATCACCGGTGAAACGTTGCAACGAAGTGAATTCAATCTTTCAATCGCGATCCTTTACAGGCTGGTTAACGTAAGATCGCGAGGGATCGTAAGGGTCATCGATGAAATCGTAGAAAATCAAATCTTGTATCGTTGACGCGCGGAAAAATAAGGCGCGGACTGGAAACCTGTCTTTACACCCGATGCACTGGGAAGATTCCCATCGGTTCTCGGTGCACGGTGAATTACGTAAGTAGCTGACAATGCCAGTCTCGTAACATCCTCGAGGAAAAAGCGATTCGATGGAGCGGCCAGCCAACGTGCACGCGGTTTTTGGAACGAGGAGTGAAAGAAGGCAGGACCAGCGAAGATGAGATACCTAGACAAAGGGGAAGGATAGAGTTCACTGATGAAAAAAGGAAAGGAAGAATCGTGTTTACATTCACCTGATTCCTGTGTCGTATTCCAATGGTGACCACTGCTCTTAAATCCGTGAATGAATGAAATTCGTGAAAATTCCCTTGATCGAACGTCAGATCGCACTAGATGATATTAACTAATCGATAATAATTGTCATCGTCGAGTGAGAAACGAGACGTCGCAGCATGGACAATCGTGAAACGAACGACAAACGAAATTCCCGCGCATGCTGTCGTGGCCGGCGCGCACGATACTGTCCGTACGTCGAGCGCTTTCTGACTGATCCGCCAGCCACAGAGCACCCAGTGGGAGACGAAGATCGCCGGAGCGGCACGAAGCACAGCCGAACCATCGTCGGTGATGAGATCAAGCTGGGATCCAGCGGGGATTGATTCTTTCTATGGGCAATCGCCGATACCAATTGCCAGATTACGGATCAACACCTACGACAATCCTCGGGATATACCGGAGAAGAATGCTTTGCTGAGCCAACCTGTAATTAATATGTAATTTTAATCGATCGATTTGGCAATCGTCGATAGATGACTACCAGGTGATAACAGATGGTTTCTTGATTCATTTTTATGTTATTCCAAATGTACCTTTTTGGGTAGTTCATCGATGAAGCACCCCCATAGCGATGCGAGATATCTGTAAAATAGGATTTATTAAAAAAGAAATTCTTGTAACCTCGATAAATCAGACACTTGAATCACCTTTATTGTTAAGAATAACCATTCAATGGGACCTGTATAAGGCTGTAGGATCCCTTTGTCACAGGAAGGACAACGATCCAATCAGGGACAATGCTTGTAAGGGATGCGGTCAGAAGAGTCGAGGACATTCATGATTCGACGAAATTGGCCAGCAGGTCAGAGCTGGCTCTTTGAACGTTACGGCTCATAAATTCTAGAAAAGCTGCAGCCTTCGTAATCTCTTACCCTGTAACACAATTACGAACGTTACATATTCGGTAAACTGTTTTTTCATCGTTATCATTGAAATCGTAATCAGAGGATTCTATTATGCAATCGGTATACCTCTGCGAATCTACACGTTGATTGAATGAAATAAATAGAACGAAGGATTTACGTCGAGTCACGTTCCGCGTGGACATCCTAAAATGGATTAATCGTGAAAAGTGTATCTGGAGAGGAGTCACATTTTCAGAGACCAGTTCTTAACGTTCGAGGTCGTTAATATGCAAATGCAAGGTTCCAAGTGAATAGCATTATATCGCGTGCGTGTGAAGTGATTCATCCGTGAACATAATCAAAATGTCATATCTTAATATCTGTGTGCGCGCGAACCTCGCTCGTCTGGTTGTCCAAAAAAGGTCGTCTAGAAACAAGAAAAAAGAAAGATAGAAACCATATTTTATATATATATATATATATCAGAAACGTCATTAGCATTCATTGATTTCTTTTTAGAACGCTAGAGTAATACTACCGTCACGGTTGAACGATTACAATCGTGTTGCTCTTATAATTATCGTTAACATTAACCGCAGATCGTTATTCTATGACTCAATGCTGCATCGATGCGCTCTGTTTACAGTCAACAGTGAGTCCGTAATAGGCGCTATTGACGCGGTAGCACGATTTAAAAGTGGAGACTCTCGTTCGGAGAATTTTGCATTCCGTTTACGTAAGATGCAACCGAGTAAAAGAAAAAAAGAAACTATCCGAAGAACGACGCAAGAATACTAAATGCATCTAATTAATTGTAACGCAGCTCGTAAAGTTGCGATACTTGAATAACAACAACGCGTGACTTATATAAACTAAAGCAACAAGTTCAAAGAGAAGGGAATATACTATTTTACTAACGTTCTCTCCGCAATCTCATTATCCTGGCTTTCCTTGGCGCTAATCTCGTTCTCTATATACAGATTGTAGTATCCTTGGAGCAAAGCACGCGTGTCGTTGGTCCCCGTATTACCGACCGTACCGCAGCAATCATGCCAATGTCAATAGCAGAAATTGCGAGAACGATACAGTGGTGTAATAACGTGGTTAATAGCATTTAGTAATTTACTCGTATCCTAGATACGGTACTGTCGTTGCTCGAGCGGCTGGAACAGATTCAAGAAGCGATGAAAACCAAGTCTGCTCTTAATGTATCATTTTTACTTATTCTTTTTTTATACTTACACGATTGCGTATAAACGGATCTTCGCGTGTATGTAGGTAAGTAAGAAGAAGAACCACGTGACCTGGAAAGGATGCAAGCTTACCTATAAGGATTTGGAAACGTGGCCATCGCCAAAAGCGGTCGAACAAAATCCACGACGAGACAAGTTTGCCAGAGGCGAGCGTAATTGGTCCCGTGAACTGGTTCAAAAGAGGCGCGCCTTTGCAGGTGCGCCGATCTAATGCGTCCAGACGGTTCACTTTTTTCCCCAATGAATTCCTGCGTTTCCATCCGCTGAAAGAGAGTTATGATATCGTTAGACGAAAGGAAAATAAGGTGAATCGAGTCCGAGATGAGAAGAGAAAAAAAATTTCTAGAATTACTCCGATTCTTCCGTATCAATTACCGTGAAATTCAGAATTCCAAAATGGTTTCGGAGGAATTCGAATACAGCGCCACGGAAGAGTGAAAGTCGAAGAGCAAAGAGTTCTATTCTTAGTAAAATGTTAACGCAAGTATCTACCTACAAGAATTACGTGAAAGCGAGCATCGTTTGTTGAAAATAATAATTCCTTATTGGACCAACAAGGTTGCGTTCAAAATTTTAACGTTGAAAAAAGAAATAAAGAAGATTCATCCTTGATTCGTGTGACAATCTTTTCCCGCGCATTCCTGAAAATATAACAAACGAGATACATTTAAATAATACAGTTTCGAATTGAAATTTTTGGTATCGACACTTACCCGCCGGTTAAAATCGTCGCAGCACGTGGCGCTAACTAACGAACCGGAAACGCACTGCCGTAGGAAAAGCCGTTTTCCATTGGTATAGGTGGTGCTGCGGGCGACGAGGATTTAGGGAGAAAAAGAAAGTACCTAGAACAAAGAAGTCAGAGAGAGGGGAATACAGTGGTGTAAGAGGCACGACCCCAGGCAAAGGGAACACATCGAGCGTATCCCTGTTCGTATGTCCGTCTTTGAAGCATAGGTACGCCATGTTCTCGGTCGTTGTATTAAGAGAGAAACAGTGTTAGAGGGTAAGAGAGATAGACCGAACAGAAGGTAGTAGACGAGTAAGAGAGAAGGTAGAGATTAAAAGAAAGAGAGATAGACGTATGACAGAAATGCATAGCCGTGCTAGCAGCAGCAGCAGCAGCAAGAACAGCAGCAGCGCATAGAGGAGAGATCGCGTCCGTACACGCGTAATTCGGGGCGTGTGCTAGGTGTTGCTCGGTTTCCCTAGCTCGTGTCCGTGGCTGCGAATCAAAGATGTGCCGGTGTCAGTGCGGAATACGCGTCATCGTCCCGTGACGACAACGTTACAGAGGTGCGAGACTACCGAGCAGCACGGTGTGGGCAGGTCGCGGCCATTTTTACCACACGATGCGGCAACCGTGCGTGCCCGTTCGATCCGCCATTCCAAACAATCGGTGTACTTCGTGCCCTCTCAGGGTGCCTCTAGCCACGGCAACTCGTGGAGGCATCGTCGAGCAACGATAATACGTGCAAGTTTATCCTTGAAATTAGTAGCAGTATCTTCGAACGAGGAGAACGGTACAGCTAGCGAAAGCCGGCAGTGCTGGTGGTGGTGGCGGTGGACGTCGTCAACGACGGCGACGTGGAGGAAGAGGAGAAAGAAAAGAAGAAGAAGAAAGATGATAACGATGATGATGATGATAACAGCGACGACGACGACGACGACGACGACGACGACGACGACGATGACCAGCACGACGATGATGTTGATGGTGATCATCGGGAAAAAGAAACAACTCGAACAGCCGATACTTTGGAATACGAATGGAGCTGTTCGAGCGTGCCTGTGATTCGTGATAATCCCGAAGTGTGTTCGCCGATGATAGTGCCGTTTGTGCCAAGTGTCTCTGTTTCTCTCCGTGTGTCGCTCTCCGTCAGTCCGCCCTGCGTGCGTGTTTCGCGTGCCTCCGAGCCACGCACCGGACTCTCTCCTCTTCCTCGCCAGCGCGATCGATGTGACACCGTGTCACCGTTTCAACGTCTTTTTCCCGACGGTGATATTCCTCTTGACTGGCTGGATAGAACACTGATTTCTGGAATCAAAAGGCAGCGTTAGATGCGTGGTGTCAGGACGGTAAACGTCCCGTGAGAGTGTGTTTCGAAGCCAGTGTGTGCTCTCTTACTCGCGCTCCCTACCCTCTCTTACACCTTTCCATCTGTCTCTTTTATTCACTTATTCTCGTATTCTCTGTTTTTTCCATTTCACCCTCCTTCTCTCTCTCTCTCTCTCTCTCTCTCTCGCTTACTCAAGCTAAAGAAGCATTAAAGACGACCGTAGGAATGCTCGACGATACCACGATACGACGCTGCTTGTCATCGTTCTCCTCTTCGTCGTCGTCGTCGTCGTCGTCGTCGCCGCGTTCTTTGGATCCGTTCGGATCCTTTTCGGCTTCTTCGAAATCGTGGAAGCTGAAGAAGTGGTGAGAGGCAGGTACCGGATACCGAGGTGACGATCACCTCTAGCCAGGGCGCGACAACGGCCCCTTAGAGATGGAGATCGAGGCGAAACAACGGAACCAGAGGAATCGGAGACGAGAGCGTGCTCAGCGTATGTTGGCGCAGAGGGAGAGCCTGGCCACCGCGAAGCAGCAGCAGCAGCAACAGCAACAACAGCAGCAACAGACGAGGCAACGGCCGAACGACGAGGAGGACAGCCACAGCGGCGAGGACGAGGACCCCGCCGCCGGTCGTGGCCTCGGACTCGCCAGGACCGGTCATCCTCGTGACAGCCATTCGCGACCGCCCAGGCCACCGCGACCCCCGAGGCCTCGTAAGAAGTCTTCCCTCGCGGCTGCCAACCAGAAGGAGCCTCCCTTCGAGGAGGACATTATCGACGGCTTTGCCATACTCGCCTTCCGCACCTACGAGGAACTCGAGGTAAGACGCGTTAGTCTCGTTTAACATGATGATTCGTTATTTTTTTTCAAATTCGCTATTTTGCAGTAAAAACTTCAATTATCTTCTTACCTGTACACTGCCTACCTACTCTCCCTCTTAGGCGGTGTTGCATCTGTTGACGGATTTTACCACGCGTGTATGAGTGCGTGCCTGATCGTGTGTCGAGTGCAGACAGACCTACACAGATCCTTCTCTCCAGACCCATCGCGGACTGTCCATTTTTTTATTTTCTCCTCGCTCGTGCCAACCAAGTTTTTGTACTACACTGTCAAGAAGAAACGACGAACTCATTAATGCGCTCGAACGTTTGCCTTAGGATTTTCTATTTCCAGATAATTATCGTGGGATTATTTTTGTTTACACACGGCCAAACGTTTAAACTCCTCTCCCCCCCCGTCGCCTCCTTCTCCTACCTTTATCCTTACCCCAACACACAGCCGCTAGAGCAATTTGTAGTTTGTTCGTTTGCGCCTTTTTACTCGGTTTTATATAGCTTCCATTCACCCGCGGTCCGCCTCGGCCAACAACTGTTCTTTTCACCATACCACCGTCCGTCCCCCTTCTCTGTGTGTATGTATAATTGAAATGCGAGGATCACATTTTAAAACCTGCTGAAAACCGTCAGCCTCGACCTGTAACGAATATTTTATTTCTTTTAAACTGCAACAGATTTTTGTTAGAATATATTAAGAAGCAAATGAGTTTTGAAAATTTCATTACCCTTGTACGAGATACGTACATAGTAGTTCGTTCAGCTGGTTAAAAATATTGCTCGAAAAGAGTAATAAAAACCAATTAGGTTAAATTGCCTGCTGGTGCAATTAAACGGTTCACCGTTTTAACTTTGCAACGTTGATTCGACAAGATTAATTTACGAACATTTTAACTTCGCGTTGCGTTGCTTGCCTCCCGTTGGGAAAAAAAAATAGCACAAAGTCATTGTACGCGAACCAATAGTATACCGTGTACATAAATTGAACAATTTTCTCAGAAAATTTTAATAACAAATTTCGCACGACACTAATATGTGATACACTGAACAATCTCGGTAAAGGTGCGCGGAATCGAACGGGATAATTATTCGAACGTTAAAACTAATTTGCATATTTAAAGAGTAAGTCGTTTAAACATTTGAAAATAGTGATAACATGGAACATTCGTATGTCCGTTAGTTTTTTTTTCTCTGTTTCGCGGTATCAACATAAATTTGCATTATAACGATAGAAGACCTTGTGAATGTAATGCGAGACTCAGTGTTGTGGTTTCATGCGCGATGTTGCGAGTCGTCTAACCGCGTTCTCTTTTTTCTCTTCCATATAATTTTTCGCGAAACAACTGCATCAGCTCCAAATAATTAGGGGATCGTGTTTCTAAACGTTTCGAAAGAGCGAAAGAAACGTTAGGGTTGAAGTGGATATTCTGCGTCTGAAACGATAATAAAATAATTAAGAATAATTATAGGACGTTCACGATGAAATGAATTTCATTTAACGTATTCAAATATGATTCTAAAATAATTACCTTAAACGGTGCACGTTGTTTCTTAATCTTGGAATACGGCGTTTGCAGAGTATTTCAAACAAGCACACCTACCATTCCAAGTTAAACATACCTATCAGAGATTCTATTATTTACTCTATCAGCTTCACAATAATCTCTCGACATCAATTCTGCGCATACCGGAATTTATCTGTGGAAAGAAGAAAAAACAGATTTTCAATAATAAATTTTCAATTGCAAATCTTATCATTGCACAAGGCAGATACAGGCGAAGATAAGTTATAATTTAACCAGTCTGTACCTTGAAGTACTCCAAACAATTAATTGATAACGATTGAATACAATTTAGGAAAATCCATCGATATTCGGAACAACTGTTAGATATGATATCTAATGAAATATCAGAAAGTGTAATATGTATCGATGAATTTTATAGTACAGATATTTACCTCGAACGCAAAACATTTCTTTCGCTTCTACCATATGGTATATTTTCTCAGTTGTACATAAACGTAGTTTCCCAATTGTCTTGAGCAACAGCACACTTCAAACCCGCCATTCATAATACTGATTGCCTCGTTTGAGTAAAACTTCGTTTACTTTCAACATTATTTATCTTAAATAGAAAATATTATCTACCTTGTACATAAACGTAGTTTCTCAATTCTTATGAAAAACTTAACGAGCTCGTATCCTGCTGCCACCTAATAAAACACAACTCCATTTGTAACATGAAAGTGTTGTTTCAATATACGCTTAGCAGCTAATGTATTCGCATCAGATTTATTGGTTATATGATTGGAATGCACAATTCCTACTAAAGACGTTCATTTAAATTGATGTATTTCCATTTGTGCATACTTTTACCAAGTCAAGCATGAAAAGATATGTTTCTACTAATAAAAGTTTGAATATCGTTGCTAGTAAATACGTTTACTTATCAACTTGGTGTGAAAACTGACCTAATTATTTTAATCATCGTCTCAAAAACTGATTATATTTACATAGAGCTTTAGAGCATCGAATATAACTTGATACTGTAGCCTTGAGCCTCAACTTCGAAAGCGTTCGCTTGATTCTTGATGTCTGAAAAAGAAAAAGAAACGCTTGGAGTCATTTCAATGTAGTAGATCGTTTTTAATTACTCGTTGAACCTTATCGTCGCGGATCGAAGCAAACGTAAATCGAATTTATTATCTCGATACAGCGAGGTTCGAGGGGAAAAAAAGTGGTTCGCCGACCATAGTCGTGTAAATTGCGTCTACGAAGCAACGAAAACTGTTTCTCGCTGCTGCGAGCCACCTTTTATCATGATTTATCACGGACGCGACCACTAATCGTTATTTTTACTGTAGACCGCGATACCATATAACGACTGACACGCTCCTCGTCTTCGTTAACGAGCTATAATTTTCGTCGATAGATAAAAAGCTTGCAACGTTACCTAGCTTTTTTAGATTTGAAACGCGAACAAACCGATCACCGGTAGCTAGATAGGTCGATAATCATTTTGAATCACTACAAATATTATTTCTGGAATGTTTTTGAAGTCTTAGAAATCTTTATCTCTCCTAAGCCGATTGTATCACTGTTTGACTAAATAAGATAATGTTTTGAATAATATCAGAGTAATATTATCTCTTTACACGTCAATAATAGTGAAATGTTACTTACTTGAAAAAAAAAAAAGAAAAATATTTCTAATTCATAAAATATTTTTTGAAATATTTCAGTGCTTATTAATTGATTTTCAGTATTTAATTTCTCCGTGCTTCCATTAAATTTCGTTCCGGATTCTACAGTAATTAAATTAATTGCTAATTTGCAAAGTGGGATATTGAATATCAATTACTGTACATTAAAGAAACGTTCTATCCTTTCTCTGTTTATTTCTGGTTAACGGATAGCCCAGAATTTACATCCGTCGCAAGCGTCGCACCTGTTTGGAAAATTATTTAATTACTTGAGCACCGGTGAGATTCACCACTGAGTGAGCAATATTCATTACCTTGATTTCAACCGTATCGCTGGTTCATCGTGTCCCAATTTCACTAGCTTGCATACAGAAACAGAGAAGGTGTTTCTCATCTGTTGCTCTAAACGTTCAAATTTTAGCTTCCTGAAATAGAAAAGATGTCATTCTTGTCATTGCTGTATATAAGCATCTCGTCAGAAAACTTACACCTTCTTCTTTAACGGAGTGGTAATACTATTTCATAAATCTCGTCCGGTATACTTCGGGCATTCCAACAGAGAGAAAAATATAAACAAGAAGGGGAAGACATTCGAGACATGCTTGTTATTTACTCGTTCATTCGGTGCATTATCGAGGCACAAAGTGCATTGTTATTGTCACGGAGAAAGTAGCCACGACGTAAACCGCTTAAACCGGTCCCTCTTGTTCCTGAACGGGTTCGCGATCCAACCTGAGCTTCTGGACGGTGCACAACAGCTGTAAAGGCTGGTGGTGAACGCTTTAGCAGGAAATGCCAGATCTTCGCTTATCAGTCGAACCGGCTGAAACGCAATATTCTTCCTGCTTCAATCCATTTCGTTTTTTGGAGTTCGTTGCGCTAAATCGTAAATTGATACAAATCGTTATTTATTTAATAAAAATTTGTAATTTAAAACTTCTTATTTCTTTGTTTCATGTTAAAATCGAATAAGATGAAATAAGAAGTTTCAGACCTGAGCAAATATAATTAAACCAATCAGCATGAAATCACTGAACAAGTTACAAAGCACTTCCCTTCGTTGAAATGAATATTTAAAAGCAAAGTTCTCATGGCTCACGCTCATACACATTGTTTTATTAAAATCAATACCTCTGAAGCTAACGATACTCAACCTAAAAGGGGTTAATTATAAAAACCTGGGTTGAAAAAAAAAAAGAGAGAAGCATCTTGCTCTCCGAGTACTTCTCACCCTACGTTACAACGTCTCGCGATCTCTCGCTAATTAAATGTGAGAAATCGTTAGCCGGCTGTAAGTGAATTATCAGCCAGTGCTTGCGCTTACTAGACTCCTTGTTATCTCTCGCTGAAGAAGCTAGCAAGACGGCTGAGAGGAGCGATTTGAAATGTAAACGGCAACGGGTAGGATCGTTGATTCGGTGTCAAACAATTAGTGGGGAGACGATGATACGCATCTACCGGTGTGGCACGATCGCGACTAATTATGAAAAGCCGTGGGAAGAAAAAGCAAAGATCCCTTCTCTCCTTTCTTTTTTTTTTTTTTTTAATGCTCCTATTAAGAACACCTCCGAACGAAAGGGACTCGAGATTGGCCGTGTTTTAAAGACACTCTTCTCTTCCTGCCACTGTTCTCCACGATGATAAAATGCAAATTCGACTCTGTTAACGCTGTGCTACCCGCGATTTGGGAATCCTGTCGTCTAAGCGGTTCTGAAAGTGGAACAAATATGAGAAAACGGTTGAACAAGACTTCGTTTAACACTCGGAATTGTCGTGTCAGCTACTTTACGAGGTACTTCTTTACCCCATTATAAATAATTTTGCTGAATACCTGGAAGTGCAATATCGTATCACAATCAACGTGTTAACACCTTGCGGCTAATAATAATCAGACATCAGATAATAATCTTTACATTGTATTTACCTGGAATTGATATATTTTCAATTCTTCTCTGCTTCCATTACACGGTTTTCAATTTTCTGAAACATGTTGCCAGCTCCTCGAACGTCTCATGGTTACGCGTTTCCATCGGAGAACGCACGCGTCGATGATTTTCTTTTCGAAATTCCTCGGTTGCACCGGGAAAAATCCTTTCGGAATTTTTCGTCATCTCGCAACAGGAACGTTCGACCTCTACCCGGGTTGAGTGTCCTTATACCACTGATTCTTTCTTATCCGTTGCGTTCCTCGGCTCCTTCTGGTGTTCTTACATTCTTCGGACTGCACAGGAGAAAGAGACGTCGGGTCAAGTGAGCGTTGACACGCGGCGAGAGATTATTATCGCGTACGTAACACCGTGCTCCGTAATACTTAATTATCTTGTCCGGCATCGTGAGCGTTTCATTTATCCCAGCGAGAGAAAAAGATGTTGATCCTTCCGTGCGAGTAATTAGCGACATTCAATGGTACGCATTACCCCGGAGCGCATAAATGAAAAATGATCCGTCTCGAGTCCGACGGTGATGATACCGCTGTGCTTCTGAAACAGGAAGGTCGATTTCAATGATCGGGAGCAACTGTAATAGTAGGTGTTCCGATTCGTTCCTTTTTGCACCGTTTGTTCAGAATCCTCGGAGGGTTGTACCGTTTTCAGCAGCTGATGGATAAAAATGATGCTGCTACTTGTCGGATATTCAAACACGAACCCTCCAATTATTATCGAGCAATACGTTTCCTTAAAATATGTCAAACGTCTTCTTTAAATGATACAATAATCGTCGGAACGTACGTAAACCCGATAATTATTTTCAGCAGCCTGTAATCAACCGCGATGAAAACAGTCGGGTCTACCCTAGCAATTAAACGTCACCTAACCCGCGTGAAACAAAAGAAGAACATATATTAACCCGGGTACGGTTCGTTTCGTCGTTGTCCCAGCTGTAAATTCACCTAGGCCGTCCTCGTTCATCCGATGAATATGTGTGCGATGGTTGAATGGAATCTGAAAATACCACGACGCTTTTAATAGGAGGACGTTTATTTATAATTGATTCAGTTAAAAACGTGCAGTTTAGCTTACTCTATCAGAAATATCTGATGGATTGTTAAAGAAAAAATTATTTATATCGTTCAGTCAAGTTTATTCGATAGCATTATGGCGCGTGAGTTTGGCTTTAGTATTCTACCAATCCCTTCAGGGCAGATTTTTACTACTACCAGCATAAACTAGGCTTTAGATTTTCTCTAAGCTCCCCTCCAAAACACAAAGCAGTCGATGGAATGCTCCTTCCCTTACCCTTAGCCAAAGGAAACCTACAGCTGAATGTACGTTTCAAGACGAATTCAATAACCTATCCATTCTCTCCACTTTGTGACGTCAATCGAATTTGTCGTTACACGTCACATTGTATGAGGAACATTAATTACGTTAGGGTAAACTCGTCCTGTTCAGAATCAACCGAGCGTATCCCACATATTGCGATATCCGACCGGACTGATTAGCGGGCTACTCTCTATCGGTTCTCCCTTCATTTCTCTCTCTCTCTTTCTCTCTCTCATCCCCTTTATGTATATGCTCCACCCCTCGACCTAACCTCGCTCTCCCCACCTCGTCGAAATCGTTGAAATCGTTGCCACTCGATAATTAACAGCCACTTATGGATTTAGAGTGAGGTCAGTGTCACCGTACGATTACGTAAGTAATACGTGTTTTCGCGTGGCAGGCACAATAATTGCAGGCAGAGGCATGGGTGTTCGGTTACAATGGAACAAGTTCATCGGTCGTGTTCACCTTCCTGATGATCTCATTATTTACACTCGCTCCTCCTGGCTGAATTCGCAATAATATCTTGTTCCGTGGCTCGTTCGATCTGAGATTCGGATTCACCATTTGACTGCATAATCGAAAAAGATAAGTGTTATGTATAGAAGCAAACATTGATTATTGCCGATGTTGATTACCTGATTTCCTCTTATCTTGATGTTTAATCGATGATTCCTATGCTCGATTCGTATTTCTTCAGTCTGCGAATTGAACGAGAACTTTCCGTTAGCTTCTGGTGTAGTGCAGGAAATATTTGGTAATATGCTTGACCCTGTTTCGAATCATGGCCATTTTTTTCCTTTTTACTCTAATAATTCCTTTGGACAAACGAGGCTGGTGTAACTAGTTACTGTAACGATCATTTGCAAATAATGCTTGATGCATCACGCGCGACCGTAATGTCACTCTACAAGCACCGTTTATACCGCAGTATGACTCACTTGTTGTACATTGTCGCGTACAATGGGCACTGGGAAATGACTGGAACATGAAAACGGATTTAAATGGAACACGTGTTTATCTGATGCTCGGGATAGAAGATCTTATTCGAGTGACTTTATGATTTGACATTTTAACAATGCCATTAACACGTTATAACATTACCGTGACAAGAAACATCAACATTTAAAATATATCTTTGGTTCGACGAGTACCCCGTGCTCCTCCGAGTTTCACCCAGGCTTTTTTGAACATCCAGTATGACTTGGAGCTGGCATTCGGCAGATTACCAAGAGAGCTCCTCTTAGCCGTCGTTAGCCGTACCGAGAGTGAGGTCAGCAACGCCACGCCACTCGATAAATCAGCTTGGCCGCCGGTGCCAACGGGGATGCCTGAAATCTGCCACGTGATCCGTCAACAGTGAGTTCAACCGGTAATGCGCGCCTACCTTTGCTCGGATATATTCACCGTCGTCGCTGAAAATCGACCACCGGAGAGATTTCCGACGAGAGATGGTAGCCCGCTAGACGTATCACCACCGAGCGAAACTGACTCGCGACCCATTTTTCTGTCCCGTTTCTTCTCTTTCTCTTCCCTCTTGTTTTTTTTTTTCTTTTCTTTCTTTTTTTTTATTCTCCACGCTCACGATTTTTCTCCCGTTTATATACCTGCAACAGGGGAACCGTCGTTACCTTGACACTACGTGAAACAATTGTTTCCACGTGTTCAAGCGTGGACGACCGCGCGAGATTTATCCACTTTTTCCAGCCTTTTCTCTCGCGACTTTTATCTCCCGGTGATTTATGTCGCTCGTCTTTTAATCGAATCAACATCGCACAGAGATAAATAAATCTTCTTTTCTCTATCTTAGTTAGAAAAGCAAATTTATCGTTTTACGAATTAGAAAATTAAATTTGTAACGTTATACTCGTGGGTTGGTTGATGTTGAAAAAAAGTACGGATACAAAAGAGAATGAATTTGTTCCATCGTCCTGGCACTGCCTCCATTTAACATTGCTCGATTTACGCTAATTAATGAAACACTCGGAAGGCAATATGTAATTCGTTCGATTACCGACGAATATATAATTCTATCGCGTACTGAATTACAGAATACATTGCTATCCTATATCAGCAGTCACGTAACGAGGCGGAATATTTTAATAATAAACAGAGGAAAATACTCGTCCTCGTATCGCGTGCTTCGCGTGTCTGCGCTTTTCGGTATATATTTAAAAAAAACCCCCAATAACGAGAGCTGGTCGAACGGTAATGCTCTTAATTAAATAAAACGCTACTCAATGCAGCGTAAAGATTTGCGTTACAATTTTTCCTTTTTCATCTCGTTCCACCGTGTGGATTCATTTTCATACACACAACGGATAGATTAATTTCGAAGCGTTTCAAATTACCTGTTAACCCGTGCAAAATTTCCTGTTTACAATGTGCAACACGAGAACACGTATCGGTATACTTTTATAACGAAAAATACTAAAATTGATTGTTTAACACTAGATTGCTGGTGCGAATCAATTTGACTCATTTACGATTTTATTGTTATAGAAAAATTTAAATAATTTTTTTAAAAACATATGTTGGTTTCTAATAGAATTATGAAATGTATACAAATACTAATTCAATACAATTTACTTTTGTAAACGTCGCTATGATGTTTTACTGCATTCTGCATGTACTTACATGTTTTCTTTGAAATGGAAGAAATTGCAAAGGAGCTTCTGAATCGATATAGAAACGACAAAAGAGATATATCGATGATGGACGAAACACGGTCGTGCACCTGCACGATGAGTTGACCCAGTTTTTTTCTTTTTCGTTATAATTTCACACGAAAGAAGACGACTCTTCGCTTTCGGATGCGTATTTGACCAATCGACTTGATCGTTTCGAAATTCCCAAAAAAAAGAAACCGCACTCGACACCTGCAAAAGTAAATTTATTGAATAAAGTTTGAAAGATAAAAGATAGTTTCATCTACAATCTTCCCTCTTTTTTTTAAATCTAACTAAACTACAATTATTTTCATGCGGAAACGATCGTGGCCGATATTATCCATAATAAACCTTGTACAACCGGGATAATGGCGGCACTTATTTTCAAATCATCCGAATTACTCGTACCTTCGGTACAAAATGTACGTAAACGTCCCTCGAACGGGAAATGCGTAGACCGTGTTATAAATCGATGAAAAATATTTACGTCTGAGAATAATCTTGCAAGCTGACAAAATGATGGCCAGTTTATCGCTGTATTTACACCACTGTAAATCTTTATACCGGTCATTCCTTCTTTCTTTTTCTTACATCTACCGCCCTCTTTCTTCAGCCTTCTCTACTTTCTCCCTCTGACATGTTTTCGCAGAACTAAACTTTATTGGCCGGTTGGTCCAACTAGACGAAACACGAACACTACTGACGCTTACCATTAAAATGCTGATTGCATTTCTCTTTTTTTTTTCTTTTCACCAGATTCCATTCGAAGGTTTGCGTCACTTAATGGTGTTAAAATACATCATCCGCGATAAGAATCTCTCCTGCCGAGAGTTAGTCATGTTTCTCGTTCGTTGATTAACATCGTTACATTCACGAACGTCTGTTTTATAAACACCTAAAATGTAATGGGAAACTATTACCAGAGAGAGAGACAAGCGATGGAAATTGATTATGCTGTAATCAAATTTTTTATATATATATATATATATATCTTGTTACGCAACTTACTTTTACTTCTTCCAATATATTTTCCTTCCGAATCGGGTATCACACGAAAGGTTTTACGTAGTGAAAGTTTCGAAATACCTTACATGCTTCTTTCGGTCGAAGCAACGAGAAGACGGTACCTTTGAATATAAACAATGCTACCATGATATATGTTTACTTTCGAATAATTTTTGGACCATGGCCAGCATCGTTTCACGCTCGGCACGTCAATTTGGTACTGGCAAACAGCCGGAATTTTCGTCAAACAGATGTCCGAACAACTGTTATTATCCGCTTGTTACAAACGAGAAATGAAGAATACTTAATCTTGGCGCTAGTGACATTCGTCAAAAAAGAAACATGGCTGTCAAATTTAACGATGGGGGGAACCTCTGACGCTTCCGATTGGTCGGAAGTCGTGAAAGCGCCAAAATTTGAATCCCTGAATATTTCAAAGATCAAGTTTCTTAATGATCGAAAACAAAATTAGCATAATGATTGAAATAATACATAGAAGACAGTTTCGTTGTTTAATTACAGTATCGGTTTCTTTGAATCATGCGCGCATAGGAGGTTGCACATTAATGTCGCGAACTGTGAGTAGTAGCTGAATTAGAGTCCGACCGTGTCAACACCGAACGAATAGACGTGGCAACGTTGTACAGACGAGTTTAGTAGCCGGCTAGCCAAAGCACGGAGTAGCCGACCGGTGGAACGTCCGCACGTCCGGGAACGACCTTCCTTTACTCGTCCCATGTCGAGGAACTTCGTCTCCCGGACAGCCAAATGCTTCTTTATCTTTTAACTAAACAAAACTAAAGATTTGCCTTCTATATATTACTTAAAATACCTATAATAGATACCTATAATTAAATAAAAAATACAATAATACAGTACTTTTGTTATAATAAATAAACAGAATGATTGAAATTCACTTTCTCCATTGAATAAAGAAGAAAAAGGCAAAGGACATGTTACTTATAGTAATACAGTTCTTCGCCTCCTTTCTATACATATTTTCCAGTCGGATGTTTATTCAATTAATTCGTCTTAGCTGAGGAGTATGTAATCTGACCGCGATACACGTCCTAGGGGGTTTCACTTCGCAGTTGGCACACGTGCGCAGGTGAAGTATGGCTAGGTGGTAGTTTTTTACACCGTGAGCTCTAGTGGCTTTTTCCCATCGTTTCTTTGGTAGCCAACCGTACAAGAGAGGGGGGTAGAGAGAAAGAGTACACGGTTATCGGAAAAGGAAAGTAATACACCAGAGCCGAGAAAGAGAAGTCAGGGTTCGGGCTTCGTTCCTTCCAGCTGGCCTGGCACGGCAAAGGAGGCCTTGTCGCGCGGCTGCTCGTTCGGTCAATGTCTTCTCTTTCTTCCTCGCTCTTCCTCTCTACCTTCCTCGTCGGTCCCCCACTTCTCTCTTTTTACCCTCCCCACTTTCTAGCTTCCTTTCCCTCTTTCCCCTCGTTCCCTTCACCATTACACCGACTCGTTGCCTCTTTCATTCTCCCCACTATTCGTGTGCTGCATCGCGCACACGAGACACGGTGCTGCCTGTGAATCCTGCTGTCATCTTTTGCAAACGCCCGTGCCCGTCTTGATAGCTTGAAATCTGAACGAGAATCGGTATATCACGAACGTACACCCGTCGGATAATCTTTTTGTTTGAAATCACGGCAACCACGTTTATTGCGATAACGGTATTTAGATGCACATAGGGGAAACCGAGAGAGAGAGAGAGTAGGGAAAAAGAAGAGGGGGGAGGGCAGAGCGCCACCCGTTCAGAAATGTGCACTGACATCGCGGTTTAAAGGCACCGACGGAAAGGCGTTCTCATACGACTTTTTCTACTGTGCGCGCACCTCCGACAGAGTTTCACTTGCGCTTCTTACGTGAACCAACAATTCATCGGCGTACCTAGTGGATAGAAAAGAAATTAGAGTCTATGTTTATAGCGGTATAAATTTGTGGGAAAATCGTGGAGTGTTTACACCATACGTGTTGAGGCACTATACTCTTGGTTTGCTCAAATTTTATACGTGTTGAATGCAAGCAGAGCCAACTGATATCCTTGTATATTCGATACGATGAATGATCGCAAACTGAAATGAAATTTGATTATTATAATTAACGTGAAATTAGCACCAACTATACAGAGTTATCACAAAGATTATGTTACATTTATCACGATACCGCTTACAACAACATTCATAGTTCCATGTAAATAATGTGATTTAAAAATAATGATTTTCTTAGAATGAAATCTGACATCCTTACAGATGTATTTCATATGTTGAAAGTATCAGTTACACGTTTTATTTTAATAACATCTTTTGATTTTTCAAATAATTTTTTTTTTTTCTTTAATCATTATTTTAAATGAAATTGAAAATTCTTTTATTTACATGTGTGTGTATAATTTATGCAAAAATGTAATTTCATTTTTCTTTTTTATTACAGAGTGCAATAAAGTTAGCTGGTAAAAATAATGTCAAGAAATTGCATACACTACGGTCAATAGTGGAAGAGAAACCAAAGGTGGATACAGGACAGAATAATAGACACAACGAGCATCACATCAAAAATCATTTCAAACACAACCATTATACACACAATTCCATACTGACACCTTCAACACTCAACCAGGTAAGTTTGAAAGACTCAATTACCTGGTATATTGTAATGTAAAAATTTATAATAATACCATAATATATTTTGCAGGGCCTAGATGCAGGTACAAGTGACGATAGTGGTAGAGCATCTGAACAATTGCATGGCCCTGGTATACCTAGGGATTGCCAGGACGCAGACAGTTCCAGGGACCACCTCAGCGATGTAAGTAATGCTGCAGACATAAAATGAGATATTAGATACGACATTTAAAATGCATTGGTACTTACACATTCTTCCTACTGGTCTCACAGGCTAGCAGTCATTGCAGTTCGGGTAAAGGTTATATCGTAAGTATCAAAATTGCAAGAATTAAGATATTACTTATCAAGGTTGAAAGCTGTAATAATTGTTCCTTTTTTTTTTATATATATACTATAGTGTGATAGTGAAGGAGAAGACGATAAGGTATGCAGTCACGCTATAATACGGAATAAAAAGTGAGAAATTCTTTGTTAAAAATTATTTTTCACTTTCAGGGCTCGGATGCTGAATCGATACTCTTTGAATCTTCTACCCCACCGCCCCTTGCACGTAAATGTATGTAAAAGAAGAATCAATAATATTTGTTTATTGTCCGAATACTTACTTAAAATTAATGCTGATTTCTCAGACGAATTGCCATCATCTTCGCCACACGTTTTGCCTCCAGCAAACGGAGCCGGAGGTTCTCCTCCTGACACGGGTGGACAAATTTCAAATCCAGCAACGGATGCTCCGGCACCTATACCACCTCCCGTGCCTGCGTCTGCGCCAGTTCCAACAGCACCAAGTCCTCCCAGTCCTACATTACCCCCTCACATATCCCAACCACCTGTAAGTAAATGTAATTCTTCTTAGTTTCGTATTCTTACAGAGAAAATCTACATTTATATGAAATATATAATTTTCAGATGACTAGTCCGTTGGCAGCAAATCCACGTGCAATAGCTCCGCAACAGCGGCCAGCTTCCCCTGCTCTGCCACCTCCTTCCCTTTCCCAACAGCCTCATACAACAATACCCGCGTTACATCCTCCTAATGTACCGCTTGTTTCCTCGAGTCATACAACTAGTCCTGCGGTTGCGAGTTTAGGTGTTACCCCAGCGGCACCTTCGAACGGAGCTACCACCACTAGCTATCCACCATCGATACCCATGGCTGCTTATCCTCAAACTCAATCTTATCCACCTCTTTATACGCCGTACACTGCTCTAAATCACAGCCCGTACCTTCCGCCTGCGGTTCCATCTCCCTCCCATTCTGCTTCATCACGGGCAGAAGTGGTAAGTTACCATATTTCTTGGATAATTTAAGTAAATGAAAATGATTATTTAATTCTGAATTTATCTTCAATATTTTTTTAGAGAGGAAGTAGAGCATCTCCCTGTACTAACATAAATAAACAGCCTGTAGGAAATAATACGACGAATCATAATACTCCGCTAAGCGCTGCCACTACGACATGCGTGTCCACGATAACTAACACAGTTACTACGGCAAATACCATTGCTCACAGAGACATGGTAGCCTGTAGTTTAACTGGAAGAAACAATAATAATTCCCCTCGTGGACATAGCCCGAATCGAGAAAGAGAGAGTTATAGGTATAATATTATAAATGTATATATATATATGTGTATACTCATTTCTTTGCGATAATCACCTCATATAAGGTTTTCCTTATTGTAGCAGTAACGTCAGTAGCTTAAGTCGAGGTAGCATAACGCCTGTAAGTGTGCCAAACACATCTTCGCCAGCCAATTCTAGTCTACCTGCTTACTCCAAGCCACAAGGATGGATTGGGTATGGATGAAATTAAAGTTTATACATTTTTGAATATTTAACAATTTAAGCATTGTTGTTTTTTTTTTTTTTTTTTTTTTTTTGTACCTTACAGTAGCAGCACAACTTCACAATTGTCTCCAGCAACAGCAACTTCAGTACCAAGGCCAACTCCTCCACCAGTTCCACTTGGAATGCATACGTTTCCTCCACCAATGTTCGCCGCACCGTTACCACCTCCCGTCTCCAGTTCCAGTCCGCATACGTCACTGCCTTCGTTACCACCGCCAACGACCAACCCCAATCCATTCTCCGCCGAATCGCTTTTTCAAACAAGTAAGTTTCTAAGCTATGTTTCGATTTCACTTGAAATTCAAACAAGAGAAAAGGTAGAGCGAATCGTTCGAAACGAATGAGACACTAACCGAAACAAGGGGTGACTCATGTCGCAGGTCAGGCAGACCTGTTAAGGCGAGAACTTGACAATAGATTCTTGGCATCTCAAGACAGAAACGTCGGAGTCGGAGTAGGCAATTTGGGACCGCCACCTTACCTTAGGACAGAGATGCATCACCATCAACATCAGCATACTCACGTACATCAGCACACGACACCACTGCTTCCACCGTCAGCTGCAACAACGTTATTTCCACCTCCTATAGTAAGTAAACAATATAATTATATGTATCATATGTATCTTTCATACTTATAACGTATAACTATTTTCTCAGTTTAAGGACATTCCAAAATTGGGAGGTGTTGAATCTCCATTTTTTCGTGGGAATTTAAATCTTTCTAGTTATTCTGGTTTTAATGCCGGTCTTCTACATCCTGGAATCGGACCGCCCTCGACACCTTTTGTACCACCCAATCACTTAACATCATTTGCACCAAAGGTGAAAATGTCTAACGTTGAAAGCCTGCGTAGAACTATAACCGTTGTTACAGTTCATGATTTTTAACTACAGAAAAGTGGAAAATGGAATGCGATGCACGTACGCATCGCATGGGAAATTTACCATCATCAACAGAAACAACAGGCGGAAGCGAAAGCAGGAAGCGTTGTTAATACTAAAACGGAATTACTAAGACCACCGGGTCATCTTTATCCAGGAGGACCAGGGGGTGGTCTTGGAATAGGCGCACCACCAATGGCACCACCGTTCCCTACTAATATACCACCAGCTCATCCTGCACCACCTCCGCCTCACCCTGTTGGTTTCTTATCCACACCACCCACGCATTTAGGTAATCATTCAACACCTGTGTGTACGTATAAAATGTGTGTAACTAAAAGAACGATAATGATAATTATATTACAGCAACAGGAATGTCACCATTTGGAAGATATCCATCAACGTTCGGCGGACCGAATCCAAATTTCCCTGGCCTTTCTACCTTCCCTCCGTCGAGGGAAATGCCACCATTGGGTGGCTTGGGTTCTGTACACGATCCATGGAGAGGGTATGTTTCCGTTTAACAAAATCGCACGTTCCCTGGAATAAAATATGATCATCGTTATTATTGATTTTACTACGTTTAGATTACAACGAGCATCCACCGGATTCCCACCAACCACGGTATCGTGGAGCCTGAAACCGGAACCGCCTGCGATCGACAGACGAGCCGAGCTCGAAGAACGGGAACGTGAGCGCGAACGGGAACGAGAACGGGAACGTGAACGTGAACGCGAACGGGAAAGGGAAAGGGAACGCGAACGGGAACGGGAACGGGAACGCGAGCGCATTAGACGCGAGAAGGAAAGAGAACGGGAAGAGCAACGCGAGAGGGAAAGACGGGAACGCGAGAAGGAGGAGAAAAGAAAACAGCAGGAGGCTGCTGAAAGGGAGAGAGAAAGGAGAGACAAGGAACGTCGGGAGATGGAAAGACGAGAAATGGAACGGGAAAGATTGCTTCATCAGAATCGACAACACGTGGTGGTGGGTCGAGAACGGTCACCTTTGAGGAACGGATCGGCTCCTATGGATGCTGGGGAGGTACGGGTGAAAGAAGAGCCCCGAAGTAAAGACGACGAAGTAGTGATGCTTCCACGGCCACCGGGACCTGGTCCTGGGGGAGCATCTGGAACAGGACCCGGTCCAAGTCCACTGCCTGACACAAGATATCATCATCCTCATCCTCATTCTTACCTCGCGAGGCATCCGCACACCATGCCTGCGCCTCATTCCATGCCTCGAAGTATGCTACCTGGCTTAGGTGGTCATCCGATGCAACATTTTCCACCGCCGTCCGGTCCTGCCGGTCAACCAGGCGGTCCTTGGCCAGGCGATCCTTTCAGGGATTATCGTTACGACCACCTGCAACAGTTGCGTTACAATCCACTGATGGCCGCCGCTGCGTTTAGAGCGGAGGAAGAAGAAAGAGCTAAATTGTACGCCGGTTATCCACCGCCGCCTGTTAATTCTTTAAGAAGCAAGGATCCCAGTCCTGGTCCACTGAGCAATTTACACATGCATCATAGAGCAGGGCCTGGTCCCGGAGTGCCGACACGGCAATTAGAGCCTGGCTTGATGCACGCAGACATTCACAAGAAGGAGGATACGTCCCAATCCCGATGATACATCCTCCCCGCGTCCTCAGCTTCGGCAAGTGAACGCGCCAAGAGGCCAGCATTCTGAGCATTTAACGTCAACTATTCGGGCCACGGTGCTGATATTTTGCTAATGGAGAAGAGGCGTTATTTAAAAGAAATTGTACATAAATTATATGATATTTATAGTTATCAAAAAATGAAGAGTGCGCAAAAGAAGATAAACGGTGTAGGAACATTTTGAATACGCACCCCGTGTAATGATCGTTAACGAAGATGCCTTGTTGCGATCGTTAAAGGTTCCGTCTGCTGCGTGACAAACCTTAAAGGCGGTCCCTTTATACATAAACTATCAACGGGCGTTGATTGAAACGGACGCGGTCGTTGGAAAATAAATGACGGCGATGTTATTGTGATTCTCTGCAAGTTTCGGGGATTTGACTGTTTATAGCGATCTAAACTTTAATCATTACGGTAACTATGCGTACAGTTTAAACAAAAAAAAAAAAAAAGTATCGTGTGTAATATTATAGATATTGTAGAATGCGAGACGATGCTACGTAAAGAAAGAAATCCAAGTTAAGAGAAAAGTTAAGCGGATCTCTACCATTACTAAAAAAAATTATTTAATTATTTATTTATTGCGACGTATAAACGAATCTCTACTACTGCTGACGTACGGATATGATCGTAAACGAAAAAGAAAAAAAAATGGATTGCCCTAATTTAATCGATATAATGTAACGAGAAAAAAAAATCATTACGAACTTTACTTTTCTTCATAGAGATTATTAATTTGTACCGTAGAAGTAATAGTGAGAAAAAAAACCGAGAGGGCAAAAGAACAGATATCTTTGGCTTTTGGCAGCACAAGCTTGCTTTTTTCTTTATTTACGTGGAAATTTAGAATTGCACTTCTGGTGCTTTCCTGTGATATAAAAGTAAGATCATTCAGAAGCGTTGCAATTGTTTTTCGTCATAATTTGTAAAATAAAAAGAAAATGAAGGAACATATGCGATACACGTGAATCAAATTGTTTTCAAATAAATGATTTTAAAAAAATGAAGAGGTATTGCTACACTTTTGCATTGAAGAAAATTTCTATCTGACAAAGGAACATGGAATTTAAGTGTAAACAAATACAAAAGCAGTTTGTCCGTGCCAAAGTGCTTTAATCAAAAACACATTTAATGCTGTATAGAAAAATTGCAACTTCTGATTTTGTACCTAACAAAAATTGAGAAAGAAATATGGTTTTGCACCCTTGTTTCATCGTCCTCTCAATTATTAGCCATTACGTCGTTATGTTACCAGAGAGACAATTCGAGATATCTCAATCTCTCTCTCTTTCTCTCTCTCTCTCTCTCTAGAAACAGAAAAAAATAAAATAAAATTCGTGCCATGGACCAGGCTAGATTAAAAAAAAAAAAAAAAAGCCCTGGTGCCTCTAAAAGATACTTACTTATTTTGAAGTTGATCAGACTCTAAACTGTTTCGTTTTACATTGTAAAGTCATCATAAAAAAATGTATATTATTATATATTTAACGACCATACTGCAATTTAAAAATTGTAGATATTTTTCATCGATGCAAGGTTGCAATGTGATGCAATGATTCTGTTCTTGTAGATATCGCGAAGTATAAAAGAGAATTTTGTGTGAATAGGTTTTTTCTAAAATTGATTCTTTGTAAAAGGGTCTAATAATCATAGTTTCTATCAAACTTGTCGTTTCTAGTACTTTTACCAAGCCTGAACATCTTGTATAGTTCATAAAGACCTCAGAAAGAAAAACATGACGATAACTTCGATAATAGATACTGCAGTTATAATTATTTTCTGAAGTCTTCATGTCTATATGTAATATTATTACGTCACAATATCTAGAACACATTCTATTGCCCAGGATCACCGGCTTTCAGGTACCAATCAATAGCAGCAGTATATATGTCACGTGTGAAATTGATATATATTTGAAAAACAATTTGCGAATCACGAACGGCATTTCAATCATTATCATCATTAAGAAATGTAAATTACCGTAATACCGTCGTGAAATGTTTTGAGTGCGTACACTTCCCTGTCAATATTTTTGAACGAATCGGTAAAAACTGCTTTGCTTAATATATTAAGACGACCAACCAGGATAAACTGTGTTTGATCAAATTCAGTTCTTATCTTATATGTACAAAGAAAATTGCTATCGTGAGCTGCTCGAGCTTGATCTTGTGTAACGACGGTGTCGATGCCGTGGATTATTTGGGGGACTTCGCGATCGAGTTCTTGGTCTACGTCTCGGTGGCCGTGGGCTTCTACGGCGATTAATGGGAGGTGAACGTCTGCGATAACGTGGAGGAGTATTTCTACCGCCACCACCCCATCGTGGTGGTCTTCTTCCCATTGGAGGTGACATCCTTCGCATCGGTAGCGGCCGTGGTTTTGGTAATAATACTGGGGCAGCAGTAATCTCTTGACCATCTATTTGTCCTATATAGTACAATTAAACATTATCGTTATCGATACACGTTAAGACAATAAGTTAGAAAAGTTTACAAACTCGAACGTACCACCATCCATGTGTTTCATTGCATTTTCAGCCTCGTCTGCTGTTTCGAACTCCACGTAAGCAAAGCCTCGTCCTTGATTAGGATGAAGCTTATCCATTGCAAAATCGACCATTTTTATTTGACCATACGTGGAAAATATTTCCATAATGTGTTCTTTAGTGACATTGCGCGTCAAATGTCCAATATGTATTTTTGTTGGTCTAGGAATTGGTGATCTTTCCCTGCGTTTCCTACGCGGCGAAGGTGATCTATAAAATACAAATCAAAGAGAAAATAAAAACGGTTACAAATAAGAAAGAATTTATTTTGCCAATACACATAGGACAAATATTTTTACCTAGAGCGTCCTTTTGGTTTAGGTTTATCAATCACAGAATTGCTACTTTTCTTTTTATCCTTTTCTCTGTCTCTATCCCTATCCCTGTCCCTATCTCTTTCTCTTTCCCTTTCTTTTTCTCTTTCCTTCTCCTTATTATCGTGTCTGCGCGAAGCATCAACACTTTTACTGCGACTTCGCTTTCTTCCTCTGTCTCTAGAACTTCCAGAAGAACTTCCTGAACTGCTAGAGCTTGTACTTGAAGTAGAACTCGATCTGGAACTACTTCCACTACTTGTAGACGATGAACCTGAGCTGCTATCCGATGAACTATAAAAATATGATTAATAAAAGCATCGTACAAACATGAATTTTCACAGAAAAATGTTTTGATTTCCTTACCTACTCCCACTGCTCGACGATGAAGCAGCGCGCTTCTTCCTGACTACTTCTCTACCTTTCTCCCTTTTATTTTCTTTGTCCGTTGCTTCGGAATCGCTTTTACCAGTACTGTCCTTACGGCTGCGTGCCCTGTGTTCACATGAAAACACTCGATAATGATGAGGTTACAGACGAATGAAATAAACTAAATAAAAATAAGAAAACAATAATTTACGTTACTTACATCATAGTATGATACAAATTTTCGTGTTATAGGTGCGGTTTCGTCGTCAATAAACGAAAGAAAACGTCGTTGAACGCCGTGCAAACACCAATAATGGCGGACGGTGCCGCTAAAAAAAAATCGACCTCTTCTCGCAAGACACGTTCCCGCTGTTAGTTATGTATTAAACAATATACAACACTAAACAGTATACAATACCGAAAATTAAGAAATTAAATCCATTATCGAGTCATAATGGAACAACATACGAAGTTTACGAAGTAACGATACAAAATTACCAATACAATGACGCGGCGCTCGCATCGTTATTCCCGCCGGGTTGCGGCCATATCATACAAATCGTAAAACTATAAAAATCTGATTGTAAAATGCCCATTTTTAAATATATTAGAACTTTTGCGACATAAATAATGTTACCTCCCCTTTTTGAAACATCTTTTTTTCAAGGTCACGTCGTAAAATACGACGCTTTATACTCGTATCAGTTATAATTAGTTATTCATAATAAAAACAGGGTAATAAATATTAAAATCGCAGAAACATGCTTATTGAACGTTACAAATGATTAAATTTTGAAAACTCAGATAATCGTATCCTTTTTATCATGAGTAAAAAAAACATATTTTCCTATGACGCATTAACATTTAAAACTTAGAAACTGATAGTAATTTTATCATTGTAACTATTCAAAACCGAAATATTTTTAGAATATTTACTGTTAATATCGTTGATAAACTATTTGGGAGATGAAAAACATTAATATTTACCTATTAACTTTAAAAGGAAGCCTCGTAAGTTGACCAAAGTTGACTAGGCTGTTGCTGATCTCTTTAGCGAACGCTCACACTATATGGCGCGCTTTTCAAAAATAGATCCCTCGTAGAGTTTGATGGTCGGCAACTCTAGAATAAAATAAAAAATTTTTCCAATACTATTAGCTTGTATTTCATGGATTTTATTTTTGTAGATTGCTGCAGCGATACGTAAGTACCGAAATGTATATGTATGTACATTTAAGTGATAATAACGAGCGATATTTATGTACAAGTACACCGAATTATAAACACTAAACATTCGTCACACCTTACACATAATTCTCTAAACCAATTCGTTTTAATTGTTGTACCAGTTTTTTTTCTTTTTTTTTTCTTTGCTTCTTGTTACTTTGTTTTGCTTGTAAGTGCTCTCTGAGTGTAAAAACTACATAATTGATGTGGAATATGGAAAATCGTATGTTTCCTTGATTTGGCACAGCTCATTGTAAAAGTAAAAGAAAAATATATGTAACTCAACATAGAGAAGGAATGAGTAACGCGTATTTTATCTGTAGCGCCAACGTTGGAAGAAATATATGTCTAATAATAGCAGTATATCTGTTTCTCTTTCTTTTTTTACCAAATATAGGATTAGTCGCCAAGAAAATGTCCCTTTAGCCTGGAAATATTCGATGTTCGGTAAGCCCTTTAGCTGAACGATATGTGCTATTTAACAATAATAATTCGATTATCAATTCGTCGTAAGGTAAACGGACACACCGTATTTCGCGATTACCTTACGCATACACGGTTCGCAGTTATTCATTTAAGCCTGCATAAATAGTAATATTGGTCTCGCATTCAAATACATAATACAGAAACCGGCATGCAATTTTTAAAAGCGGGGTATATTACAAACTTAGTAGTAGCAGTAGATATACCAATAAATTTATGCAATATATAATATATTACAAAATTGTATTCCCCTTTTTTCTTTTTTTTTTATTTTTAACAAAGTCCATTGTTTATCTTTTGTGTATTTTCTTCTTTTTTTTCGTCGAGTAGATCATTCATCGCTGTAAACATTTGAAACACGCTGGTCTTTCATTCTTATTCTTCTTTTTTCATTTTTTTCATGTAATGCTCTAATGTTCTCTTGGTATACATTCATTCGTACTACATACTTTTTTTCCCGCATTCACACAATGTTCTCTTTCGTATATTTACTTCTTTTTTAAACTATTCTCTTTTTACTCGTAAAAATCCAATTGATCGTATTAGTGGTCACATCGATAAAATTATCATTTATAACAAACAAATGAAATCATTGTAAAGTCTTATTATTTACGTATAAATATTGTTAAATATGTATATTAAAAATTTACTACACATTTCACGATTATTTTACACAGAATTTGTTATTCTATCCTGATAATGACTTAAGTCGATTAAGTAACCCTTTGTTAAACAGACACGAATTGTTCTCGCATCAATAGAAGAATAGGAGACTACACTGGAAGACTCGATTTTGATCCCGTTCTTTTCTCGTGTATGTCGTTAAAAACCAGAAACGAAGAGTATGGATGTGATCAAAATCGAGTCTGATAAAAAAAAAAAAATGATGCTCGCAATAATAATCCCTATGTTCTTTGTTACTAATTGAATCGCGTGTGTATTCGAGACAAAGAAGAGGAAAACGAAAGGAACGGGAATCAACCGATGCTGCGTTTCTAGAAATTGAGTCACGACATCATGGTATAAAAATCTAAACTGACCTTACTGTGTACTAAAAAATAGAATTATTTGCTGCTAAGCGAGACAAGCTCGATCGTTAGCAAGAGTATATCGCTTAGCGAATTACCCCTAAGCGTTCGGAATTACTTTCGTTGACGCATTTCGTGACTCGATTACTTAAATCGTCAATCGGTCCGAACGCTTCTTCTTTTTTCCCTCGGATAAACGAACACGTTTCGTTCTCGTCTCTACATGTAGAATCGAAATGTTCCATTCGTTAATCAACGGACAAATGAAAAATATTGCTAGTAACATGACACAACAGTCTTACACGTTGACGGTAAACTCCGCGTTGAAACGAAACGTTTATATTAATCTTATACATTGTCGTCCGTTCAACGCGAAATAAGACCTAATAACACTTTTTTTTCTATATTAGCCAGTTTCTGATGAAAAATAATTGAACACCGACGATATCTTCATTTTTTCACAAAGACTCTCCTCGTTTATCAGTTGTCATTCCACAGACAACAGAAACGCGAATGATACCATCGTATCAAGTTCATCGTTCGTTCGTTCGTTCGTTCAGGAAAATAATCGGCTTCTTTTCACAATATTTCAATAAAGTGTATCGATAATGGATGAATATTTGGACCGGAAGAACTTATGATATCTCGACCGGGATTAATATCATTTGACATAGAATGTTTAGCTGCTTCGACACGATGATTCAGACGGATATCTCGTAAGCGGCGTACGTTCTTTCCTCATTCGAACAGGAGACGCGTAACGTTGCCGGCAATTCTTGTACAATCTCCGTCCAGCCGCAGGTTGGGGCGGAGACCGTAAAGGTGGGCTATACAGATATTTCATAGTTCATCGTATCGTAGACACTAGCACGATCCGGTGTCGGCGTTGTGGGCCGTTGTGATCTGTTATCGTTAGGCGCTGACACCATTTCCATGGAATCCGTCATTTCTAAGGCTCTAACAAACGACATTGGTCTGCGACGCGTATCGCCCGACGTAGGTGTGGTCGGCGTCGCCATCGTTGCTTTTCGTTTCACTTGCGGCGATTGTTGATGCGGTGGGAAGACCGGTACTCCACCTCTCATTGCAGGATGATAGGCTGCTCTGGGAGCATTGGCGTACAATTGTTGCGTAGGACTCGTTGGATTCGAACGATAATAATCGTACGACGACGACGACGACGACGACGGCGGCGGTGGTCTTTGCGATGGCGACTGATGCGTTGTCGCGTTTCCCGTCGCACCAGCTGGAGCTGGATAGCTGCCAGGTGAATTATCTTTCCACATGTAGACACCACGTTGAGGCGAACCCGCTAACTCTCGAATGTTGTCAACGGTATTGTTAGTTCTCGAGTACGAATGTTCGGTACCTTGACGAACGAGCTCACTTTCCGACAAGAAACGGCGCTGTGGACTGTAACCAGCTACAACGGCACCGCTACCAACACCGGTATTATTCCCTTGCTGTACATCATAATACGTTGGTGCTTCGTTTACTCCTATAAAATCTGGCCGACGAACCTGCGTCGGCGTACCTGGGTTCGATCTGTAACAGACACACGATACTTTCATCTCCAAACATTGATACCGATTAATTTGATGTTTGAATAACCGACAAATGCACAATAATACAGTGAACCAAGATGAATATGCGAGTGCTGAGCATTGTAGCCATACAAATACGGCTCTGGCGAAACATACAAGAGAGAGAGAACAGCGCATCATTCCTGTTATAAAATTAGCATCTATCCAAGAAACAACGTAAAAAGGTAGCGAACCTAGGAAATACATATATATGGACATTTACTTGCGTGTTGGTCGACTGATATGTGTGTAAAAATATATAGATATATATATACATGTATATATATATATATATATATTTAAATTTAAGTATGCTTTTCTCTTAAGTATATAATATACGTATGAAATATATGCAAGAAAGCATAACTTTAAACTACGGTATGTCCTCGTAGGATGAAGTTCGTGTTTACCTGCAGTAGGTTGCAACATGATGGTAGAAAGCAGCTCCTTGCAGTTACCACCCCCTGCAGTGGGACACAAACTTATCTATATACCATATATCTTGTAATATATACATGCAGAGAAACTAATTCTCTATTTATATTATCGTGATCTACAATCGCGCAACGCGTTTTATCATTATATATTATCACGTTCCTTCGTCATTCAGAAGGCGAGAATAGCGGTGAGAGAATATAGGGGAAGAAAGAATAAGAGCAAGAGTGAGGTGTTCATAGTGAGGGATAGGGAATCTGAAAAAATAAACAGGCTTCACATCATGTCGAAACAGGTTGCAAACAGGACATTGAATAAAAGGAGATTGTTCAATTTGTATTGATAGCGTGCTCAAGAAATGCAATATAACTAATTACTAAATGTGGCGCTTCCCTCTTGCTCTCTACATCGAGATAAATTTTGTGCAATGTGAAACGCCGCGACGTACAATTAAAGGAAGAAAAAAAAAAAAAAAGAAATGTACATTTATTAAATACTTAATATTTCAAAAAGTACTTTTAAGTGTCCACGGAATAGAACAAATATATTTCATTATCTTTATATCACACAAGATCGTATCACACTATTTACTTGCAGAATTCATATATTTCTTGAAATATATATTCAGCATAGATTCGTAATTGTTCTATTTTCGTTTGTAAGCGATAGGGAAGCATAAACGTACCTGCGAATAGGACTGGAAATGGCGAGTGGAGTAGGTACTCCGATAGCTTTAATCCGTTGTGTCGTTGGACTAGCACCCCCTTGTCCTTGACCTCTTTGGGAAGCTGCGGCGGGTGATCCGCTTGCTTCTGGCGATAATGGATCAGGCGTATGGCTTCGAGAGCCGTTCATTCCCCTATAGGTATTGACAACGTACCTTATGTATATTAGAAAAATGAATTAACACACGAAAACAACGTTTCCTGTTATTGTATTCGTTTACCTTGGCCTTGTGTGAGGGCTGCCTCTAGTGTAATGCATTGGATGGCGATGTTGCGACGGCGGTGGATGCCTGGGAGACTCGTTGTTCTCCACAGGTGGCAGGAAAAAATTGCTTTTAGAACCGTGTCTTTGTAACGGAGGTGTAGGCTCGCAATCCGCGGACTGAGATGCAGTGGGTTCCATATCCGTGTCCGAACCATCTCGTCCAGGTGACAACTGGAATTAAAAATTAATGCATTTGGTAACTATCTTTGTTAGAACCTATTTGTAACATTCATTATTTAATTATCGTAGCACGCTATTGTACATTAATAACGCACGTTTCTTGGAAATACTGACGTTCAGCCAGGAATTGGGTAAGGAACATGGGACTGAGTAAGAAAATAACTGCAACTTTCCAACGGTGTTAATAGGATATTACTGAGAGGAAGAATCGTTGCTCGAAATCGTACTCTAAAGAAAGAAATTGAAAAATTAACGAACAAAGGCAAAGAATTCGAAAGATCGTGCAAGAAACGCCTTTTGAACGCATTGAAGTGCGTGCACTACAATTTGCAATTAGCATTTGTATGTATTGATAAAAGCTTCGAAGCGCGGTGAAAGAGTGCAGATCTGTAACTTTCCTAAAGCAAAATAAATTACATATCTATGATAGAACTACGTACAGCTTCGTATGTTATACACCGATGAAGCATTATAAAATTGCATGCTAAAGAGGAAGTGCCTATTTACAGTTGTAAAGTCTTCATGTATGTAGTGTCAGAAGCAAAGTTGCACTAGCTCTTACCTTATTGTAAGCATTTGAACTGGCATTTCTAACACCATTGCTGCTATCCATGTAGGTTTTTACCTGGTTCTCACTGCCTATAGTCGATATCTCAGATGTAGAAACTCCGCGTCGTTTTCCTGAATACTTTTCAGGCTTAATTAAACTGAAACATTACAATATCGTAATTACTAATTACTTAAATTAACGATGCTGGTTATCGATTGACTAGGATATTACCTGGGGTATTGTGGTCCAAATTGCGTATAACAGCAATTGTGTAAGCAACCATGAGAAAAAGGATTGTAGCCTCCGTTAAATTTACCCGTTACCTGTTCATTTGTCGTACGTCCTCTAGAAACAAGTACTACATGAAAGCCGGTCAGTCCAAATATTGGAATGAACAAAAGTATAACCACTCCCATGAGTACAAGTCTATTTTAAATTTAAGGATTATATCGTGTAAGATTACGTATTATAACTTCATTGGACAGTAATTAATTTCGGAAAAAAGGATACGCGACAATTGTATCCACTTCGCCCAACTGTTGTTTACGCTCCAATACAAAATACAGGCAAAGCCCAAATATACTGAGCATGTGAAAACTGAGAGACAAGAGAAAGAAAAAAAAGAACCTATAATTCCTCCTACCGATGCAGTTATTCACCCACGGGCAGTGATGATCGAATGTCTGAAAATATACAAAAAAAAACGTTAAATTTAAAATTAAAAAAATGTTAATTACATTTAGTACAAACCTCGATACAATGATTGCAAACACTACAATGTGAACAACGTGGAGGTCTATAAAACTTGCATGTGACACACCATTTCATACGAACTGTAATTCCATTGATTTCTACACTTTTATATAACGGAGCATGGAAGTCATCCTCTCGGTCTTCGTCAGGAGGTGCTTTAAAAAAAGATGTATTCCTTAAAAAATTTCACCTTCATTTTATGTAAAGACATACCTTTCGGAATAACTCCTGGATCCATAAATGTTGCTAATGTGAAATTTGCCAGAACAAAAAAGGTGATGACTCCTTGTAGCGCAGGTACCCATGTTCCCCATCGAAACACATAATATTGACATCTGAAAGATTAAAACGATAAGTGTTGGTACGCTCGTCTCAAAACACTAAGAAAAACTTTGAACAATGAAAACAGGAGCACAAATATCACAGTCTCTCACCAGAATAGAAGAAGACAGACATGTGTGCAAAACTTACGGAAAACAGAAGAAGAGTGTCGTGGTGCTGAGTAGGACTGTCCAGGCAAATGTGGCTGGTAGATACCTTGTCTTCACATCGCATTTCGGCATTCTGCACACTCCACTTCGTGGTTCGACGATTAACGAATTATTAATGGGTAAGATTTCTGCTACCAGAAAACATGGCCGCGTCCATCGGCGCTGCTTATTTGCAAGTTGTGAGATCCGTATTTAGCACGGACTTCCATTCTCGTTATGTCTGTACATTGGTGGCATTTTGATAATCATTCCTTCTATTACGCGCGCGTCACACGGGCAAAAACATCCGTAATGTGATTAATATTTAAACGCTTCTGCATACACGGTCCGCGAACACACTACCGTGCTGACATACATATATAAATATATATATATATATATATATATATTGTATATATCGTGCACGACAGCGAGCCGTGCCCCCTCTAACACGAGTGTTCCGCAATGCGATCCACCAAGACCTGCGGTTCACTTTCACAATTTTCTCCTAGTAAAATTGCACTATTAGCTTAATGTCGTTCGATGCGATATTTCTAAAGCTTTGCAATTTTGAATTTTCTTTTTTACCGATCGATAACGCCCATCGTGTTTCCAAGAAAAATCTTCCTTACCGACGGTGTATGAAACTTTTAATTCAAACTTTTCGCGGTTAATCTTTTCTAAGGGAGCAAATATCGATAATGAAATTCGTAATTCATAAATTGTGTTCCAAAGCAAATAATGATTTAAATTTCGTAATAATAAGGAATAAAAAAACTGTCGCGGAAGAACCGATGCGTCGTTGCTATATTAGGAAGTATGGCAAGAGGCCAACGAGATGAAGCAGAAATTAAGGGAAAGAATTCCGTCGTTACGGGCCACATGGAATCAATAAGGTATCTCTCTTACTGATACATAGAACGTCATTCGATTTGTATAAAGATATCAGGTTCGCACACGCGATGGTTACAGCTAATTTCATGGTTTGCGAATCATCGTACGTTCTATTAGTAACGATGCTTTTACCACCCACGTTGTCCGTTTGAGGATCAGACCGATGCCACATACCACCGAGCTTTATTATGTAAACTTTGCTATTATTTAACACACGACGCAACGTGTTCGCTTCTTTATAGAAAATCTCTAATGGAAAATAAATTTAGACTCCCGCTGACCGTTTACGTGTTTAACTGGAGGAAAGCTTCCGGTTGTCGCTACCAGAACTATACATATATCTACTCTGACGTTTTCCGTAATTTCATTTTCAAACGATGAAAAGATAAAATTTAAATACCGCATTGCTTCTAATTTAAGTAGGATTTTAAATATTCTCATAAATACTACAACAAAGTTTCCAACTTTCAGAAATTCTCAAATGGCCCCAAAGTTGAAATGCCACTGAAATTATATAGTTACAATTATGGATAATGCAATTGTAAAAATTACAAAATTACCGTATTCGCAGTTTCGTGTAACAGCTGATAAAGACTACCCTGTTAGAACGAGTAAAAATGGAACAGATGACATTACCAAGGAGAAGGTATTCATTTTTCGCGATGATGGATCCAGCAGGAGGGGCGGCATCCGCATACTTCTCTAACGAGTCGGCTTATGAGCACGAACTCTTGCCAAGGGGACGCGGATTTTCAGAACTTGGCACCGTCACATAATTGCTTTTGCACGCTTGAAAACCCGTTGTCACTGCCTACCGAGCATTGACAAGACGAACATCACCCACGATGACGAGGATGATGATGATGATGAGGAGGATGATGATGGTGATGGTGACGATGCGCTCGTGCCTAAAATATTTTTAATGAGATAAATTTCGTTGGCCCGTAACAATCAGGCTCAGCTGAATGAAAATCGGACACATACAAATGTTTCTCGCATTCCTGTGACATTCAAAACGATGATCTTGTCCTCATCAACCTGTCGCGGTTGATTGATCGTCTCGCATTATTTATAGAGCTGGCGTAAACATTTTTTACAGGAACGATGAAACTTTACCCGGTACAATCCATTTTTGTTACTTCAGTATTTTGTATATGTACATGTAAAAATACTAAATTCTTATCATTATAGAATGTAGAAGAAAAGATGAATAGACTAATGAAATGTATGGTGTTGCTACAAGCGCTCTTAGAATTCTTATGGAATTAGCTGGAGGTGTAAGAAACAAGTCAAGTAAGAAGAAAGAAAGAAAAAAAAAAATGAAAAGGAAACGTTTAGAAATAAAAATATCTAAATTCCCTTCGCGTCTGGGAAATCGCGTGATTCGTTGATGAATCGTTCGGAAAGAGTACGAGGACTTGTTATATTTCCACCGGTACACTAAGCCAGGTATATACGTTGATGTTGTAATAGTTCTGAACGTGTGGGTGTAGGATCTAAGAACAGCAACCCGGTATGAAAATTGCACATGGATATTACTCGACGTTGTTCCATCGCCCAAGAATTATAACCATTTGCGTGAAGATAGACAAATTTATATGACACTCGGTCAGTTCTGAATAATTGCCCTTCCGAGCCACTTTGGATGCACTTCTGTTAATACAATCATTACCATTGAAAACGTTTTAATGCATCCTCTGGCAAGACAAATAACAGGCAATTTTTCTTTTTCCAACTTACCTCGACTCTCTTAACGTTTCATGAATGAACACTCTCTCTCTGTTTATGCAATTTTCTAATATACAAAGGATGCCCCTAGATGAACAGATAAATGAAATGGAATTTTGTTATTTAAAGAAATCTTAACATAACTATATGGTATTGATAATTCATCATTTACTCATACCCTCGTGTTTGCACTGGAGATATCGGTACCTTAGTTTGTTCTTTCATTTAGAATTATCCTTTGAAGTATCTTAAATTGTTACGGTTTTGATAAGAAAACTGAAAAAAAAAAAGCTCAAGTTAGCCAGCAAATATGTTGAATGCAATCTAGTATGATTTAACGTCGGCCTTCCGTTTCGCGGAAGATCTACTTATAACATATTTCATTTTTCGTCGCGTCGCTCTATTTTTGCGCCCACCAGTTTTCTAGCTGCTTTACCAGACGTGGACGATGTCTTTATACCGGGGTGGAAAAGCTTCGGTACCTCAGGTGTCCGTCGTCCGCCGTGCGAGATATCAGTCAGCATGGTAAGTGTCGCGGTCATGGTTTCACGGTGAGACCTTTTCATTTTTACATCTCCGTGTTCGCGTTCCATCGAAGCCGCTCGTGTGATTGATTAGTGAGATGAATTTGAATCGCAGTGACCTGGAAAAGAAAAAAAAAATTAGTTTTCTTTCAATTTTTCATTTTATTCGCCTTTAAATCCAACTTTTTCAATTGACCGTAATCTGTGATGAAACGTTTCAAAGTTCAATAAATATTTTATTATTACCCTTCACATTTCCATCCTGCTGTAAGATTGATCGTTTGCAGGAGGAAGACGAGCAAAAGATGGCCGTGATGCGAAAAGCATTTCAAATGTTCGATACCACCAAGAGCGGCCTGATCGACACCCTGAAAATATCAACGATATTGAACACGATGGGTCAGTTGTTCGACGATGCTGATCTGAATGCTATAATAGCGGAGAACGATCCGGAAGGGACCGGAAAAGTGAACTTCGATCAATTCTGCAGGATCGCTGGTCGATTCCTGGAAGAGGAGGACGCTGAAGCGATGCAAGAGGAATTGAAAGAAGCTTTTCGTTTATACGATCGCGAAGGAAATGGATACATTACGACGGCTACCTTGAAGGAGATTCTTGCTGCTCTCGATGACAAACTTACTAGCGCGGATCTTGATGGTATAATAGCTGAAATTGATACCGATGGATCCGGCACGGTTGACTTCGATGGTGTGTAATGTTTCGATTGTTACAAGGGGATCGCATGACTTTCGCCATCCTGATTAGATTTCTCTTCTATTTTTCTTTTCTGTGACGATAGAGTGATGGATGTAACTTTCTTTGTTTCAGAATTCATGGAGATGATGACTGGAGAGTGATGACGTTCTGAAAGCAAAGGACAGTCTATGTTAAAATTATTAATTCGGCGTTCTTTTTGATCCTAGTGTCTTCAAATTTGTTTAATAAAACTATGACTTAAAGGCAATGAACCTGTTCGACTTAATCCTATGATCTTATGGTTATAAGGTGTGTACATTGTGGAGACCAGATTTTATAATAAACATTTGCTCTTTAAAGCAATTTATTCATTATGATACATCAATAAATCGATTTTTTTTTTTTTTTGTTACATTAATGTTACATCATTTTGCGCACTAAGTCCGTCGTAAATGCGTACGGCTTCTTGCGATGCCGCGCGCTTCGCCAATAGGAACTGGATTTACTGAGTGATGTCGTTGGTGGGTTGTCCAGCGTGGTAGACGAGAACGTCCTTGACGAAGATGTTGGGAACGCTGAGAGCACCGGCGGTCAGAGGTCTGTCCAACGGGAAACCAAGGGGTTTGCCGTCAAGAGAGATGGCACCACCGATTATTTCGGAGATTGGTTTGTTCTGGAAGTATTCGGTGACAGTTTGGTCCTGAACGGTTTGCGGTTGAGCGTAGACACCCTGGAAACCACCGGCGTGTTGTTGTCCGCTAGCGACGATTCCAGTTCCTTGGATTCCACCTTGTACTTGAGATGCCCAGGATTGAACACCGCCGATTCCTTGGGCTCCTTCCATACCGTATGCGATTTTCACAGCCTGGACTCCTTGGACTCCAGCACCAGACAATCCTGATACTCCTTGGAGACCAACATTCATGCCTTGGATTCCTTGACCACCTTGGAGAGGTACACCATATTGGACACCTTGACCACCTCGTACTCTATGTGAACCACCTGTTACGCTTTGTTGATCTCCTTGTTGGTTATGATGACCTTGTACGCTGTGTTGACCTGCTTCGCTATGTTGACCAATTGGTACGTTTGGCAGAGCACCTACGACTACTTCGGGACCTTGTCCAACCTGTTGTGCACCTTGTAAACCTTGGGCACCAGTTGAGAAACCGGATCCCCAGGTCATGCGTTGTTGTCTGAAGTGGCCTTGGGTTTGACCCAGGTATTGTTGTTGCATTTGCGGTTGGATCTGTCCAGAGACTAACTGTCCAGATAATCCTAATCCTTGAGTGGATGCTGCTGCGCCGCCACTTACTCCGGCAACATTCTTGATCCAGGTCATGTCTTGTCCTTCGCCGACTGGGTTCTGGATCTGGGTGTAGGGATACTGTCCGTGGTATTTGGTGTAGACATTAGCGTAGTGGGTCCTTACGGCTGTAAAAAAGAAGGGTATTGTACAACGTGTATCTAAGACCGTTTTATCGTCGTTGATAAAGTACCTTCAATTTGTTGTTGAGCGTTGACCAAGTTTTCGTTGAAGACTTCCACGTTCTGTTGGATTCCACCGGTCACTTGAGAGAGGCTCTGTTGTTTCAGTTGTTGGTATTGTTCAGGGTTGACGATCTGGAATTGTTGTTCTTGGAAGGTCAGAGCTTGGTCTGGGATGACTGGACCGAACGGAACGTTAAGTGGGCCGGAGCTGGTGATCACAACGACGAATTGCATAGGGAAACCTTGTTGTTGTCCCTTGGGGAGACTCAACCTAGCAGGGAAGCTGAAGATCTGGTGTGGCTGTAATCATAGATATCGTTATGAATTTCTAATCTTTTATAATTTTAAAGAATCGGGGTAATTCATTAACCTGAGTAACGTAGAATGGCTCTTGAGAGCGGATAGCATCGTTGACACCTTGTTGGATCTGGGATACTGATGGCCAGTCGGCGCTCTGTCCTGGAGCTTGTTGAGAGTTCCTAATGATGATGTTCTGGCCGGGGTGGACTGTAAAGTATACACCGAATATTATGAGACAATCATTCGTAAGTAAATCGTACTTGTTTAGAAGCAAAATATTGAAACATACGGTTGTGGTAGAATTGGTCGAGTTCGACGAAGAGATGCCTTTTCTGGGAGATGCTGATTGGGCGACCCTTGTAGTCGTGTTTCGGTCCAAGGTAGACACGGACAACTGCGTTGGGGATTTGTTGTTCGCTGTGAACGATGACTTGGTATTGGAAGGGATGATGGTCCAACCTCTTGAGGTGTGCCTTGACGTGTTGTTGTACATTTTCTTGTTGTTGTTGCATGGTTTGGTCAGGTCGTTGAACGGTAACGGCGTCGAGGTCGATGAAGTAGTTGGTGAAGAGGGTGATCAGTTGGCTAACATCAACGTTCTGGATGGTAACACCGGGGAGGATAAGGTCGTTGGATTGGTAAGGAGGCAGAGATTGTTGGTATTGTTTGTAGAGTCTCATAACTTTCTTGTACAGTTGGTAGAAGGCTGGGTCGTGAACAGCGGTTTGTCCAAGTTCAAGAGCAGATGGAGTGTAGTCCCATACGTTTTCGACTTCAGGGGCATTGCCAAGAAGTTTGCGAGCTACAGCTTGGAAACTTCCGTAGTACCTGTTTGAAAATAATGAAGTATTAGACATGTACTCATATTAATTAAACGCCAGCTCGTATTCTTTCAGAGAAGACTAACCTTGGGTTGACGCTTCTGCCGCAACCTTCGATCAGGTCACCAAGGATGTTCATACCCTGGGGTTGGTAAAGAGAAAGGAAGATGCCTTGTGGGGTGATAACATGGCCAGAGTCGATGGCTTCCATCAATCTTTGTTCCAAAGTCATGACAGACTTGATCAGATTGTACTTTTGTGGTTTGAGTTGAAGATTGTCTGGGCGGCCTGGGAATTCAAGTCCGTTGAGGTTGCGGAGATGAGGTTGGTAGAGAGCTTTTACATTGGTCCAGTCAGTGTATGGGATGGGGCCAAGTCCGTTGGAGAGACGGTTAAGTTCGTAATGTGCCAAGAGTTGTTGGTGGAGATACAAGAATTGGGCTCCATGGCCGATGGTGTTTTGTTGGTCCTGTGCTCCTTGTTGTAAGTATTTTCCTACAATCTGTTGTTGGTACTGTTCTTGACCCAAGGGCTGTTGTTGCTGTTGTTGTTGTTGCTGTTGTTGTTGTTCTTCCTAATATTTATAAATAAATATTGATCACATTAATTCGTAAACTTTTTAACAAATCTTCCATGAAAATATTTTCAGCTATTTTTTTTTCTTTTTAGATACTTACACTATCCAAAATGTAGGAAGCAAGGTTGACATAGTTGTAGTATGAAGCAAGACCAACATCCTGGGTGAAGTAAGAAAGCTGTTGTTCATCGTGGGACAAAGTTGCAGAGCAGTTGACTGGGATCAGGATGTTTTGGATGTTCTGTTGAATTGCTTGTTGATAGCCAACGTCTTGAGCATCCTGGATAATTCTAGCGTCCAAGTGGTATTGGGGCAAGATTTCGTAAGTTGGAGGAAGGATAACACCCTGTGTGTCTTTACGGGTCAGGACAGCAGCAGCAACAGCCTATTCGTACGAGTATAAATTTAAGTATACAGTATGTATAAAAGTTAAGAGATAGAACATTTTCAAGCTCAACTGATATATTAATAAATTTCTGTTTATGTAGCTTTTATACCTTGACGAATTGTCCTTCGTTGACACGAACACGAGCCCACGCAGCAGTCTTCAGGAAGGTAGGGTAGTCCTTGGCACCTAACAAGATCCTGTACAGGAGGGCAACTTCTTTGCGCAGTTGGCTGATGGAGTTGCTGTACACGGTACCCTTAGGTTGAACCAGGCCAGCTCTTACAACACCAGCATAGTATTTCACTATGATGGGATTGTCGTAATAATGAGCATTGCTTTCAATCTCATATGTTTCGCCAAGGTTCTGAAGCTGTGGGTTTGGTATGTCTTGTGTGATCTTTTGCAGGAGTTGGATGCAATCTTGTTGTTTTTTTAGGAGCTCCTGGTCAGCTGTAACGAATATAAAAGTGTGTTTAATACCAAGACATTGTGGCAGAGTCATAGAATGTTGTATCGTATTAAATTCTATGGACTGAATAAGTAAAGAAGAAAACAAGTAACTCAAGTTGAAATTTAAACTTTAAATTATAGCAATATAGTTTAAGTTTTCAATGGAAACAGAAACATAATAATGATACTGAACAAGGTAATAATTATAGCACTCTTGCCAAATGTTTCAGAGTATGAAAATTTTATAGGTAGAAGTTTGAAGTGTTAACTTACCAGCACGTTGTTTGCTGCTGTCACAGGCTGCAAAAGCCACAAGAGCTAACAGGACAAATAAGTACCTCATTGTATAGATCAAATAATACAATGTGATACTTACTGAATGTTCGAGCAGGCTTTTATACTAAAATCCTATCGAAGAAAACGTTTATCGGCGACCTGCCGACCCACCTCCCTCAAGATTTCGCGGCCTACCCGCGATATCCTTTGCTATTTCGAATGTGTTCGACGCATCCGATCGAAGGTTAACCGATGATGATACGTATCATCGTCAATAGATTCTGTATCAGGTTGTTGTACCAAAAATTCGACACCTCTTATCCGGCCATATACTTCATAAGATACTTTGCAAATTTTCTTCTCCATTTCTTACAGAGTAGTACCGTTTCAACTGTATTCATTCTAAATCTTCATTATTCATTAAACTTAAGGGAAAATGGTACCTGAAAGAAGAGATAGAGATTAAAATCGACACTATCAGTTGCTGAGGTAAAAATTTTTAATCAAAGTAAAAGTATATATTCAATTATATTCTTATTATAATTTCAATATGCTTTATTGTTAAAACAATACGAGGTAAACTTAATTTTATTTTTTTTTCTCGATATGCCATGTAAGGTATTCTCCTGAAAATATTAAACATAGGTATTTGAATATTTAACGAATAACAATTTGAAAAAAAAAATATTGATCGTGAAATTTTTATCAGAAAACATATATTGAATTTTAATATTTCGCAATTAAATTATCGAAATATTTTTCAACATTTTCGCACACTTACAAAGAGGGCACAAAATATTGAAGGTCATCGGTATCTTCACGCGCGGGATAATATAAGATAATAAGTCTTGAACTCTCAGGTGACTATATGCGCAAGGGTTATCACTTTGTTTACCTCTTAAATGTTTCGACAGTATTTTTTACATCCCTGGGGGGTAGAAAGAAAAAACAATGAAAACTTATTATCAATAAACAATTTTTCCAATAATAAACATGCAGGGAGATAAGATTCAATTGTTTTCATTTTGTTTCTTCGTAAAAGACTTTCGCTAATTTAAATTGCAGTGGATGCAATTAACAATCAAAATTATTGACTTTTATAATCTATAGCAAACTATGCAATAATACAATTTTTTTTCATTTGACTTTTAACATTTCTCAAGTGTTAATAAGCAAAAGTTTCATAATATTTTTGCAGTAATATCGTTTAATAAATTTTTCTTTTTAACGATAAGTAATTTTTTGTAATTTTTTTGTGTACACGATGGCGTGTTGCTTGCTACGAATAATTGCATATAAAAACAAGAAAAAACGAATCTCGCAAAAGTATGATAACATAAAAAAGCAAAAATATACTTTGGTTTCAGATAATAGCAGCATAATCAATTGTAACTTTTTTTCTTATTTTACCCTGTATCATTGCTATCTTTTTATTTTAATATGTTGATGCAATAGTACGCCTTTAATTTTGTAATATTTAAACAAATTTCAGAACAAAATTTTTCAAATACAAGAGTTATATTTTAAACATTTATACCTGTATTCTTCAAATAATTTCTCCTCCCCTTCTTCTAAGTTTGAACTTTATCATATATGTCTCTGTTCTAATGTTATATCTTGATTATAATCTTTGATAACAAATTTTTTACTTGATCCTTAAAAGTTAGATAACTGATGCTTGAAACTGGTGTGAAACACCGATATATTGAAGTACTATCGATTTCTACGATTTTCAGGTATATCGAGCGCAATGGATAATTTAAATGTAGGCGCTACGGATCCATGATATTCATTCCACAAATAGAATTATTTTCTATTTAGATTGCTGTTTCTTCGACGAAATATTTGATTCGAAATTAGATTATCTTTCGATCCTATGCTCCTAATCAAATTATCTCTTTCATTTTCTCAGCCGATTTTTTACATTTACACGTGCACGTGTATATGTTTTATATATGTATATACTGTCATTTGAAGTACTGAACGTAACCTTGAAAAGCCCACCCTCGAAGCACAAGTTCAATCGTAGCGGGTGAAGCAACACATTTTTTTATCTATATACAAGGATTTAGGGAGATCATACAGTGACTTCCAATCGTATAGATCATAATCTGTGATAAAATGTCGTCGTAAGAGATTGAGAAATTACGAAGAAGTGACGTTTTGTTGCTGGTGCCGTGGTAAGGTGCGAGTATAGGTTAGGGAAGGGTACCGAAGATTTCGTTAGAAAACGACAAAGATGCCCTTAAAAAATTAGGCGGTGAATGCCGCTGTTACGTGCGATAAGTATATCATTCAAATCAGCATGGTGCAACGTCCAGTCGCGCCCAGGCGCAACGTCAGAATTCTGTTGATCGGCGATCGTGGAGTCGGTAAGACTTCTCTGATACTATCGTTAGTAAGCGAAGAATACGCGGAAGATGTGCCCTGCAAAGCAGAAGAGATCACAATACCGGCTGATGTCACCCCGGAGCAGGTTCCTACCCACATTGTTGATTATTCGGGTACATAAGAATGATGTTTGCATAATGCTTTTTTAAAAAACATTTAATGGGTTTCATGGTTTCATTCATCATGTTTGATTTTCAGCTGCAGAGCAAACTGAAGACCAATTAAGCGATGAAATTCAAAAAGCACATGTAATTTGCGTTGTATATTCTGTGGTGGACGAGGATACATTGGATAGAGCAGCTACTTATTGGTTACCATTAATCAGACGATGTTCATCCAACAATCGTTGCCCGGTGGTCCTTGTAGGAAACAAGATTGATCTTGTTGATTATTCGACCATTGAGGTTCGGTGTAACAATGAAGCTTGTAACATTTCATTTGTTTACTCATATTTGTAGATTTTTTTTCTATTTTTAGGCTGTATATCCTATAATGAAAGAATTCACTGAAATTGAAAGCTGTATCGAGGTAAATGTTATAATTATGTTAGTACATTTAAAATAGTTTCTAATTTATGTCTTATTGGTTTTAGTGTTCTGCCAAAACATTACAAAATGTTTCAGAAACATTTTATTATGCACAAAAAGCTGTTTTGCATCCTACCACACCATTATACAATTATGATACCCAAGAGGTAGGACTTACTAAAAGTATGTTTAATTATAAAGATTTAAGTATAGTTTACTAATATAATACAATGTTTAGCTTACAGAAGAATGTAAAGTTGCGCTTCAGAGAATTTTTAAAGTAAGCATATAAATTTGTACATTCTTCTTGTGCTCGCATATCTTATAATTATTCATGCGTTGCATTATTTCGTATAGATATGTGATTTGGATAATGATGGTTTGCTAAATGATATGGAACTAAATGCATTTCAACAATGGTGCTTCAACACTCCGTTACAACCACAGGTTTTGGAGGATGTGAAAGCTGTATTATCAAAAAATATCCAAGATGGCATTTGTAACGGATGCGTTACCATGAAAGGTATCTTGCATTGAATAATGCATAAAAACTAGTACAGGAATATGTCTTTGTTGTTCGCAGGTTTTATGTATTTACAATGTTTATTTATACAACGGGGAAGAAATGAAACAACTTGGGCTGTGTTGAGAAAATTCGGTTATGATAATGAGTTACAAATGTCTAAAGAATATATAAATCCACCGTTAGTATAGAAACAATAAGAGATATTTGAAATATATATATTTTATGTATATTTTACATATTCTTATTGTGTATTCTTATTACGTAGACTAAAGGTTCCTGTTGGTTGTACAACTGAATTATCACACAAAGGTCAAGAATTTTTAACGTTGTTATTTATGCAACACGATCGTGATCGGGATGGTGCTCTTTCACCTTCTGAACTGGAGTCATTGTTTTCACGATGTTTAACCGCACCCTGGGGTGATGAGTATAAATATACTGTACCAACTAATGAAAAGGTACATTTTTCGTTATTATTGCTTGATTGTTTCATCGATTTGCTTTTGTTATTGCTTTGTTCAATAGGGATGGATCACATTTCAAGGGTACATGTGTCAGTGGGCATTATTAACTTTGACTAATGTACGAAAAACTCTAGAATATATGGCGTATTTGGGGTACAACATGTATAATAACGAATGTCAAACAAACGCAATCGTGGTTACTCGTGAAAAGAAGTTGGATTTGGCAAAGAAACAATCAAGCAGGAATGTTTATAGTTGTCATGTGATCGGCCCGAAAAGTAGTGGAAAAACAACATTATGTAGAACATTTGTAGATCCAAAACTTGAGGTGCGTATATTTTTGTACGTACATATAATACATTACAAATAAGTTTTTAAAATATTGCATTATTGCAGAAATTAACCGATGAAATGGTGCCGTCGAATTCGCATGTAACCGTGAATACGGTACATGTGTATGGCCAAGAGAAGACAATAATTCTGCGGGACATAAATATACTTAATGTTCAAGATGCTTTAACTCCAGCACAAATTCAATGTGATGCGGCGGCTCTTGTTTATGATGCTAGTAATCCTAAATCATTTGAATACATCGCACGAATTTATATTGTAAGGATTTTGTTACATTCTCAAAGAAATTGTATCCTGAAGCATACGATACAACTTCATAATGAAATTAATTTTCTTCCATTCTCAGAAATATTTTGCAGACAGTAAAATTCCTGTTCTCATAATAGCAAATAAGAGTGATCTGTCTGAAGTAAAACAAGAGTATTTGCTGCAACCAGTAAGTTTTTGCAATAAGTACAAATTGATGCCGCCACAACCGTATAGCATCTCCCGTACAGTACGACGTGAAATCTTCGTTAAATTAGCAACAATGGCAGCTTTTCCGTAAGTATAATTCTTTAAAACATTCTTTATTGATAGATATAATTTATACAACTATTACAACGCCCCAAAAATGTTATTATTTTATGAAACAATCAAATTTACTTATCACAGAAGAAGAGAAAATATCTCAACGTAAATAGTCTCAAAGTTGTGTTGCATTTTGTTTGTTGCTGTCAAACGTTTTTATTTCATATTCTCTATAGTTTTTAAGAAAAGATGCCCTTTAAATTGAATTATTATTAGACACTAACAAAAAGATTTCATGTTTAGCCGCTTTCAAGGAGCATGGGTATTATTTTACAGAGACAGGTTGGTCTGAATTTTTGCAACAACGTAAGCATTGTAAGCTTGAGCAAATCGTGAATCACATTTCTTTTGTTTTATTCATACTTCACTGCACGTATACACCAGATATACAGTCGTCAAATGTGCTAGGCGATTTGCTCAGAAGATGCCGCATGATTAAGACTATTATAACAAGGTCTAAATCTTTTCAGTCCTTTGAGGCGTATGGTCCACATGTTGCTTGTCAAACCCTCACCCACTCAATGGTGGAGTTCTTTTACAAGGTTTTTGTTCGTATTATAAGTTTCTGTTAATTTCACGGCGTGCTCACGACTTACAATATGAAATGTTACAAATATTGTCTTTTTTTTTTCTTTCTGCATGAGCATGAAATACGAATGGGTTTTGAATTTTTGTCGTGACTTTTTATATTCTATACATGTTTTAGAAAAACATTTCACACATTCGTTTCTTTTTATATTATGTGTGTGATATTTTTGTGAAATTGAAATATTTAAAAGAACTAGCTATAAATTCATTATAGGGTTGTGTGTCATGTTAGTTAATTACACTATGATATGTGTGTATACACGAGTTTTCTCATAACCGGAGAATTAATATAATTTTTTCTCGGTCCCTATGAAAATTAATTCTTGACGTTACAGACATATAAATCAGTTTGGGCTAATGCAAGGGGATTCAATCGTCTGGTGGAAGGCTGGTCTTGGAATTGCAGTCGCTACTGTTGCCGGTTTTGTGGTGATGCGTGTATTAAATACAGAGAAAAGATAGTCTACCATATTTCTTTTCATGCACATTTAACTGCCTCTTTTGGTGAAGTATAAAACCGTCTTTGGAAAACGCGTTAAGTTAATAAACTATGTTCTTAAATCATTAATTTCTTATATATCCTTGACTACTTCATAAGGAAAAAAAATGTTTATGCACTTTTTAATTTTTACGTGTGCTATAATGTTAAGTAACGTTTCTAATTGTTCTTAAACAATGATAATATTATATATCATTAGAAGTTAACTTTTGCTTTCTAATATTAGCAATTAAAATATTAGTAATTTATGTTCTACATTCTTATCATACTTGAAAAGGAATTAGAATACGTGTCAATGTTGCACAATAATACATATCAGTCTTGCACAATGCTTCTATACACAGTTTTTAACATCTCTATATATTATAGGTTACTAAAAACTGTACTAAGTATAATGCAGAAATTATTTTTTGCTATAGATTATTAACAAATTGTTAGTTAAGAAAAGGGAATTAGGTTCTTGTTACTTTTATTATTACTTTAGATACATAATCCAGGTCTGCCTTGTGTTGTACACAGAAATCAATTTATTCCTATTCCAATTCCATACATATACAGATTATAACATTTATATAATAGGTACATGCAGGTTATACTTAACATAATCCTGTTTCAGAATTTTTTTATACTATAAAATAATTTGAATAATACTCTTCCTAAATTTCTCTAAAATTCAAATGCTAACCCCTTTTTAAGAAACATATATATTTAAATTAAATCTGAAATTTAAAAAAAGTAATTTCATTAGTTTGCAACATTTAATTAGATAAGATTCAACTTAATCATTTAAAACTTACGATTGGAAGCTTTGCATTGACGAAGAGCTTCATTGAAACCATCGCATAATGTAAGATCTGACTGGTTCTGAGCGCACTCCAAGAATTGTTTAACCTCCCATGCACAAGCACTGCCAGCAGGTGCAGAAGCTGGTGCAGCTTGTGCAGGGGCTGCAGCAGGTGCAACAGCTTCGTTAGAACCTCCGCTGAACAGCCCGGTTACAGCATGTCCGATGGTATGACCAACAGCAGAACCAATGGCTACACCTCCAGCGGTAGCGGCCATTTGTCCCATGAGGGATGGTTGTTGAGGTTGGGCCATCATGGGTGTTGTCGCAGGAGCAGGTGCTGGAACTGGAGCACGAGCGACAGGAGCGGGCCTAGCCCTAAAAAAGAATAAGTTTAAAAAATAAGTTTATACTTTTCTTGACCACGTTTTTAACAATTTAACGTCATATAATTATACAAGTATTTATGCGCAATATACAGAAAATGAAATGTACGATTTGGAGGAAAGACACTTACGCCCTTGGAGCTGGAGCACGTCCTCGTCGAGGCATGTTTTATGATTTTTAGCACAAAGGATTTCGTGTAATCGCTTAAACGTCCAAACTCTCAGAACTTTCTTGTGATACTGCAATAGAGACTCTGAAACCCTCCGATAAGTTACGCAACGTCATCGAACTGCGCAAACTCTAAAACAATCCATGAACCTTCTAGAAAGCAGACAAGAAATAAATTGCTTCGTATAGAAGAGACAGACTTCAGTTTGTATCGAAATTGATGAATATTTAAAGAAATAATGCGTTAATACAATTAAATATTGATCATTTTCATCTATGATTCCCTTATATGCTCTTATTATAATTAGTAATGCAATTTATTATTCAGAATCTACCTCACCTTATATAATATGCAACTCATAATGTTGGCTGCAATGTTAGATGGATTGTAATTAAATAGACGTGTATATTTTTGTTTTTACAAGAAGATTACAACTGCACAAAGCATTATTGCACGATTTTGTGCAAAACATTCTGTTTATAGCGCATTAATTGAAATATGTATGAATATACAATATATATACCTATATAGATATATAAAATATGAAATCAGATCTATGATTAGTACTAACAAAGAAAATGTATATGTAAAAATAATTGTTAAATTTAGTATTTAATGACTCTTCAGAATGTGGTATAGAATTAATCAATCGTTCGTTGTTTTTTTTTATTTCCCACTTGAGGAGCTCAAAGGGGTTGTAAGGACCCCTTATCATTTTCACATCGCATCCTGCTGTACCGACTGAATTGGCATTGTATCATAGCGTCCTTGGTGGTGGGAATTAAAATTAAAAACTTTTATTTTAAATACATTTAGATTAGGTTAGGTTAAAAATAATCAAGGACTTTACTTTATATATTACAAAATATACATATTATTTCATACGAAAAACACGCTAAGCATTTTCCGTAAGTTTTGCTATTCGTTGTCTCAGTCTTCTTAATACTTTCATGTCGGATATTGAGATTTCAGTTTTCTCACAAAACAGGATCAAGCAGTCTGCGGCTTCCAGTGCTTTCGATGGGGAAATTTCAGCGTCCGTAAGATCATCATTTTCTATTTCTGTAACGAATAAAATAACTAAATATATTTTGTCTATATCGTAGTAAGTTACCGCATTTAGCTCTATTTTAAATACAAAATTTATATTAACATACCGATCTTTACATTGTCGCCATACTGTACAATTTGAATAATGTCTTCGTCGGTTAGATTCTTTGAATCAGCCTGAATCCATTCATTAACCTCGTCTAATGCAATATTTTCAAGATTTCGGATCTGTTTAGAAATTTGGTGAATGGATTCGGACGTAATCTGTTCAGAATTGTCTGCCGGATCAACAGGCAGGTTTAACAGATTCTTCCAACAGTTAGAAATATTTTTCTCGGTTATCTCGTCCCAAGCTTGACTGATCAATTGAACAGCATGCTTTATATTAAACGATTTTATTGCGTCATCGTAATTCTCCCCAAGTTCTTGAGCGTTCAGTATAAACGTTAACAATTTTGCTTTATATCTATTTTTGATTGCCTCGATAATGCCTTGATCTAACGGTTGAACAAGTGACGTAACATTTGCAGGTAAAAATACGGCTTTAATTCCGTCAATGGTTAAAGGATTTGTCGATGAATGTAACTTCGTGTCATCGAAGAGTAAAATCGCTTTCTCTGATAATCCTTTGGATCTCAAAAAATTACTAACATTTGGCACGAAATTGTCCTTGAACCATGTTTCAAAAATAGCCGCGTTCATCACGGCATTTGGATGGTTGGTATAATTCACGGGCAGCAGACGCGGTGCTAAGTTTTTTAAGGAACGCGGTTTTTGATATTTACCGATTACTAACAGCGGCATTTTCATCGAACCCGTTGCGTTACAACACGCCATTACACTTATTTTATCTTTAATTTTTCTGTTATCCGAAGTCAGATATTCCGTTTTAAGTCCTAAGCTTTCGTTCGGCGTCATTTTAAAATATAGATCAGTCTCCTTTGCGTTAAATATTTGATGGGGTGTTAATTTCTCGTCCTCTACTAATTGCAGTAATTGAGTCTTAAAGTTCGCAACTACATCGGTGTCTACGGATAATTGTTCGTCGAATGTATTTAATAAACGTATCCCATTTCTCTTTTTCCAGGTACGAAACCATCCGTCGCTCGCCTTGAAGGTTTCCATACCCCCGAAACGTTGAAAAAATTCTTGCGCTTTCGCTGACAAAATGAATTTCCAAGAGTACACATTTCAGAAAACGCAAGGTATATTTTTAATTATTTTAATTGAAAAATTTGTATTTCCAATACCTTTCACTCGATTAACGCTAATTGTTTTCTTCAGCCTTCTTTCACGATGAAACCAAATTGTCAGCGCTTCGTTCACCTTCTCCACGGGGGACGGTCGTATACGTTTGAATTCCGACGGTGAACTGCTATACTTTTCTAATTTTTTCCTATCTCGAACCCATTTTCTCACTGTGCTCTCGTCCACGTTGTATCGTATAGCTATATCGTTCGTAGAAACACCTGCGTCCTTTTCTTTCACTACTTCAAGCTTTTGCTGCAGCGTCAAAGTTGCGTACGCTTTACGTTTCGTAGGGCTTGTACCGCTGGTGCTCGGCTGGTTCGATCCCATTTTCGAGGCACGCGATGATGTATTTTCCGCAAAGGTTCGAAAGAAACTACGGAGGATGTTCGGTAATTTCCTGCGCTCAGGGCTCTGGAGGTGGGTCTTCCCCGAGTAGCGGGGAATTATCGAGCGTCACCGGCATGCGTGCTTTGTTTGCGATCCTTTGTGTACGTGCCAGTTGAATACAACACAGGTACACGTTCGTTGTCTACATAGCTAACAGAGTGGGTGCACATGTGTGGGTGAGCAATGCGTGTGAGCAGGGGGCGTTCCTAACAGAAAGAATTACATGGCAGGGAATTATTGAGCCAGCACCGTTGAATGCAGTGGCATCACGAACTCAATATGTATAATTGAAGAATGAGATGGTCGTATTCTGAACGTTTAGGGTGTTTAACATAATCCAAAACATTTTAGGTGAGGTTCCATTGCAATACATTGACCAATTCTCTTAATTACCACAGAATCGGTCACTAACTGTACTACATACTTTGGCTGCTAACTGATTTTGCAACTTCAGATTCGCTATGTGCAAGAATTCTTTTGTGAGTATGTTACATTACTTCCTTTTTATGATGTATACCTGTTACTAAAGTACCTTTTCCATTAGGAATGTATAATTGAAAGAGCTGGAATCATTGTTATCTTTCTATGAAGAAGAGCTACCTCCGTTATCATTTTGTGCTCCTGTTACTGAAGAAGTAATTGTTACCAGTAATATGTACAGGGAGAGGAAGTCGTCATACCTCTTCTGATTTTCTGTATTCTCAATCCAAAGAGGTGATTTTCGCTGAAAATATTTAGAAGTCATTTGATGTCGTAATTTAATGATCTTTTTATTAAATACTATTTAATTAGATACTTTAAAGATTTTATTTATTAGGTATTAAAAGAAACAGAGAATAATTTTGGATACTTTTACATTATAATTTTATTTTAAATTTATTATATTTTAATACTAGATGGTATCGTTAGATTTTGATTTATTAAGATTATCTTCATCTTCTTCTTTCGACGATGACGATGCAAAATGATCCCGTCTGTAAATAAAATATAGTAAATTTCAACTTAATTACTTAAATTTTCAATGAAATTATCTTACATTTCAATCGGCGATTCAATTGGCTTGCTTCTAAAACTTTCCACTAACTTTTGTTTTGCTTCGCTTTCTTTCATAGTCTCTTTCATGATTAAATTATATATTTGTTTAGTATTTAATCTGCCTGATTGACTAGCAGCGGTTTTCTCAATGGAATTTTTTAATGATTCAAATATATTCTCATTTGCCTCTTGTTTTCCGATTGCGTTATTCTTTGCTATCCCTAGTTGCAATGTTTTCGTACCTGCAAGAAATTATAATAGCTTGATATTAATTTTTTTTTTCTCCTAACTGAAGATATAACAGTCATTTATAAAGTATCATATTTTTTATACCAGCCAGATCAGGATCTTTTTTCATTTCAATTGGTGGTATATCTTCAAAGTTGTATCGTGGATTCCTTAATTTAATTCCAGGTTCATCCAAAATTGAGTCTGGCAACCTTTCTACATTGTTAAATGTAACAGAAATACCGTCGTGTTCTCCCCATTCACTGGTTACAAGGAACGGTCTCTCAGATGTTAAATTATTTTCCAGGCTTTCGTTTTGCAAGGATATTTCATTCACGGGCCTCCGAATTAGTCTACTGGAAACGTTGAAGGGTAAGCGAATCGATGATTGCAGCCAATCATTTCTAGACAAGATACACATTTCATCAGGAAGGTAATTCATTTTTTTTTTTTTTTTTTAACAATTATAATAAAAAGGTATCACTTACAAACACCTAGCGTGTAACAGTCCAAAAATAATGAATAATGTAGCTACCAGAGCTATCAAATAAATAAACATTTTTAATATGTTTATAAGCAGTATGATGCTTCAGTGAATCATTTTGTCAATTGACTACAGCTTTCGACAAACGACAGTCGATCCAGCCTTCTAAGATTTATTATAGTAATTTGAACAAAAGCAGTATGATTTTAAACACATTGATAAATTAATTTACTTGTTTCATTTACTAAAAAATTCAATTGAAATTCATCTAATGCCCTACAACTATTCATAAGTGAATAAACTCTTTTGAGATGGTTTATGCAGTAATATATCATTTTCAATTTTTCTTCATACTACCAGGCATACTAGAAGATATGGTGTTGCATTATTTTATGTTCCAAGCAAAATGATATTATTAGTTTTAAATTTTATCAGTTTGTCTGGTATTCACTGGTAAAACGAATACTAGAATTCAATATCTTTTCAATGTTATTAAAAGTAACTTTTAAAAGTATTTTCTACCTTGTACAACAATCGTATGTTCTTTTGTACAGTCTTAATTCTATATATTTTTTTTTTTATATATTTTAGGAAATGTTCTTTTATTGCACGCGTATAAAACTATTTGCAACGTATTTATATTATTTGTTCCAGATAACCACTCAATTACATTTTATTCAGCAGATATATTTATATCTGATGCTTGGTATTGGTGTTCAATAAACATGTATATTTTTGATAAGAATTTCATTTAAAGGATGTAGCATTAATAATACTAAAAATACTATTCACGGTGTAATAAGATATTTATAAATGATACACGTTTAGTTTGAAACATGTTTATTTAAACATTGAATTGTAACAAAAAAAGACAGCAATACCCAACATCAGATATAAGTTGGCATTAAATGTCTGATCCATTTTTATGTATGTACAGAAGAGTATCCAAAGGAAAATAAACAAGTATCAAAACTAGATCACAAAACGTGTATACAAAAGTTTACATTTAATGATTAACAAATCTGATGCATCGCACAGATTATTGTTATTCGCTTTATCAAACGATTTATATATGCATATTTATATAGGTATGTATACGTGTGTATATGTATATTATGTATAAATGCTATGGATTGCTCTTGAATATTTTATATTATCCTATAAAAGAGCAATACAAATTTGCAGGTGACGTTTTTCCTCTTGCTCGGTTCTCTTTTTTTTTGTACAGAAAAAAACGTAACATCTAAAGAAATATTGATTCCTTCAACATTTGAATACTCAAAAACTCCGAAAATTATAAATACATATTTTTCAATATTTCAACATTTATAAACCAATAATATCATATAAATTGAACCTTTTCCTTACAACCCATAGACAAAAGCAACAGAAATTACTTGAACTTATAATAATAAGCACTTAATTTTTAGAAAGCTAAACCTTTAAAATACGTAATATAACGTTTTAGTTTAGTCTTTGATTCTAGAAGACTGAAAGACATCTATTAATAAAAGAAAATAATAGTCACCGTTCTGTTCACATTCATAAAATAACCATATGCAAAACGAATCGGATTATACTCTAAGGTAAACTGTTATCGCTTAATTACTTTTTCTTTCCTCATACAAAAATGTTCATCGAGTATAATTAGATTTAATCGATAATCTATTGAATTTATTTTTCCATCGTATCTAATATCATTTTTAATAAGACTGACCAGAATTGTAAGGACGGCAAAATGCAAAAGAAACCACACTTGCTAGAAACTGTTTCATTAGTTATATTTAAAGTACAGATTTATAACGATTAGTTTCGAATTTTAAGAGATTTCGAAGTGCGAATACAATAAATCTGTGCTTTAACTATAACGTATGCATTCTTTGTTTCTCTAGTTTATAAAGTACTTACATTTTTTAGTCAGCTTATTAAAAGATTCTTTTAAGCTAAAATGCATTAAGACAAATATAATAAATGTTTGGTGTACAGCTTTTGTAATGTCGTATTATATATATATATAAGTTTCTTTTTAGTTTCTACAATGAAATCTGCTCTTTTCTATTCAATGTGTATTTTAGTGAACGTGTTGCATTCGTAGTACACGATAGATAGTGTACCTGTAGCTGACACGGTTTATTTTCGTGCAGAAAATTCAATACAATTAGACGATTTTTGATTTCTTTTTTCTCCAATGTATTTCATAAACCTGCCGCGTAACTGCACTCCCGTCATCGAACTACACCTCACATAAAATACCCGAATGTATCAAATATATATACATACATATTTATGTATGTATGTACATATATATATTATCTTTTTGATAAATGTCTCTTACGACAGTATCATTTTTCCATGGAATGATACTTAAACACAAAGAATGCAGTACTGAATTATCAATAGAGGTTAATCATCTAAATCATTAACATGAAGAACTTCTCTATGAGTTAATCCAGCAGCCGATAATGTTAAAATTTCTCTACACGGATATAGAACTCTCTTCGGATAACTTGTTGTTATTTCAAAACTCACTGGGGAATCCGGTTGACTAAATATCCAATGATAAACATCCTTAAAAAAAGAGATAGAAGTAATTCATTACATAGTTGAGGTTTAATAAATGCAGGATACGAATAATATATACCTCTGTCGTGTCAGACATTAAGAAACGTCTCTTCATCGTCCTTTCGCCGAGTTTAATTTGAAGATGGCATGCATTAGAATTCGTAGGCTCTGGTTCGAGTGGTACTTTATGAATTGTAAGTTCTTTTTCGCGACGAATACGCTGAATTTCCAATTCTTGTGCATTTAATTGTTCCTTTTCTCTAGCTTCTTGTTCTTCTCGCGCTCTTCGCTCTTCCTCTCTTCTGCGATCCTTTTCTTGATCCGCGCGTAACGATTCTTCGTAGGCTTGATCTTGTTGTTCACGCAAAGATTGTGCGGCACTACGTTCCGCTCTATGTTGAAACAAATAACAGGAATTAACTCGAAACTCTCATTTAGAAACACCTATTCTCTTACCTTTCTTGGCGAGCTTGTATTAAATTAATTTCGTTGTGTTCTATGATAGTTTGCAGACGAGATATTAAATCAGTGGGAGATGGCGTGCCTTCCATCCTACGGTATAAATAAATAAAGCATTAATATTAACGTTAAATGAGTATTATAAAATAAAAATACACGAATTCACGTACCGGCCAACTATTGTCATTCTGTTATCTTTCAGAACAATAATGGCCAGGAAAGGATAAGAACCAGATTTAAGAGCTTCTGCCACTTTGTATCCTTCGCCTGATTGCACGTTACATGCCCAAAACAATGTATGCACATTTATGTACCGAACAACTTCTACATTACCTAATGTGTTCCTGTAAATGAAAATACATATGTGCTTATTCCTTTGTATAAAATTATATATTACAAATATGGAAATGCTTGCAAGATTACCTGCACCATTGATCAATATTCTGAGCTTCATCTTTATGCAAGTATACCAATAGAAATCTTAGTTCTTGCTTTGCATCAGAAAGAGCTTGACTATATGAACCTTGATAAAAAACAGGATGACTACTACCGTAACGTTCTTCATAAGATTGAATGAAATTGATTACATCTTCCACTGGATCAGCAGATACTTAAAATATGATTAATACATTAATATTTTTTAAAAAATTCTTCTGTATAATTGATCAGAAGAACAGTAAAAATTTACCAGGTCTAACATTTCTCCTAAATATTGAAAGAAGTAATTGTAGGATACGGATTACTCTTTCATAACATAATGAAAAGATATACCACAGGTAACTACCACTACCGCTAGAACTTCCAGCATAATGAAAATATATTCTAGAATTGCTGTCGTCTACAACTTGTGGTGGTCTTGACCTTGAGTCCTGCGCATACATTGACGGTCTTCCCTCATACAGATTTAATTGTTCCTAAATAAATAAAAAAGAAAAGGTAAAATTTTTTTGATCAAAAATCAAAATCATTTAGTTTTATTATAAATAATTAATTAGACAAAGAAACATGAAAATATGAATACATATTTTTACAGATATTATATAAACAATGAAAAACAACATATACTGGTCTTCAAGGATTCCTTGGGTATTTGTAACATATTATTGATACTTTAATTGCACGATCGATCAACATATTCTGAAGAAATATTGTTTCAGTTTTTCCAAAACAAATACATTTATGGATCCATTTCAGGGAAGGTTTAAAAAATAGAGAGGAAAAAAGATCTACCTGAACAGCTACTTCTAAATTCCAGTTATGCCTTTGCAAAACATCCCTGCAGATTGACAGGTCTTCTATACCGGTCAAATCCTAAAATGATCAGAATGACATTATAATTTGAACCAACAGACATGGCAGTGAAATATTATGAAACAATGATTCTCACCTGGAACTGGAGGATTTTTTCAGTCTGTTCACTGCTAAATTCGTTCAACGCGAAATCTGCCATATCAACGTATTTTGTCAGCAAAAGACTAGATAAACTTTCGATGATCGTTTAGTCACTCAGTCCTAAAGAATAATTCTAAATTCATCAGCTGATACAAAAGCCTGGCACTCGAACAAAATTACGATCAAACTGCACAAGCATTTGGAGCGTGATATAAAGAAGCGGTTTTTGGTTTATGGACCTCGCTTCATTATCATCGCGACACGTTTTCTCTCGTTACTCTGTTCTATACTCAATGTTTTCGATATCATGACTTTTTACGATAATTTACAATTTCAAGGTTCTATTTCATGCGGTACGATTTTAAGTGACGTCAGCTGCATGCATTGGTGAAACGCAGTGAAACGATAGTCAACAGTCATTCTGTATTGCCATTGGTGGAACGTTACTTTTTCGGGTAACTAATAATCTATAAAATTAATTGGTTAACATACAATTTATGTAAAAACAGACAACAAATGATTGTATAAAGTATGTAGAAGTGGATCTTCAATTTATTGAAGTACATGAAGTAAATGGAATAAATATCAAAATGTATTCTCAGCCTATAATTTCTGAACCTTTTACCTTTGAACAGTGACTAGAGATTAAAAAGACTGGACGTGCCTTTGTTGTTGAGCATCATTTTGGGGATCCCAGACACCCCAGATTTACTCGCTGATTATATTTTCCAGAAATCAGTCAAAATCAGCACGAGACCGAGAAATTAATAAAATAACTGTTTGAGAAACTTTCATTTCTAAAAAGATTGCCATAAAAATATATCTTATTCAGTCAGTCTGTTTACGGACGTTGATAAAGGAGGGAACGGGTTTCAATTTTGGACGCAGCGCCATCTATACGAAAGTAGCGGAAACTACTTGCCGAATAGTCAACGAGTTACCGATTTACCGACAGTTTCGCCGGGGAGACACTGGCGCCATCTATTCGAAAGTAGCGGAAACTACTCGTCGAATAGTTTCCGCGACTTTTTGATAGATGGCGCTAGTGTCTCCCCTGCGAAAATGTCGGTAAGTCGGTAACTCGTTGACTATTCGGCAAGTAGTTTCCGCTACTTTCGTATAGATGGCGCTGCGGTCCAAACAAAATGTCCTTAGATCGCTAGGAGAATTCAGTTGTTCTAGTTAAAGGGTTGGAACACTTTCTTCTCAGCTGATTTAAAAAGCCATTTTCCCGAGAGTGTAAATACACCTGTTGCATTCAATACCAATGTGCGCATAATGAGTTCGAGATCAGATGAACATGATGAGCATAGCGAAACTACTATCAAAGCTGAAATTCAGAAAACACTGCTCTCTATTAATGACACAACGAACAAAATGTAAGATAAAATTATAATTTAATAAAGAATTGCAATTTAAATGAAATGCATTTATTTTATCTTTCAGAAAAAGTGAACTTAATGCAATTAATGTTCTTACTAAGAAAAATGGACAACTCCATATAGCAGTAACTGAAGCAAATGAAATATTGATCAAAGTGGCCAAAGACATGAACATAAGCAAAATTGAAAACTTTTTAAATGATGATAAAGAAGATAATGAAGCGGTACTTCATTTTGGAAATGTTTTTTCTTCATCTGCCTTTCAAGAAAAGATATTGCAATGTTTAAATGATGTATAATTATAAATTTTATTACTAGGTCTTTTGTGTATATATTTTTAAGAAGCAACATTATTATTTTGTAGAAAAATACAGAAAATATATACAAATTTTATCTGTATTACTCGTGAAAAATACCTTTTTATACAATGAATAAATTTAAAGCTTTGATTCTGTTAACCAACTAAATTTTTGTTCTTTACGATCAGCCTGAGGATTGATCATAATGTTTATCAAACTTGGAGCATCACTGACCTGTAACAAAAATCATTATACCATTAAAATAATTCTTACAGATACTATACATTAAACATATATTAATTTTACCTGAAGGCATGATTTTATTGCTTGTTGAATATCCTGCACTGTCCTACAAAAATACCCTTTCTTCCCAAACATTTCTATCATTTTTTCATAATGAGTTTCAGATGTCAGAGAATTTGGTGGTGTTCTAAAAATTAATGCGTTTAGAATTATTGGCTTTTGTAAGTGTACTTTTAGTATTTCTAAAACTTACACCTGTGTTGGCTCTCCCGAAGACTGTATCTGCCTAAATGTTTCACTGTCTAATCCACCAGCAATACCATTATTATTCACAATTATAACAATAATAGGCAGTTTATACCTGAAACATTGTTGATTATTATAAAAATTAATTTATTATTGCTATATTTACTAGCTCCAATTACCTGAACATTGTCTCAATTTCCATGCCTGAAAATCCAAAGGCACTATCTCCCTCAACGCAAAATACTCTTTTCATAGGAGCATGATTCTTACAGTAAAGAGCAGCTGCTATGCCAAAACCTAGACCTACACCCATAGTGCCAAAAGTAGCAGCGTCTAATCTATGGCGAGGCTCGTTATTTAACAAAATCGTTTTACCAATATCCATCGTATTGGCTCCTTCCGAGCAAATAATAGAATCTATGAATAAAAAATAAGAAAGTGTCTATTAGTAGTATTTTTTAAAGTAACATTATTTCTTTTGCTACAGTGTCAAATTTGATTGAGCTGTTTAACAGCAAATATGAAATTACTAACTAGGAGGAATAATTTCTTGTATATGTTTAAAAACAGCATAGTAATTTAAGGGTACCGAAACATCCGCCGACATTCTCTGAAAAAAGAAAAAAAAGAGAAATGGAAACAAAAACTTATTCATTACACGTTTGTTTATCATAATTAAATAGAGTTCTTACATTAACAAGCGTTTTGTTCTTGTTCGCTTTAGCGAGAAGATCTTTCCACCATGGATTGCTCCTTTCAATCGACCATTTACGTTCTTTTAGAACAGTAACAAGGCAATCCACAGCTGTTGAGATTTCTGATTGAATTGCTATGGCGGAAGAAACAGAATTATGCAATTCTTCTGGGCACAAGTCGATCTGTATTATTTTAACATCATCTTGAAAACGAGGCGATCGACCGAAATGTAACATCCAGTTTAATCTGGCGCCTAATAATAAGATAACGTCGCTTTGTTGTAACGCAGAAGTTCTTGCGCTAGAAACGCATCGTTCATCCGTGTCTGGAACAACCCCCTTTCCCATTGGCATTGGAAGGAAAGGAAGATTTGTTAAATAAACAAGATTGCGGATCTCATTTTCTGCTCTACCATAAGCAGCTCCTAAATGATGATTTCGAATGAATATCAAATTTTTCTATCAATATCATACAATCAATTACCTTTTCCAATAATTAACAATGGTTTTCTTGCTCGCATAAGCAAGCTAGCTGCCTGTTCAACTAATTTACGATCAGGAAATATTAGCGGAGGCGGTGGGCAAACTGTAACTTTGAATATTTTTTCCTCGTCGACTGATTGGGTCAATATGCTGGCTGGAAAATCCAAGTAAGCAGCACCTAGAAATATTCATAACGTAGAGCTATGTATATGGTATTTTGTACTTTTATCGTCGCTACAAAGTATACCTACCAGGTCGTCCGTAAGTGGACAGCCGAACAGCCTTTTCTACGTGAAGCGGTATTAACCCTGCAGATGGTGGCCTGGCGGCATATTTACAATAGGGTTTAGCGGCTTCTACCTGTGGCCATTCTTGAAAACCTCCAACTCCCTCGTGATCCTGAGCGCACGATCCTCCGATTACTATGACTGGCCTGCGTAAAAATTTGCACCGCATAAATTACAGTACCTGGTATCGAAAATTTCTTTCTTCCTTTCTTAAATTTCAATTTTATTGCCATTTTTACAAATTACTCTGTAACGTTTTTGTATCTTTCAACACAATTGATACGTGATACGTTTATGTAATCATTATCTAACTTATATGCTGTGTATTTTTTTTGTTAATAATATGGCACAATGAATACGAACTGAGTTACGCAATCGATCATAAGATAATCATTTTCTTGGGATGTGAAATATGTGTGCATCCTGTGAGTGCATTAACTACAATCCATAACAATAATATTCTTATGTGTTGCATCAACGTGTTCTCATAACAAATTGATTACTATTACATATAATTTACTTCTAGATTCAGAATAGAAACATTGTTGTGGTAGAAAAAAAGAGAGGTGCACATTGCTCACCAGCAATTCACTTGAGCGTTTGCCATACCACCTATAACGTGAAGCATGCCCGGTCCAGAGACACATAAAACTACAGCTGGTTTTCCTAATTAAAAAAAAAAAAAAGAAAAAATTTAATTAATCCCAAGTCATCACAGTGTGTTCGCGTAGCGTAAGAAAAATCGTTGCGCGCTGTAGTAAAAATTTTAATTACGTTCCTCGAATAATATGCTCGCTTTTGCGTGTAACAATTTGTTCACACGTTTATAACTATAACTCGAATTTTTTCCCGCTTACTCGTTAGGTAGCCATAAGCTTGTGCAGCGTAGCATGCGGCCTGTTCGTTTCTAAATCCAAGATATTGAATGCCCAGGGCCTGTATGGTCATGGACAGCTCAATTACGGGGTGTCCAATTATTCCAAAAACATATTCGATGCCCTGTAATAAAATAATTAACAGAATTATTATTGCAGTTTCCCTGCGAGTCGACTGAGAACTGTGAATAGTTATTTCATTAAAATTAATTTGTATAATAATACAATATTAATTTAATGATATGCGCATAACAATAAGTGGGACCATTTCTAAAAGTATTATCACTGTATTGTGATTGACGTAGTCACTAAAAGCGATAAACTCGATGAAAGGAAAAAAACTAAATATACAATACTTAATATATACAATAATTAGTGTACATAAATTTTTTTTTCATCGTTCAATGACGATAAATACATTTTTCGATAATGACTAATAATAATTGTTCTGGCTTAAACGCTGAATCGTTCGAATTCGATATCAAACGTTTACAAGTTTCCAGGATAACTGCATTATTTGTGCAGTCGACATTAAGAGAATTACTACGTACCAGTGAAAACATAAATTTCTTTACTGTGATTTAGAAAACGAAATGATTCGTGTTTTTACGAATCAAGATAACGGTATACAAATTGAGAAACTGATTCGAATATAAGTGAAGTTATAACGAAAACGGCATGCCCCGCTGCGATGAGCGAACTCCGCTTTTATCGCGAATTACAAAACGTAAGTATTACTTTTAGCGAATACAAACGTTTCTGATTTTTCATAAAAATTTTCTGTATTATTTATGTGAAAATTTTCTTATTAATAAAATACGTAAAGTACCTAATAAATATTAAAGAAGTTCATATTAATTTTTAAAAAAGGACGCGCGTATATCCTTTTCAATTTAAATTAAATTAAATTAAATTAAATTAAATTAAATTAAATTCAGTTACGTATAAAAATTAAATGGAAACATTTCGTTGTTGTTGTTGTTTATGTAAATACAGCGTTCTTGATTCAACTTTATTGAACTTATAGACAGTTATCTTTCTTCTGGCGATAGCTGTATTATCATCGTCTATCGACATAAAAACCGTATGGAATTTTTTTAAATCCCGATTTGCAATAATAACAATCAAAATAAACCTGTAAAAAAAAAGATTCTATAAATAATATCATATTTTCATGGAAATTTAATTAAATATTAAGAAATTGAAAGCAATTGATTCAAAAATGGGATAAATAATGAATGAAAAAAATAAAAAAATGTCACTCTGCGCCTGACAAATATTTTAATGGTACTAAAAAGGTATATTGTTTGTTCAACCTGTATATTACATAACCTCTAAATGTCATTAGTTTTGTAAAAAAAGAAATAAAAAGCAAATTAAAAAAAGATGATAAAAAAACAATCTTGTACCTGAGCTTTCAGAGCCTCGGCAGTTATTTGATTTCCGCTCTTCATTTTTAAATCAAATTTGCTCGCGATATCCTCGAAACGTTATTGCTTCTGACAGCACTATCAACCAACTCGAAGCAATTGCAGCTTAGCTGGTGTATACTTGAACCGTAGCGTTGTTGAACTTTGGATCCGATAAAGAAATAAAACGTGTAATTCCCGAATAATTTCATTCGACCTTCCGCAAATTATATTTTTATAAATTGTAGAATTCATCCAGCGGGTCAAGGGGAAATTTTTCAATTTACAATAGATATTCAAATCCGATCATCAGTTTTTGAATCTCTAAAAAAAGAAAAAGTATTTAAAATTCGGTCAGGAATAAATAATTAATTATTCATTAACAAGTGTTAATAATCATTCAAGCATCGAATGTGTTCCTTCCAATCCTAAGGGTACAAGAGGATGCTTCGGGTGAAGGCCGTTTCTTTTTTTTTATCCTTAAAATCTACTATTTTTTAATATAGGAACAACGTACTTACTTTTTTTTTTAATGACGTAACCGGCATTACAACAGTGTACTCAATCACGTATGGAATTTCAGCACGTGATTAAGAATAATTGACAAATCTGACGCGTATCTAATAAATGCAGAGAAATACGCTTTGCCTTGCACTCGAGGACACGTCAGTGTTTAGCCAGGTCAATTTTGGCCCTCCGGCTCTTTCAATAACACCGTCTACCTGCAAAATATCCTGTTGCGAAAAGGATAACGGGTCCTTAAATTATGACTTAGAGGGTACCTGAAGCACAGCAACGCGGTGCGAAACCATTATTCTGTAGATTTGGAAACTCGTTTTCACCGTTTCCTTCATTTTCCAACAGTCTTCTACCGAAAATTTGCCCCTGTAGCATGCAGTCACGCGTGTCGGATCGCGTTCGGGTTTCACAGGCGTTTCAATTCTGCAACAAGTCGGGAAATCATCAACTATTGAATTAATTAACTACCTAACACTTATATGCAATTTTAGACGTCAAATTAAGTATGAACCAATTATGCAACCTTTTGTTTTATCTGATACGTTAGTTCACTTTACTGACAATTAAATTTTGAATTACCAGCTACGATTTTGTTATCGGTTTAAGTTATAATTACAATGTCCCTGTAAAACATCAATAAATTCACCCTGTAGATAACAACTTATCCGTTTATTTAAAATTTAAAGACTAGATATACATTAAACGCGAACTGCTGCAGTGTGAATTACTGTTATTTGGAAGGCGACGAGCATTTTTTACCTGCAAATTGGTCATTTACTTGTCCGGTGACCTTAGACGAAGTTGAAAGTGCGCTCAGGTAGATGGGCGCATTGAAGGCGCGGTTCAACGCCGGACACGTTAACTTACATTTAAGCCGAGGGATTTTGCCAGGAAATGCTCGCGGTGTTTATTGTCGAAGGGTACATTATGGCCCAAACGGATAAGAAGACCTAACGGTTAAAAGTGTATAATTATTTTTCATTGAATTCGACTGTCCGTGCAATTTAGAGAAAGTTGCCAGTACCTGGGGACATTTGAAAGCACTTTAATGAGCGTGCAATATTTGAAGAAAGCTTTTGGAAATCTTTTATATATTTTTTTCTTCGATATTAGCTACACGCTGTTCGTCCAAGCGTACGATGAGAACCTTCCACGTTGAATTACGCAACTCTTCGGCTCGAATGTAGCACTCGGTTTTTTTTTTTTTTAATCTAAACATAGAAACAAAATTATTATTGGAAGTTAGCAATTACGGGTATCATTATTTATAAAATGGTCAAGATAAAGCTTTAACTTTTCTTACGCTCGTTAAATATTTTAAAATAAATAATATCAATGAATCCTTCTTTCTCATGTTCTTCTACTGAAAGTATATTTTCAGAATAATAAAATTATCAAAGACTGATGGTTCTGTCGTATTTGTTATCTGAAACAATAAGAATTATTCAGTTACACGATTACTCGTCTTTCACGTAAACATCGCATTTGTCCTCGTGTTTGAAGTAAAATAAACATCATCTACATCGATTATTGTCAGTGAAGAAAACGCGTTATCGGGTAATTGCACATTGATTATCGACGGATGAAAGTTTACCGCTACACATCAAAGACAATGAAAGATTTGCATAACATCGAGCGCACTAGTGTGCCGCGAATTCGAGTCGAGTTCGAATGGTATTCCTGGATGAAACTCGATACAAACAAAGGACCAGAAAACCAGTAACGCATTTACGAACATTATCCTCTGACTAATTACACACAGCTTGTCCGTGTACATAAACAATCGAGCGATACCATGAATTCTCCAACGTAGAAGATGCGCTTCGTTGATGTTACAATAATTTGACGATGGTATTGCGTTGCGACCACAACGAATTCGTGGCGCAAACCCGTAAACACCGTGGATTTACGTAACAACACGGTAAATTGTTGAAAATTAAGGAAGTCGCGATTCTACGATGTCAAATCACAACGGAACACCCACGCTTATAGCGAATGATTCGCGTTTAGTTTTTCTGCTTTTATGGATCACTCGATTTATCCGCATTCATGAATAGTAAAATATTGTAATTTAATTTTGCTATTTTCTACAGTGTATTACTCGCTCAAACGCTAACACGGTATAATTATTAAGAATTATAATTGCAAATTTAAGCTCAAATTGCAAATAGCAAATTTAAGCAAATTTTCTTTTCTGTAAACAGTGAAACAACGTTCTTTTCGTCTAGTTTCTACAGTTTAAACTAAAAATTGCTGTAGAGTTCCAATATTCTCTGGCGAAATTGTGAGATAGAGGTAGCAGGGGTGGTTTGCCCGATCCTCCAAAACTTTCGATGTCCTTTCTTCTTATCCCGAGGAAGGGATGTACCTGGTTTCCCCACTTACTCTCACCTGCCGACTGCTTAAATAGCCAAGCTTGCCCAACGGATGTCATCAGTCACTCCTTGCAGAGATTCGGGTTTGTGTCGTGTCCAATAGTTTGTTGATCGTTTAGTTTCCCTTGAAAAATGTTCTGAAGAAGACGTGCCGAAGGGACGCGTTCAGTTTTCGTGCGTGATCCACGAATTCCTCGCTGAAAAATGTACAAGCAGATTTACAAGAAGTTCTTTCCACGTGAGTGAAACATGGTGTTTATAATTTTCTCTTTTTTTCTTGTCAATTCAATGTTTACACAAAGCAAAATTTATACTCGTCGACCTACAGTTTACACAACTGTTTCGTTTACCTCTTCTTCCTCTTCTTTTTTTTAAAACTTGAATAATTTTAAAAAGAAGTCTTCAAGTTTCAATGGTTGTTGAAATTCATGTCTATTCGCATAGTTTACAGACTTGCCGGCATAGTTTTCGAATCACGCCCGTTATTTAACCTTGTTACATGCTAATCACACTTGGCTAATTTTCTTCCTGAAGAATCTTTAATATCCTGTTGTAGCCATCGGGTCCTATACAAATTGAAATACAGTAACTATCAATACCAATTGATAGAGATACATTAGAATGTTTGATCTTGCATCATTCTAGAACAACATTTTTGTTATTTAAATGTTATATTACCAGTTATCTGTTCCCTTCTAAATTCAATTTGTAGATTGGTTTCTGTAACGGCTGGCAAACGGTTTTATCGCAAAAGCTTAGGGAAACAGAAGTTTGATTGGTGATCGAGGCGACAGAGATGTTTGTAAATAATAGAATACAGCACAAAAATAGTTTGTAAATATAACGTGAAATGGTTGGAAAGTGGTCGAGAACTTTCTTTGAAAGACAGACTACGTCCTCGCACGCTAGGAGTAACGAACGTTGGAGGAAAGTTAAAAATTGTGCAAGAGAGTATAGGCGCGCAAGGAAACCTATTTATAGAACACTTTTTCTTTATAATATTTATAATAAATATAATTTTTTATCATATATTAACTCTGTTAATATAGTTCTCCAACGATATGATTGAATGTTTGTAATCAGTTTTTTCTTGTCAACCGGGTAGTTGAAAAATTGAAAGCAGCTGCATAAAGATGATAAGTTGTAAGGGTAAGTAATCGTTGACAAACATTAAGCAATCATAGTTGGCATGGTAACCTGTCGCAATAATTTTGCAAATTAACATTCAGGGAAATCCGGTCGCGGTCTCGAACAATATATTCCTCGATTCCCAATGTTCATTATCAGATCCTTTCAGGACTGCGGGGGAGGGCTCTTCAACGACCCGGATTCTAAGATATGGAAATGCTTAAGTAAGCCGCAAGTTACGAGCCGTGATAAAAACCAACCTCGATACTTTTGACCCGATTCGCCGTCTAAACGACTCGACTAAACTAAATTAATTTTTCATTCTTCTTTCGCAGGATGGATCCCGACACGAGTGCTGATCTGCCTGATGATGTTCACAGCCTGTTGGACGAACTACATGTGTCGTTTGCAGATGCCAATCCTGGCGGTTCCGATGATCAAAGCTCTGCCCGGCAATACCACAGGAGGTGCTTGCTCCGATGATTCGTCTCGTGTACGACGCGCGCTCTCATGGCTGGACCCGGGGGCATACCTGGAAGATCAGATTCTAGCGGAGAGACTGAAAGCGGCTCAAGATTCCGTGGATAAAATTCGTTTACCTAGGGACATTACAAAGAGGGAGGCAGATTCATCAAAACCACGCGTCTCGCTGTTCAGCGGCGAACCTTTCGATTGGAGTCCCTCGGTCCGTGGTCAACTGATAGCAGCGTACAGCTACGGGAACGTTCCTGGAAATTTCCTGGGTGGTCTCATGGCTATGCGATGGGGAGCGAAGAAAGCGATACTCTGGACTTCTGTGGTAGCTGCTATAGTGTCACTGATAAGTCCTATCCTAGCTCAACTGCACTGGGGAGTTTTACTCTTCACCAGGATAATAATCGGTGTCACCGGAGGAGTGACATTCCCGGCTTGCCACACTTTGGTCGCCAAATGGGCACCTCCTGACGAGAGGGCTCGTTTCGTTTGGTCCCTACTCGGTGGTACTTTTGGTACCGTCTTCACTTATCCCATGGTAGCTGGTATCGCCGAGACGATGAACTGGGAGAACGGCTGGTACATTCCATCCTTGTTGATGTTCATCTGGATATTCTTCTGGTTTATACTCACGTACGACACGCCCGCGGAACATCCTGGGATCTCGGAAGAAGAGAAACAGTTCATCGTTAAGTAAGTGAATGTTAATGAAATTATTGATTAGAATGTAAGACAAGTTTGCGAGTAGTTTACCAAACTTTTTATATTCGTTATTCAGCTCCCAAGCGGGTACAGTGAGGACTGAAAAACCTTCGCTGGCAGAGACACCGATCAAAGAGATCTTCACGTCGGTCCCGTTCATCAGTTTGATCTTCTGCCACTTTGGCAATATGTTCTTGCTGTTCTTCTATCAGAACGCGATGATGTTGTACCTGACGAACGCTCTGGGATTCCAATTGTCAAAGGGAGGACTGGCCGCTGGTCTGCCTTGGGCAGGAAGGATGTTCCTCGGGTTCGTCTTTAGCTGGGGCGGGGACACGCTTAAGAAAAAGCAAATCGTGTCTGTTACTGTTCTTCGCAAAGGCGCAACGGTGTTCTGTAATTATCTTAACAACAATTTTTCCCTTGTTCGATAGTCTTCTAAAATTTATTTTTCTTTCTGGTGTTTTCATAGCTCACCTGATACCAGGAATCTTCCTGATACTAGTCGGCTACGTTGGATGCAGATTCGTTCTCGCAAACGTGTTTCTGGTGCTAGCGCTGGGTTTCAACGGGGCAGCGAGTATCTCAAATTTATCCAACAATCAAGATTTGTCACCGAACTTTGCTGGATTCCTGTACGGTATTATAAACACGATCGGCGGAACTTCCGGTATGATTATTTCACCGATGGTGGAAGAAATAGCAGGGAAACACGGGGTAAGTGTCGTCATTTCTCTTTTTATCTCGTCGCTAATGTGCTTCGCTGTGTAATCTTGTGCTTTATCGGCTTTGCTTCGTACCCGCTTATCGCAAACGTTTGTCGAATTACTTGCATGAATTATGTAATTTTTTTTTGTTTGTTCATTTGTACATTCATCGTTGTGATAGTAGAGTAGCGAATATCCTGTTACTGTCTCGTTACGCTTAAAGCTGCTCTTGGCATATTCGAGACCTCAGTTCAGCCTTGTACTCTGTTGCGTAACTCATAGTACGGGCAGTACTGGGGAATTGTGTGTGCGATGCATCCAAAATGAATCATCTAAACGATTGAAAAAAATTTCACCGACCTAATAACACCTAGAATTTCACCACGTCACACAGACAGCTTTGCTTCGTTCCTCTCTTTTCTCTTTATACAATTCGTGTATGTGGAATATAAGAATATGTATATGATAAAATTGCAATCTTTCTCTCTCTTGGATGGAGAGAGGATGCAACGAGTCGAAGCGATAATATACACTTCTTGGTATCCTGTAATTCTTGTCATCCAGATGCACGAAGTACTAATTACAATGTCAATATCCGTGGATTGAACGCGCTAAAAAAGTTGTATTTAAGTGGAACAGATGAAGGCCTCGCTAATGCTTATCCTATTCACATTCATCCAGACACTCTTTCGTGGTGGTGACGATTTGTGGGTACTTACTCGTCTCTATATCATCCAGCTTATAGTACGAGACGTACCTACAAGTCGCATCATCCGTAATCCACTCGCATACGCAATATTCATATGCACTGGTCTTTTTTTTACCCTAATGCTTCTTAGTGATCATCTTAACATCAATACCAGGTGTACGGGTACGTGTATCATCGATGTTATTTGCAGTTTATGTGGCTTTCTAGCTGTTGTGCAGTGTCTTAAAGAGTCGTTCCTTACGGGAACTAACTGTTGATTAATCGTGTATAAGATTTTGTTGCGTCTTCTAGCATGCTATCGAGAGATGGCAAACGTTATTCTGGATCGGTGCTGCAGTGTGTATCGTTTGTATGATCATCTTCATATTCGGCGGCAGCGGGAACATCCAAAGTTGGAACGAAGTTCGAGCTGACCGGCAACGTCGTCAAGAAGAAGGAAGAGAGTAGCTGTTTCCTGACGTTTTTTAGAGACATCGACGTGCTATACTGAGTTGTGAAGTGAAAATAATTAGACAGGAAAAATGAAATTGTGAGTTGATTTTTAACTTTGACAAGAGCTGTGTTTATATTATTAAATGTCGCGAAACGTTGCCGAGTGTAACGGAAGTATCGTGATGACGAATAGTATTGTATATATTTTATAAATCTATTGACATGTACATGTTTTAGTTTATGAAATTGTTGTAATCTCAAGTGATCTATTTTGTATACCAAATGGAGGTTTTTCTATATTCTATATAACTTAAGATGTTTTAAAAAAATGTGTGTGATGCAAATGTTTCGTTATTAAATAAACGTGTTTAAATTAAATTGAATTCTGTTCACTGATTCGTATGATGTGGCATACAATGAAACGGAAAAAGGAAAAAAGAATTGAATTTTAAGGATGCGTTTTTGCTTATTAGAAGAAACAAATATTGCAGAACGTATGCACAGCAGCAAACAGATTTTCATTGTTAATTGAAAAGTATTTTATTAATTCGCTATACATTTTATCATCACAAATACTTTATTTGCAGTTGCTAATTTTAATTTTAATTTTACTTACTGGTTAATGTCATTTTATAACAATACTTTTCAGTGCTTCGTCTTTCCGTAAAATAAACGACTGTTCTCTATTGAAAAAAAGTAAAAGTAAATATACAAATTGATATCTTTCACTGACCTACCGCCTAGCAGCGATAAAGCAACAATCTTTGCGCGCACTTCATCCCAACCAAACTAGCATATTCTTTTATTTCGTTTTCTTCTTCTTGTTTGACACGTTGAGATTGCCTTTTATATATTTGATACGGCATTGCAGCTCGACGATACAAAATTAATACCTAAAATGAAAACAAGATCTCTTAATAGAGAAATGAAAAATACAAACATTTGTCATAGTAAGAATCTATAAAGCAAAGTTTATTTTAATACCTTACGAACATCGACTACACCATCTTCGTCGATAGCATCAATGTCATCGTTCAACCTGCAATATTTTTGCTTATCTAATTTCAGTAGGCAAGGTTCTATATCAAACCACCCATAAGTTTCAGGACACAATAATTTTGACGGCCTCATTCGTGCTTTGTATCGCATCTTGGGACAAGAGTGTATATAAAATCCCATGTAATAATATTTTAAATCTGGCGCAACTTTATTTAATTGTCTCGTTAAATAAACCTCTCGAAGAGAACTACGGATAGATATAACGATGTAGATATTACAGAAAAATTAAATATCAACGTGTGAAAGTTTAGATACCGACCTAAATGTTCCAAGAGAGAGGAACGAGTATGCTGGATCATAAAAGAAGTAAACACTTGAGACACAAGAAGGTAAAATATCTATCACTCCAACAGCAATTAATTCATTATCTAACCAGTATTGTTCGTGAAATGAGCCATATCCACCGGGTGGTCCATTCTCTGGTGTCCATGACTTCAAAATTATATTTGTATATTATCTTTGTACAAAGCAATGAAATTATATATAAAAAGTAAACGATATCTAATAAAAAATGTTATGGCAATATCATACATAATATTTAAAACGTTTTAGCATTAATGCAAAGTGTACCTGCAGAGGACTTTTTACAATAAAATTAAAAAACGATTCTATATCCAAATCTTCTGGCGGATCTCCGTGGACAATCATTTGGTATTTTTTATAAACATTTGCACTTACTTCAAGAGTGCTAATAAATTCGTCGGACATTGTTCTCACCAATTTTATCTGATGAAGAAATTAATTGTAAGAAATTAATTTTTGAATTTACATATAAAACATAACACATAGTAAGAAGGTCCACTTTGCTCCAATCGTGTATCATTTTACGTTTACAATGTAACATTAATTATGTATGATATTATGCACTTATGGGTAGAAGCAGCAAATAATATTTCACGAATTCTGACAATGTATAAAATCATATGAACTGCAAAATTACCTGTAAAGGTGATTCCACAAGAATTCTCATATATTGCTTCTCTACAACCTTTTCTGCTGGAACCCCGTGAATTGTTGTTTGATATTTTTTATATGTTTCAAAAGACTGTTTTGATGTTTCTATGTATCCAGGGCTCTTTGGCGAAACTCTAACTAGTTTCAGCTAGTAAAATTTGTAAATTTAACATAACTGTATCCCAATAATAATCAAACAAAATCTTGTAACTGAATTGAATAATCATACAAGTACAAAGTACTAAAATTTTCTTTCTGCATTTTCTTGTTACATGTTAACTTAACTTTTAGCATCAGACAAATTGGAGAAAGAAGGACCAACTTATTACATGCAACGGTTATCGAGATACTTGAAACAATCGTTACAAATCCTACCTGCAGTCTATTAGTTCCATTACACATTTCTTCAAACAATTTCTCTAAACTTTTAGTATGGTTTTCTTGTTTATTTTCTTTGAACATAGCATCTATTTCTTCTTGAGTTTTTCCTTGCGCCAATAATTTATTTTGTTTGCGTTGTTTACGTAAAGCTTTCGCTTTCATGCACGGCGGTCTAGCAGCATTCATTTCTACAGACTTTAAGCTTTGAGATGTTCCATCGGACTCATTTTTATGACTCGATGTAACAGGTATGCTTTCTGAAACTTTCTGTTGAGTTTCCGAATCGCAAGCTTTTTTTTCCTTGTCCAATATAGTAGGTTGTAATCTTGCATTCACTTCATCATTTACAAATTTCACATTCATATCAGAAGCACTTTCTTGCGCTTTTAGAAAATGTTTACTATGATTAGGAATTTCTCCAATATCTACAATAGATTCATGTTAGAAACATATGTTTTGAGGATGCATCGGAACTTTGATTATTTGTACCTATATTATCACAGTGATCCTCTTCACCAGTATCCATAGTATCATCTTTTTGCAATTCATTTCTTAAGAACTTAGCCATTCTTTTCAAGACTTTCTTTTGTGACTTAGAAATCTTAAATTGTAATGCTTCACACCTATAGCCAACAATATGGAACTTAGTATATTCATAATTAGATTCATTAGTATCATGATAGCAGTTCAAAATTATTGCATTTTATTACCTGATGGTATACATTGGGCAACATGTTTGATCCATGGTAGGCTTGTAACAATAAGAACCGCATCTTCTCCAACCTCTATCTATTAAACTCTGATAATCTTGAACAGTCAATATATGTGTTCCCATACCTAAAACATATTAAATGGTAAAGTTAACATAACAGAATGAAAAGTACATGTATGTATACATATATACCAAACTGTCAAGGGCCGTACATAACCTATTAGTAGACATAGAGGAACATATGTAATTTAATAAAGATATGATAAAGTAGAATCTCTGATTATTATACTTGCCATGACTGAAATTTGTATTAGGACTTTTGCAATAGCCACAACTATATTTCTCTTGTTCAGCATAATATTCAACAATACTGTACGACTGTTTCGCCATTTTTTTTCCTTTGTTTTATTAATTTTTTCTACTATTATGTTAATAACATTGACGTAATCATTGAAAACCGAAGTGTAATCGCCTGAACTGTTTGTTAATTGATAACTTTCTATATTAATCACTCCGACAATACCACTACGTATTTACAAATTCAACCCACTAAACAGAAAGTGACATTGAGTACTGCCATTTTGTTTCAATTTTGAATGACGAGGCTAAAATTTGAGTATAGCAATATCACATTTTTAAAATACAAAGCTATTATACAGTCTCTGTTGCAAAGCTTTTACTAATTTGGTAGATCAAATTATAAATCAAAGTTACATGAAAAGAAACGTGCGGATTCCTATTACATGATTTAAAAAAAAATACAACTGGATTGTTTTTAATAAAATATATCTAGCTATCTGCAAAGTTGCAAATTAAAATACTATTCATGAATCTACGAAACCCAATTACTAAAGTTAACAGTTCTTAAAACAGTAATTACAAAAAATTATAATTTTAATGTCATATTGCTTTTAATAGATCAGATGCAAAAAAAAAGTTATTATAAAGTAATAATTAGAAATTGACTAATTCTAGTTCATTTTGTAACATCTGAATCATCACTCCTTTGAAACTATGATTTTATAATGTACAATTATCGAACTATAAGATGAGACGTCGTATTCACATTTTGCCATTTCATGAATGAAGTTATTCCTGTTTTACAGCAACAGGCGTCCCTTACTACACAGAGTGAAACATCGATCTATTCCTTCGGGATACTCCCTACTCTTGGCTGGTTACAGTTTCAATTTTAATGTAGTATCAGCGACTAGAAATGTCTGTTCTATTACTGGTTTATACTACTGAACCTGCAAATCATACATCATTATTAAAATATTGTGATAAAAAATGCTTTTCTGTTGGATTATTATAACAATTTTTCATTTTAATAGCTCCCTTCATAAATATCTTGCTTTAAAATTATATGAATTATTAAGATTAATAAGAGAGAGGGTCATGGCTAAAAGTTTTGAGAAAAACTCTCAAATTCTTAAGTCCTGAAAATGTATAGATTTAAATAACTTATGGTTATTAATTAGTTATTAATATTAATGTAAAAAGACCATTATGCAGAAACCTTTCACGGGATAAATGTTATCTTATCGGTTCAATATCTTATCAACCCTTCAGAATATTATTTTGGTCCTGATCGTACAACGTCCCTGGATAAGTACTTCCATACATCCACGTTCCCCTCCCACCAGTGATTTCTTCAGTACATCCCTCCACTAAATCCTGGAAGCACGGGGATTCGTCGTTCCCAGAATCAACGGTTGACGTCAATGGGAACCAACCTTCGGGTCGAGCACGTTCAATTATATTACTTTATAGAACCAACGCCGTAATTACAGCGGCGACGAGGTCCTCCCGTGTCCTCCGTGGGATAATCAACCTTTTTACCAGATTCGTGAAAATCAACTTTTCGTCGAAAGAAAAATGAGGACGCATCAGCTTTCAAGTTTGAAGAAAGAGCATCTCTTAGAAGAGGGTGTGGCGTTAACTCTTTATCTTCCTAATTGTCATAATCCTGATTCCTACATAGATCCCTACAATTAAAAGTACATTTTTCTATCGTTATTATGTACCAAGAATGTGATTGTTAAATGGATCATTAAATAAAAAAATGATCCTTTAATTAATGTCAAGGATATGCTTGTAGATAGTCTACGAAGTACAATCGCTTGTCTCTTTTAATTATTGAAAGATCCTTGTAGATACGCGTTCACCCCGACAGTACGTATTTACGTGGAAAACGCGGCAGGGCGAGTCCGCGCTTGTTTTTCTGCAACTCCTTGAATTCGCGCAAGCGTGTGGCCGATTCTTCGAAAATAGATCAATTACCGAGATACTTGGTGCGACGAGATGCGTTATATCTCAGGTAAACAGCTCGCTAAAGGATATCTTCCAAGAACTTTTCCTCCACTTCCCCATAGGTACTACATTCGATCCTCCTTCGCTGTTTCTGCGTATCTGAAAATACATATTATACCAGTGAATTGAATTGAAGATCCTTAACTAAAAGATCAATTTTCTTTCCTTTTTCTTCACCGTGATCGCAAAAAGGGTTAAACCTCTCGAGGAGAGTAAAGACACAGCGATAAAAGGAGATGCGGGGGCGAGGTCGTAAATATTTCAAGGATCTCAGGCGATGATAAATATTTTTTCGTAAGACGTCAGCGTGATAACGCGGGAGGAAAAGAAGAAATTTCGCACGTCGCTTGATCTCTCCCTCTTTCTCTCCCCCTATCGTTTCTCATGCACGGACAGAAAATATGCGTGGGCGTTGGGTGCTCGTGGGCGTTCTGTGACGGTGACGGTGGTGGTGGTGGTGGTGTAGGCGTTTTTGCCTGTTGCGGGGGTTGAAGAAGAGCGGCCGGGGACTGAATACGGAAAACGTTGCCACAATTTTCTCTCTATCCACCCGGGTTCGGCTGTTCCAGATGGGAAAGAAAATACGGATTGAGAACAGGCGAAAACGAGGCACGTTGTCATTGCGAAAATATTGTTCGACGTTTCTCTGCAAATTACAACGACGATTTAACTACTCTTCAATTTATCAACGGTTACTATGCTTCCTTTCTTCGAACGGATATAACAATTATGAAATATTCTACTGGAAATTAATCGAGAAGGATATCGGTTTAAAGAAAACCAGAAGACAGTTCCAGGAACGACACAATTCAATTGAAACGCTTGAAGGAACCTTTTAATTAGTCCTCCCTTTCTTCGAATTCGTTGTTTAACGATAAATTGAAATCGAACGATTTCTTATATAATACTATGAATTAACAATCGACAATGATTTTGGTGAAAAAGAAAACTTAAAGAATCCTCTTAGACTGACTTATGGCTTATTTGTTCAATTGAACGTCGAGAAAAAATTGAATAAATTACAGTCCTTGAAAGTTCCACCTGTTTACAACCGAATTTTCCAAACAACCACCGGGGAGGGCCAAGATGTTATGCGAGAGAAGATTTCAAGAATAGAGCCGAGGATCTGCTCGGGTCATCGCGTGGGTAGACGTATTTCGTATCACAATAGCAACGTATACAAGTTTTGTGCGGAGCGTTCGTAGAAGTGTGCGCGTGTGCACGTCATATCAACCCGTAGCAAGTCGGTAGGGGTTGTTCCGAGGGGTAGGGGATGCTCGTTCACCAAGGTGGGGTTGGTTGATCGACCGTACCCTCCGCCAGTTTTCTAGTCGTCCTGACGAGCTCCAACGTTCATTCTACCTCGATCAGCCGAACTCGCCAGTTCTCTACCATCCTCCAGAGAGAACGTCGCCACGAGAGAAGGTATCCAAGAAAGAAGACTTACCAGAAGTCTGACCTGTAGAGAACAGTCAAGGCTAAGAAAGGTGACTGAAATTCTTTTTCAATCCTTCTGTTAATTTTCCCAAGTGCAATCGGTTCTATTCTCCAAAATATTTCAAATCCTTCGATCGATTTAATTGGCCAAGTTTCGAGAGATAAAGACCTACGAAAAAAATATTCGTTTGTTATTAGGAGGGTGAAAAAATAGACATTCGTGCCGGTAATTGAGATTGTACATGTCAGATTTGTTAAGATTAAAAGTCCACCTTTGAACACGTAGAACAGGTGGAATGTAATTTTATACTGTACAAGTTGAAAAGGAATTCCTAATCTGTAATTGCGATCATCGGATTTCTTTCGAATCTTTCGATCTTTCTTTGTTAGCAAAGGAGGTAACGTTGCGACATTAGGAGCATTTCGATTCATCAATGAAAGTACAGTCAATGAAATGTATTTTTAATTGTGTGTTGCATAGAGGCGTACACAAACGCGATAAATGACTATAGTATTTCTAGACGCAACAAGTGTGCGATTTCTGAGTCTACTATATCCGGTTCAATTTCATTTCCTGGCCAGCTTTAATTGTTCGATGCTATCGCGAAGTTTCGATCGGTTTTGTAAAAGCTCTCCAAACATTTGCTGTTTTTCAGATTGAAACAGGGAGGGATAATTATTTTCTCGATCCTTCTATCAATTACAAATTCATTGTAATCACGGTATTCCTTTGAACCCTGACATTTCGAACCGATAGAAAGAGAATCACCTATTACGTGTAAGTTTCGAAAATTGCGATTTAGTTAATTGCGCGTTTAATTACTCGACAACTCCACCGCTCTGTACATAAACTAATTGCGAGTATGCTGCAAGACATTTATAATTAAATTATTATCGTCACCTGTTAAGTCTACAAAGTGCCTCGCGTTTCTCTTCTATGAAACAATCCTAATGCCACGTTTATTAATTCTGAACGAGCATCGAATCTGAAACAATATAATTACCAAAATTAAAATTCGATTAGAATAAATCATTCGATGCAACGATCCAACTGATCGCATTGAAATTTTTACAAAATCATAAAAAGGAAATGTACAACTTACGGGACTTTCTACGCGATATACCCATTAATTTTTTACACGCAATGGAAATAGATTCCTGACATTTCGCATTATATGACATTTAAGCTTCTTTCATAGCGACCTGCTATCTTCATTTGCCTACGCTCATGGCTAACGTAAACTTTGCCCTGTACACGAAGAGAATACATTACAGCAACTGCATTCTTTATCCTGTATCTACAATGTATATCATCCAATAAAAAAAAAGAAGTTAATAAAACTGTATCTATATTCTTGTCAAAGTATCTACAATTGATGAAAGTCTAACCGATAGTATACAGATTGAAGTTTACCTAAGGAAGATTCGAGTTAACCGTGGAAAAAATGAATTTTTCCAGATGATGTACGATTGGGTGTGGTTACTGGCTCTATGCTCTCTCATCGTGATAACCCAATCCTTGCCGACGAATCTGGCGGAAGACGGAAAAAAGACTGATCAAACGATGAGACCAAAACGTGAGAAATCTATCTCGTTACTTCAAAAATGAGTAGAATATCTGATATACTCATTGACAATATCAACATTTCATTTCTGTTGTAGCTAAACGAGCACAGGAGATGTTAATGTTTGGTAATCAACAAAATCGTCAAGCAGAAAGTAACACAGGTGGGTCCTCTTACTCGTCTACCGCAGAAAAGAGTAAGTATCCTATCCTTTGATCGACACGTTTCATTACTTTAATTATTTTAATTTATTATTCTTTGTTCCAGGAACTCTATCCTCGTCAGGATTAGGTGGGCTGAAAGCAGCTCTAGTCGAGGAAGAGAAGTCTTCTCGTTTCAACACACCGAACAATGCCATGTACGATCGTGATTCCTTTTCACCCTACGAAAAGAACTACGAGTAAGTGTTTCATCGCTCCGAGTATTATAATTCTTTATAATAATTTGTTATCGTATAACAAAGCGACCAGCTAGGCTAATTATCTAAGGTTAATGAAAAAGGAAAAATCAATTTCTGTTACAGTTACAGTAAGGTCCTTGTTAACGAGCTAGGCAACGAGATGCCTCAAGTATGGGATGTTCCTGCGTACTCTCGTTACTACATGAACGAGGATCGTCGAAAGAGGTCCGAGAAGTCTGGAACGAGCGGATCAACCACCATGAAACCGTCTACCTCGTCGTTCCAATCCTCGACATCCACTCAGCAGTCCGCGTCACAGACACAGGCGAAGAGAAGGTGAGTGATAAACGCATGCACTCTTGTAGAATCAAAAAAAAAAAGGACACGGTGACAAAGTGAAAAGTTCCATTTCCTCTTTTCTCGTTAAGTGCGTTTCATAGTAATCGTTGAAGGCGCGAGAATTCACCTGTGGAACAGGCAACCTGCGACAGGGTGAATCGACTCTGTAACCCGGCTGTAATTCCCACCCCTGCGAGCACGCCTTTCCCGCCCTCTTGCTCGTGCGGGACATCCCCCTTTTTCTTCGACATTTCTTCTGAATGGGGATGAGAGGGTTGGCGAGGGCGTTGCCCTCGGCAGAAACGGCGGTCGACTTGACGACCAAGTCGGTTCAATACGACGTCGTTATCGAAGTTGATCAGCGGAGCATGTTCGGCTCCCATCCAAATCATTTATAGACCTCTTTCAAATTCATCATCTCCACCTGCAATATTAATCACTTTTAAAATTAATATTAAAATTTACAACTTGCATCGTGATTATCTTAACGATCCATTATCCCAGATTTAATTAGTAATTAAATAATCACCGAAGTCCCCTCGATTACAAAATTAACGATCGAAGGCTTATTAATTTCTTCCGGTTACCAAGCTGTTAATTCTATTCCGTTTTGCTGATTGCGCATAAACGAGACAGTATGCGTACTGTGTACGACAACGATTACAACGGTGCAAGTTTCAACTATAGCCTGAAACGCGATATCTTTCCAGCGAAGGCTATCGATGACATTTATAACGTACACACGAAGCGGTTCTTCATTAATTAAGTGACGTCGTGGAGTGACGTTCACCGATACGTCAGAGGATGATCAATTATTTTAAAGTCAGCCGGCTGAGTTTCTTACGTCAAACTTTTATTTTTACACGAGGGGAAAAAGAAAAACGTAGCCGCCGCGCCGATGTGCAACGCTTGACCCGTAAATAAATGTCACAGGTCACTCGTGCACGATTTTTCCTCTTTGTATTGGAAAGAAGGAGGCTCGCCGAGACGATTGTGGGAAACTATAATGATAGAAACTGTTAGATAGAAGTTCCAGTTAAGTGGCATTAAATTGCAAATTCCATTGTAATTGGTGTTCAACGATAAGAAGAAACAAAGTTTCTTCTTATAAACGGGAAAATACTTTGGATGCTGATCAATAATAAAATCTTGTTATCCTTCTTCCTCCGTAAATTTACCTCTATTACCTGGTAATAGCGTCTCCTTTAAGTCACAGATAATTTGTCTGCGTTAATCGTGGGCGCTGAAAAATACGAAGGGTTCACCGTTAACGATTTTCAAGAAATATTAATCGTAACCGTAATAACGAAGCTAGACGGGGAAGAAAAAGAGCGGAGAAGAAAAATTGCGTCGCTAACAAGTTTTATGGGACTTGGTGAAATAATTAAATTAGTATAATCACCGAACGAAATAACGAAGGTAAATGGGTGGAAAATCGCGAAATTCGACGAGACGTTCACGTGTCGGACAATTATTCGATAGACCAACCACTCTGTTCACGTGGGCGTGTACGTGTTCCTGGATGCGTGGGTGGACGCGCACACACGTGTACAGTTTGGTGCAGTCATCGGGACGTTCGATACTTGTGACGCAATAGGGTAGCTTTCCAAGGGGTGGGTCCGCGAAAAGCTGAATGGAAGCGGCGAGGAAAAGTAGGTCAGACCTGACTATTACTTGACATATCGCCAGCCAATCAGCTGACGGGAATAGAGCTTCCTAGTTTGCGACGACACTTCCGTGAGATGCGACGACACGCCCGTGCCGACGGAAATTAGTGGAACAAAAGTTCACCTACAGATATGCAAATCGGGAAGCTCGAACTCTAAAAGAATTAGCCTTCGGCTATTTATACCCGTGCTACTCCGTTACAAAATTATTATTATAATTGGCGATGGTGTTCATTTTTCAAGCTGAAACTCGACGAGGTCGTTCGTTCTTAGATCATCCAGAGTTGATTTTAAAAATTTCCCGATGTATTTCTTTTTCTCCTGATTACACGTGAGATGAAGAACTGAATGAAACCACCTGACGAGTCAGACCGTTTTGGCATATGACCAACCAATCAGCTGATAGCATTAGCTGGGTGCCGTCGTATCGATCATCCGCGACAGACCGTGGCAGAAGGCATGCTCGCCAGACCTGACCTAGGATAACATCCTATCGCTGTACTCGGCGCAAACGCGTACGATCTCTTACACTCGTCGTCATTGGCGCTTGAAGAATCGTCCTTTTGTTCGCTGGCTTTTTCATTCAAAATATACTTTGCGCCTCGATGCATATACACGCGCGATTGAACTGTAAATCCAGATTCAACTAACAATTGTAAAATGATCTAAAATACATACAGAGATAAAAGAAAAAAAAAAAAATAATATCTTACATGGTTATTGCGTGATTGATACGAGTTGTCCAACTTGAAACTTTCAGCGTTCCAATTTATCAAGAACCACGATTCAAGAGGGAATTGGATATCGATCCGGAGGATGTGTTAACTCTGTTGTCCCTTTGGGAAAACGAGCGTCGCAAACGGTAATAACCGCTCTCTCCATGATGGTTTATAATTGCGAATGGTCGTGTAAATACCTGAAATATAAATTCATTTTTTAATATTTAGAAATTGGCACAAGTACATGAACGAAGAGTACGATAACGTAGACGACGAAGACAATCTTCTTGACGAAGAAGATCCTAGAAATGGTAAATGGAAACAAATATATACCTTAGTTATCGATTGAATTTCGTTTCTATTAAGACAATATGTGATTGCACGCAGTTATCCCATGGGTGGATTCATCGGTGTACCCTCCTCGTCATTATAGTCTGGACTCTTTATCACCGTCAGACATAGGAATTATACGTACTCATCCATCTAGCTATTATGAACAATACGAGAACCAGTATGGTCAGCAATACGATGGTACTCCTCAATATGGCCTTGTTTATCCTCAACAAAGTTACTACAATGTCCCTGAGAAGAGGTTCATGGTTTCCAGAAAACGCTCACAGGTAAGCGCATCCCTGTCACCCTGGAAATGAATCATCGAGTTTTTTATGATTTGTAATTTTATTTTACAGGCATACGATCCTTACTCCAATTCTGCTCAGTATCAGATAAGCACTCAATCGCGAGGATACCCTTACCAACACCGCTTAGTCTATTAAAATGACCCGTTGTTGCTCGATAAAAATACGTAACGACAAACTACATTATCGAGAACGTGATCAAGAAAAGCGAGAGATATAAAGAATTTAGTAAGAAAAAGAGGGTAACGAACTGACGTTTTCGGACTCACGTATACGCAAGACAAGAAACTAATAAATAACACAGAAATTTCGAGATTCTCTGACTGAACGCCTCTCTCTCTGACGCCCCCGTTCTTTTAGCTACTTCGTCTTCGTTCTGAACACAATAATACGTGCTCGAAAAACGAATAAGAGAGGACTTTACTTTAAGAAACACGGTGCTCAGAAAGACTATACACGATCTACAAGAGCCTGCTGAAGAGACAATAGCCATTTTGGTAGAAGTTTCAATTGTTTGGCTAACAATGTGCGTTGCGCAAGGACTTGTGTTAATTTCATTTTGAATCTATCTGATACATCTGATTCCAGCATGCTCTTGTATTATTTCATTAACACGTTGACTGCCATAGGACAGTTAATTAATTCTTTAATCAACTTGAATGACTAATTTTTAATAATTTGATTAACTTGAATTTGTAACATCTCGAACCTCGTCGTAGTTAGCGTGTTAAATGATAAAGTTAGAAATTCAAGCTCTCCTTGCTTGCAGCACGGGCAGGATGAGCACCGATCAATCGTGCGACGACTGAAATCGTTAAAACAATCTTAGCGTACTCGAATTAAACTATCCTCGTGCTTGTCTGACTGATATTAAAAATGAATAGTTACTTTTTCATGGATTAGGTTCGAAGGTAGACGCATAGTACTCGATCCGACTAGACAACCGTAGTATTGGCGATGGGAATAAATGGTCGACCTAAAATAAAAAAGGAGGACAAGATTTCATTCGGGACGATAGGGAACGATAGAATAGATAAATGAAAGACGAGGCTGAAATGTAATTTTATATAACTTACCATTCGTTTCGCTTATATGTAGGTATATCGTTACATATGCATTGTCGTCAAGTTCATACGACTCGTGTGTATGCATTTCATCCCCTTTAAAACTTAGTTTGCAAGAGGGATAGAGAGAGATACTGTACGCAAAACGAAATCGAAGATACAAGAACATATAGTGTATATATTGAGTACTGAAAATACCAGTTTGAATCCAATGATAATGATCGGTATCGTGAGCTACAACATATCTTCTATTGGATTCACACTTTATATTCGACGTGCTGACACATCGATACCCTCCTATCCTTACTTTAAACATAATTGTCAATTAATTTTCTAGCCGTGTACAGACTTATACTATGCATCGATCGCCGCAAGAATAATCCTCGATGGTTTTCTTCTCACAGCGGCATATCGGCTACCAATTAAAATTTTCCGACTCGATGGTATTAATTAACGTGCTGTGTCTTGAATAACGATGATCGTGTCTGTGAAACATGGTATCTATATTAGTACAAAGTAATTGGTAATGTATTACTCGTTTGAAAATGATAGTACATATAAAAACTAATAAGAGGATTCATCGAGTTCGTGAAATTTTAATTCTTCTCTTGCTGCGAGTGTAAAGTGTGAAGTATCTTTTTAACGATAATAATCCATCGTCTTACCATTGTCACTGAAAACAAAAGGAAAGATAAAGTGGGAAAAAAAAAGAAACAAGTAAATGTGAAACTACAAACTTACCACCTAATAACATGTAATGTTCTTCTCGATTGAACCAAACACGGCCTTCCATAGAGCAAACGTTCCGAGGAGACTGAATAATTTTTCCTTTTTTTTTTTTTTTCTTCGTTCGTCTATCTGTATGCTTGAAACGCGTACATATGATTATTTTTCACGGTAGAAACAGCAACAAGAAAAATAGAAAATGATAGAAAGAGAGAAAAAGAGAGAGAAAAATCAGAGAACGACTGACCGATCGATCCGTGAACGATCGGCGATAGAAATCTTTTTTGTCACTTGATGCTCTATATTTTTGACGATCGTTTAGTATGTAATTAGTATTTACTTAGATTAAGTATCGTTGCGACGGAATGATTCAGTATTTATTACTTATTAATATTGTAATTAGCGTTATAGATGATGAGAAGTATTGATTACTATGTACAATTAAACGAACATCAATCAATCAATCCGGTTTGAGTTTCATTGATAAAGTGATTTTTCTGTTCAATGAAGACACTTGTTGCATATTTCTTTGGAACGCATCTTCAAAGATTGAACGTTTTTGCCATGCGACACAACTAATTCTGAAACAAAAAGAAAAAGATTCGGTTATTTCAATGTGACTGCCTTGAAAATACTGCTGCACTCTTCTCAAAAGTTATTAGGTTGTTACATACGAGCTAGCCAATTTCGAAATATTGTCAATGTTTTTTGTTCTCTTATGCTTATAGATTCTCTCCTGATCTGCACGCAAAATAAAATTGTCTAAGCTATTTTCTATGCACGTTCGATTTTACCAATGGAAAATAAAGAGATTCATATATCGATGGTGTTTAAATTTAAAACAATACGCGTGACATCAACAAAATCATCTAGATTTATTAAAATTTCTTGTTATCGATTTTACGAAAATGTATCCTATCTTCCTTCTTAATGTTAAAAAATTTGACAAAATATGTCGAGATATTTTTGCGAAAAGAAACGCGAGGAACAATAATAAAATTGAATGAACATGCACGAACATGAAAAAGTAATTCAATGAATATTTATTTCTGTGTTTCTATTAATGATAAAGCTTCTCAATGGCAACTATTCGTCATTGATTACAGATCAACTACCTGAACTATTATAAGCGCATGAGAAGGAAAAAAATAAAGAGGTGTGTGTCAATCGTGTTACTTTAGAACGAATCTATATGCATATTATCGTTCTATAATATCATGTAAATGTTCAATGATATACACGTGTGCAATTTCGAAACAAAAAAGTCATGTCACTCGGCGCTGTAAGTATTTTTTCAAACCCATGGTGCTTCTTATATATATATATATTATATATAATATTGTAACAAAGCTAAACGATAAATAATAAATAACCGTATTCTACTTATAAGCATTTACTCCTGGAGCATTATTTATATATACTTCTGCTTTTTGTTAAAACAAATATATGTAATATACAAGTTAAAGATACCTACTTGATTACCTATAAACAAAAACAAAAGACGTTCTATTTTATAATAACCAATCTTTTTTTCAGTAAATTATTTCTTTTAATAATTAAAATATTTTCAAATACCTATCCTTATTTTTAAAATGGCCAGAAAATCGACTCGTCACGTTGTCATTGTCGATCCTGTAGATTGGCCACAATCGTTAGATGATAATATTAATTGGAAATTATTACAAGCTTCTACCGTTCGGCATGTATCTATAGCAAGGGAAGCGCTCTCTCAGGCACGAAAATGTTTGTTTCTTGTTTTTAATTAATTTCCATCTGCAATAAATAGATTTAAAAAGGACCAATTACGTTGATGTTAAAAATAATACTTATACCATTAGTTTCGTACACTTTGTATAGGGTGCTGACGTTAATTGTAGAAGACCCGACTTCTTGACGCCTCTGCACATTGCTACTGAACATAATGATATAAAACTCATTGAATTGCTCTGCAATCAGCCTTCCATCGACATCGAGGCAAGGACACTGGAAGGTTAATTACCTTCAATTAAAATTATAATTCAACACCGTAGCGAATTTAAATCTTTTTTTAAATTTAAATTTAAATACTTTTCGCTTGGCAGATAACTGCTTTACCAACCGAGCCATCCAGATAATCGTCACATTTTCTTACATTCCATCCAGGAATGACACCTCTTCATCACGCTGCTTTTCTAGCACATCCGGATGCGATTCAAATATTGCTTGAAAATGGCGCCGTTGTTAATTGCACGGATAACCTCGGCAGACACCCCTTACATTACGCCGTTCTACAAAAAGACGTGAAAAGTGCCACTATATTATTAACAAACAATGCTAGCGTAAATGTTTATGATGTCTTTCACGAAAGTCCACTTTACACTAGCGTCATTCGGAGACCCTTTTTTCCCATGATTAAATTATTGTTGTCATATGGGTAAAAATATCATTTATGTTGCAATTTTTAAAAGTAAATAAACATGAACCATCTTTTGTAGAGCAACAGTTCATTCGACGCCTTGTCAAGGTTCATTAGGACTACTCCTTGAGGCTCTTTTATCTATGAAAAACACATCAGATATAATTATATTGGATCTTCTCTTTCAAAATGGAGCAGATGTAAATGCAACGGAGTTTACTGGTTTACGTACCCCAATGCATATAGTGGCTATGACAGGAAATTTGCAACTAGCTACGTCAGTAGATACACGTTCAAAAATCTTCACAACGTTTTCAAGTTGAATTCTAATGGATTCTATTACACCATGTAGCTATCTTATTGAAAAAGGAGCTGATTTACGTCGAAAGAACAGAGCTGGAAAAACACCACTGGAAGTAGCTATAATGTATAAAAACTTTAAAATTGCACGGTTAATTGAAAATTATTTTTCAATGGAATTAAAAATACATCGGACCGTTAGCGTAACGGACCTTACAAGTGCATAAAATCAAACTTTATGTATAATGCGCATGCGTACAATGGCAAAGTGCAGAATTGAAATTTTGATGACCAGTAATATATCGTATCGACATCAAATGGCGCCACAATTAATAACTATAAATCACGCCTAAAATCAAACGTTATCACAACATTTAATAAACTAACTAATTAATTAATTGGTATTCTGTCACTTTGGAGCAACATTTTTCACTTGAAGTTTACGACAGATTCACCTTCTTCACGAAGTTCACGTACTTCCGAAAGCTTGGTCGATAAGATGTCGAGTAGTTTCCGTCGTTTTTCAATAGATGGCGCAGGGGGTCCAATGCCTGGTGACGTCATAGCACGTCATGTAATGCTATATATATAACGTGTCATTTCCCAGGGAAAAGGTATACATAGTTTGTATTATATTACATATACTATAATGTTCTGTTGTAGTGGTGTAAATAGTCATGATTATTATGGACAGCATGCAACAAATAGATTATAATTTCTTTATATAAATGTATTATCTATAACTAATTATATTGTATAAAAACTTTGCAAGTATGTATTGTATTTGTTATAAAAGATATTTTTGTACTACACATCTAATTTATATATTTACATAGATATTTGGATGAACTTAAAATAATTGCAGACTTACAAAATATAACACAAATTTAATATTAATAACGTTCTGTTTCCTTTACTTATGCAAAATATATCATACTTTATATTGTGTATAAAAGTTTAAATATCTTGTTTCAGTGATATGAATAATCTGGTATTTGGAGTTGGCATAGGACTATTTGTTATTTTGATCCTGTGGGCTATAGCTTTGTTAATATTTATCGTATCATTAAGAGTTGAAAAGAAAATTGGAACTATTGCAATATTGGTTGTTGGCATATGTACAATAGTTTTAATTGCTTTGCCAAAGACCTCTGAAAAAGCTAATTCTACAGAAAATAAGGTATGAGAATAATTGTTACATTACAAAAATTTGATATATATATTTATATTATTATTTATGTAATAGCTACCTGATGTCTATTTTAATCTTTTTTATAGATATATGATCATTTGTTCATTTGGCGTATTGTATTACTTGTATTGTTGACTATATCATCCCTCATTGGTTTCTTAGGATATATTAAATTTTCATTGACAGAATCAGTCAGACCAGTTCGAATATCTAGTTGGGTATTTTAAATATTAATAGTAAGTATTCTTCATTGTTATAACTAAAAGGCAAAGGTAAATTAAATAATAAACATTCTAATTTCTTTTACTTGCTTTGTTTTGCAGAAGTTATTAATAAATGCTGCAACTGAAAAAGGCTATTTAATTCTTTTAGTCAATATTTTGTCTTCATAATACAGACAATATTTAAAACATTATAAAAATGTTGCGCAGTAGTACTACTAAACTTTCATCAGCTCTAGTGAGACATATTTCTTCATCTTATCAGATGAATAAACAATTTGAAATAAATAGTAATAGCGAATTTGTTAGTAAAGTAATGAATAGTTCAGTACCAGTTATTGTAAATTTTCATGCAGAGTGGTGTGATCCTTGTAAGATCCTAACACCCAAACTAATCGAGCTTATAGGACCAATGGATAAATTAGATCTTGCCATTGTGAATCTAGAATCAAATCCAGAATTAGTACATATTTTTGAAGTAAAAGCTGTCCCAGCTATTACAGTAATTTCAAGTGGATTGGTTGTTGATAAGTTTGTAGGTTTAATTGATATAGATATCATAGAAAATTTAATACACAAACTTACCAATACTTCTCCAAATTCTGAAAATGATAAGAGACCAAATGAAACATGAGTATTTTACATATTATTCAAAGTAATAATTAAATATATTTTTATTCTATTGTGCTATATAATTCTACTTCTCTTAATTTTTCAAAGAGCAATAGTAAAACAAGAGCAGCGCGATTGTGCTGCGTGGTATTTAAACGATTAAAAGAAATATTTTATTACATGTTTAAAATGCAACTTGTGAAGTTGCATGAAAAAGAAAGAATAATTATGTTAAACTATAACAAATTTTATTAAAATTGTGAATAAATCTAGTTTACAAGAAGTATATTTACTATTATAATTTAAACATAATTAAGGTTTTGAATTAATACCGGGATAAAACATACGATTGTAATTTCAAAAAAGATAACATGTTTATTATTCATCATTTTTTTTTTTTTTTTAATAATAATTTGTTAATTATTTTACAAACTCTTAATAATGTATTATATGTATTAGTAATATTATAACATGATTATAAAATGATTTTTTAAACTGATTGTATGTTACATAGTACAATGTTATAATAATTAGTATTAACGGCCTTTTTTTTTATTTTACGAAGTCGCCACACTAGCAGTATTTATTAAACTAATCCTAATGTTAAAACTGAAGTATATTTCAAGGAACTTACTTTCTTTGCATAATTGCTATCACTACTTAAATATCTCTTAGTAGAGTACAGCTAATAAGATTAATTTGTTTCATCTGAATAAAATTCATTGAAAGCACATTATGCAACAAAGTTAACAATGGCTTATTATTAAATAATGAATGTAAACCTAAAAACGATAAACTGTGACTGATGTAGGAATTATGAACAAATTGTTATTTAATCTAGCTTCTACTTTAGGTTTATTTCAACTTGCGAAACAATTCTGTACAATCTATGTATGAAATTGTTACTGAAAATAGATAGTAGGCCTAAAACATAATAAAAGTAATTTAATCCATGTATTCCCTGGTAAAAGAGGTTTCTTCATCCGTTGGCAGCAAGCAATACATAAATGTATACCAACAATTAAAAGACTAGCTATAATCTTTTTTTATCAGTCAAGTGCTTTCAAGAAACACCATGATAAGGCAATGCTGTGATTCCTTGATTACTTGCAAAACCTTTTATTTTTATGTCAAATGTGTATACTCCTTTTTCGAAGAAATTCTACCAAAAAAAAAGTATTTTATATGTTTTTGCAAGCAACCCTGTTTTTCTTACACATGTTTCAAATTTTATTAACATACGCAATTAAATAAGTAAATTGAAAAATAATTTACGTAAATATGTACAAAATTAGGAAAAGATGTTCAATAAGTCTTTTCAAAAGAAAAAATGAGAATAAATTTATTTTTCTTTCTCGGATAAATGTGGTGTATCTACATCGAGTAATTATTAATATAATATTAATTTCTTTTAGTGACTATTATAACGAAACACATACCAAATGCAAATACACGAGCACAATTATCCTTATTTTCATACAATAAACGCATACAAACAAAATTTGAGAATATATATATATATATATAACATTGCTATTAGTGCACCGATATGTTCTGTAGAGGCGATTTCATGGCCCCACAAAATTACATGTTCAGTAAATACATTTGGACGCTTTAATGTTGCAGAAATGTTGCGCATATTTACAACTTATCTATATCAAGTAGTTTAAAAAAAATGTAACAAAATGTAGAAAAACACGAATGATATTATATACAAATTTTTAACTAATGTTACTTGTTGTTATTTGGCATATTCAATAACAATAACGCTAATACATTTTTTGTTCTATTCGTGTACCTTAATTATTTCTGGAAACATTCTTACACCGAAAATGAGAGTAATGTATTTAAATAGTATTTGTGATATGATTATAAATTATTAAAATTTGAATATACCCAATCACGGTACTTTATATCGATGAAAATAATAATTTAGCTGATTAACAACAAGTAACATCTAGGTTTTGTTATTACTAAATCATCTAATAGTTATATGATACATAGTATGATACAACATGATACAATTTACTTTGCGATTAGTCTTCACAGTAAATATGTACGAATAATTCTCGGATTATTAGAAATAAGATATTAACTAATCTTTTTCTGTAAAGTTTTAAAATTCACACTTTTTAGAATTTTTTAAAGAAATTGCATCTATTGGACATTGTTGTACCGAATGAAAGATAAGGGGAAGAAAAATGAAAAATTAGAAAAAAAATCTAACAAATGAAAATCTTAGAAAAATTGTATAATGAAGAGTATTTTATGGCTGTATATATACACGTGTGTATGTTAGAATTAGGAAACTAGCCTTAAAATTCGTCGATTCTCATTATGTACAATTTTAAGAATAATCATTTACGATAGAACTTTATCATTTTACAACTGGAATGAAGTTTTAATTTTTTAACGCATTAATTCTATTTCGTAGTGCGTGATTGAAAAAAAAAAAAGACTGTATGAAAATCGTCATGTGTATTACTATAAAGGATTCAAAAATACTTCATCACACTTCTGCCCCCAAATTTCGTACACCTTGCTCTGCTATCGGAACATATTTATCGTCAATTTTGACAAGTAAGATAACTTTATCTACATGAGACCGTCTATTAGGATCGCGATGATTAGGGGACCAACAATGAACAACGCATCCTTCCATACCTCTTTCAGGTACCCAATGTTGCCATCCAGATCTACCACCCTGTTGTCTCATTCTTTCGTCTGGCCAGATTACGTCTATTCGACGACCCAAGTTAATAGCATCGTACACTTGATTAGGATCTATAATCTAATATCATAACAAATATAAAGTGAAATAATTTTTTTAACGTTACAAACAAATCATCAATTTTATTTCTCTACTTACCCGAACTCTCTGTAAGACTTCATCTTTCTCTAACTTACTGGTGAAACTTGTCTCGCTCTTAGTTTCGTTTTTAATATCGCTGTTACTAAGAAGACCAGCTAAGCTAGCAAGCGTTGAACTTGTAGGTTTTCCAACTGATGCTAACGATCCTCTATTACCACCTAGAGATCCTGTATTTGTTCTTCCTAAAGAACCACGCCCAGTTGATCCACCGATTTGACATCCAGAATCTATAGACTGTGAGCCTGATGTATGATGACCTGATTGACTGTAGCCTGTATCAAAGATCTTATTTTATACACTGTAAATAAATTACGATCGATACGCTGTAACGATAGTGTGTACCTAAATGAATATTGTACGTAGTCATCGCGTATACCCCATCATTTCCAAAACCTCCATCATCTTGAGATCCTGTTCCTCCGGAGGAACAGCCCTGACCGCATCTTCTTCTGACTCTGTAAATAATACTTTCAATAATTTCGTCGTGGGTATTACGCTAACGAGACGTACCTTTGCCATAGTTTTAAAATATTATTCTTGATTATCCCAAGGCTCAAAGATCCTCCGACTATCGAACATAGTTGTTCATTAGTTTCTGCATAACTCGTTGTCAATGGTGAAACGTAAATCGGGTATCCGATCGGTTGATCGCAAGAACTATTTATTATATTTCTAAGAGCTTGTTTCGCGTTTTGTATCGAGCCACGCTCTGGGTTTCTATTTCTCAAATATACTAATTCTTGCTGTTGTCCAGCCCATAAACCACGTACACACTCGCGATTCATTTTAATTACTCGAAAACTTAAAAAACGTTTATTAAGCATTATCACTTTATATTCATCGATGCCATCGTCGAGTGCATGCCTAAGAGCCAGAAGGCTTGGGGCACCGTTTAAAACTGCATTTCTCCAAAGTGGATCTGCTTCGTGACTGATCACAAGATTTTTGTCGTGACTATCTATAGCTTCGTAAAGAGCAGAGAGTTCAACGTACAGTTCCGGACTCATAAAATGATCTTGATGTAACTTTAACGCCATCCTTACTCCTTTCGCTACGACGCTTCGTAGTAGATCAACGTCCAGTAACACCCATTCATCCCGAACCGATGTTATACGAAAATCTCCTAGATAAAACAAATCAATTTCTCATATATCGTTCTGAATACATTCATTTAACCCTTTGGGATATGCATGACGAGTGTGAGTCGTCAAATGTACCCATAGGGTTCATTATTTCAATGAAATTGTACCTTTAAAAAGAGCATGTAATCCATAGAGAAAAAATTCAACATTAGAAACAGTATTATTAGACACTGCTCCTAAAACGCGTCTTCCCAGAAGACTCAATGCAAGACATAAGGATACTAGCCGTGAATTCCTTGACTTATCCAATGCCTAAAATAATTAAGAACAAATTATTCTGTATATATATATGTATATGATTAGCGTAATTAATGTATGTAATAAGTGTTTGATACGATACCTTATCGTGTTTGTTAACGCAATATTGTATCCAATCTAAGTAAACATTGCAAAAACTGCTTCTTGTAATTCCACTAGCCCGAAAGTCGAAATCCTCGTGAATGCTCATATTAAAGACAGGATCAAGATCGACAAAATTTTTTTTAAGAGTTACACTAAGAGCATCCGCAATCTCGGAATTCTCTAGCCAATATTTTAATTTTGGCGATTTTACAGTATAGAAAACGATACTTTTCACATAGTAGGTAACCAGTACTTTACGAAATTCAAAGACTTGGAGCATAGAAACAGCTGAATTGTCGGAAATTGAATATCCTTCTAGAACGTATTTAGAACTCGCAACTTCCCAAGCTAGCCAGCGTTGTCTGAAGGCTGCATTTACACTTAGAACATTTGAAAAGTGTCCCATTTCGCAGCAGCAACAATTGTTGTTATCCTCGATTCCTTCAGATATCGCTTCTACCTAAAATGAAAAATAATCGTTAGATTCTTTATTAGAAATTGTTAAGTACTTATATAAAGAGATGGTACATACTTCTCTTTGCTGGCAATAAGTTCCACGAAATTCAAGACCTCTCAATTGAAAAGTTACCAATCCATTGCCTAATTGGACAACGTGTACCAAACAGTTTAAGTAATCGGACGCTAATAGAAAACAGTCGCCCTGTTCAACGTTTCCCCAACGTCCAAGCGCAAGGTCTCCGTAAAGACTGTGTTGCAGCGATCTCGTTAATTGTTCGTAAAAGATCGAATTCAGATTATTATCATCCGCGCCCAAATTTCGATCTAAATGCGAAGACATTCGTGTATTCGAATGATCCACTCTTCTCGTCTTGTAATCACGTTCCCAAAATTTCACAGGACGTACGTACGACGATATGAAAATAGCGCTGCCCAAAAGTGGATTTAACGGAGTGCTGAGTATCGCAGAGATACCAGCTTGCAAGAATAGCATCGCTGAATGTGGAACAGAGAATGGTTGAGCGAACGCATGGAACGCGCTGCCCCAAGTTATTTGCCAGGGTGCAATGTACGTGACAACGAATCGAATTTTTAACAGTAATTCATAAATCTTAGCGAACGCTATCCCTGTGACGAAATAGTCTACCAAAAACGTTTCGCTGAGATCCCGAAAGTCTAGCTTAAAAAAGAGAACTGCAAATATTAGAACCAGGTAACGCGTCGACGGATCAGAGTACGCAGATCTTAAGGATTTCAATCCGCATACGACTATGATCAATGCGCCTATGCTTTCTCCAAATTTGGATACAATTTTTGACGAACATTCGGTAAGCGCTCCGAGAAACACAACCGGATACAGAACGTTCCTTTCCAAGAAAGACAGGCAGACATAGGCTTTCTCGAACCACATGATCCTTACTGGTTCGAGTACTTCAAATTGTGCATACTCGTGGCTACGTAGTACCGGTCTTGACAAGCACAACCATGGCAATTGTTTTCTTAGTTGTGGTACGATATAATGTAATAGAAATCCGAGGCAACTTGCGATACCCCATAGAACTGGATTTAATTCTGGTTGCAATGCTGTAAATACGGTTGAACAATGAATTCCAAAAGATAATGTACCTATTGCCGTGCACACT